GTAAATACTTTGAGTAAATTTCCCTTCTAGATTTGAAGCTTTCGTGACTGCAAGGATCCATACTCTTTGGTTCTATTCGGTAAAGTCACGTAGGTAAAAAATAAAACAACAAAAAATAAAAATGAAAATAAAAAAAATTTGTGGCAAAAATAAAAATCTGAAAATACAAATATTTTTTATTTTCATTTTTAGTTGTTTTATTTTTTACCTACGTGACTTTACCGAATAGAACCAAAGAGTATAAATTTCCCTTCGTCTGCCTCCCCTGTCCAATATTAATCCACCACAAACGTATTATCTGTATTCTCAATTATTGGGTCTCACCTCCAAACCAAGTTATTATTGCAGGTGATCTGAATATTTATGTTGATGATTCTATCAATCCTGCTGCTCAGAGATTCCAGTATTTCATTTAATCCGTGGACCTAGTTCAAATTGCATCATCCCCCCACTCACGCCCACGGTCATGCCCTGGATCTGGTTATTGCAAACTCTCGGAGCCTTGATCTCATTTCAAATTCCCCAGTTGCTTTCAGTCCTCTCCCTCCACCGGTCCTCACTAACATTTATTTCCGCCCCACTCAATGTTTATCTTCGTCAACTATATACTCCCATATATCGTCAATTGATTCCAATTGTACTGACCCAATTCATCCTACCATCGAACACTACAGCAACACTGTGAACAACCTTGTTCCTTTGTAAACACGGGCATTGTTATCCTACAAAAAAAAATCCTTTGGCACCCAGTTCCCTCCAGACCTTCCACGTACAAAAAAAAACCATGCTGGTCGCAATCTGGAAAGTCAATGGGTAAGGTCCGGTTTGAAAGTTTCTTCGTCAGATATTGAAGGATCGAGTCGAATCCTATCGAGCAGCACTAAAAAAATGATTCAGTCTAACTTCGCTTTAACACGTAGGCTTTGGCGACCAATATTATTCATAATAAAGGTTTTTGGGGTTAGATCGCGTTATTTATAAATGTGTCGTAACCCTCCACCACCCGACACGGCCAATCAGCAAAAAAAGTGTCACGTTGAAAAAAGACAAATAGTTCACTATTTAAGCCCACTGGTGTGTTGAAGAGTGAATCCACAACATTTACACTGCCCATCCACTCACGTAGCATACACGACTCTGACAGTTAATGCCTCCACATCTCTACTGATATTTTCCCTGCACTAATATTAGATGCTGTCACGCCCATAAAAGTAAAAACAAACTTGACCCTGACATTCTATTAAAGCGCCACCCTATCTCAAACCTCACATTTTTCAGGAAGTGTTCTGGGAAAGATTTGTTTTGTTTGCCATTTATCTAATCTTGCCCATCAATGGTCTCTGTGATCCAGTGCAGTCCGATGCTCAACAAGGCCATTCTACGGAGACAGCTCTTTGAAATGTGCTCAATGGCCTCCTCGTCTTTGCCGATCGTGGGTCTCCTGCGATTTTGGCCCTCCTCGATATTACAGCCGCATTTGCCATTATAGACCACCACTCTCTTCTGCAGCACCTTCAGATATGCATAGGCATATCAGGCACTGTGACTCTCTTCCTTCTATTCTTATCTATTAAATCGTTTTTTTATGTAAAATTTCTGGTTAAATTTTCCTCTAAAAAAACCATTCACTTATGTTGTGCCTCAGGGTTCCTTACTTAACCCACTGCTTTTCTCCCCACTAGGTACAATCATATCCACTTTTAAGGTGGAATATAATGTCTATACTGATGAAATACAGCTGTACATTTCCTGTGAATTCATGTGAACCATCCTCAATGTACAATTTTGAAACCTGCCATTATGGAATTGTATAACTGGATTGGATGTAACTTTCCTCCTAAAAACTGCCAAAGCTGAGATTCTTCAAATGAGTAAAATGTTAGTTCTAAATAAAGCCTCCAGGCCACGTCTGCATCTCCAGGACTCGAATATTACGTTGGCAAAACAAAATGGTGGGCAAACCTTGGGGCAAATTTAGATCCGGAGATGTCATTCACCCACCACATCTCCCACTTCCGTAAAGCCTCCCACCTGCACCTGCGTGACATCGCCCAAGCACAGCCCTGCCTGGATCCACCGGCTGTCGAGGCCCCAATCCACGTCTTCGTTGCCTCTCGCCTGGACCACTGTCGCTCGCTCCTCGTCGGCCTCCCACATTTCCCCACTGCAAGTTTACAGATCATTCAGAATGGTGCCCCAAGGCTCTTCAACCGTACACGAAAACGTGATCTCATCACTCCAGTGCTACGATCTCTCACCACTGGCCTCCTATCAAGTTACCGATTCATTTTGAGATTGCAGTGTTTTTGTTTAAAGATTCTTCTTGGTCTTGCCCCTGTCTCCGAACCTCTCCACTCTCACTCTACTCACCTCTCTGGCACGTTGTCTTTGGTCCAGCAATAAAGGCGTCCTTCTTACAGGGCTGCCCAAAGCCGACCTTCACTCCATAGGAGGTCACTTCTTCTCGCCTTCTGCTCCTGCGGTCCTCCAATTCTCTTCCTCTTGAACTCATGCCGAGTTGAGACTGCCCTTGTTGAAGTCAAGGGCTCAAGATCCATTTGTTTTGATGTGCATAGAGCTCATTTTTATTTCTCGCACGCAAAGCATCGGGAGATGCAGATGCATTTAGACACTTAGAGAAGAGTAAATTGGATTGTATTTCTGCATTTTTTGCACAGCACAAGAGAATTTATTTGGCAAAATGTTTAAGCTTCAAACTAAACATCACAATTCCACGTTTATTATGGTTGATCTTTATTGCATCGGTATGATTGAATTAATATTAGCACGTAATTTATTACAGCACATGCGTTTTAATCTGTCTTATTAATTTGAAGGTCTGTATTAATTATGATAAGAGGCAGTAGATGGTAATTGGTTGCATTGCTTTTGTGTTCAGCTCGGTGATAATGGGATGTGCCGCTTTGGTTGTGCCATCGGGGTGTGCTGTTCTTCAGTAACTTATAACATCAGTATTGTATTGATTTAAAGCTTTCTTGACTGCAGGGATTCATATTCTTGGTTCTTTCGGTAAAGTCACGTAGAAGGAAAACAATAAAATAATAAAAATATAAAACAATAAAATTATCACGACGTTTCGACTGCAACACAAGAAATTATCATCAGGTGTGAAAACCACAGCAGGAAAATTTGAAAAAAGTGGCGGTTATTTTTAACGTTAACATAGATTGACTCGTCCATCTGAACAAACTGTCAAATCGCTCTCCGTGGTGCTAACGTAGCAAGCAATCATCACACCTGATGATGATTGCTTGTGTTGCAGTCGAAACGTCGTGAGAATTTTATTGTTTTATATTTTTATTATTTTATTGTTTCCCTTCTACGTGACCTTACCGAAAGAACCAAGAACATCAGCATTGTAATTTGCTCTCTACGTTGTACTGCAACAGATTAATTTAATTATTCCCACGACTATGAACACCAAATCACGTGTGTAATATTTGCACTGCCTTGAAGGTGCAATGCCTGTGAATTTTTTTGCTTTAATGTGCGTGCTTTATGTGATACTGTCTCATGACAAAACACAAGACAGCACGCTCTATGATACCACTATTATCGTTTCATGTTCTCGCCATTGATCATCAGTTGGATGGAACGATGTCTGTGAGAACGTAAATCATTAGGTGAGTTTGCACACGCGTTTGCTGATCGGGGCTTTACTCGACCTTGTGCGAAATGAACAGTGGATAACCATTTCTAGGGACCGACCTTTTCCATGGGATTGGTGAATTAGTGCTACTGGCTGCACGTCATTACTCGTTTATATTTTATTCAACCAGGTAAGACCCACTGAGCTATATAGCTGTTTTTTTCAAAAGCGACCTGGCCACAAATAATAGCTAAACGACGTGGCTTATCACGTGCAAATCTATCGCAGCCAAATACTCTAAACGCGTGATGTTGATTCTAAATGTGGAGAAACACAGAGGACGCGGAGAGAGACAAGCAAACTCCAAATATACAGCAGCAGGCGTCAGGGTCGGGACCGAACCCACGACCCCCTGCATAACCAAGCGAGATAGGTGACATCTCACCACCGTGGTGCACATGAACAGAGCGAACCGTCAGCCTCATTGCTAATTTGAGCATAGGAATGCTGAAGACTTACTACCAAAAAAAAATGTAAGGTGGTAATAGTGCAGCCCTGCAATGCCTTGCCCCAGCCGCTGCTGGTGGAAGGGCCTTCATGAGAGGGAGCTCAGGAGAGAGCCCCGTTAATGGGGTATTTTTGCATACTCTGCCGTGCTGAAAAGAAATCTTGGCAGAGGTGCGAGTACCCACACTTTACCCCACCGCACGCGGACCTGCCGATCAACGAACTCCAGTTGTTACCCATGTATACTGTTGGGTAGATAATGGCGGTGGGACATTTAATAAACTTGCCCCATTGTTTCAGCTGCCGCGCTGGGAGGACCAAATCGCACAACCGGCCCAGAGTTTGATTGGAAACGGCGTAACCTGGATCGCAAGTCCAGTGTGCTGACCACTCCAACCTCTCGCAGCATCTTTACCTAGAACTGAAGGAAAAACGAAAGGAAGCCTCTGATTAGCACGGTTGGCTACGTACGGTGTGAAATAAGTTCAACATACATAACAAAGATCCCCCCTATAACCTAAACAGATTGTTGGGGAAAGTGCCGTTAGCTAGCACCTATGAAGTCGGGAACGGTACACGAGGGGGTGGGTGGCCAGCAGCACGCCCGACCGCCTTTTTCTCTCCCGAGTGGCGATGTTTACAGACAGCACCAGCTGCTCATTTAAGGCTGAGTCGACCTAGGGGAGGCCCAGCACCGGTTCAGATAACCGTCACTGGTGTTGGCCGTATAAGCAGGATTCGAACTCGGTTCGCCGGGTTCGTAGAGCAGCGCGCTAACCGCTAAACCACCGCTCCATGCATACATACACACGTGTACATACACACACATACAGACAGACAAAACAGAGCACTAATAAATCTGACGATCCTCACGCGAGTGCAGAGCCCTCGGAGCCGCCTGCGCTGCTCGTGGTGTCCAGCAAGTCCAGCATCGTGCCGATGCACCTCAACGGGACGGCGGTTCCGTCCGCGCGTCCCGTGACCGCGTACGCGCCGGGCACGATGGACTTCAGCTACGCCGGGCACAGGGTGTGCTGGGCAAATCGCACGGCGATCACCCCCACCGGGGTCCTGCACTGCGCCACGATGTCCAGCCTTGGGGCCTTCTCAAGCAAGACGGTCATTGGTATTAACTTCGTCATATACGGTAGGTCGTTGCTTCTTCCCTAAGCGACGCAGTTGTTCCCGGTAGTCACCGCGTGCGTTTCCTCGACACGTACCTGTTGGAAGGTTGTTGTTGGGTTTTTTTGAAGGAAGCTGGTATGAAACAGAATTGACCAATTTCCCTGCGCGTGGAGGGAACCGCCAGACGTTGCGTTGAACAACACGTGTGCGGTACAACCCGAAAGCGCATGAGAGACCGATACGGCACATCTGCGAAAACCCACACAGAAGAACTGATTTTTGACACCCTCTCTTTCTGCTACCCCCGGTTTTTGGAGCTCCCTCCCCCTGGTTACCTACGCTGCCGACTCCCACATCCTGTTCAAAGCCCAGACTTAAAACTTTCCTCTGGCAGTAAATGTTTGTCTCTTTCCCGTACTTAAAAATTGTGTATATAAAGCACTGTAGGTTCCTTTCCCCCCCCCCAACACCCAAAAAGTGTCTTTGTGTGTGTGTGAAGAGTGGCAAGCCAAGTTTTATTCTCACTCGCGTCCAACGTCAGTAATGATTATTTGAACCTGTCCTGGGCCTCTCCCCTAGGTCGACTCAGTCTCAAATTAGTCCCTGGTGCAGTCTAAAAACTTCGCCACTGGGGAGACAAAGGCGGCCGGGCGTGGTCCTAGCCACTTGCCCCCTCGCGTGCCGTGGCCGGCCTTCATAGGTGCTGGCTAAGAGCACTTGTCCCAACAGTCTGTGCAGGCTATACGGGATTCTTCGTCTCGTCTGCAAAACAATACCTCCAAATTTCCATCGCCACATTATAAATCACGTGCTTCTCCTCCCCACACTTGCAATACCCCTTCCCTTGTTGCTGTGTAAATGTGCGTTGTATGTGACACTGGCAGTGGTGAGAGCAGGCAAGGCTGCGTTGGCTGGGTCACGTAGCCCACATGCCCAGCCACCGCATGCCGAAACAGCTTTTGTTCGGCCGGATAAAGGGGGCTAAATGGGTGCAAACACGGGCTAGAGAAGAAATGGAATGGTCCAAGATAACGTGGAGCTGAGTGGACTTGCCGATGACTGGTACCAGTGGTGTTAAGATCAGCGTCTGTGGAGGAGGCTCGTAAAGGACGCTGCTACTGGGCAGTCTGAGGCAGTCGCCCTCCAGCAACAAGGGAGGCAGAGGAGCGACGCCCACAACAACGAGCGAAGCGCAGTGTGCTTAAAATACAGCAAGTTGGCACAGTAGGGGGCACAGGTGGTGCATCGGCCAGTATGTCAGTCAGCCAACCCATGGCACCTCGGTCTATCCCGTGACCTACCAGCGGGCGTTCGACACTTCAAGTGGCCTGAAAGTGCACTTAGCCTGGCACAAGCGCCGTGGTGTGGCAAATGGCGGTTGTTGTCGGAAAGACCATCCGGGTCCACCCTTTGACAATGTGAGTGAACCATTTAGTCTGTGAGCCTAGAGAAGATTTTTTTTGTTCAACACCTGAGGTGGCATAACTGTAAAGGTTCCAATTTAAGGGTTGCCAATTTCTTAATGGGGCCAATGGCACTAAATTAGGGGACAACCATTCAAAGTGCTGGGGTTATCAAATAATTCACTTTTGCTCGCCGTTTAAAACGCATCGGTGCTGCTGAGGTTTTTATTTTATTTTCTCTCGGCCGGCTGCAATTTTTGCTCCGGCCCGTGAGCTAATTGTAGACTCACGGCACGCCGGTGCCGGAGCGGCTTTTTTTGTCCGAGAACTCAGTGGGTATTCCGCGAGCGTCTAGCTATCCCCAGAAGGCTCTGTGGATTTTTTTTTTGCTTTGTTTTAAAAACCAGCGTTACACTGAGAGGCTAAGGGTGTATTGAAGCAGACCTTTTGACGTATCACGTAATCTCGATATAGTATTCTGCTCTGCAGATTTTCGTCCGATTCGGCATTAGTCCACTCATAGGCATCTGCCATTCTTTAATTTCTGTGGCATTTTATCTTGACCTCTCACGCTAATTGAGGGATTAGCCCACACAATAAATATGTAAAGCGAGCGAACGTGTCACGTTGGGTTTACATGAAAACGAGCTTTCAACTTGCGACACCATCCCTAATAAAAATGCTTAAAGCATGCGTGGGCATGCGCACAGTGGATTGAGGGTGTCGTCGCGAACAGAAAGGAGACGTTTCGTGAGATGCGGTTTTCAAAGCACTGTCCCACACCACTACGAAAATAATGCTGTCAGCTACAATTACTAGAATTAGTTAGACCCCTGTTTTTTTTATTCAATTTCGTTCGGCAAAGATGACACGTTCAATTTACATCAGGCATCTACTGAGAGCAAGTGACATTGAGTGTTGTCTGGGTAACTGATCGTTTCTGCGACTACTGATTTTTTTGAGCTCTTGTTATTAAGAGGAGGGGGAGCGGGGGGGGGGGTCTTTGTGTGTCGGCTGATTGCTAGATGATGGATTTTGCCCATCAAATGCGAGCTGGAAGCTGCCTGTGCACTCACCACCGCCGCTAATTGATTTCTGCTGTAGAATGTTGATGCCGTAGTGCCGGGCAGTGACTCTGGGATGTGAGCGATGGCACCTGTCAGTCTGGGCTGATGGTAGAGAGAATTTCAATGGCTGGTGCCAGAGATTATGGAATTATCGAGGAATGGGGACTGTCCGCTCTTACCCTGTTAGGGCGGGGGGGTGGCTTACCCCACGCTTGTCATTTGTTGACAAGCCCTGACAAGCCAAACAACACTATCCGATCTTTTGGGACAATATATCTACGATGCCCAGAAATGTTTTAAAGTATGCGCTTACATGAGCAGGTTCAGTGGGAGTAATAATAAAACCGAAACGTCAAATCTGCGTATGCTTTATTTTCACAAAAGAAAACCATTCGTCAATACATCCCGCATACATTTAATTGTGGAAAAAAGAATACGCATGTTCAATTGTTATACTAAATTAATTGGTATTGTTTCACGTATGAAACCGTTTAAATATCGTTCCTAAATAAACACAGATTATGCATTTCTGAATGTTATATGCTCTGTCGGGATGTATACCTAAACTAATTATACATTCCGAAGTAGTTGAATGTGAACATGTATAGCCCATGTATTCACAGCTTCTCATTTACTGAACACCTAATTAAAATAACGCTAAACAGATAATTAGACTGATGATTGCTTTCGTTAATTACATTTTCAATGAACAATTACCATCAGTGGAGCGGAGCAAGGCGCCCTACTTGACAATGAATATCCAAAACGTTTTTTGTCGTCCTTGCGTTCACCGTGATCACCGCTTGCGAACAATCACGGGCAGCGCTTCGCTTGCACCAGTGGCCCCCCGGCCAATGGTAAGGGATCCACATTCCTTTGGCGGGGACCGGACTTTCCACAGGACGGTGACTGCCGGCGTCGCGCCGAGCGGTACGATTTCATCTGTCTTGGAGAGTTGATCGGTTGTCTACGATACTCTCGGCCGTGCTCTCTCTAGACCCATTAATTTGTGGCATATACCCCCCCCCCCCGCCACCTCCCCCTCCAACAGCAAAATAATTACGGGGGCACCTCAACCCACAGAAACCAAAAGACGAATCCCTGTAGCAGACAGCGCTCCGCTGGGTCAAGAGTGGTGAAATAGAGACGAAGAGAGGGAATGCAGGAATGGGTTTCTGTTGAGGAAAAGTAAATTTGTAATAATACTTTCCACCCTGACAGGATGCATTTGCATGGCCACTCCACGAGTGGCTGGAAACCACTTCGTCACGCGCCCACATGCATTACGCTTCGCGATCTTGCCTAAAGATTATTGAGTGTCGGTTGACGTGGCAAAAAAAATCGCCACACACACACACGCGCGCACGCCGCAGCTGAAAGATCAGAGATGAATACGTGCATTGCCATATACAGGTCATTGTGCGCCTTGTAAATGTGTTTAATAAATGTTTACATTCATGTTTATTTAAATGGCTTGTCCTGGAGGGTACGTGACTATCCTGACTACTGTATGTGCCCCATCCCGTCAAAACTCAGAAGCTAAGCAGAGGTTGAGCTTGGGCATCGCCTGCTCGTTTGTGTACCAATCTTTTGATGAAAAAAGAAAAACCTATTTGTGGACGTGCGCTTCAAAATTACTTGGTCGAATTTTTTTTGGTGATTTCCGAAGCGCAGAGGGCGTTCGTTGCGGCCAGCATGGAGGGAGCATCCATCGAATGTTCACGGCTGGGAAATGCAGCCTCGTTCCAGTGAAACGGCTTTGGCTGAAGAGTCTCGCGGACTAATCAAGCGTGTAGAGCCAGCGGTGAATCAGGCAGACGTGCTGGAGACGAACCATGCCAAAGCCACTTCATTTTCCTCACACGGTGGCGCGTACCGCCGCTAATTCTCATTTGGCCGGAATGGACGCTTCCTCGAGCAGCCAAGTACGGCGGTCTCCTTGTAAGCCCACAACCCCGGCACACGGCGCTCCACAGAGCGCTACGGCAATTCCGAGAGGCGTGTGGAATTTGTCAGTCCGCTGGCCTGGCATTGTCGCATCCATCTATCTCTCTCTCTCTCGGGGAAGGCAACGAAGCAGCCACCCAGCCGCAGCCGCACCCTTGTAATACATTGTCATCCCGTCCAACGTTGCTGCATGCATTATATATAAAAAAATAAAAATGATTGTTCGTGCTCTCTATATATGTCATGGGTTTTAGCTCGTAATATTTTTTTTTTCAAAATGCAATTGATTTGAGATGTTATACTGGTAGGAACGAAGTTGTAAACTGAGTGTACCAGCCTGCAATAGATTAATGTGTCCGTCCGTCCGTCCCCTTTCAATACTTTAACGAAGTGAAATCTCGTGCTGTTGGGTGTAAAATCAGCAATAGACAACGCAGAGACTTCTCCTACCAGCCCACCCTGCAGGGACCTGTTCTGAAAAGCAACATCACTGAATATCACTTTCAGTGATCGTTATAAAGTTGGGCATATTACAAAACGTTACTTGTTGCTTAAGGCAAGAGAAGTATTTCTAGGCACGCGAAGTATTTCTGGGCAAAAGCCCCACTTATTTACGGCCGTTTGCCATCAGCCAGACAGTAGTGCAGCAACTTATCTTTTATTTAGAAGTCTTTTTAAAAAAAAAAATCCCCTCTCCATTTGCCACACAGGCACACTACGACGACTTTTAAGGCACGCCAGTACTTTTGTTCTGTTGAAGGTGCTGAGCAGCTCTGAATGGATAGGGGGCCTACCTTGTCGATTGAGCTGCGCGTGGCGCTTAGCCGTGCCAATAAAGCACGAGGAAAGGGCACAGCACGGCGAAAGGACCGAGATTCTCAGAGGAAATATTTCAACGCGGTCGGTGGGGGGGGGGTATGTGCTGGGGAGGGGCGGGTTGAGGACGCAACTGGGCAGTGCCAGGCTGGGTGCACGTCGAGGACGCTGCTGGGGATATTGGAAGCAACGAGCGGAGCGCCGGGCGGCTTGGATACAGCGAATTGGCACAGCAGGGGGCCCAGGTGGTGCATCTGCCGGTCGTCTCAGTCAGTAAACCCATGGCACCTGGGTCTATACCGTAGACTCCTGTCAGCGAGCCTTCGAAACTGCACGTTGACTCGGAGTCCACATAGCCTGGCACAAGCGCCGTGGTAACGTCGCCGCCACTAAGTGGTTCATTGCGGCTATTGTTATTATTGTTGGTGGAGTGATAGCGTGAAAATCCAACACCGCTTCGGAATTTAAATTAACTACATTAACATTTTCAGGCAGGCTTAAATGTGCGTTTCCTTACTCTTGATTATAATGAGCAGATTTTGAACGGCGATTCACGACATCTATTTCACCTTAGGAGCGAGGCCTTGCAGCAATGCTGTGTAGGGCAGTGTAATGGCCATGCCTGTACAGTGCCTGCAGATGGTCGCACGATAAGTAAAGGCTATTCTTCAACAAGAGATCTGGTCGATAAACAGAAACGGCATGAGTTGAACTTGACAACGCGAATACGCTTGAGCGAAATCTCGTGAAAACAAACAACAGAGACAAACAACCTTCTTTGGTTTTGCCTCTTGAGACATTTGTTTGACTTTACCTGTGATCTGTTCTTGAAAGATGTATGCCTTTCCCATTGATTCTTTAAATTGAAATCTTCAAAAGTGCAACTTTCTGGCCCACAGTTAGATAGATCATGGTGTACGTACAACAGGCGTCAGGGTTGGGATCGAACCCACGATCTCTTGTACAACGGGCGAGGTAGCTAACAACTTGCCACCGCAACGCCTATTTATTGATGTATGGAATAAGAAAACGGAACAGGAAAGGGAAGAGAGAAGATAAAGAATGGGAAATAAGAATAACATTAAATCTTTAAATTTCGATTGAAAGCTTTTGTGACTGCAGGGATTCATCATCTTGGTTTTTTCGGTAAAGTCACGTAGAAGGGAAATAATAATATAATTGTATTTTTATTATTTTATTATTTCCCTTCTACGCGACTTTACCGAAAGAACCAAGAATATTATCTTGACTTAAAGTTTTAGGTGGCTGCAGTAATTCATATTCTTTGGGTCTTTCGGTAAAGTCACGTAGATAGGTTCAAAGACGACCGCTTGTGTTGCGATCGAAACGTCGTAGTTTTTTGTTACTTTCTTTGATCCTATCTACGTGACTTGACCAAAACTTCCAAAGAATAAGAATAACATTATCGGAAAGTAGAGAGACGAGACTCCGGACAGAAGCCCCCAAGATAGAGGGCTTGGCCAAAGGCGAGCAGCAGGAAGAAAGGGAGGAAGGAAGCCAGACAGGAGAGGAAGGAGGGGGAGAAGGAATGATAGATATGTAGTGGAGTGGGAAGGTGCGTAGTGCAAACAGTGCGATTGCATGGAAACAAAGACAGTACGGCTTATTTTGGGTCAGCCTGTTGCGAAGGCAAAGTCATTACGGGTCATGTTGGGTCAGCCTGTAGCGAAGACAAATACAGTACAGGTTATGTTAGGGCAATTAAGCTGGGGGAGCCAAGGATGGCTGTGATTGGTTGGTGTTGTTGTCAAGGCTGGAGTGGCGTCTTGAAGTCTGACGAGGTAACAGGTGCACGGGCATGCGGAGTGCCGTTGGGACGCGGGTTAATTAATTGGGGTGTAATGAGAGCGGGGATAAGGTCGGGAGTTGGAGTCGGGTGTGGGGAGTTGGAGTTGGGGTCTGGACGAGGCAAGACGTGGAGCAGCTGAGGAGACGAAGGGGAAGACGGAGTTCGTTGGGGAGTTGGTTGGTTGGAGAGTTGGAGACAGAGTTTGGAGACAGAGTTTGAGACAGAGTTTGGAGACGGAGTTTGGAGACAGAGCTAGCAGTAGAGAGAGCGTAACAATAGCGGAGCTGAAGAAGAGAAGCAGCTAGCAGTGGAGAGAGCATAGCGTCGGTGATAGCGGAGAGCAGAGACGAAGTAGCTCGCAGTGGAGAGAGCGCAGTGATAGTGGGGAGTGGAGAGACAAAGGTGGCGAGCGAGTCGAGTGACGCACGGCGAGCGAGCCGTGGCGACATGGATACTGTGGAATATTGAGGACATGCGGAGAGTTGTAAATAAAGCGGTGTTCGAAGAAAGACAAAAATTGTCCGAGTGAAATGGAACATTACAGATATATTACAAAAGTGATGAATGCTGTATTCCTCATTTGAAATACATTGGCTTTCAGAACAGCACTGAATTACTCCGTGTTACTTGCAATGAGCCGTTTCCTGCATTTGAATTGTGAATGCTAAACGCTTGTGTTTCGAGTGTAGTAGTTAACTGCCGCTCGAACACGTAACATTTTCACAAGAATCAAGTGGGCCCCATTTGGTGGATTAATTTGTGCTGTAAATCATCTTCTTTACAACACGCAAATTGTTCAAACGCAGTTGCATTCTTTTGAATTAAAAACGTGTTTAAGTTGCAGCATTATGTACTCACATATTTAGTAATGTCTAATTTTATTAGTCAGAAGCCTGCCACACAGACTAATTTGCAGACTATTAATCTGCGTTTAACTACGAGCATTTATAACGCATTGAAACTTCTGGAAGAGTTGAAGAGACATTACGTAGACCCTTACATAAAGATATACTGTAATTTCCAGGCCATCCTGGCAAACCTCTAAAGTAATCCATACTCTTGTGTAATCAAGGTAATTCAGTTGCATATTAAACGAAATTAAAAAGACATTTAACACAGACATTTTCCAGTGCTACTTGAGCAGAATCAGATATTTCAAATTAGCCTTTCAATTCTCTTAGTTGCCGTTAATTTGACAACCTCTGCTCCCAATATTTTAGCATTCAGAATACATCCACATGGGCAAAGGGTGCGGCCAGGGCAGAAGAGGGCACGGTCATGGCGCTCTTATCCGCACTGTGCCTGCAACGCGCAATGACGCATCCAGGCCCGAGCACGCGTGCGCGGAGCATCGCGCGGAGCCATCGATCGCGGCCGCGGTTCAGGATTCGCGAATTGGTGTCGCGCGTCCGCTCTCCTCGCCCCGCAGGTGTGAAGGAGATCCGCATCGACTGGCTGACGGGAAACCTCTACCTGTTGGACGAAAGCTACAACCACATCGTTGTGTGCGACGCGTCGGGCGCGTTCTGCGTCAAGCTGCTGGATCTGGGATCCGAGGCCATCAGGTCGCTGGCACTCGATCCCATTTCAGGGTGAGCGAAGGACAGCGCGGCGCCGTGTGTGCACGTTTGTTGTTAAACTTCTGTGGCACCGTACGTAGCCAACCGTGCTGGTCGTGGATGCGGGGGGGGGCGGGAAGGACAACAAACTGGGGCTTCATTTCTCCCACCGCGAGCTGCTGCAACAGCCCTACCTGCGTGCACCCCACTATCTACAGCAGCGGCCTTTTGAACTACCAGTGGCACCAGCCCTCGTGCCACTTGTCTACGTTAATGGGACGGCAGAAAATGTCACGATTAGAAACAGCAGCCCATGCGGCATAAGGTGCAGCAACGGTCCCGACAACCAACTACAACGGCCTGCACGCCCCTGCACTAGCTAGTAACGGCAGCTCGTTCAGCACCCAGAGGCAGCCCTGTTGTGCTTTTGTGAAACAAAATTACATTCTTATTTTATAGATTATGTCAGGATGGCTTCTGCGAAAGCGACTTGTGTTTTAATACAAAGCGAAAGGACTTGATGTTCCACGTTAGCAGGCAACGTGCATAGTGGGAGTGAGAATCGGAATCTGTTAGTGGGAGTGAGAATCAGAATCTTTATTTATCCTGAAGAAGTCCGATGAGCTATGAAGCTATTTTTCACAGATGTCCGGCAGAGGTGAGTCAGAAAGTTATAACACCAAACATTACAAAAAAATTATTGGAGTGCAAACTATAGAATTTAAGCAGATCACTAAGTTTAATACGTAAGCTAGATAAGTTCATGAGAAAGGTTTTTGGGTTAGATCGCGTTATTTATAAATGTGTCGTAACCCTCCACCACCCGACATGGCCAATCAGCAAAAAAGTGTCACGTTGACAAAAGACAAATAGTTCACTACTTTAGCCCACCGGTGTGTTGAAGAGTGAATCAACATCATTTACAATTTTGAGTACGACGTTTCGCTGGTAATTACATCCAGCATCATCGGGCAATTTGTCAAATTGCAAAAGTACACCAATTCCCAAGCTTGAGCAAGGCAGCAAAACAACAGTAAGAACAGTGCCAGACCACACCAAAACAAGGCCACACAGTCCCTCAATAAAATTGCACTTTAACATTCAACTCTCGATACATTGGAAAGGATGAAACGTTATAAATCACATTCGCAAATGCAGTTGTACCCAGCACAAAACTTCTGCTTCAGGATGTGTTTTGTGAAGGAGGATTCACGGTGTTAAGGGAGGAAACAATGCCGTTCCAAAGGCAAAGGCTCTGTCGCCTATTACTATTCTTGTTCTTGGGATAGTCGAAAGGCAATTCGATGGATGTCGAAGGTTTCTTGGGTTTGACAATGGGGTTCATGAAGTGGCCAAGTATAGTGCAGATTTGCAGAGTTTGGTCGCCGTCATGGTCCGCGTTTGCAGAGCCAGGAAGGCAACCTACGTACATAAGGTCATTGAGAGTGCCAGTCCTCACGGTCTCACCCCTCAGGCAAAGACTTTAATGTATTGCTTTATAATCTAAAGTCAGAAACAGTTCACGTGTTAAACCAACCGGACGAAATAATATATGCTGATTTTCTTGCAAGTTGAATCTATGATTGACTGCGCAGATCACTCGACGGTTACTTTGAGCGACTCCCAAACACAAAAAAACAACAACCTGAATAAATACGGTGGGGTTCTTATTTGACAAGACGTGCCATTGTGAAGGTGCCCGTGATAAACGTACTCTCGTATCCCTCATCAACGGTTGTGTTCAGAGCAGAGGAGGGAATTCACCAAACCGATATGATTTCACTTTATTTCAGATACATTCTCAATTTATATATATTTATTATATTTCTCCTAGCATTCATCATGTGCCATATATAGATATACAGTGAGGGAAAAAAGTATTTGATCCCCTGCTGATTTTGTACGTTTTCCCACTGACAAAGAAATGATCAGTCTAAAATTTTAATGGTAGGTTTATTTGAACAGTGAAAGACAGAATAACAAGAAAATCCAGAAAAACGCATGTCAAAAATGTTATAAATTAATTTGCATTTTAATGAGGGAAATAAGTATTTGACCCCTCTGCAAAACATGACTTAGTACTTGGTGGCAAAACCCTTGTTGGCAATCACAGAGGTCAGACGTGTCTTGTAGTTGGTCACCAGGTTTGCACACATCTCAGGAGGGATTTTTGTCCCACTCCTCTTTGCAGATCTTCTCCAAGTCATTAAGGTTTCGAGGCTGACGTTTGGCAACTCGAACCTTCAGCTCCCTCCACAGATTTTCTATGGGATTAAGGTGTGGAGACTGGCTAGGCCACTCCAGGATCTTAATGTGCTTCTTCTTGAGCCACTCCTTTGTTTCCTTGGCCGTCCACGACCCATTTTCAATGCCCTGGCTGAGGAAAGGAGGTTCTCACCTAAGATTTGATGGTATACGGTCCCGTCCATCGTCCCTTTGATGCGGTGAAGTTGTCCTGTCCCCTTAGCAGAAAAACACCCCCAAAGCATAATGTTTCCACCTCCATGTTTGACGGTGGGGATGGTGTTCTTGGGGTCATAGGCAGCATTCCTCCTCCTCCTCCAAACACGGCGAGTTGAGTTGATACCAAAGAGCTCCATTTTGGTCTCATCTGACCACAACACTTTCACCCAGTTGTCCTCTGAATCATTCAGATGTTCATTGGCAAACTTCAGACGGGCATGTATATGTGCTTTCTTGAGCAGGGGGACCATGCGGGCGCTGCAGGATTTCAGTCCTTCACGGCGTAGTGTGTTACCAATTGTTTTCTTGGTGACTATGGTCCCAGCTGCTTTGAGATCATTGACAAGATCCTCCTGTGCAGCTCTGGGCTGATTCCTCACCGTTCTCATGATCATTGCAACTCCACGAGGTGAGATCTTGCATGGAGCCCCAGGCCGAGGGAGATTGACAGTTCTTTTGTGTTTCTTCCATTTGCGAATAATCGCACCAACTGTTGTCACCTTCTCACCAAGCTGCTTGGCAATGGTCTTGTAGCCCATTCCAGCCTTGTGTAGGTCTACAATCTTGTCCCTGACATCCTTGGAGAGCTCTTTGGTCTTGGCCATGATGGAGAGTTTGGAATCTGATTGATTGTTTGATTGCTTCTGTGGACAGGTGTAATGAGCTGAGATTAGGAGCACTCCCTTTAAGAATGTGCTCCTAATCTCAGCTCGTTATCTGTATAAAAGACACCTGGGAGCCAGAAATCTTTCTGATTGAGAGGGGGTCAAATACTTATTTCCCTCATTAAAATGCAAATCAATTTATAACATTTTTGACATGCGTTTTTCTGGATTTTTTTGTTGTTATTCTGTCTCTCACTGTTCAAATAAACCTACCATTAAAATTATAGACTGATCATTTCTTTGTCAGTGGGCAAACGTACAAAATCAGCAGGGGATCAAATACTTTTTTCCCTCACTGTACATAGTAATAATTTAATTTCATAGAGCGTTATTCATGCAATTGCATCCCACAACGCTGCACATCAATTATCCAGTTCCGTACAAAAACATACAAAAATAAAACCCAACTACTTAGCAAATCGAAATACATAAATAACGAGAATAAATTTGTCACGTAGCAAGAAAAAATAATCGCGGAGAAAAATAATTAAAATGAATAAATCCGTTCGGTCTCCATACCCCGGACCACAATCCCAACATTTTGCCGAACCTGCACTGCAGGGATTGTTACATTGTGTAACACAAAAGAGCCACGTTTGTGCACGTACGCAGCGATGCGCCGGGACGTTGCACCCTGTCATTGTATAGGACACAGCCACCTTCATCATCTTTTGCAGAATAGGGGGGGGGGGGTGGTGGTGAAAGTGGTCATCTTGAAAACCAGCGGGGATAATTTGCACCTGTTCATGCAGAACAGAATACGCACGCGAGAGTGGGGCGGGGGGGGGGTTCGAGTACCCTGGGGAAAATATACTTGAAATAAAACAAAATCACACCAATCTGCTACAGAATGAAAATGTTTAATCAGCGTACCGTTCCGCGCACCTCCGATTAGCACGGTTGGCTACGGTGTGAAAAAAGTTCAGCATGCGCGCAACGCGTACAAAGACCGCTGAAAAGTGCGCAAAAGAAGCTTGAAAGGGGTGCATGCGCAGAATTGCACCGAGAGACAGAGGGGAGGAACTCGTGGATTAGAGAACGTATGCCAGTTACAGACGTCATATTGATTGTTAATCAAAGTAAGTGGGTTTGGGGAGGGATACGTCGCTTGAAGGGTTGATTGCAGAGGGTCGAGATTGATGATGATGATGCAGCGGCACGGCCAAGCGAAGGCACACGCCACAGAGGGTGTTCACCGCTGAGATGGAACGATACAATCAGCTGATGTGCAGGTGCTTCATAGATTGACGTATCGCAAGACAATGAGAGATGGCAACGGCTTGGGAAGGCTCCCATCTAGCGGTGGATTGGTGACGGCTGGTGATGAGAGATGGACTGTGAGGCAATTGGACATTTTCGCAAAAATTATCTCAATCATCGCCATAAAGGATGTCAATACGAATAAGGCAGTGCTCAGGTTCCAATGCACGGTGATTGTAAATGTGATTTCCTTTGTGACTGAGTTAATTGCCGGTGCTTATTTATGGCCATTATCCCAGCCGGTCAGCAGTAGAGCGAGCAGGCTCGCAATGCGATGGTTTACTTGGCAACATCATCCCACTGATAACAATTCCACATAGTAGGGGAAGTCGACAGTGATTGGCCCTGTGGAGCGACCAACACCCCGCCATATGAATGTGGAATTTCTGCCACTGGTTCAGGGCTGTCAAAAATGAGACACGCAATGACCCCGTGGTCATTCGAGAAAGAAACGACTTTGACTTTAGAATATTTCAGCACTAGACTTTTGGTTTTCTTTTCTCTTCATAGTCGTTGTGAGTTCACTATAACCTGCCAGCAGCTGTCTCAAGGCAGAGCACACAACAGGGTGTGTTATTTATAGGTCCAATGTTTTATTCCGTGAAAATTATTTTTTATTACGCTATTCATTGTCGTGGAGTGCACAACCGTCACAAATCATTGTCTGGTTTAATGTAGTTATTTTTTATTTATTTAAGTGATTGTCATCAAAGGAACATTTTAATTGCCATATACGCACTCCACTCACTTCGTAAGGTGATGCTAGCCAAGTTTTTCATTCCAAGGACTCATGGCAGTGGGAGAAAAAAAAAACATTGCTCATTATTAGTCAGGGACCGTTATTCAGAACAAAGTGAAGATCCCATTGCAAGAAAGGAGGCTTGCGCTGCAAATTGATAACGATTGAGTCCCTTTTCTCTACGTTATATTTTTCACTGAGTCCACCAACCTTGGCCACAATTGCCACTCAAGCAGCAATCAAGGGCTCTTCCAAATCACATCAGTAATTATTGATGTCTCCTGGCATTCACTCTGGGCTTTGCATACGGTGCTAAAATAATACAGTGCTAAAACATGTTGGCGTAGAAGTCTCGCCTCATCGTCAGCAATCATGATCTCTACGCTGCTGGAGGAAGACCTCTCCATGCCAACGGTATCCTCCACAGTCCTGCGATGCAAATGATCCACCTCACTCCTGCAGCACGTGCTGATCTCGTTGGACACACTGGAAACGTTCTTGTTGGACACGTTCCTTTGGCTGCCGTCACAGCAGTTTAACACGTAGGAGGCTTTCGCGAACAAACTTACCCATCATAGAGGTTTTTTGTTGTCGTTAGATCGCGTAAATATAAATGCGTCGTTAACCCACCACCATACCGACGCACCCCAGGAGTAAGTAAGAAGTCTTCTGCACAATTATGGCAACTCGCCTGATGAAGCTGGTTGTAGTCAACAGAGAAACGTCGTACTGAAATTGTAAACGTTGTGGGCTTACTCGGCAACACACCGGTGCGCTGAAGTAGTAACGAATTGGCGCGTTTTGTTTAAGTAACAAACCTCTACAACATTTACAATTTGAGTACCGTGACGCTTCGCTGGCGATTACAACCAGCTTCATCAGGCGATTTGCCGGAATTGTGAAGAAGACTTCTTTCTTACTAGTTGGCTATGTAGGGTGGTGGTGGTGGTGGGTTAATAGCACATTAATATTTACACAGTCGAACCAAAAAAAAAACCTTATTATGCTGTTCCATCACCACCATGGCTTCTCGTGATTTGTCCAGAGCCCAAAGGCCCACTTACTTTAAAACTAAATAGGATATCTCCAATTTACACTTATTCCCCACTCCACGTGATTACCTTCCTGCCATTCATTGTAATTGCTAACGTGCACCATCTCCATGCTTCTTTGCACAGTTTTCAACCTTTGCCTCATTCTCTTTGTTCGCATCCACGATTTCCAGTCGATGTGGCATCGCGAGTCCGTCAGTCAGTTCCTTTCAGGTAATACCCATTGAGCTAAAACGCTCTTTTTCATTGGTGTAATTTGGCCAAAACGGCTGAGCATGTTACACGGGAAGGGAGGGTTTGCAGGGACTACGTAGAATGAAAGCGGTGATATTCAATGGTAAGAAAAATGATCATTAATAAACAACCAGAATCGCGTACGACAATGGAAATGTTGCATGCATTCCAAAATAACAATGCATACCACTGCTAATATGCATCGATCGAAAAGGTTATTCGATATGTGCATCGAGGTTGTTATTCAATGTCAACAATCACTATTTTAACAAAGTGCATCATGCTGCCCTCACTAGCCACATTTTTCATAATTTCGATCCCAATCCACCTTCAAGATTTGCCATCCGTATATCATCCATATTGCCTTGCATCTTCCATTCACGGTCCTCCAACAATAATTGTATTCTGAAGCTGGGAATGTTGCACGTGACGAGTGTGTTGCACGCACGTTCATTTTGAGCCTTCTTGGTTTAGCCTTCTTGATTAAATTCTACAATCCATTCGAGGAGTTAATTTCAAATGCTGGTTATAATGGCTATGTTGTCACCAAACCTGAGGTGTTTCATGCAGTAAGTCTCTTATATTTGCTAGGAGCTGCGGTTATTGTTGTGAGGAGCTTGATTTTAGTACATCGAACCAACTTGAAACAAATTTATTGATAATAAGTGCTAACTTGGCTTCGCATAATCCTTAAATGTAGTTTCAGGGAGAAGTACATACCCTGTATTATGGTTCAGTAAACACATATAACACTATAATTTCATTTACAAATACCTCTTATTATTGATTTTCATAACAATTTATTTCGCATGGGCAATAGCCTGCCTAATGTAATGAATGGATGCCTTCGCAGTTATTACGTTAGCTTTCAAACTTGGCGGCTCACTCCTCGTGGTGACTTCACTCAAGTGCAAAGAATCTCACCAACAAGCCCCGTGCATTCGCTCGAATCGAGTCGAGCGACCCTGGAATCTCTGTGCAGGAGAATTGTCGGACGACGCCGGTTGAGGGTGATGAAAATTGCGCCCTTGACGACGTCAACGAGCAGAACAGCCCCACAGTGCCAACGATAGGGAGTGGCGGTGAACACGAGTGGCGGTGAACACGCCCGGCGGTGAACACGCGTGGCGGTGAACACGCGTGGCGGTGAACACGCGTGGCACAAATGCGCAGCGACAAACATTGGCAACCGCTGCGAGGGCTCGCAGGAAAAAGTTTCGGCAGTGTGGGCTCGTGCTGCACGGTTAAGGCTGCCGAAGACAAACTGCCTTTGATGTTCACAATTTGTCTTGGTCTCAGCTTGTAGAAAATTTCCATCTTGATAACATTAAATTTCCCACTGTGGTCCGCCTGGCATAGCAATGTGTAATTTCCATCTCTGGCTTTGGCTTGCCGTCTGAAGATGATAAATACTTCAAGCTCCTTCGAGCACACAGATGTTTTACTTTCATTTTAAATAACTCCTTTGAAAGCATTTTGGGGTTTTTCTGCTCGGCAACATGAAAAGAAATGATTACTAATGCAGTTAGTCTGGTGCTGACAGTCATGTGATGCCAGCACACACAGGGGTTAGAGATATACACATTTTAATGCATAATTTAAAAGCATCTCAAAAATGAGAAAAAAGTCGCCTATCCAACGTTAGAGCTTACGGTTCATCCATTCAACTGCTATTGTTTAACAGTGTCCTGGTAACGTCACTAGTGCCTTCCCTGCCGATTGCCTCTTTCTCTTTTCAAGGACCTTTGTGAGATGGAGCAGTAGAGGGGGCTGGAGTTAGGCACCCCAGCGCCCAATACCGATCGGAGCTACCTGTTTTATCAGCCTTACAGCCACGGAACCTGTATGTATGTTGACGTTTTTTCGCACCGTACGTAGCCAACCATGCTAATCGGAGGTGTGGGGGACGGACAACAAACATCACGCGAACTTTGGTCATCCTCACATTGGCTTTTGGGTGACCATCGAACAAAGATGGTCACCGCATCGCGTGCTTTCACATGCGCTTCTGCGGCCGTCTGGAGCGCTCTTCCTTCTGTAATTAGGAAGCCACTGGCGCGATGCAATTTTAAATCTCGATTGACAACCCGTATCTTTAGAACTGCTTTTTTTGCTGTCATTCCCCTGCACTTCTGATGAGTACGGTTGGCTATATATGGTATGAAACAAAAACAACTATATACATACGACATGACCGTGTTCCTCAGCGGCTTCCTCCCCCTTTGCGTCATCCCCTGCAGGAACATTTTCTTCACGATCTTTGGGAGGAACAGCAGGATCGAGCGGTGCGATATGGATGGGGGCAACTGCACGAAGCTGGTGTACAGCAAGATAACGTACCCACAGGCCATTACGCTCGACGTGATCGCCCACCTCGTCTACTGGGCAGACATCAGCTTCGACTACGTGGAGGCGGTCGACTACGAGGGCCGCAAGCGGCACATCGTCTGCCGCCACGTACGTCTGCCCGCAGTGGCGGGCGCCGCTCTCTCGCGCCTCACGCCACCGCGGGTTTCTCCCGCGCCCGACGTCACGCAACCGAGGCCTAGTTCACACGCAGGAACGAACGGTCGGCTTTTTCTCGGCATGCTGCGGCGGGGGGAAAAAAGAATGAAAAAAAAAACACGTGATTTGGTTGCCATTTCTTGACTTTACTTCAGTTCCGCTTATAATTGTGCGTGATGCAGTTCCCACTAAACACAAATCAGGATGTATTTATTGTCTGTGTGGAGACATAATCTTGAAGTTGATGAAGGCAATCCTCTAAACTTTCAGAGTATTCATGATGTTACAGACATTTGCATTGTTTTATTTTTCCAGAAAGCATCTACAGCAGTGCATTATGAAGGTCGCATTAACCACTGGTGTTTCCGCTGTGGCGATAGCGAGCGCCTTTACGTTTTCGCTTAGTTACCCACGACAGTCATTCTCCCTTCGCCACTGCACCGAGACCCACCGGCAACGCCCACTCCCCTCTACCTCTCCCAGGTTGATCGCCTGTTTGGCCTGACCATCTTTGAAAACTACATCTACGGGATCAGCATCAAGTACAGCGCAAGCGAGCACATGTCCCTGGTTCGCGTGGACCGCTTCAACAGCAGCGAGGTGCAGGTGCTGGCTCACACGGCGCGAGTCGGCGCCGTCTTCGTGCACCACAGCAGCAAGCAGCCCACCGGTGAGTGCTGCCACCACCAACACCCCCGGCCACCGCCACCGCCACCGGCCACCATCCGCCACCGTGTGGCACCCCGCCATCGTTGCCCCGCTTGTGACGCCGGCCATCGCGCGTGCCCTGTGTGCGAGCGAATCACAAGCAAGTGGCGGTTAAACCGATTTAGTGTGTGTGTGTTATGTACGTTCAACTTATTTTGCGCCGTGCGTAGCCGACCGTGCTAATCGGAGGTGCGGGGGAAAGGACAACAAGCTTGCACGCCAAAAAGAATTTCTAAAAAAATCTAGTTTTTCAGTCCCTACAAGTCGTGTGGTGAAGTTAGAATATGTCCATGTGCTCGGCATTTGAAGGCCTGAAGACCAGAATCGTTGATTTCACCGCGAATGTGTTCAGGGAGGCAGTGCCATATCCGGACAGCAGAGTGAAGGGATCTTCTGTCCAGGGAGCAATGTTCTGGCAACTGGGGGGGCAAGGGTGCGGCTTGGCAAGGGTTGCGCATAATCGGGTCGCATGGCGTCTTTCAGATGCAGGGTGGAAGTATGGCCTGAGTTTTTGGTATGGTTTCTCGTGATTTGTAGGGTAAGAGCATGGGCTTAAAACAAACAAAAAACTTTGCAACTGGTATTAGCCCAAACATCCAAATTCCGAAATATTACCTGCAAATAATTCCTTTGGGATGACACACAGCGGCGACATTGCCCCTTAATTTGGCAGGACCCTCCTGAAAATGAGCCTTGATACGCGGCGAGGCTCTCCTGGGTAAAGAAGTGAAATATTTTAACGTGAATAATTAAGGAGGAGCTCAGTGCGTACCATTGGACGAGACTTCATTTTGCAATTCTGGTGCAACGAGTACTTTGTTTACTCCTGAAACACGGTTCTTTGTTGCAAGTGGCATTTTCTCTTGGCACATTTAAACAGAGATGTATTTTATTTGCCATCGTGTACTTCCCGACTATATTCATGCAATCGATATAATTTTCGCTTGCAAATTGCCTAACATCGTAACCATACCTCAAGGCACTGTATACTATAAAGGACATACGCATCACGACTACTGAAGAAAGGTAAACAAATTAACTAGAATATTCTCCTATCGTTATTCAGCAGGAATACACATATTCTTTAAATTTATAACAATATTTAGATTTACAATGAGCCTTCATAAAACTGGTAATATACACGTGCACATGTTTAAAATCCACACAATAAGTGTCTTAAGCGGTAAAGCATCGTTTATGATTTATGGTATAGGAGGGCAATTTTTTCCTAAGTGCCATATTATCCACTCGGATCGCTTACCTGTTGTCACAGTAGAGAAACAATTATGTAAATCCCATTTGTTCAGTGCAGTGAGTGAGTCAGATAGAGGGAACCCATTACCCTGAATCTTCCCAACTACCCCAGCTTATTTCCAGTTCCTTATCTTGCTCAAAGTGCCATCTGTATCATCCTCAATAATGCATGGCCTTATTTTTGTTTGATATTTGTGACCTCATTATTCCACCCTGGGCTGTTTCATGCTGTCAGATGTGCGAGTTAAAAGGAGTTTATAGACCAAGCGCTTCCACGAGGCGCTTTGCCGGGCTCTTTTCAACCCGCTTTATTTCCTCGTCGCACCTTTAAATCAAAACGGGGCAGATTCCCATTCGCACTTGCGAACGATCAGAGCGTTATCAGCGACTGCGCTGCGGTGGGAAATCGCAACTTTTCAGCCGCGATTTGCCGGCATTATTTCTGCTCGTCGGTTGAGTTTCCCCCACGTGCCGATCCCGGCGCGCGCGCCACGTCGCCCCCGACCCCCGTCACCCCCCCTCGCCCCGTCGCAGTACACGGCCACGCTTGCGAGCCGGACGAGCATGGCCGACGCGGGGGCTGCTCGGACATCTGCCTCTTCTCCGCCGGCTACAAGGTGCGCAAGTGCCGCTGCCACAGGGGCTTCAACCTGGACAGCGACGGCCGATCCTGCACAAGTGAGTCCTCGTCGGCCTTCAGGGGCCCCTCCGACGTACATCCGTGTGTGTGTGTGTGTGTGGATGTTGAACTTCTACGGGCACCGCACGTAGCCGATCGCGTCTACCGCGGCGATCCCTGGCGCTCCCCACGCACGCAGGGGTTCTTGATTCCGCGCCCTCCGCCAATGTCCCAGAACCCAAGCACGAGCTCTTCCTGCTGTACGGGAAGGCGTTCCCGGGCGTGGTGCGCGGCATCGACATGACGGGGAGCGTGCAGGACGACTTCATGATCCCCGTGGAGATGTTGGTGAACCCCCGCGCCGTGGACTTCCACGCCGCCACCGGCTTCGTCTACTTCGCCGACTCCAGCCAGTTCCTCATCGGGCGGCAGAAAATCGATGGCACTGCGCGCGAAGTCCTCTTGGCAAACAGTGCGTGCCTTTCGTGTCGCCGTTCCTCTAACCGTTGTGCCAATGTTTAAAGGGGGCGCGAGCTCGCCGGAAGTTTCCCCGCGGTCTCCGAGGCCGAGGGCGTGTGCTTGCGCAAACCCGTTGCTGTGTTAGGGACGCGTCCACCACCAGATCTCGAGTTAAGTTTTCATTATCCTCCATCGACGGTGGTGTACACGGTAGACATGGAGCACATTATTCACAATAAAGGTTTTTGGGTGAGATCGCGTAAATGTTTAAATGTGTCGTGACCCTCCACCACCCGACATTTTGGCACAGTTATCAACCTCGTGATCCTCGTGTTAAGGTTCCGTACCATCGTAGTTTTGAGTGTTTTTACACATCGTCAGGATGAGTTCTCTTGGTGGATTTACTCTCCAACACACCGGTGTGCTGAAGTAGTAACCAATTGGCGCGTTTTGTTTACGTGACAAACCTTACTGGCTGTGTCGGGAGGTGGAGGGTCAGGACACGTTTAAACTTATGCGATCTAACCCAAAAACCTTCATTATTAATAATATTGGTTGCAAAAGCTTACGTGTTGAACTGAGGGAGCACATTACTCTTAATATGCCACATACAGAAATCCAGTTAGCCTGGCCCCCCCTTGCAAAAAGACTTGTTTTGCCCTTCTATTACGCTGCCATTTACATTTGTTAAATTGGGCAAGGGCACACTTTTAATGGCATTTGTTGTTTCTCAAGCGTACACCATCTGGTGCAGTGCACAGAACACAGCCCCCGAGCAGATTTCAAGTTGGTGGTTGACTGTTGCTGCTGTTTGGGTTCAACACAGGATAGCTGTTAGCAAAGCACAGATGTAATCCACTGCCAACACAGCGCAGGGTCGTTTCGCTGAACTCTGGCACAAGCTGCTACCACTTTGTTCACTAATGAATGCTCACGCGGCCCATTTTCAATGAAGCACCATGGCAGAGCACAGACGATGCCAATATCGCATGAAACACGTAAAATGAAGCAACTTTGTTCTTCATAGATGATAAATGCAATCGGTGAACTGAGGACACCTTTGTGAAATATGAATTCACGCTGTATGAATTGACCTGCATAACGAGCCCTTTTCCTCCACTACCTCACTGCAGGAACATAGATGGCAGTGTGATTTGTTTGGAGCATAGCACAATTGATAAACGCCGGCGACGGGATGAGCCCGTTGCTTGAAATGCGTCTCGTTCCTTCTCCTGACGCAAGAGCCTTAACGCCGTTATTTACTGCCGCCCGCATGTCCAGATGTCAAGAACGTGGAGGGGATTTCCGTGGACTGGATGGGCGGTAATATTTATTGGACGGACGACAGGCTGAAGGCCGTCAAAGTGGCACGCCTGGAGAACGCCTCCCAGTCGTGGAAGACCCTCGTCACGGGGGAGATGGTGCACCCGAGATCCATTGTGGTGGATCCCTCGCGCGGGTACGCCGCCATCATTAGCCGCTGTCTCGAACCGCGACGCGTCTCTCACCTTCCCTGCATTGGCGGCTGCTCAAGGGTTAAACCGTCGTGCGAACTCCGGTCATCATCGAAGCCGCAGCAGCAGGAGGAGCAGCAGGAGCAGGAGGAGCAGCAGGAGCCGGAGGAGGAGCAGCAGGAGCATGCTGCTGCTGCTGCTTCGATGGCTAGCCACCGAAACACAGACGGTCACCGCATCGCGAGCTTTTGGATGCGCTTCTGCGGCAATTTGGAACTCTCTTCCTTCCGACATTAGGAAGCCACTGGAGCTATGTGCTTTTAATTACTCTAGAATAAATAATAAACGTCATTTCTTTTAAACTGATTTTTCTGTTTAGTTTGTTCTCCTTCCCCCGCACTTCCGATTAGCACGGTTGGCTACGTACGGTGTCAAATAAGTTAAACATACTCTTTGGTTCTATTCGGTAAAGTCACGTAGGTAAAAAATAAAACAACAAAAATCACGACGTTTTGGCCGCAACACAAGCGGCCTTCATCAGGTGAAGGGACCAGGCTGTCTCGAGGACAGCGCTGGAGTGAAACACAGCCACGCTCAGACCGCGACCTTTAAGCTGTGTGCGAGGAAACAAGGTGCCTTGACAAAGGAATTAGCATAAAAATTAGCATTTGATTGGCCGACTTAGCATGATGAACGGTGTAGAGGTGGTGTACATGCGGGTGCACATGCCGGTTGGCGCGGGGGGGGAAGGAGGAGTTTACCTATTGATGGTGTGAAAAGGGAATTTTTAAGAGCTGCGAAAGTTTGGGGTACCACTACTTAAAAAATATACTGTACCATTGAAAATTACTTTAATGTTTGGTTCGATTTAGAACATCTTTCCAATGGTTGCTTAATTTGAAACCATCTTCTCGGTTGAAATTGTGTCTGTGTTTGTAGATCTGAATTGCCTCGTGAACAAATCTCTGATAAAAACCCGTGGGTTTGCAAAGAACCTTGTTATCGGAGAAAATTATATCGTGATCACCCACAGCGTTGTAACAGTGATCAGCTACGGCAGAAGAATTCGTTCTGCCATGTTTCAAATCTGATTTGTGCTCGCGAATTCGGTCAGAGACATGTCGCTTTGTCTCCCCGATATAGCAATCACCGCAGGTACAACTCAATTTGTAAACCCCGGGGTACTGTTAGTCAGGAATGACATCCTTCACGGATGGGATCAGATCACGAATTTTGTGTACTGTATTGAACCGAACCTGGATCTTGTGTTTGTTTAGAATTTTGGAAATCTTTTTAGTAACGCCTGCTATATATGGTAGTGTGATGGTTTTGACCGGAGTATCAAGTGGTTGTTTCTGTATGGAGGGAGAAACAGCTTGGCGGATGGTACGGTCAGAGTATCCATTCCTTTTGAGGGCCAGGTGTACATGTTTTAATTCACTGGTCAGGTGGTGTTGGTCCGAAATGCAATGAGCCCTATGGTATAAAGTTTTGATGAGAGAATTATTTTGGGCTGGGTGGTGGTGGGAATCAGGTTTCAAGTAGGAATCTGTGTGGGTGGGTTTCCTGTAGACAGAATGCCCCAATGAACCATCAGGTCTCCTCTCAAACAGAACATCTAAGAATGGTAGCTTGCCATCTTTCTCCACTTCCATGGTGAATTTGATGGCGGAATGTCTGGAATTGATGTGGCGTAGGAAAAAGGTTCAGAGCTGTTAGGCCATGTGACCAAATGACGAAAGTGTCATCCACATATCTCTTCCACAAGTCTATTGTGGCCGAAACGTCGTGATTTTTGTTGTTTTATTTTTTGCCTACGTGACTTTACCGAATAGAACCAAAGAGTATGGATCCTTGCAGTCACGAAAGCTTTAAATCTAGAAGTTAAACATACATACGTACGTACAAAAGTGTGTCTTTGGCTGTATATCTGATCTGCCTTGCGACCTCACCAGCCGGACTGGACTGCACTCTACAATTGGTTTATCAGCTAGCAACAGTTGTACTTTGCAGAAAGTAACATGGGGAGACCGACTGGTACCCACCAAGGGAATGTGGGTTTCCACCACTGCACAATATTGTTAAGCACCCGTCATCGTTTGGTTTACAGTTTTTTTAGTTTTTTTCCGTATTTATTTTGGCGGAGTTATCAACCTCGTGGTCATCGTGTTAGCGTCCTGTAGCTATCGTAGTCGTAAGCGAGTCTTACGCAGCACCAGGATGAGCACCCTTGGTGGCAGCACTCTCAGTTGGAGGGGAACACATTTCGAAAAGCCTGCTGATCAGAGGCCGCTGACGCTGGGGAGGGCTTGGGTGACCGTAGCTGAGATTACAGACTCGTGGTGAAAATGATTGCAACTGAGCAAACTCCTACAAACTTAATAACGCTTCCATATCGCATAAAGACCTGCCAGATTTTTCAGGGATTTACTCACGTGTCCTCGATCTTTCAATTAAAAATAATTATCCTGTTTGGTCATTCACAACGGTATACCGTCGTGTGCTGGTATATCCAGAATCTAAAATGATGACATTACCATAAACTCAATTAAACCGCTGTCCCGCCACTCTACCCTAAACTTTAAAAGATCCCAAAACCAAGAACCCTTGCTCATTTCACCCCCCCCCCCCCCCACAGAATATAGAATATACTGTAGAAGTAATGTCAGTGAAGCTCTCACCTAGTTATAAAGAGGACTTAATTGCATTTTAACGTAAGTACTCTACTTTCACTTTTCAATTTTCAAAAAGTAACCCAAGCAATTTCCTTGCATGAATTGCCGCAGCGGGCTGACAAAAGTGGTTGTGGCACGGACCTCAGCAGACTGCAGATTGACCCCTGCTACAGCAATGTGGAGTTCCCAACCACTGGCTCGGCGCTCTAAATGGGAGAGTGAGGCAGAGGGTAATTGCTCATTTGAGCAGGATATCACACGCGACCTTCCGAGACCATTGCACGAATCTCACGCTTCGATCAGATTTATTTCAGCGAGCCGTTGAACCGCCCACACCCCCACCCTCACCTTGCCTACCTGGTTGCAGACACATGTACTGGACAGACTGGGAGGAGGACCTAAAGAGTAGCAGAAGTGGAAAGATCGAGCGAGCCTGGATGGACGGTACCCACCGTGAGGTCTTCGTCTCCTCCAAGACCATGCTGTGGGTTAATGGGCTCTCCCTCGACTCATCTGCGGGAGTGCTCTACTGGTGTGACGCTTTCTTCAACCACATTTCCAGCATTGACATAAACGGCTCCAACCGTAAGGTGAGGCTGATAAAAGAGCGCTTGTTCAATCTTATTTCTTTCGCTCTCGTGTTTTATTGCTTTGACTGCCAATAGAATGTCACTGTAAAGATCACCTCGTGTTGTTTTGTATTGATTTAGTTGTATGAATAAGACAGTTATGAATGCCGCTACACTTCAGTAATCAGGCCTGACATGTTTTATATTTTCGAATTCGTAACAGTCTCAGGAAGCCCACTTTGGGTGACATTGGCAGTTGAGTGGCAAGATGGAATTTTTCGACTCCAACTAATCTGTCATTTAAAGTGGCAGTATCCTCGTACAAGCTAAACAGTGCTATAAAGCACCCTTATCAGATGCTTTATAGCTTTCAGCCAATACAGGGGAATATGAATGCCATTTTTGGAGTAATGGGTGTCGGTCAGGCTTGATTAATTGAAATGGCACCGAAAATATATGTTAGAATTATTTGATTGCACTGTCCTCACCCTGCAGGTTTATTTAAGCATTCATGGGTTAAGTAAATATACATTAGATTTTTTATTAAGGCACATTACGTTTAACCTCGATAACACACTGGGGAAAAAAGCTGCAAATTTGTTGATATTTTCTGTCTTGATTTGAAGCTTTCTTGACTGCAGGAATCCATACTCTTTGGTTCTTTTGGTAAAGTCACGTAGGTAGAAAATTAATAGATCACGACTTTTCGATCGCAACACAAGCGACCGCCTTCAGGTGAGAGAGAGGGAAAGCTACTGAAACAAGGTCTTACATAGGCCTGAGATGGGTGCAGCCTCAGGGTAAGAAGGCGGGGCTAGAGACGGTCTTCCTGAGGCTGTGGAAGTGGCTATTGTACTGAGAGATTAGCATGTCAATGCACGAGCTAAGTATGCCGCAGCATCGGTGACTTGCCTAGTAGGTCGCAGCATCGGTGACTGAGCGAGAAGGACATCCAGTCCGTCAATACAAAGACATCCAACCTAATAATGCAACTCAGAGAGTCAGCTAAAATCCCAGGGATGATGGAAACATCACAGCAGGTTAAGACTTTACCTGGTTAATCATGTCCTTCCAATGATTGCTCAATGTGTACCCATCTTCTCGGTTGAAGTTGTGCCTGTGTTTATATATCTGGATGGCTTCATGAACAAATCTCTGATTTTCTTTATGTAGGAGAAGATTCCACCCAGTATCCACTCTTGGTGGTGATGTTGGTGGTGCCTGGGCAAAGATTTCGCCAGATCTATTCTTCTCAAAACAGTTATCCCACAGCAGGTAGTGCTGAGCGGGGTAGCCCAAAAACATGAATGCAAAGTGCAACTCTTTGTTAGGTAATGTAAGTCACACGCAGCAACTGTGTTCAAGCGAAAGAAGTTCAACATCAACATACAAATGGCCTATTTAGTAGTGCTCATTTCCATCAGAGGCCCTGCACTAGTGAGGGAAATTTCACGTTCCCATGCTGGGTCAATTTCTTTGCCTGCAAATGACCACTGCAGATGTGTGTTTCTATATTGTGGTCGTCTATTCAAATGATATTGGGGAAAGAGCATGATTTGACTCGTATATTTCCAATTCTGAGTCATGCACTGTATCTACTGTACCTCGGGGGCCAGAGATTCCCTGTAGTGCTTCAATTGTACGATAAACATGCACAAATATCCACGGTCATATATTTGTAATGTTAAATATTGCTGAGACAGCTATGGATTCATACAGTGCACAAGTGAGAATTCAGAGCTTTAGATGTGGAACAGCACAGTCGTGCCTCACTACAATTTCCTCAGTCCGCTGCCTCGCAAATGCCTTCATCTAAATTTAATCATAGTGTATCGTGCAATTGTAATCTGTGCCAGTCGTTTTCAATCTTCTGAGTCAGACATTAGCAGACACTCCAAATCCATAGCACTTAGGGTGGTACTGGTGGCGCAGCGGTTCGCGCACCGCACTACGAGCTTGTAACCAGTCACGGCTAACAGCGGTGGTGAGTGACATGCGACCCGGTCGTAGTACCGTGCCCACTTCGATAACCCCACACTGCCCGGCGTGGTGAGGCGTGGTTCGAAACAGCCGCCTATTCCTGACGTGCCATGGGAGTGTCTCCAGCAGTGGATTTACAAATGGCTGACATGTTCGATTGCTCCCACTGCGTCGATGCGGTTCGGCTCCACAGGGGAACGGGCCGCCCTCCCGTGGTGCACACGCCGCTCCAGTGCAGCGACTCGGGGGCGGTTGATCTGTTAACATCTTCCCTGCAGCGCTGTGAGACACCCAATGTGGGGCGCCACGGTGGAAAGATGTTAGCTACCTCGCCTGGTATGCAGGAGGTTGTGGGTTCGATCCCGAACCTGACACCTGCATATTTGGAGTTTGCATGTTCTCCCTGGGGTTGCTGTCGATTTTTCTCCAGTTACTCTGGTTTTTCCCTCCACATTTAAAATCAACATCACGCATGTAGAGTATTTGGCTGCTACAGATGTCCACGTGATAAGCCACTTCTGAAAAAGAGCTTTATAGCTCAATGAGCCTTACTGGGTAAAATAAAAAAATAGTTTAATAATTTAGTTTAGAGTGGTGTGTCTCTAACTCTTAATGTAAACTAAAATTAAATGCCCCTATGCTTGCAACACAGGCTTCTCCAGATTGTATTTTGATGACGATGTTGAATAAAATATTTAGAAACATATATTTATTTTTTTCCGTAGCATTGCTAACTCTAGGGGTTTTTTTCCCTTGGTAGAATTCTTACTCCTCACTGAAGAACTTTTCCACGGAAAATATGCCTTACATGCATTACTGTACAGTTTCGTTGTGACACATTGAGACATATCGCTCTCTCTCGCTACACACACTCGGCCATGCATCCATCTTAATATGTATGTTGCCTCTCGCTTGACCACAATGCACATCGCACTCCCTTGGAATGTGTGTCACACTTAGATCTCCTCAGACAATGCAAATAAGAGCATCGAACACGTATAGGGTCCAGCGGTAGATCTGGCGGCTCGCAAGCGGAGGGATGCAAGTTCGAACCCTGGATTGAGGTCGAGTCAGTCCATCATCCCCCACCACACCCCGGCCCGCCCCCAATTTGTGCAGAAATCTAGAGCTGTTATCGTTTGGACAGACGGACCCCCGCCATAGGGATGTGGAATCTTCACACCGATGACGGTAGGGCTGTAAAGAGAAATTAGTACTACCTATATGCGTATTTTTTGAGCAGGAAATCGCGTTTGACCCATCGCTGCTTTTTGAAATCTCTCTCGTTATTTATTGTTGGTTTCTGTGTCCCATGTGAGGGTGCAATGTCCCACAAGCCCAAGTGGCTATTATTTCTTCCAGACTGTAACTTGTCTGGAGTAATAACGATTCATCATAACGCCATTTCCAAAACTGTCTGAATTGTTTAGTGTGCCTGTTGATTTTTTTTTTAAGGCACGTCAGTGTGTTTTCTCGCTGCTTATTGCCTATGCCGTCTGGCAGGTGATTCTGAACGAACATTGTTGTTACAATGAATCTTCAGGGGCGAGTGCTCAAACTGGCTGGAAGGCTGAGCTGCAGTGTCCACTTAAAAAAAAAAAACTCATTGATTTTATGTCCGCTGGAATAGGGCTTTCTGCAATGGCTCTAAACGTGACCCTAAAGCAAACCTCTGATTAGCAATGAGCGATGGACCCTGACCAAAGTACCATTCAACTTTCTTCTGAGCGAGACAATTAAACTATGCGAGGCTTCTTCTTCTGCGCGCCTTTTCAACAGAAACAAAAAAACGAGGACCAAGATCCAGCTTGAAGCTTTTGCCTCTCAGAGTGGCGGATTAGGCTGATTCGCAGCAAAAGCAGCCTGCCGTGCTGACTCAACATTTTACATCACAGCCACGCACAAAGGTAGCAAAATAGCCTTGGCAGCTTTCATTTTGGAGGTGACTCCGTTGCTGCTTACCAGAGGAGATAGGATAACGCTAATACGCATTTTTGTACACTTCCGTGCATATTCGCATTTGTAGAAATGGGCCAGTATATGGCGGTTTGCTGAACCGGCACTTCTCAGGACATTTTAGTATGAAAGCAAAGGCAGTTAACATGGGCAACGAAGATGCTTTACACCAGGACTACTTCTATGTTTCCAATTCGACCGCGGTGTATACGCAAACCCACCCGAAGCACTTGGCTCGAGAAAGGCAGGCATCCTCTTTCGTGGATTATGTTGCCAAATGTAAAAATAACTCAAAAACACTTGAGAATGATTTATGCTCAACCTTTTGCAAAGGATTTCACAGCAATAGGTGAACAATGGAAAAAGTAAACACTGTCGCGCAAGCCTGCGCTGCTGGGCGATGGGAGCTCCTCCTATTAATCTGGACTGCTTGCGAATTCTTGTTCTCGCGAAGAGCCGTTGCATTATTAATGGACAGTTGACAATACCTTTGGGAAGGAAGTCATGAAGAGGCAGGTGGTTTTTACATTTTGCTTGTAATTTGCACAACACCGGGGCTGCAGCCGCACAGGACCTAGCTTGCGGAGAAGGGAATCTTTTGAGAGGTCAGAGGTCAGAACGAGCACACAAAAGAAACAGTTTCTTGCTGACAGACTGCGTGATTTGATGTGCAGCGAGATATGTTTTTGAAAAAGGACTCGCGAGTCCAACGTGTGCACCGTTCGTATAATTTCCTTGGGGACAAATTTCACGACGTTGAACAATGGACGTTGAAAACGTTCATCTCATTTTTTTCTGACCGAACACTTCTCTCAGTTGTGTGGCAATTTTTTGTTTACATATATGTAACCAGCGTGACAAATCCGCTTTCCATTGCTGCAGATTGCATAGACACCTTTCAGAAAACACATTATGAGAAGCTCAACCAAGTGCTGTTCGAGCCCTCTCCGATCTCATCGCCATGGTCAACCCCGTGGGTCTTGGCAGGGTCGTGATGTCGCGCCGTTGTTGCCTTTGCACGTGCTGTAGGTGGTGTTCAACGGAACTGAGCTGAGCCATCCTTTCGGCCTGACACACCACGGGCAGTACCTCTTCTGGACCGAGTACCGCCTGGGATCCATTTACCGCTATGACACCATCAGCAAAAACGTCACGCTCATCATGGAGGGAAATCCGCCAAATTTCGGCATCCGCGTCTACGACCGCAACCATCAGCAAGGTAGGCAGCCCCCTGCTGCCTGCTGGGGTTTTCGTGGGCATGTGTTATGTTGCGGTGTGGCCTCTAGGGTTTTTCAACCTACAGTACCTTCTGTACAAAATCAGTTTCCGTCCAATACCTGTCACGTAAACCACACGGCCTTCTGGGAGTGCATTATTTCAGTCGCATTTCTTCAACGCAAGTAAACTCTGGACCGGTTTCGACATTCATCGTCTCATCAGCAGTTCCAGACTTGCTTTAACCGATGGTGTTGAACTACCAAATGATTATCGGCAAGGAACCTCTCTGTGAGTGTTTTGTGCTGAACAATGACTCCGGCTGTGGCAAAAGATTTGGCATTCGTTGGCCGTGGTGAGGGCGCCATGTTGTGTGTGCAGGTATAATCGTGACGCAGTACACATCATAATCATTATGTAATATTACGCATGACTAAGGAGGAGAGCCAATTGAGGAGAGTGCATCATTCCTGAATTAAACCGTACAATCATGTGGAAGTCCTTGTGGCTCCATAGGGTTAGGCTTTGCACAAGGCGAGCTTCAAAAGGGTTAGGCTTTGCACAAGGCGAGCTTCAAACGGCTAAATCTGTCATTTTCTGAATTGAGGTGCGCGGTTGGTGCAGAGGCCCCATTCGGAGTAAGCGATTGTAATGTGCCAATTGGGAATCATTGGTTTTTACATTAGAGCTGGCGGTTGTTTAAGTTCTGTTTCGTGGCAAAAATAGGCACACTTCTTTCTCTTGTTTGTCTCTTTTATTGAAATACAAATGCCACCTTTGATTTTATAATACTAGCATTTCCCCAAAGAGAAGAGTACAAGGGGCAATAAACAGTTAATAAATTTGTGTTTGCACAGTCCCCGAATACCTCTGTGCACCGATTTAGCATCTTGATTTTATTTCTTTGCCCGAGTGTCAGCGACGTTGGCCCTGTTGTCGCACGCATTACGCACGGCCCAGCCGTCAAACTCGGCCGCTCAATAAATCTGTGTGCTGCAGCCTCATTTGCACCCTTCAATGCGCTGCTGGTGGAGCTGTTCGTTTCACTCTCGTCACCGTGTATTTTTGTGTCCAGGTGGGTGTAAAATAAGCCGGGAAGGCCTTTCGATCGGTTCCTCTGCTGAGTAGATGCGCAGACCCGTTTCTGCCCTTTTAGTGCGTAGCCTCGGGGTTGTCGCGAGTGCCAGCACGTGGGAGCACACGGCTCATTCTTTAGCTACCACGTAGTTATCTGGAGCAGAAAACGATGTTGGTGCGTACATAAAAGCCTTTCGCCCAATGGTGACCATTATAGTATTTTCTCAGGGACACATCTTAGTGAGGACAGCATGCCCTGGATAAAAATCGCAAATAGCACACTATTATATTTTGCACATTTTAGCGGCATCTGTTACAGACATAAAGGTTTTTTTTTAAGGCGTTCCTGTTAATGTTTTTTTTGTATATTGCCGATTGTGAAATGAATATTTTTGAATGGCACACACGGAAAATGATTTGTTTCAAAGTAGAGAATACGCGTGACGTCATGCGCCACTCTCATCATGCCAGCTCGAGCTTGCAGCCCAGTGTTGCCCCTTCCTACTTGGCTTCTGTTCAGTTTGCCGACACAGAGGTTGCTGATTAGTAATTCAGGCCTTCTGTGAAGTTTGTGACGCAGATTCTTTTGCCGAGGAGTGATTCGGTCTTTCAAATGGCAGGAGACACTGAGCTGGTACGGCCGAGATCTTCCTGGTTTCAAACCTTAAGCTTCGGCCACACGTAATTAAAACGGGTTGTCAGGTGCAGTAAATTGAAGCTCTGAGCCCTGTCACCAGTGGTCGCACACGTATTAGCGTCATATTAAATGTGGCTCTCAGCGTTTTCCAAATGCATGTGTTACGTGATCAACACTGTTCGCAGGACATGAAGGAGGACTGCCTATTGTCGGCGCAGAGAGGCCTCTTGGGCGAGTGCGAGTACAGGGTTTGTCTTTTAAAAGCGCCGCATCACCTTCCAGGGGGTGTTTTCTCATATGTGATGTGATTGTTATGAGCATTCAGGTTGTCAGAGATGAGGATGTTGCGGTGGATGTTGGGGTTTAACAAGGAAGGACAGGGTGAGAACTGAAGAAATGAGAGGAAGACTCGAGATGGTAGAAATCACAGAGAAGACGAGAGAGAGATAAGGCTGTGGGTGTGGTTCGGTCACGTGGAAAGACAGCGGGGAAATTACGTGGGTCAGAAGGTGGCAAATGATGCAAGTTGGAAGGAAAGAGACGAAGAGGAAGGCAGAACAAGAGGTGGGGGGGCGGGGGGGGGCGATGTGGTGCGATCGGACCACGGTGGCACGAGGAACGGAAATTGAGATGGCGCAGGAGAGGGCAGCGTGAAGGTTGGCAAGGACAGCGGGACACCGCGCACGAGCGGGACAGACGCGTAGGAAAGATTCACGATGTCAATTGTATAATCCGGTGACATTGATCAATTCAATAACCAGACTCAACACTTTTATTTTCCAAATCAGCTATGAACGATGACTCCTGCGCATCATATGAGGAAACGGAGACATAGGGAATGCGTATTTTGTTATATTTCAGTTGTATGCTTCTTAATACGGTGATCGGTCATTGTTGTTGTGTCTATAGATCTGCGAGTAATTGTCTCACGCGCTGTACCATATTGCATGCGTTTCGAGATGTGATGGCGCATGACAAATTTTAGCCGCCAACGACGACGTAGCTGGATGCGGACGCCTTCCCGCCCGTGCCGACAGGAACCAACAATTGCTCGCGGAGTAACGGAGGCTGCGGTGTCCTGTGTCTCGCCATCCCGGGGGGCCGGGTCTGCGCCTGCTCCCACGACCAGCTCCTCGATGGCAACAACTCGACTTGCAGCGGTGGGTGGCCGCCGGCCTCGGCGGAGGCTCGTCGTGACGGTTAGACGTAGGCAGCGGTTCATTATGTGCGAGACACTCACTGTGTGTGTGTGTGTGGGCGAGTAGTATAGATGTCCCGACGCAGGAGCCACCCTTAACGAGTCTCGGGACTCGGTTGAGCTTTCCTGAATAAATGAAGGACATTCCTTTGACTCTGCGATGTGAGAGGATGTGGAACATCTATTCCCACTTTGTTTAGAAATTGGATAATTATTTTTTTTACACGTTATTTCTACTTGCAAATAACCCAGGTCGCTCTTGCAAAAGCAACAATGTTATTTTATGTCTCTCAATAGCTTTATTTCATCTCCTGGTTCAACATACGTACACGGGGTGGAGTGGCGGTGCAGTGGTTAGCATGCTGGTCTCGGAACACGATGCACATGAACCCCAAAGGGTTCAAATGAGTGAGACCTTGGGAAAAGCCCAAAAACTGAAGCAGAAACCCAAGAAATTGGGAGGGAAACCCGAAAAAACCGTACCACAGAAACATTTACCTGTCAGGCAGGTGAAGGCATAGTCCACTCTTTAATAAATCAGAAATATCCTAATGTACAACACCACTGAGTGAACAACCCAAGAGCAGATGAGAACAGCCTTGGAGAGTTTTACGTTTGCCGTTTTTTTTTTCTTCCCCTCTCTCATAAAAACGCCGTGAGCAATGACAAAACGTTTTGCAGTTGACCCTCACACAAGACCCGAAGCACCTGCGGTGGCGGTGGCGACTGCGATAAACAGTGCCGAGTATCGCTTTCAGGTGAAACCTACAAAACATGCGACAGGAGCAGTTGCGCGGCCGTGAGGCACTCAAAAAATTGCATAAAAGCTCGCTAGTCTCGCGACGCGTACGCCCGTGGGTATGCACGTGGGACGTCTTTCGCACCGCACGTGGCACGCCGTGCCCACCTCGCCATCACGCTGCCCTCGCTTGGGCATCGCACCCACCGCTGGATTCGCGTCCGTGGGCGGTCACGGCCGCGGTGAAGCGGCGGCCGCAGCTAAAGCCCTCATCCGCAAAGCCATCGACTTAGCGGATCTCGTTGCGCTTGCCGAATAGAACGAAGCGCAGAGTCCAAAAAAAAACGCGCTGCGGTCTGGTTTAAGTGATTTGTGCTTATCCATTCCTTAATATGTTTCCATGGGATTCTGCTGTGGCGTCACGGTGAGCACACCCTGGGATTTAGAGGCCGCCAGTTTGATGTTGTCTTCGGGCACAACGGCTGATAACATGGGGACAAGTTTCTCAAATGTGTCCCGGTCTCGTCTCTCTTCATCCAGCAGCACGACTGGGTATTCCACTGTCAGTTGACCTTCAGGTCCTCGTGTGGCCGGGTAGAGTGTGGGGGTATGGTCACCTCTTCCGACGTGTCTGGTGAGTGAGAGAGTCGACCAAATACCCTTGAGAATTCACTTTAGTTTGCCTTTCTGCCAGCAATGCCATGAACAAGCAACTGCAGGGTTGCACTTTAACCTTTACATATTTCCTGTTTTTTTTCCTTCACGGAGTTTGTTCAACTCAAAAACTGATCTTTTCAATATCTGACAGCTCATATTTTCCCGTGGCTGCCGATGCTGAGTAAACATACGGTATGATTTAGGCGATAATGAACATTGGATGTAATGTATATAAAATTCAGATCGCAAAGACAGTTTGCTACGGTGCTTTGTTCTTGACGTGCATTAATAGCAGCAACTAACAATTCAGAATACTGTTTAAATAATTGGTAATAATTAGGATCTAGCAAAAAAAAACAAGCTGGTCTTTTGTATGCCACAGCAGTGCATCTGCCCGTATCTTCAGAGTCCCCAGGTATAAATATTACATCTGCAGAATGCCATTTGAGCCCCACATTTTATGCAGTTCCCAGATTTAAAGCAGTCTCAATCATTACTTAAGAGTCAGTCAGCGTGTCTGTGTGTTTTAGTAACAATAAACGAGTATTTAAGAGTGCCTGAGAGAAAAGAGCCACACAAGTCTCTCGGGATGGTCCGCTCTCCGTATTGTAATGTTGTGGAGGGGCTATCAATGTAATCGGCAGCCCATGCCATGAAATATTTTGTGGATTCATAGTGGCACCTGAATCTTTGGCTTTGCACTCATACGTTACAATTGAAAACTGCCTCGTCGGTCATTGGAACGATGATTAGTGGCCGTGTGATAAATACTGACGGTTATGATGTTTGTTGTTAAATCTTGAATGTGGCCTTCACAATGAAATCAATGAAAACCTGTTTTCTCCCTCTAAAACTTTATTAAACCTGACGCCTTGCAGGGAGGTAGGTTTTTTTTCCGTCATAATAGTGGTTTGTCCACCAATGCACGCGCTGGCATGTTCATTTAAAAAATAAGCGCAACGGCTACCGGAAAGAGCCGAGTGGATTATGTCCATTAGCAAGGACAGCGTCGAGATATGTAGTCAATTAAACATACCACAGAATAAATGTGTGCAGTACGAGGAAAAAGCATCCTTGACCCCAAGTGAAGGCACCGAGACGGTTTGGCTAAATTCTCGAAGTGCGACGCCGAGCACGTTAACTAAAAACAGCACAGGAAGACAAATGTACAAATTAGCTTGCACTGCAGCAAGCGGGCCTCGAGGCCTGGCGGGTTAAGCCTTTCCTAAATTAATTGTAGCCGCTGATGGACGACAATAAAGCTGCATGGGGGGCAATGGCGCCCTGAAGGTTCATGCATTTCAACATCTCTGTGCGTGTGGATCATGGGGCTGGCCAAAGCACGAACTGCTGAGGTCACACCGCGGCATTCGGCCTGAAACAACGGGTTTGTTCGACGTCTCGCAGTAAAAAAAAAGGACGTTTCATAAACATTCTGCGATTGCCCTCGGCGAACCCGCCGAATTTCAGAAACGTGCTTTGGGTTTAACCTAGTTTTTCGTATCGTGCACCCACGTTCATTTTTCACATTGTATGCGTGCCCAGAGGCTACAGCAATGGGGCGTTCAGATGGGGTTTTTTTTAGTAAAGGCATGCGCGTTAAATAAACATAAGGAAATGTATCACGGGCGGCTTAATGCAAAACCACGACTACCCCACATTTGTGAGCAGTGGGGAGGGTGAGCGCGGCGGTTCGCCGGCGTGGTTGAGCGCCAACAGAGTGAGGCGTTTGTGGTGCAGCTGCACTGAGCGGCTCATAGAGTCCGAATCTGTATTAAGACGAGAGGAGAAGGAGGAATCCGATGGGCTATCAAGCTCTTTTTCACAGATGCCCAGAATCAGAACGTTTGTTTGATACTGGAGGAGTCCGATGCCACTGCAGCGCAGCCGTGCACGTCTCGGCGTTACGCATTTCCGATTTTTGCACACTTTCTGCAGAGATCCATTGTCAGGCTACACACAGTTAGCGTGGACATTCCCAGGTACATGCGGAATAAAGGGAAAAGTGCAGCCCCTCCAATGTTTGCTCACGCCGCTGTTGGTGAAAGAGCCTTTCAAGAGTGTGTTTGGCCTACTCTTTCATACTGGCCACGTGTCTTGGAAGAGTGGGAGTACCCACTCATTACCCCAGCCCCACCCACTGTGACGTGCCGACTCACAAAAACAAGAACGAGGTTGAGCTACACACAGCGTCTTGTTGTACGTATGTATGTTGATCTTCTTTCCCACCGTACATAGCCAATCGTGCTAATCAGAGGTACGGAGGAAGGAAAACTAGATATCTTGGATGTAATGGGGTTGTTGTTTTTTCATATTCGCTATGTTTATGGTAGTCGTGTAGGTTGGCATCATCCCACGATCGGATGATATATCGTGTTCAATTGTCAAAATGATAATTATTTTTATCCATTGTGCACGCAGAAAAAAAGCATCCTCAGAATTATTGTAAACCAGACAGTATCTATTGACAAAACACATCCAAAATTGTACGCATGAAATTATAATTGATTTGTACATGCATGGTGGAGTAGACTTCTTGTAACAATAATAATCATCGATTTTAATTTGATGTTTTGATGAATTGTTACGTCCCTGCTGCCCGCCATAAATCACGTACGTTGTAGTGCACCACCAAATATGACTTCGTTATGTCAATTGTGTTGCACACCTAGGATGTCATGTTCGTTATTGTGAAATATTGCCTCGTTTATTTTGCATGGCCATTCCATTGCAGGCCGTACACATGGGAGGGTTCCGGGGCTGACTGGACCGCCGGCTCGCACACTGCTCAGACAGTGATGTGGGTTTCAGTTATAGATTTCATTTTACAACGACGCAACGCTCGGCATAGCCGAACACCGACAATTAAACACTGGGATAACCCAAAGGGTATCCAAATCGTGGGACTGAATGATGCCAGGGATGAACAAATTAAATGTCAAAAAAATTGATGAAGCTGTGGTTTTAAATGCAGATGAGGAAATTCTATCTGAACCAGGACGGAAGGCAATGAGAAACTCGAGGCAGGGAGTCAATATCACCACCAATGCAAAGTGTGACTTACAGGGAAAATACGAAGCAGCCATGGAAATGCCTCAAGGTTAAACGAAGCAATGCAATCATACACAACAAATCACCAACATGGCATATTGAATGGAAGGACAATGCTTCAAAACAAATCTTCTAAATGCAGAAGTGTTGTTTATTTTTGACTGAAGGAAGTCAAATCACTCAGGTCATTCCACATTAAGACGGTATAATGTCCAAATACACACCATCTGCCAAGTTATCTTACTCACAACTACAATAATGCTTCTAGATTTGAAGTTTTCGTGACTGCAAGGATTCATTCACGTAGGTAATTTTTTTTTAAATAAATTAAATTGCGACGTTTCGGGCACAACACAAGCGTCCTTCTTCAGGTGGGGATAACTTAGCGAAAGCACACACCACTTAGGCGGTGTGCTTGCATGGCGCCCGAAACGTCGTGATTTACTTTATTTTATTTTTTTACCTACGTGACTTTACCGAAAAAAACAACGAGTACAATAATGCTTATTTTTGAGGGAAAAAATGAACGGAAAATATATGTTTACATAATACAGTACCATATCTGTCTACAGGAAAGCTACCCATACAGATGCTTACCTGAAACCGGATTCCCACCACTATCCACCCCAGAAGAATTCCCTCATCAAGACTCTGCACCATAGAGCCCAATGCATATCCGACCAGGAACAAATTGCCAGTGAACTCAAGCACGTACACCAAGCTCTTAAGGCTAATGGTTACTCCGACTACACAATCCTCAAAGCTATCACTCCAACCATGAAGAAGGACCCTCTTGAGGAGCCTTTCAAAACCATCACTTTACCCTACATTGCGGGGATCACAAATAAGATCTCCAAAATCTTGAATAAACACAAGATCCAGGTCCGATTCAACACATTACATAAAATCCGTGATCTGGTTCCGTCTGTAAAAGATGTGATTCCGGACATAAAGTATCCTGGCATCTACAAACTAAGTTGCCTCTGTGGTAGTAGTTACATTGGAGAAACCAAACGACATGTCTCAGACCGCATCCGTGAACACAAAGCAGACCTAAAACACGGTAGGACCAACAACTCGGCCGTGGCAGATCACCGTTATTATTAAGTAGGCTCACATGACATTGACTTCTCCAAGACAGAGGTTCTCTGCAAGCCATCTGGCTACCATGAGAGATTCGTTCATGAGGCTATCCACATATACAAACACAGAGACAATTTCAACCGAGAAGATGGATTCTGGCTTAGCAATCATTGGAAGGTTTTGATAAACCATTTCGGGTCTTAATTGATTGTTCACGCTTACAGTGGCTTTCAGACCGCATCCATTATTTTCGTCTTCCCCCTCCTCTTTTCCGAACATAGATGGACTCGTCCATCTGAATAACTGCCAAATCGCTCTCCGTGGTGCTAACGTTAAAAAAAATCGCCACTTTTTTCAAATTTTCTTTCTGTGGTTTTCACACCTGGTGATGATTGCTTGTGTTGCAGTCGAAACGTCGCGAAAATTTTATTGTTTTATATTTTTATTGTTTCCCTTCTACGTGACTTTACCGAAAGAACCAAGAATACATATCACAGTACATTTAAGTGTCCCACGTATTGCAGCGGAGATCTGACATGCCATAACTAATTTAATGGTGGAACCTTTGATACAGATAACAGTTAGCTTCTACATGTGATCAAAAGACTCTGTTCGTAACATTGGTCAATGTACCTCATCATATATCTTATTGCATATTAAAGCATAGCTCATTTTTTTACTCTCTAAGCACACATTTCCATTTACTTGATCTCTACTGTAGCTGTAATGTTACGTTCGTTTTGACAGTAGCAATCAATATTAGAAGATGAACTTCCAGTGCCACATGTAAGTTTATACTCCACGTGGCTGTTGAATTCTTCAATGGAGCTCCGACGAGGATCATGTCGCAACCATGACCCAAGCTTCCCGTGAAAATATAACTCGTTAAAATTAAATACAAAAATAAGCATTTGCATTGTTGTGGAAAGTATAAGTAACAAAATAAAAATAGTAAACAATACGCCTCCTTCAACTACGGTATCTGTCCCTCCACATAAAAAGTTAGGCTTAATTTACACATCTCATCGGCCACACGGGGTTCTGGGTTTCGATTTATCATCAGCGTTGGTTTAATCCAAGCCAACAACTGGACCGGTATCGACATTCAGTGTTTCATCAGCAGAGTCGGGCTTGCTTGAACTGATCCTGGTGGACTCCCCTCGTTCTCATAATTGTTTGAGCCCTCGATTCTGTTTAGCCCGATCTGTTTCTCCCTGTGGCGAACAGCACAAAAGTGGGCACAACCTTGGGATGGGGGGAGAGTGGATGAATAACAGAGACGAACGTTGCCTGCAAAGTTTCCGCGTGGTTGACAACTCAACTGGGTTGGTAGACACGGTATAGGAGCCAAATGAATGCCTTAACAGTTTAAATGTCTGTTGAAAATCACTGAGGCCAAGGGAGTGGGACACTCGAAGATGACACTTGATATGTGGATACAATGTCTCCACATGGTTTGGTAATCATTAAGTTATATTTTTTTACCATTAATAACGTGGGTTTTTTTTCAATTTAACTCTCATTGCACGTGAATTGGCACACATTAATTACGAATGAATAGTCGTTTAGAACAAAAAAAACATTTTAATCTGAACCAGAAAATCTACCCCATCTCATTCTGGCATCCATCTAGGTGATCTCATGCCCCGAGCTACTTATATAGACAACTATTCAGAAAGCACCAATTTTACTGATAAATGCACACCATCACCATACACAACCGTTGGTCTCTACTCCAATGCGCTTTGCCTAACCACAAAAAGCACTGCCGTTTATGCCAACATTACATTAATCCCATGAGTGGGTTACTCCTTCTCTCCTGCTGCTCGTATAGTCTGGAATATTATTCTCCTGGCTGTCTTTCTCTCACTCTGTTACCCATGTTTAAATCTAAATTGAAGATCTGTCTTGTTTCTAAAGCATCCCAACATCGTTATTGAATGTTTTTTTTTCTGTACCTGGCAATGTATTGTCCTGTATGTACGTACTGTAATGTTGGCTATATGTATATATACACACACACATATTACTATTATCTAAATAATTAGTGATGGTATGCACGCTGCTTTTTTTGCAAAATACAGGTGATTATATTTACAGAAGTTAATTGATTCCCTGGTAGACCTTCACCGAGACAAATGCACATCTTTCCAGCTGCTGCGCATTAGTCCTCGGCTTCCGAGGGCCCCAGAGTCCAGCCCCTGGGATGTGTCGCAGGTGACGTGGAGATTTGCATGAATTATGGAAATGCAGGGAATAGGCGAGGGCAGGCTGCCTGCAGATGTCTAATAGCCAAACCTCGCCGCCTTTTCCCCGGTGTCAACATTGAGATAAACGGGAAAAAAATCACTCTGCAGGTCTCACGAAGCAGGGCATTACGACTGGCGCCAGTCCAGATGGTCTGTGTTCAGAGGCAGGGTAATGTTTACGCGAAGGAGTGTGTACATTGCATTAAAATCCATAAACAAGCTACACTGATGTAATATAATTACACATATAAAGGGACATCTGCAAAAAAAAACCCCACAAAGTTAAAAAGTAGTTGTACTTTTGCTTGGGTGTGAAATTCAAGACCCTGGCTTTTGAATGAATATTTCACACGGCACACCATTGCGTTATTGCATTCAGAATATGCCGCCTCTAGAACGGGCAGATTGCATTGTTTCAAGACCTCGAAGCTGGTATTAAATGAAATACAATTCTGTTGAATCGTAATTTTGCAATCTTCAAGAATACTTGGCGAGCTCCACGCTTCTGCGACACCAGCCTAACGAATTACATTGGAAGTATTTATTTTATTGAACAAAATTTCCGATTTTACAAAACGAAAAGATTCAATAAAAGAGTTTTTTATATATATCAGGAAATCCTTAAGTCGTTCAAGTTATAAATCAATGTATTGCCTCGCTTATTTTGCCGTTAGTTTAAAGCATCCGTTCAGTTTCATTTTTGGTGGAGTGCATTGGGTGCAAGTCAGGCATGCAGTGGCACATGGTGGGAAAACGAATACCTCAAACACATATATAAGCCCTGCTCTATTCAGCTTTTGCAGATTTGCCGGTAATAACATTCTTCTTCAGCATCGCTGCGTAATATTTGTGTGGCTCAAGATTACAAACCCGACTAAAGGGGGGAGGGTGGTGGAACAGAAAGTAAAAAGTAAGCGCCGCAAATGTTTTATGCAAATTAAACACATTACAGCGACGTCTTCACAAACGACGATAGGTACGAATAATAATCAGCGGTGAGGAAATGAGGTTTCTGCTTTAGAGCTGAATTGTTTAATTCTGGCTGCTTGTCCGCGCCGATGGAAGCGACCGTGAGACTGGCTAATTCTGATGCGGTGCATGGATCTCCCTGCCGACGGCGCGGGGCGGGGTCTGTGGCGCTGTGACACGCGCCGACTGCTGATGCCGCCACACAAAGGGCCATGGCCTATCTGCCACGCGCTGTAATTTACTGGCCGATGAATGTGACTGCCGGTGATAGAGGCCTCTGTTTCCTATTCAGTCCAGGCTCCCCCCCCCCCGCCCCCCCCCCCCCTGGACAAGCGAGGCAGCAGATAGCAGCTGCCAAAGCCGCCAGGGAACAGTTAAACCCGCTTTAACCATTTACGAGATGAAATTGATGTTGGCCCTAATGAAAGGAATAGTTTTAAGTCGTTCATTCGGCTACGTTTCTGGATATTTTTTTAGTACGTAAATAAAATCACGTCTGTTAGCTTACGTGAGTTCATTTAATTGAACGATTCTACAAATGTAAAAACTAGTTTTGAAATACAATATCACTGGAAAGTGTTGTAACTGACGTTTAACATATGTAAACATAATTCAGATATAGCTCTTATATAGGTAGATCATTTAAACCATTGTAAATACTCTCTTCAGAAAATAATCGAATTTAGTTTGGTATGGTAGGATTGGGCAGAACGCCTGAGTCAAAGAACACCTCGTCATCCCCGTAAACTTTTGTTACATAACAAAACAAATGCAATTCGTTTATTTGACCCGCTCCTCCACGTCCTTTCCAAGGCTGGGCTGGCGGTAGGGTGCCCACGTGCGACAAAGACGACGATGGCGCCCAGCCGTGGAGCGAGCCGGCAGTACCCCGGCACCCAGAGGCTGCCGTGCGGGACAGAGTGGCCGCCAAATACCTCTCGGCCTGAGCATCGGGCAGTCGCCTCGCGTATCTTTCCCTGGCCATCTCCCCCCCCCCCCCCCCCCCCGCAACTTGACCCTCTCTAACCACCCTTCAATCCCATCCCCATGCAAACCCCCACCTACCCCCCCCCCCCCCCAATTTTTTGTGTGCAGTAAACCCAGGGTACACGCCCCCCTCGTTCTGCCCCACCGGGAGTTTTGCCTGCAAAAACGGACGCTGCATTCAAGACCAGTGGCGATGCGATGGTGACAATGATTGCCAGGACGGCAGCGATGAGCTCCCTGAGATCTGCCGTACGTCACGCACCACCTTTTGATTGCGCATATCTGCCCTCTCTGAGCCAGTAATGCTCTTGAGTGTATATATATATGTGTGTGTCTGCGCGCACAGTAATGGCTCCCTTCACAAACACAAAAAAACCCTTTGCACATTGTTGGAAAGCAATTAAGAGGCAATGTTCACATGAAGGGGTTGTCTTTATAATGCACGCTAAAAGATGGACTGCTTTAGCTGGGAGGGAGAGCAAGTGACTGGGGCCTTGTGAAGATTTTGGTGACATTACGTGAGCTGCCTTTGTGCCGGTGTCTTCCTCCGTGCGCTGTAAAGCCTTGCGCCGTGGGTGTCCTTTGCGCCTGGGTGGGAGCTGCTGCTGATGATGACGACGACGATGATGGAAGTTCATGTTTCCTACCATGGCGTATGCAGAAGGCGGCTTGATTAATTTTCTTTCGTGATATTTATCTCTGGAAAAGCAATTACGGCCCCAGTTTTGCAGTTTTGTATTGGCATTTGGTTATTTGTGACTGTTTAAGGCCCTCGCGCCGAGAGCCACGTAGAGATTACCGGTCTGCTCGTTTTGTAAATTAATTAAAATGCCCGACGCATTACCACACCGTCTTCAGACATAGGTTAATTTGAGACCGGAGATATGCGGATGCTTCTTTAAGAAACGTCCTCCCTGAGTGCCGTCAGACAATTTGCGACGTCTGCTGTCCTTCGCGGGTGAGTTTACGGTGCGCGCTGGTGCCTTCCACGGACGCATCGTGCCTCAGTCATGCATCACCGCGCATGGCACAGCGGCTGCCAGGAAAGCTCCTGCGCTCTGCTTCCAATGCCCTGAAAAGGCGGAGGGTTTGTCATGTCTGTTTTAATCGTATTATGAAGGGAGCTGCAAGATTGCAAGGTTGGGCGGTGGGCGTTCGTCATTTTCTTGCCGGACTGGGACACAGATACACGGCACGAATGCATCAGTGCAGTGATGTGTGAGTCTGCCAGGGTGACAGGGATGTTGTCCAGAATGATGGCACGTTGGCAGGTGATTTGCGCGTCGTTATCAACAATTGCACACATTTTTTTCAAATGCTTTGGGAAATCACCGCACCATCAGATTGTCCAAAATGCTAAGCAGCTGTAGCACAGGTTTAAGTGGGGAGTTGATCATTAAAAAATTAAAGCATTAAAAAATGTCATGCTTTTTGTCAGCCTATCATGTATAAAATATCTTCATATGCAGTCATGTTATGTTAGAAAGGAAAGTAAGAGTTTAATGCGAAATAAAAAAATGTATCGAGCAGGACGAAAATTCCCATTACGAGTGTGTTTGAACGCAGATATTCCAGGAAATGTTGCGTTTAATTGCAAGGCCATTTAATATTAAAATATACATTGTGCAGTTACATTTTGCAAGGTAAATTGGTACACTTCAAAGTACATGAATATTCACCGGTTTCCCGGAGTGGGGAGCGTTAGGCATGGAGTTGAGGTTTAAATTTGCATCAATTACGTTTGAGCCGTACGCCATCACTTTGTAATGTGCACGCAACGTCTGCGTGCCGCTATTTGCCATTTTTTGTAACGGAATCAGACTTCTAATGAATCTTTTAAATTACATTCATCGTCATGCAATTTGCCTGGTGACATTTCGAATGTGCAATTTGCATTTTGACATACAAGATGAACGTTAGATAAATGTTTAGATAACTGGATGTGTGTTATTTGAAAGTGAATGCGCCTGTCTCTAGGAATGAAAATTATTAGGTTGCATAGAACGAGACATGGAGACGCTGATGATGAGTGTGACTGGATGTGCCTTTCCCTCATTGTCATCTCTTGAAAATCAACAAATTCCACTTCCCATTTCCATAAAAAGCAGTGCAATTGTCATGGCAAAGATGGTAAAACAGGAACCCACACGGCACAACCATCATTGAATACATTTATCCTTACCAACTGAACATGATGCAGAATATTCACAATTTACTTTTTTGTAGCTTGAGTATGCTAAGCAGTAATGTATTAATCGTCTATATTGTTGTGGAACTTTGTCTCTAATAGTCCAAGCACACCACAGCAAGTGGAGTAGACAGAGAAGAATGGTGTGAGCAGAAATGAGCTGCACTGAGCAGTATCTGTATTCACAGTAGGCGGGGAGAGTGGACAGATTCAGAGTGAGGGTGGTTACATAGAAGCCACGTGATTTATGGAAGCTGTGAGCTTATATAGATATATATTCATAGATTTGCTTTTCAAGTATATTTTATTAGATAAATACACTTGCAAAATTGGCAGCTGTCACTCAGTGACTGCAAACGCCAAACAGTCTTAGTACGTGCTGATACTTTTCTTTGTAACCTTTTTACATTGTATTCACTTACGGTGAAGGTTCATGGAAAATGCATTAAAATATCTGACAAAAATTAGCCAGCGTGCAAATTAATCATTCCAGTTATTACTCTGCTGGGTTAAATTGGTGTTCTCAAATGACCAAACAAAAAAAAACACGACCCAAAAGAGTTTCCAAAATGTTAGTGCACAAGTACAAATCAAAGTTAATGTTCAGACCCAGAGTGTTAGGACGATGCAGCCCTAGGCCCTGCTGTGTGTGTGGACGTCATTGGCCTGTCTTGAAAGTGTTACTCGGTGCAGTCTCAACATCATCATCATCATCACCCATCCCCTACAATTATAGTAAATAATAAAAATAATGTCCATGGTTTTTATATTTTCCAGGAATTATTCAATCATGAATCCACGCATCTACATGAATGTATCTTGAATCACGATGGCTTTCTTGGGCAAATACATTGGAATATTGTGGGAAAGTCTGATTTTAAAATATATATTTAAAGAAGAGTCCAGCTTTGGATACTTGGTCTCAATTATATTTGTTTTGTGTAGTTTAACCTCGTTGAAAGTTGGTGTTCCCAGAGAGATATGAGGGAATTACTCGAAAAAAGTTGGCACTGATGGATCGACAAATAACCTTTTGTACTGCATTCTATTGGCCACCATATAGCCCTGTTGGTGTGCATGTTTCGCAACAAACTCTGGAGGATCTGTCACTATTTACACAAGGCAGATGGTGCCTGCTGCTGGGCCATTACTTTTTTGTGGTGTTTTTTTTTTCCCTGTGTTGTGAAAGGTCAAAAAATAATCGACCGTGGATTGTGTATCTCGCAGAGCCTTGGATGAGCATGCGTTCGCGCGTACACACACACACACACCTTCCCCTGTGCTATGCAGAGCAGCACACTTGCATCTCCGACCGTTTCAAATGCAAAAACAACCGCTGCATTCCTATGCGGTGGCTGTGCGATGGCGACAACGACTGCGGGGAGAACGAGGACGAATCCAACACCACCTGCACCGGTGAGGCCCCCCCCCCCACGAGCTGCTGCGGCGATCACTGCTTCCCGCGGTCGCTTCGAAGGTTGTGCTGCGCCTCGGCCAGCCTTCACAGCGATGACACAGATCGCGGCGGCGATGGTTGTGCGCGTTGTCCTGACGAGTCCTAGCAGTGATCAGCGTTCCTGTTGACCTGCTGTTTGCAACAACAACAACAACAACAAAAAGGGGGTCACCCTTTTCAGCTCTTTTTGAGGTGGCGGGTATCACAGGCCGCGTGCAGGATATATACACGCGCTGCGAATTGTTTTGACGTGTGCGAAGCGTGCCGACAATTCTCGTTGTTCGAGGTTTGCTTTTCAAAAACATTTCTTTCACGTCCATGGTGATTATTGTTATTATCAAAGGTGGCAGTGTGTGGACACGTGATTTTGAACACGAGGCGATGCTGCCTGAACGTGCGTGGGGTAATGTAGAACGAAAGGAACATGAGCCGTGCATATTCAGACTTGCCGTAAAATGTTACTATTTTATTTTACCAGGTAAGGCCCACTGAGCTATCTGGCTCTTTTTTTGCAGAAGCAACCTGGCTATCATAAGTGATAGCTCAACAAATTGATAATCACGTGGAAATGTATCGCAGCCAGATACTCCAAACGCAAGGTTCTAAATGTGGAGGAAAAAACCGATTGACCCGGAGAGAAAATCCTCGCGACCACGGGGAGAACATGCAAACTCCAAATATACAACAAGCGTCAGGGTCGGGATCGAACTCACGACTTCCTGTGCACCAAACGAGGTAGTTAACATCTCCTAGCCACTGTAGCCACCGTGATGATGATGAGAGAGACACACAAACTCCAAATATACAACAAGCGTCAGGGTCGGGATCGAACTCACGACTTCCTGTGCACCAAACGACGTAGTTAACATCTAGCCACTGTAGCCACCGTGATGATGATGAGAGAGACACACAAACTCCAAATATACAACAAGCGTCAGGGTCGGGATCGAACTCACGACTTCCTGTGCACCAAACGACGTAGTTAACATCTAGCCACTGTAGCCACCGTGATGATGATGAGAGAGACACACAAACTCCAAATATACAGCAGCAGGCGTCAGGGTCGGTCTATAACTCATGACCTACTGCCTACCAGGCGAGGTAGTTAACATCTCCTAGCCACCGTGATGATGATGAGAGACACAAACTCCAAATATACAGCAGCAGGCGTCAGGGTCGGGATTGAACCCACGACCTCTTGTATACCAGGAGAGTTAGTTAACATCTCCTAGCCACTAAGGCGCCCCAACAATGCAATGTCTGTGTCAGTCCATGCTTTGGCCCTTGTAGAAGGGTGTTTCTGAAAATCACATTTACACTCCAAAATTCATGCCATTCGTATGCGATATGGGGAAGTTGCCAGGAATAGAATTTGAGAAGCATTGATGCAGAACAATGAACAGGTATAAGCAAATCACCTCTCTGCAACAGAGGTGGTTGCTATATCAATTGTTTCCCGCCTCCATGCATTTCCCAGCTTTGATGAGTTGTCTTATAATTTACCAAAAGTTTGGGATTTGAGAAAGTATTTGGTGATGCTGCATTGACAGTAGTGCACAATCGCAATGAATACATTTTTTTTAAAAAAACTCCACACACTCATCAACAAAACTGCCTTTGGAGGAAATATATAACAGGCAAGTTCGACTATTATACAGGGTGCTTCAAAAAAATTAACACTTTCGAAAATTTGCAACAATAAATGTGCCTCGTGGCTCTGCAGACCACCTGGAAAGTATTCCAGGCACGTGTTGACAATGATGGCGAACAAGTGGAGGCTCTTTGACTTTTTGACGCTCTCAACATACATTTGTTATCATGTTACAGTGTATTATCATCCGTTCTTTTTCCATTTAAAAAAAAACCGATAGTCCCAAGTAAGTGTTAACATTTTTCTTGAAGCACCCTGTAATATATATCTCACTTTCAAGGCAGCGTTAATGACGAACATGCCGAGTGTTTTTTTCCACTGGGATGAGAGAGGTGACTTCCGTGACCACCACCCCCCCACCACCACCACCCCCCCTTTGCGGTCGCGCGGCGCCTCTCGTTCGCACGAGAGTCGGCACGCCGTTACTTCACGGTGCGTCCCTTCGGCCGCCAAAGTGCCTCCCGGTCGCTCCGCTAGGCGCTGAGAAGTTGTCTGAAATTGCGTCTCGTTGTGGGGGCGAAGGCGGCGGCGTGGGGGGGGGGGGGAATAATCTTCAGCGGCAGCAGATGTGTCGGTGCCGCCGTCACCGTGGGTGACAACGCGGGCGAAGGGAGGAGTGCGGGCGTTAATTGCCGACACTCTCTGCCGACCGTGCCGGCAGCGGCTTTCACAGCCTGTCCCCTCGGAGCAAGCAGGGGGGTGGGGGGGGGGTCGAGGGGGTGATGCACCGCGCCCGCCAGATTATGGTGAAACTTCGACCCAAATGCGAGCGAGTGTTATGTCGGCTCGGCTTTAGGATGGTTGTTAAACCCTCTTTCCTTTAATCAATAATATAAGTAAGTGTCTCGTCTGAGAGTCATTTTTTTTCTTCTTTTTGACAGGATAGTTAAAAGCCTATATTTGAAGATTGCCCGATGTTTGAAAAATTGCAGCTTGGGGGAATTTGACTCGTTTAAAGCTCCCTTTGTATCGGTGTGAAGTCTTCTTCTGTGAACGTAGCTGCTCTCACGGCGAAGGTCGCAACACCCTCCCCCAGAGGAAATGAGGGTGGCTTTAGTTGAAATGCCTCGTTTTATTAGTTGATCAATAATCAATTTGTGCTATATTCCTACTTCCGACAAGCGCTCACACTGTACGCGAATCTCCAATGCTACCTGATCCTTTTTATGTCATTGTCAAAAGGCTCGAATTATCCACGCCGCCACGATGACCTACTTATGCGTAAACAAATTATTTGGTGATGCTGCTGCTGCTGCTGCGTTGGGCATGGGGGCACCAGGCACAGTTAAAATAAAAAAAATCATCACGTTCGTCAATAACACTGTGGCCTTAAAACAAAGAAATATATATTCAGCGACGTTCTGGCGATGGCCCATCTTCCTTCCTGCTCCTATTTATGTAGAAGAGGCTCCAATATCATTCACTACCTCGCCTGGTGTACAGGAGGTTCGTGGGTTCGATCCCTACCCTGATACCCGCTGTATATTCGAAGTTTGTGTGTTCTCCCCGTTGTCGCATGGATTTTTATCCGGGTCATCTGGTTTTTACCTCCACATTCAGAAACATGCGTATTTGGCTGCTATAAATTACGACATTATAAGCCAGTTTAACATTGAGGCTTTCGTGACCAATATCATCCATAATAGAGGTTTTTTTCGGGTAAGATCGCGTAAAAAATATAAATGTGTCGTTAAACCCACCACCACCCGACACAGCCAAATAGTAAGGTTTGTCACGTAAACAGAACAGCCAGCTGTCCGCCTGATGATCCTGGTTGTAATTACTGGTGAAACGTTGTATTCAGATTGTAAATGTTGTGGCTTTGCTCTCCAACACACCTGTGTGCTGTACTCGTAACGAACTGGCATGTTCTGTTTACGTGACAACCCTTACTAAATTTTGATTTAAAGCTTTCGTGACTGCAGTAATTAATATTCTTAGCTGTTTCGGTAAAGTCACGTTAAAGGGAAACAATAAAATATATATTAAACAATAAAAAAATTCTCACGACGTTTCGTCCATAACACAAACGGTCATCATCAGGTGTGAAAAGCAACGGCAAGAATATTTTTTTTTTCATTTTTAAAAATAAATAAATGCGGACCGCCACTTCTTTCAAATGTTTCTTGCCGTTGCTTTTCACACCTGATGACGACCGTTTGTGTAATGGTCGAAACGTGAGCATTTTTTTATTGTTTTATATAAATTTTATTGTTTCCCATTAACGTGACTTTGCCGAAAGAGCTAAGAATATAACCCTTACTAATTGCCTGTGTTGAATGGTGGCGGGTTTAACGACATATTTATATATTTACACAATCTAACCCCAAAAAAACGTTCATTATGGATGAGAAGCCACTTTGTTGAGCCAGATGTTATGCTGACATCGGAACAACAATCAAACGCTTCACCACACGGGAGCTCACGTGGCCTGCTCGCGGTGATTGCTGGGGCCGCGTTACGGAATCAGAATCTTTATTTTGACTGCAGGAGAAATCCGATGAGCCATGAAGCTCTTTTTCACAGACGTCCAGTATATTGTTCGGTACGGCAGCCTCTGGCTCAAGCGACGTGCGCACCTTCCCCTTAACTGTACGTATTTTTTTGGTCAGGCATTACATTTTGAAGTTGTTTTAATATTTGCCATTGGCTTTTTCGCAGTTTCATCGGGTTTGTGTAAGATATTCGCAGTCGAAATGATGCAAATTTTGCACGGCGAGCTGTAAATAACCTCCGCGTGGAACAGCCGCGGTCCCCGACTTTACACAACCTCTGACAACGGCCAGATCAAACGGGTCGCAGCGTGGCAAACCAGCTGTGCATCGTGTTGGCAAAACACCAGGAAGGCATCTATAGCAAAAGATCCATGGCATTGCCAAGAGCCGTCATCGCCAGTTCGTCGGCCATGGCACGGACATCTCCTGAGCGATCGCTGCTCGTTATACCCCACCAGCCGTGTGGTTGTGTCCATCTTATAAAGAACAAAGAAGAAGAAGAAGCGTCGTTACTTATTCGCACGGTCTGAGGACTCCTTTTCAGGAGGGTTCTGCATTGCGTGTTTTTTTTTTACGTTCAGACGTTTCCGGGCAACGAATGAGTTGTGGATACGTGTGGGAGAGCAATGGGGGGCATCCTGAAACACGGGGGGGGGGGGGGGGGTGGGGTGGGGGAGTGCATGACACAACGTGAAACAAATGGAACGATGAACAATACAATCTGATGGTGTACTTTGTCCTACCATGAATCCTTTGCTCTCACTCGCCGTGTATGAGGATAGGCAACAATGCCCGAGTCCCCCGCCACCACCCCCGCCGACCCCCTCGGAGATCACGAGGGGGTGCCTCGCGCTCACCCGCCTCTCCCGCATTTCTCTCCCTGCTGCCACCCCCCCCCCCCCCCCGACGTCTTCGTCCTCCACGCAGTGCGGACTTGCCCCGCCGAACAGTTCACCTGCGGCAATGGCAAGTGCATCCCCATTGCGTGGAAGTGCGACCTGGACAATGACTGCTCGGACAATTCGGACGAGCCGCCCTCCTGTGGTGAGTTCCCACAATCCTTTTCGTTTTCATTATGTCGCCATGCACTGACACACACACACACAACACACCTGCTGGATTATGAGGCACACCCTTAATTTTAGCATTAAAATGCAGTTGAGAAACAGTGCGCTTTTCATCAAGGAACTTTAAGCGCTGTATAGGACACAGCAGCCGCAGCAGACGCTCAGCTTAAACATAATATTGTAAATACATTTTAAGAATAATTTACTAAATGAACTAAAAGTTCAATAAACGGAAACATACAAATCGGGTTTAAGGCGCATTTTTTAAATGTCTACAGACTCATTTATCCCTGATATCTTGTGGAAGAGCGTTCCATAGCCTGGGGGCTGCAGGGGATAAATCTTGGTCACCCATAGACCGACACCTCGAGCTGGGAATGCAGAGAGAATATCTGCATCATGCCCAGATCTTAGGGATCTTGACGGGACGCATGGGTGCAGCATGTCAATGATGTAGGCTAAGGCAAGATGGTTCACTGCTTTGTAAGTTAACAATAGAATGTTAAACTGTATTCTATGTGAAACTGGAAGCCGGTGCAGGGAGGCCAAAACGGGTGTAATATAATGTGAAGTTGGTATTCCGGTTAACACCACAGCATTCTGAACATGCTGCAAATTGTTTAGCACCTTCTTAGCCACGCCAGGGAGTAGTAAGACATTACCATGGTCTATGCGAGATGAGATGAAGGCATGGACCAGCTTTTCAGCATCTGAGGCAGACAGAAGGAGTCGGATACGGGAGATATTCCGAAGATGCAAAAACGAAGTCATTGTGATCTTTTTAATTTGAGCCGTGAAGGACAATGTGGGGTCACAGATGTACGTTGAACTTCTTTCGCACCGTACGGGGGAAAGGACAACAAACTAAAGACAAAAAGCAGTTTTAAAGAAAGGACTTTTCAATCGAGATTTAAAAGTGCAGAGCTCCAGTGGCTTCCTAATATCGGGGGGGGGGGGGGGGGGGGGCGGGGGAAATCTTTATAATCCACAGAATGCGGTCATACCCAAGGTTGCGCGTAGACCATTTTTCCATATTTACAAATTGAATGAATTATACGCGTAGAGCTTTTTTCATCGTTTTTTTGTTACCCCCCCCCCCCCGCCCCTCCCCATTCAGAGGAGTAACTCGCCCCCTGTTATTCCTTTCAGCCTACCCAACGTGCCTCCCTCTGACGCAGTTTTCTTGCAACAACGGCCGCTGCATCAACATCAGGTGGCGCTGCGACTCGGGTAAACCCCAAACGCGCCGCCTCCCGGCCCTTCCAAGGCGCCTTCCTTCACACTCCGAGCCACCATCGCACGTGCTTAGCTCGCCGCTGTATTTATGAGAAGAATGAGAAGAATGTATTTGTGTGAGCCTGGTTAGAGAAAACTTTCGTCAAGCAAATTTTGACAGGTCCCCCCCCCTTCCTGGTGCATTATTGATGAGAGTTCACGCTTGACGGCAACAACAGCCCCATTTGTTGTTTGACGTTTATACTGGAGATTAATAAACGTGTTTGTAAGTTGGAACTATATGTTCGGAACGTAATGCAATGTTTGGCTTATTTAAAGACTAGCCTCTGCCGTAGAAATGCAGATATTTTTCCCACTGGCTCGATACGACAGGAATGAGTATTTGCCGCGGACATTTTTGAGCGTGGAGACACGACTATGAAATTAAATGTGCCCATAGTCCACCTCGCAAATGCACAATGGGACGTCTTAGCCATTGTGGTCACACTGCTGCTGCCTCGTGTCTCAAACCGCACGTGCATTCACAATGCAAGTTAAATATCTACCGACTGCAGGCGTAGTCGCTGACGGCCTTGACTGGACTCTCTCACATCCGGTGTGAAGCGTGTTCCGTCCACAAAAGTAACCCGTGTCGACGCAACGTCAGACTTTGACCGGTGACAAAGCGTACGTACATGCAGAATCAGTCTCCCATCTGCTGTCAACGCTTCATCGGGTGAAGCTCGGCAATTGTTTGGACCACTCGTGTGTCACCGTGCTTTGTCGTCTCTTCATAACGACGAGCTGCGATTGGCATGGCCTCACTGGTCACGTGGATTCAAAGAATGTCGCTCGTGTCCGCGTCCGGCGTCCAAACAGCCACGCTCTCCCGGACTCCTGTCCGTGTGCCTGTGGCATTGTTGTCTTGCAGATGACGACTGTGGTGATGGCTCCGATGAACATCGCTGTTCACTGTTCTACGGTAGTGCGCATAGATCACCGTGCATGGCTATGCCTGTGATTGCCGTCCGGCTAGCTACGCAGCTAATGAAGCCTGGCATGCAATTTTCGAGCAGTGTTCTCCGAGCAATTACGACAAAAAGCGGCCGATAGTATTAAATTCTCGAGACCTAATGCAATGCCATACTTTTACCCATTTGTGCTATTTTTTTGTTCATTTCTTTAATTGTTTCGCATGCTCGGGTGAGGGTATTTGAATGGCATAATTACTCCACTGCATGCAAGGGGCTTAGGGGAGCGACTTTGTGTGGACGTGCCGCGCTTCAAGTGCCGTTTTAGTGTCTTCACAGACAATGCTAATGTGACCGTGTGATCCACGTGGTTCTCAAACCATTTCAAAACCTTAACGCTATAATCCCCGTTTCTTGGAAATTATCACAGTGGAATGTGTCTTTCCCCCCCTTTCGAAAAGTAGCATGTCATAATTGAGGTACAGTCAGTGCATACCAATGTACCAATGTACTGTCTGCAGTCATAACGAAGTCATCATGACTAAATACGAATTATATTCTATCACACCGTAATTATCAATAATATATCGTATGCACGGTCTCCAATTTCAGATATGATATATTTTCAGTGTTAAGAGTACGAATACTTTTGGTAAAGGCTTGGCCGTCTTTTATGATACTTTTGTGTTTGTGAGTGCATGCATATACATGATGGTGTTTCTTGTACGTGCATGCGTATTGTGGGGCACGTGTCTATGTGTGTGTGTGTGCACTCGCCGACACGTGCCCACGTGGGACATGACATTGTTCACGTACAGCGCAGCGACGCTGACCGTGCTGTGCAGCATCAAAGTCAAAAGTACTCTCTGAGCCATCCTGGACCTCCCCTCGGGAAACTTGACTCAACACGAGCTCCTTGCCGCTGGCGACGGCGGCGTTTTCAACGCCACCTGGCCACGCCACCTTCGTTGTGCGCCACGCTCGCCTTAAACACGCGCTTTGCTAAACAACCATTCTGCCCATCCCTGCGCTCGGTGGAACTAAACAGCGCGACGGGCCTCAGCGTCGTCGTCGTTATCCCCCCTTTGTGCTGCTGCCACTCCAGACAACGACTGCGCGGACAGCAGCGACGAGGCCGGCTGCAACAACACGTGCGCCGACTCGCAGTTCAGTTGCAAAAACGGGCACTGCATCCCGAGCCAGTGGGTCTGCGACGGCGACAACGACTGCGGCGACGTCAGCGACGAAACCCATGCCAACTGCACCGCCAACAGTATGGGCCCCACTCCCCGCACCCCCCCCACCTACCTACCTCGTCCTCCACCCACCTGCCACCCGCTCCCCCTCCGCCTTCTCATCACAAACAATGGGTGGATCAATTCAAAGCGGTGTTGTTCGCAACAAAAAAAAGCTGCCAGCTGGTGACGGCATACCCTGAGAACTGCCGCACTTACTTTTGTGCAAGCTGCAAACTGCAGACCCCTGGCCAGCAAATGCACTGCTCCACGGAGCAGCGACACTGGCCTTGCGAGTGGGACATCGAACTCTCGAGACAAACAACACGGCGATTTTTCGAGGGATTACCTTGCCCATTGCGGCCACCCTTCGATGCGTATGACCATGACAGCTCGTTCTCCCTGCAAGTGCACAGCTCGCGATCAAAAAGTGTCTTTGTGTGCCGTGAGAACTTCACGGACCAAATTGTTTCCAAGCCGGCCCTTCCTTGACCTAATTTGGCTTCCACTTGGTATTAAGGCTGTGAGTTGTGTGAGTTAGAGTGGCTAGAACACAACCGGGCTTTTCACACACTGTGGAAATTGAGCATAATAACTATTAGCAAACATTTTAAATCTTAGACGGGTAATGCATTACGTTAATGCAATTTAAGCTTAGTTCATTGTGTTTCAGGAAGCCCGATAGGAATAATAATGATGCAAATTATAACGTGGACAACAATTTGCGGCAATAATTGACCGTGACGCTGGGTCGTGGAGCGACGCTCAGTGTCGGTCGAATGCCGGGCACAAGAGGCACGGCCTTTAATTGCCTCTTAAAAGTCGGTGTAGATTTAATGCTGCGAACGTGCAGCAGGATGGCGTTCAAGACAGCGAGGGCTGCCCCGGGGAAACCACGCCTGACAGTGGTGGCCCTGTCCCTTGGTGTAGAGAGGAGGTTATGAGTCACGCCGCGGAGAGTTTGACCGTGAGCTTTTAAGTGCAGGACGACGGGAGCGAAGGAAGATCCAGGTGAAAGTAGAGGCGTGCTGGCAGAGGTAGGCGACATTTGTAGCTAACCCTGCTGGCGATGCAAAGTCGATAGAGGGAGCGTAGGGAGGCAAGGAAATCTAGCGGAGGATAACAAGTGCCTGGGACGACGTGAGCGAGACTGGTTTTGCACTAGTTATAATCTATTATTGTGCATGGCAATATGTTCAGGAGCTTAATGCCAATGTCGAGGTCTGCGCGCCACAAGAAGGCTTCAGGAGAGACTGTGAAATGTTGCTATTCCTCCGTTGACTACAGTGGTTTACTATATGGTCCATAGTTTGTGTTGAATGGCCACAGTCGCACTGTGGCTTGTCTTTTAGTAACCAATTCATGAAGGAGATTTGCGCAGTGGATGTCGATGTTCTGATGCCATCGATGGTTACACCAATGTCTTCGGGGGAATGGTCAGATGCCAAGAGGTGCGATGTTCGGGGGCGGGGTGGTGGTCTTGAAATGTTTGTTCTGGATTCGTGCGCTGTCGGTCTGCTCCATTACCGAGCATTCTTGCGGATCCGAGTGAGGATGTGGGATAGCGACATTTTTGAGCGTGGAGGGTCAAGTGGACGTCGTCCATTCGCACGACTGAAACGTTAAAAAGGCAAAATGTACTCGCTGATTGGTGCATCTCAATTCTTGAGGCGACAGCTCTTTAAGAAATGCATTAAACAGCCTAAGTGCTTATTTAGATGTCAGCACTTCCACAGCAGGCTCCCACAAAGGAAACTGCGGTTTGGGTTTTCATTATTATTCTTATTGTTATTCTGCTTATTTACCCAGAAAGCCTCATTGAGTAGGACGTGCGAATTTCTTGGTATAAACACTCACTAATTGTTTGAAAGCATCCATATATTATAGAGAACTACAGAGCAACTGTTGGTGCCAGCTCACCACGTGGCAGCCTTCCAGCTTGGTCTGTGGTTCCTCACTGATTGTGAGATGCAATTCGCATGAACGATGCTATATAACACTAAGAATTATATATATATTTTTTCAACTTAGATTCCAATTTTGCAATTTGCGAGCAATTATTTCAATTTGGTCACCGTGGGCAAAGACTCTTGCAAATTACTTCACGTCTGCTCTGAAGCAGACGGTGCATATTGTTTGTTCGCAATCGACCTACCACGCGAAGCATCAATCGCGGCAGCTGCTGGGTTTGAACCGTGAGCCTCTGCAACAAGTGGCGAACGCCTCGCCACCGAAGGCCACGTCGCTGTGCATTTCACACGGAGAGTCTTGCTTCGTGCTACGCACATTTTGATCGCTCCTGTAGGCCAGCCAGGTTGAATGTTAATTTTAATCATGAGTGTATATGTACATAAGGTGCCCCAAGGTGAACGAGTCAATGGATGTATTTCACGAGGCAGGACCTTAAGGTATGCGGTGGAAGAATAGGAAGGCAAAGCAATTACACGTGACAGACAGGTTTGGCAATACTTTACACAACGCCATGACCAGAATAATGCATAAGAGAGGATGATGATGATGATATATGCTGATAATGACAGTTGCATAGATTGTAAATGGTTCACTCGAACCTTCTTTTAACGTGTGTCTGCCATTGTGATGCCCGGAGCATCTTGCTGAAGGTCGTGTGCCGTGGTGTTGTGCATGATAATGTGCATTGCAATATTTATTTTAATGTGACGACAAATTAATGCGTTTTGTTTCCGTTTGTGAAAATACTTGTAACTAGCCAGTGCCACGCCATTGCTTATATCGAGCAATATTTTTAGTGGAGGAGATCAGCCGTAACGTTTGGGTCATAGTTCACCGAAAACCAGAGTAATTTTGTCATTTTGATGGTTGCTATTGAACGTCACGTCGAGGCGTATTGGAGCAGAGCCTCGTCACGCTGGCATTGCTGCTGCTTATACCCCAGCTAAGTGAGCTGCCATTGTGCGCGTGCCTTTACCCCATGATAAGATGCCTCGATCAGAGTCTGCCAATCATGACTAGACATACGAATGTGGCTCCGTTGACTGGCTTTCATTACGCTGTGGCTGTTTAAGGGATGACACGAAAACACATTCGCAGTGTTCTTAATAACGCTGTGCAGAGTGGTGGCACCGTGGTTGACACACTGTGCGATCAAATCTGACGATCTGAGTTCAATTACCAGCCATTTGCTTTTACTGAGTGACGTTACAAACTCTGAAGGTGCATCAGTTAGTCGATGGAAGGGAGGTGTGTATGTGTATGCCAAACCCTGTACGTAGTGTACACGTAGAATAGTGTGCAATATTTGTAATGTGGCCTGTGGGAGCAGAGCACTCATGCTGCTACGACACCCCTGGCCTGTGGGTCGTCATCACTCAGCACAGCTAATTATGGAGCTTTAATGGACCCCGTGAATGCTCTCGTTCATAGAAGTCCATTAGCGGAGGCTGTGGAATTCCTCCATAAGATCGCTCGTGGGAATTTGGATGTTAGCCACATCCGTGCCATTTTAGTGAACCTGGCCAGTGATTTATTTGTGGCGCTCTGGTGAGGGCAGTTGAGCAGGAATCACAGTCAACGTGAAATGATGACCACTCTGTGGGGAGTCAACAGGGGTCATTATATGGAGAGACTGGGTCCTGCCATAGGAATGTGTAATTCTCACCGTTGGCTCAGTGGCATGGATAGGAGTGATTGCTGCTGCATGGGAATGTTTTAAATGTATATATTTGCTTTGTTGCTCAATGTGAACACATTTACAGATGAATTCACTGTTGTGAGTAGGCACGGGTTTGATTGAGCTGCCCAGGTTGATTGCCTGCTGTGCGCAGGCATGCCGCCACACTGGATTCCACTGTGGCTGCAATCAGAGCCACCTTGTATTTACTCAAATCCCAGGCAAAGTGATTTCCTACTCCAATGGGCATTCGGGTGGTGCTCATTGTTCTGATAACAGCCCTGATTTCACATTCCAATGGCAGACGTGAGTCCATACATAGGGCAACCGCAAAGCGGAACTCATTTTTATTGATCCCAGAGGGATGATGGACCGAGTCAACGCCCAATCAGGATTCGACCTGGCAACCTTCTGATTGCGATCCGCTCGCTCAAGCGCTGAGCCACCAAAGCCGGACATAGGCTCGTTTGGGAAGTGTGACTAGGATATATTCTTCGAATCAGATTCGGAACAATTTTGACCATTAGATCTCAGAGATATGTGGAAAAAAAACATTTCGGTATCAACTTTGTTGAAATATGATTTGGGTGCCAAACAGCTCTTGGGTTATTTAAAGCACATTCCCAACACACATTCAGGTTTGAGTACAACCTTGCGTCCACGTATTGCTTTCATTGTGAAGTTTAAGAATTGCCTAGAGGCTGTTGGATGTTTTTTTTTTTAGGTTCAAGGGCTCAAAGCATTAGAAGTGATTGGTGACTGAGCGTGAGTCTGGAGGGAGCGCTGGGTCACTCTAGCGCCTGCACCAGTGGTGATCTGAACATTTTGTAGCAGGGGGAACTGTTCTGGACCTGGAGATTTACGGCTCCCGCTGATTTAATGGGCCAATTATTTCTCTCAAGGGTTATAGGGCCATTACTTCATGTAGAGGGCTTGGGAGGGCACATGCATTGCATATGCTGGAATAGAGGGGAAAAGTGCAGCCGAAATCTCTGCTGCTGAAAATGAGGCTCTGGTCCCCGATGATTGACAGGTTATGCTCATAACGACTTTCGATAAAGGTGATGTTTCGCCACCATGTGTCGTTTGAGATTCCACAGTGACCATGCATAATACGTGTCATAGGTGTAACGCTGTGCAAAATTACAAACGGGATGAGATTTTTGTTGTTGTTGTTGTTGTTGGTGATCTACAGGGTGGTAATGGGCCTGTGCTGATGCGAGCCACCCAGGGATGCATTTGCAAAGATTAGCCGTCTCGGCTTAGGGGGCTGCTAATTTCTCTGCCTCGGGGACAGTATTGAGGGTGCCTATGTGGAAGATGCACGGAGGGTGCCAACCCTGCTCATAGGGTATGGATGGTCTGTGGCACTCCGAAGCATTGTACGAGCGCGGCATTGGCTGATTTGATATGGACTCCTGTTGAGAGCAGACGGTTGCTCTGGCGCTGAAACAGGCTAATATATCGACGGTTGCTGCACAGGCGCATGTTTGGCAAATGTAAGCTCGTTTTTATTAGAAAGCTTTTCTTCAGATTTCATATTTGCGCATTTTTCTGTTTGGCAAAAAAAAACAGGGCTGAACACTGGCAGTATCGTCGCACGCAAACGCATGCACTTATTGAAAATTTGCTGCTGTATTTTACTTCGCATTTCTACGTGAGGTTATTTAGTCCATTGCTGCTGTTGAGCAAATAAAGCAAACTAATTGCTGGCACATTTTAAACCGTGACCTCTATATGCATTACACAATCGAAGCAAATGTGTCTGTCAAGGTGGGAGGTTTATGGGCTTCTTTGTTGCCCGATGAGACCGTTTTCTTCTCGGGTTTCACTGGCGGCAAATCCACAGGCACATCACGCGGCACGACGTGTAAATGGGCAGGGCCTGGTACCGCTCGACTCCCGCACGACACGGATCTTGTCAGCGAAGTGCCGCCCCCCCCCCCCAAACCCCCCCAGACAATACGTTCAGCACTCACGTGTGTGTGTCTCTTCCAGCCGCGCGGCCCCTCCGGCAGTGCCGCGAAGACGAATTCCGCTGTGCGATAAACGGGAACTGCATCCCCTTGCGCTGGCGCTGCGACGGCGACGCCGACTGCATGGACATCAGCGATGAGAAGGAGTGCGACGGGCAGCGGAGGACGTGCAATCCCGGCACGCACTTCACGTGTGTGAGCAACGGTGGGTGCCAGTCGGTCGACCCGTAACACCCCGGGTCCATCCCGTGGCCTCCATCCCGTGGCCTGCCAGCGAGCCTTCGACACTTCACGTGATGGCCTCAAAGTGCACCTAGCCTGGCATGAGCTCCGTGGTGATGCCACCGCCAACTAGTGGATAATGCCGCCTGTTGTTGTTGTGTGGAGGTGTGAGGCTTCCGTCGTAGAGCTGTTAATAAAAGTGGGCGATGAATGTACAATGTTTTTGTTAAAACCAATGTATTCTGAACAATTATTACGTATGCCAGTGCTCATCTTTGACCTTTCATGCAAATGATAACATAACAAAAGTCATACATTGGTTTATTGAGTGCTTGAAGCTTGCAGCGTTGGTAGGCAATGCTGCGGCGATGAAGGCGATAACCCTTTTAAACAATTCGTTGCTGGCTAAAAGCCGTTGACCGCACCGGATAGTTTCGTGCCACGACGCACAGAGGCACCCTCGCGCAGTCGTATGCCTCTACCCGTGAGCCCAACTCGGTATCGAAGCATTTTATATTGTTATGGTTGACACCAGGCATCTGCATAAGAAAGGCATGGGTGTGCGACGGTGACAACGACTGCGAGGACAACTCTGATGAGGCGGGTTGCCACGCGAGGACCTGCACGCCGCCCTTCTTCCTCTGCGCCAATCACTCTACCATGTGCCTGGACCCTAAGCAGCTGTGCGACGGGAACAGCGACTGTCCCGATGGCTCCGATGAGAGCCTCCTGTGCGGTGCGTACCCCGGTGCCTTGCCTTTGCTTTGCAAAGCCAGCACGGTGGTGGCGAAGGTTGGCCATCATCGTCATCATAATCCATAGGCAGATAGTCCGTAGGTGTCCACTGCACATTTCGTCATTGATTTCCACTTTCTTCTGTCTTGTGCCAAAATTGCTCAAGTAGTGCCAAATCTTTTTGGCACCAGTCTCTCGTGATGTCCCCTTCAACCCCTTTTCTGTTAGGTCTTCCTCTCTTCCCGGATACCTACATTTTTATGAACAGCAATAACTTTTAATGTTCCTGTTGTTGTCCATCCTACACGTGCATCCAAATAGCGCCGGTTTCCTTCTCACCACCACCTGCGTCATCAGGTTGTCTTCTATGTGCAGTGTCAACGATTCAGAGACAGAGTTTCTAGGAGGCACCTTCTTCATTAACAACCTTCACGGTCTTGTCCACACACTCTCCACAGTAGCTCAGCCTAGCCTGTACACAACACCGGCCATCTAACACTGACGGCGCTGACTGAGATAGCCAACTGCTCTCCTTCATAGCGCAATATCTAGCGGAGACGTTTAGCGACGACGGCGACGAGAGCGACGGCGAGACGAGTCCACTCCCAGAACCAGCGGCCTCGAGCTCCCTGCTCCCGGCTCCTTTTATGTTACCAGCGCGGCCCTGGCTCTGCCCTGACCGCGCCTCCCTTCTCGAACCCGCTAGCAGGTTCCAGGGACCTCCAGATGGGGTCCTCCGTGACCCTTACCCTAGTTCCTCTACTCTGCCAACTCTCCCGTGCTCACGCTCACCGGCGTGTGTACTGTCTGTCCACCACAGCGGCCGCTGGTGTCCACCAGCCGGCGCTATTGAACTACATATGTATAACGTTTTTATTACGTTGGTCACTCTTTGGGGTCCAGCTTTGAAGGTTGGTAGATAACACAAATGCCGTGAAAAACTCTATTCACCTGGGGATCAAGGTCACCATACACTTGGCTTGCAAGGAAATGCCAGTAGAGCAAGTGGATTAATCTCCATCTGTTTGCACCTGTACGGGGATGGAGCACTCTTGTACATCCACTTCGCTCCAGCGTCTATAAACACTCTTCAATTGTCTGAAACACATCTCGCCACGTTAAAGACATCGGGAGCCTGGGCAAATTGTTTGCGCCAGGTCCACTTGCCTGACTGCCTTCCCGCTTGCCTGCGGTTTGTCACACCTCTGTATATCCTAATGAAAAATCTGCGCAAAGTGTGCGTACGTATGTTGAACTTCATGCGCGCGCTCCGTACGTAGCCAACCGTGCTAATCGGAGGTGCGAGGGTCAGAGTGAGCGCACTCGATGTTCAGTCGTTGAACGGTGGACATCAATGTACAACCAGCCACACTTCGCGCACTGCGTTACAGGCACAGCTTAGCCAATGCAATCATTTCACTCATCGCGTGGTAATAATGTCTTCACGGAGGCTGTTGGCCTGTCACGTTGACCGTATATGTATCGTGCTGGAGGTGCTTGTGTAGGTATTGATATGATCGTGTAAGTGTTAATTGTTACTGTAATTTTAAGTGTTGATTGTCAATCATTGGTGTGGGTGTTGTACAGCATTTGTTCAGGTGTTGTATGTATGTATGTTGAACTTCTTTCGCACCGTACGTAGCTAACCGTGATAATTGGAGGAGCGAATTTGTGCATTTAAATTTTTGATGACAATTATAGGTTGGGCTTTTAAAAAAATCTCTGTGCTCTTCTGATAATGCAGTCAAATATATTATTTTAGATTATTGGTTCGTCTGATAATGTCCACAGGATTTGGTTTGTTCATCTTCATTGCATTTTACATGCACTGCTTCGTAAAGGTACCGTCTAATATTCATGGGATATAAAAATGTACACAAGTTGAGTTAGAGAAGTATATATATACATGGAATTCGTACAAATGTATACACAACAAGACTTGTGCAGGTCTCCTGCGTATATTGGCCATCGTTTTTTGACTGTTCAGGCCAGGTGGCTCAGCGGTGGAGTAAGTGTCTCGTTATCCGATCGTTGCGATTTCAAATCCCAGTTGGGTCGATCAAACGAGCACCGATTTCTGGGGAAGCCAACAGTGGTTGTCGTCAAGATAGACTCGCCCCCTGCCACCTGTACACAGAATTTCCTAGCGGTTGCTTAGGGTTGTTAAATGGGAGATGGGCGAAGATTTGATGCTCGCCTGCGCCGGAAATCGCTCTAATTTCACTTCGTTGACCTGGCCGCAGCGGCACTGTGGGCCATGCGGCACACGTTGCTGCTTCTTGCAGCCAACTTATCGCCCCTCTCCTGCCGCCCCCTTTTCCCTGCAGACCTATGCCAGTCGGACAAAGGCGGCTGCAGCCACAACTGCACGGTCACGCCAGTGGATGGCTTGGTGTGCTCGTGTCCCAAGGGCATGCAGCTGGGAGAGGACAGGAAGACGTGCAACTTCACGGACTACTGCGCACGCCACCTGCGCTGCAGCCAGCGCTGCGAGCAGGAGAAGGGTGCCGTGAAATGCGGCTGCTACGATGGCTGGAGGCTCATGCTGGACGGGAAGAGTTGCCGCAGCACGGGTCAGCACACCCGCGCTCGCTCAATCGTTCACTCGTTCGTGCCCTCCGGCAATGCATATCTGGTTTCCGCCGTAGTGCAATAACTGTCCTTTGCACATGCTGCGTCTTGCGATAGGAGTGCGGGAGGGTTTTCCACCACTGGCTCAGGACTCCAAACAGAGATGAGCACTGCCCAGCACAATTTTTTTATAGCCAGGTGGCGAGAGTGATAGAGTGAACAGCTCGCAATTGGAAGGTTGCAAGGTGAAATCCTGGTTGGGGTGTTGACTCAGCTCATCATAGCTGTGAGGTTATGATAATGAACGCGACTTGGTGGTGAAAATCAACAGGGATTGTCCTGTGCGTTGAGTCGCCCCTTCCCACCATAGGAACGAGGAATTTCCACCAGAGGCACAGGGCTGTGAGCAGGAGATGATCACTGCCTACAATGATCATTTGAGCAAAAAAAATGTTTGATTTAAACGCACGTAGAATTTTTCCCACAGCACATTGACATTTTTTGGCAGCAAAACCCAAAGAGGAGCTTAGGTCACCTAACGCAGCTTCTGTTATTTGTAGAGAGAGACAGAGAGAGGGGGGGGGGGTGCTCCCACATCCACGTGGCGACAGCGGTGGGGCACCAAGGATTAGTCAAATATCACCACGGTGTTCCCGATTGCAACTGTGTCTCCGGCCGATAGCTCGTGACAATTTTTTAGGAGCGCTCCTTCATTGAAGGCAACCTGCGTGAAATGGGGTGGGGGGCGATTCGCTGCTGCTCATTTTCCCGCCCTGGGAAATGAATGTAAGCCGTTGGTGACTTGTATAAAATAGGACTTAGCTGGCCGGACAGCGACGGGTGGGACGAGGAGAAGCAGGGTTGTGCCGAGATGGGCGATGCAGTGGCACCCAGCGGGAGAACCTGGACATCCGTGGTGTTGTCGAGACTCCAGTGGCAGAGGCTGATCCCTGCAAGCACCACTGTTTGCAGGGATCATTTAGGGGTGGCACAGTGGTGACAGAGGCCTGGTAGCAGCAACTGCTTTGGTTACGGCGACTCGTCAACGTTTGACGACCATAAGCCGATATGCGTGCGTGCGGTCACATTTTTGTTTTTCCCTTAAAATCTTCTTTGTCATGCAATTGCGGTTATAGTGTGTTTAGCAGTGATGCAGTGCCGGATCGGCATTCCCACCGTTTGCCACGTTCGTACCCCGACCCCCCCACCCACCTTGTCGCCGACGCAGACCCATTCGTGCCATTCATCATCTTCTCCACGCGCCACGAGATCCGCCGCATCGACCTGCACAGCCGCGACTACAGCGTGCTGGTGCCCAGCCTGCGCAACGCCATCGCCATCGACTTCCACTTCGGCCAAAGCACCCTCTACTGGACCGACGTGGTGGAGGACAAGATATACCGCGGAAAGTTGGCTTTCAGTGGCGGTGAGTAGCCCTCGGCCGTCATTGCAGTTTGACGGTGCGTGCGTGTGCTTGTGTGTGCACGTGTGCGCGTGTGTGCATGTGTGTGTGTGTGCCACTAAGAGATGGGGCCTTACCATCAGCCCCACCAAACCTAAGCACCTGCCTGGGTGGTTTGTACCATCGGACACTCCACCCCCACAACTCCTAATCGGTGATAGGGCAGTTGTGGAGAGAGTGGAGAGTTTCCCATACCTGGGCAGTGTGCTTATGACCGGCTCCAGTTTAACAGCAGAGGTCTCACTCCGAATCAGTCGAGCGGCAATATCTTTTCATCGGTTGTGTAACGCTGTGTGGAAGCTACCTGGTCTGTCGCTCCGCAATAACCTTCAGGTCTTCTCGGCCACGGTCATTCCCTCCCTTCTCTACGCTTGCGAAACGTGGACCCCCCTAATGGAGCATCTTCGCCGGTTAGAAACATTTAGGCTTGCCTGCCTACGATCCATCCTGGGTTTAACCAGGCTGGATTGTGTGAGGAGCTCACAAATCTTTGAAAGATCTGGGCAAGGTCCCATCGGTGAGCTCCTCCGGCAGGCAAAGCTGCGTTGGCTGGGTCATGTAGCCCGCATGCCCAGCCACCGCATGCCAAAACAGCTTTAGTTCGGCCTGATCGAGGGGGCTAAACGGCCGCGGGTACGGACTAGAGAAGAAATGGAGTGATGTGGTACAGGAGGACGTGGAGCTGAGTGGACTTGCCGATGACTGGTACCAGCGGTGTCAAGATCGGCCTCTGTGGAGGAGGCTCGTGAAGGACGCTGCTGGGCAGTTGGAGGCAGTCGCCCTCCAACAACAACGGAGGGCGGAGGAGCGACGCTCACAACAACGAGCGGAGCGCCGGGTGGCTAAAGCACAGCAGGTTGGCACAGTAGGGGGCACAGGTGGTGCATCAGCCAGCCATCTCAGTCATCTTAGTCAGTCGACCCGTGGCACTTGGGTCTGCCCCGTGACCTCCTGCCAGTGGGCGTTTGACACTTCACGTGGCCTCAAGGTGCACATGGCCTGGCACAACCGTCGTGGTGACGCCACCGCCACTTAGTGGCGAATGGCGGTTGTTGTTGTTGTCCGTGGCAGGAATTCCAACGTTCCCGCAATTCGTACCCGTGTTTTCCAAAGAGCTCTCTGTCCCACGTCTTGGATATTATCCTGATTTGCAGGATTTAAAGGCGGGAGGAGAAGGTGGAGCCTCCCGGAGTAAACGCTTCTTTAGCGAGGGAGCTTGGGGTGATGTGCACCGAGTCTCACCGCGTGCTGCCCGTACGGTGACCGATATCGCTGCTGGACGTTTCTGCAAACCTTGCAACAAACACTGTGAGCCAGTCCTAATATTTCAGACATAAACCAGGGCACCTAGCAAGCAGGGCCTTTATCTGTAATGCCTAAATAATTGCTCGCATTGCTTGTGCACGCATTTACATAATGCACGTACATTTGTGCATAATTCCGCCATAAAATTGGATGATTTTTGTCTTCACCCGATTCATTGTTTAGAGAATTGAATAATGCGGTGCACCATTAGCGCAATAACGTGCCTAGATGGTGGGGGTCAATGGCCAATCGACACTCGAAAAAAAAAATCTTCTGAAGAGACTTGCCACTGTCATAGGAATGTGGCATTGCCACCAATGGGCTCAGGGCTCCCAACGGAGATGTATCCTGTCGGGCGACACTTTGCCCTGACCTCTTTGCACGCGCGCCTTGTTGGGAAAACGTGCACGGCGTGAGAACCGTGGGAGAAAAACAATGCAGTGCCGCGTTCAGGTGGTCAAGGCCAGAGTACCGCGTCAGGAGCAGCGGAACAGCGTATCTCCATCATGTCGCCTTCGTATTTGTGGATCGGGCATTGCGTCATTTTACGTTGTACAGTCTGTTCTGGATGGAGAGTTTAACATTTTCCGTACTAATAACGAATTGGCGTGTTCTGTTCACGTGACAAACCTTAATAATTGTCTGCGCTGGGTGATTGCGGGTTTAACGACACGTTTATATTTACGCGATCCAACCACGAAAAACCTATCTCACGGATGATATTGGTCACATAAGCCTACATATGAATTTTCCATTTGTGCATCAGGTGTCCGCATCTACTGCCATGGTCTGTGCGGCGGATGCGGTCCAGGGTGGACCGTGAGCATTTACGCGTGTGACCCCCACCCCACCCCACCACTCACCCCCACCCCTCCCGTGTTGTTGTGCCTGCGTGCAGGGACGTGGGTCCTGGCAGGTGGTGAGGACAAGCAGCCTTCAAGCACAGGTCCCCGCGACGCCCTCCGAGGCGGCCTCTCCGCCCACAATGCACTCACGGCATCCGCCACTACCGCTGCTGCATCGTAAACACACATCGCATGCTTTGAGTTAAACCTCAAACTTGTTTATGATTTTTTCCATTTGTGTGCGAATAGCTTTTTTCATTGTTTCCTTTTTTTAAGTGTGTATTATTTTTTTAAGTGTGTATTATTTTTTTAAGTGTGTATTATAGTTTTTTTCCGCGGATTAATGAACTATGCTGTTTCATGCATATCAATCAACGGTTCCCATTTTGTTTTTCTTTTTAAGCTGTAGACGTTCACCGCCACACTTTTAAATTTGTTTGAAATGTTTTTTCAAAACAACGCGTCTCATTGATCTTATAGGTGCAGCTTTTACCCGATGGGGTCTTGTACAGGCGCTCATTACGAAGCGTGTGATTCATTCGCCTTTGATTTTGTGTGCCATTAAATCTCGCGCCGCTTGAACCGCCCACCCCCGGGGGGGGGACCTCCCGTCGCTCAGGCTTGCCATCACTTGCAGGCCTCAGCAACGTGGAAGTGGTGGTGGAGCACGGTCTGGCCACGCCTGAGGGCATCGCGGTCGACTGGATCGCTGGCAACATCTACTGGGTGGAGAGCAACCTGGACCAGATCGAGGTGGCCCGTCTCGACGGTGCCATGCGCACCACGCTGGTGGCCGGCAGCCTTCAGCATCCTCGCGCCATTACGTTGGACCCGCGCCACGGGTGAGGGCTGTGCCTCTCCGATGCGCCCTTGCCAACAATCGAACCACGACAACGCCTCGCCGATCTCGTCAAACCTTCTCGCGAACTCCCGGTCACCCTCACAGCAGCAGCGGCTTCTGGCTAACCGTCGAACAAAGACGGTCACCGCATCGCGCGCTTTCACATGCGCTTCTGCGGCTGTCTGGAACGCTCTTCCTTCCGATATTAGGAAGCCACTGGAGCCATGCACATTTAAATTCAGATTGAAAACTCATCTCTTTAGAACTGATTTTTGTGTTTTGTTGTGAATCCTTCCCCCGCACCTCCAATTAACACAGTTGGCTACGTGCGGTGTCTGGCGTTTTACTCCACATGCTGGGAGCTTATTCAGGAGCGAGGCATCAGGCATCGTGCCGAAAAACACTCGGTACAAGCCGAAAACACATTGGAGAGCTGTGCGGCACGACTGCGGAAAACTGCATGGTGGATCTTCACCACCAGCTCGAGCCCAACAGCCGCAGATTAGAGTGAACTGGCCGGGTGGCGAGGCACATCTCCTATCCAGCGAATACGGAGTGCGGTTAGTGGATCATGTAGAGATGGCGCTGCGAGAGATACTACCCACTTACCTGCTTGTGCGGTGACGAGTCTGGAACATTACATTGAGATGGAACCTCTTTGCGTGCATTTTTGTTAGGTGGTTTTCTCGAGTTAACGTGAGATTTTTATCCAACATGTAAAATAGTCAGGATTATTTACCACATCATTCCATTGCAGGAACCTCATGAATAAGGAAAGTACCTCTCTTTGATTCTTTCATGGATAAATTAAACCTTTCATATTTTCTTCATTATTATATTTTTTGCATTATGCATTGGGGCCTACTTCTTCCTAGAATATCCACAACTCACAGTCAATGTCTTCATTGCAGGGTCCGGGTGGACTGCAGCCTGAAACAGCTTGTTTTTTTGTGTGCAGATGAAGCTCAGCCCACGAGAAGATAATATCTGTAACAAATGCCAGCCTCTCGCTCGAGTGATATCACATCGCGATGGCTTTCCAGTGCGATGGGGTGTCACATGCTGACGCACCTTGTCATCCTGCCTCTTCTGACTTGGATTGGAACTGTCACCTCCTCAGCGCCTTTGCTTAGCATGCAAGCCCCATCTCGTCCAGATTGCTTCGATCTTGAGCGCATTTGGTATTTGAATGCGCTCGCTCTTATCCTGGACCCTGCTATCGCTGTCCTGCCCCCGCCGCCCTTCCCCCGCTGCCCTCCCCCCGCTGCCCTGCCAGGATCGTGTTCTGGACCGACTGGGACGCGTCGTTCCCGCGGATCGAGGCGTGCTCCATGAGTGGCAGCGGCCGCCACGTCGTGTACCGCGAGACCGGCGCGGGAGGCTGGCCCAACGGCCTCACCATCGACTACCTGGAGAAGCGCCTCATGTGGATCGATGCGCGGTGAGCGAGCGAACGTGGGCAAGCCGCCGCCAACCCCTCTTCCCGTACGGCGACGGCGGTGAATCGCAGGTCTCGGAGCGCCTATATAGGTCTGCCGGCTTGTAGAGCGGCCACGCACCCTGCAGAGCTCCGCTGCATTCTATTTGCTGCTAGCCATAGCACGTCCCGGCTACTGGCTGGATAAACGAAGGACTGTGGTGGCAACGCGTGAGCTGAAGGAGAAGCCAGAATGTGCCCAAAATCACGGAAGCTAAATGGAGCTGAGCGTGGAACAGCACACGTACTGAGAACCGACATGCATAACAGGCGCTAGAGGCTGTGGAGCTACGTTGTCGGAAACGGTGTCGGTGTAGCAAAATCCATCGTACTGCACTTCCACGCTCCCATGTCTGTGCGCCTCCACTGACCAGTGTGGTGAAGTTTGGTCAAATGACCCTCACCACCTGCATGATGTGGGGAGGCCCTCGTCCAGCAGTGGATTAACAAAGCACTGTTGTACGTGTTCGTGTGCTGTGGGGGGGGGGGGGGGTTGAGAACTGTCGATCGGTGGTGTAGGGCTTTGGCATCCTGCGCCGCCAATTCAGAAACCCGAGTTCAATTCACAGCCGAAGCTTTACATCAGTTGATAGCAATGTCTCACCCAGTTCTGGGCCTCCTCTAGGGTTGACTCATATTAAAATGTGCTGGCCAGACTACCCATCGTGTGCCATTCATTCCAGCCTGAACAGGTAATTGCTGAAGGTCCTCATCCCAACAACCTCAAAGGTCGAGCAGGCACCGTTTTACCACCTTGGCACTGGACACCTGCCGATGTAGCATGCCGATTGCCAGCGTGTTTTTATTTGTCAGCTGCGTGTACATCAGTCTCAAAGTCTGCTCGCTTTCCGTACTTAACAAATTAATGCGGTGTTAGCCACCCTGCAGCACCAAGCCGTGCCATCAGGCCGGACTGATTAAATTCCGGTGTCCAAAAGCGAACGGTGACTTTCGGTGAACGAGCCTGGCCCCGGGGTGATGTGGGTGGACAGTGACATACGACTGCTGTTAATGCGTCGACGTGCCGCTGAAAGGGGACGTCTGTGGCTACGCCTCCCAGGACGAAGAATCCGTCCAACTCTCTTATTGTCGTAAAAATGATACTCGTCTGAGAGTTCACCCGGTGCACGAGGAATTACTCGCTAATTAAATGAAGGCAAACGGATGAGAACTGCACGATGTGACAATATCGCCAATTTGCTTAACAAAGCATGAAAGGGTCATTACAATTAATTAAGATGAGTGTTACAATTAAACTGTCTGGGCTGGCTGAATAAATGGCTGGTGGTGGGGGGGGGGGTGGCGTTTGCTTGGCAGCTAAATTTGCACGCTCTTTGTTAACTTTTTAGCTATCGTACAGTCAGGTACGACTTAAAACACAACGCATTCAAATGCAGTGTGTCAGAAAATGCCAACCCAGTTACCGCTGCATAATTAACAGTGGCAATGTTCATACGAGTACGAAGTGGTGCTCATTTCTCCTGTCATTGCTGATTTCCCACACAAAGCAGCACTCGTTTTATACACACAAGCGTCGTCCGCATCTTGAATGGAGATCGGCAAAGGTGCTGTGGTTCACTTGCATCGAGCGCTTTGCGCGCAATGAGCATTCGCCACGAGCGGCGGGCTGGCGTTGTTCAGCGGGCGGCCATGCGTTTGACGTTGGGTGCGTGCCCGCCCGCAGGTCGGACGCCATCTACTCCGTGCTGTACGACGGCACGGGCCTCATCGAGGTGCTGCGTGGCCACGAGTTCATCTCGCACCCGTTCGCCATCACCGTGTTCGGCGGAGAGGTCTACTGGTCTGACTGGCGCACCAACACGCTGCTGCACGCCAACAAGTGGACCGGCCACAACGTGACCGTGGTGCAGCGCACCAACGTGCAGCCCTTCGACCTGCAGGTGTTCCACCCGTCGCGCCAGCCCATGGGTGAGGTGTCTCTCTTGGCGCCGCTCCTCTGCCTGTAACTCTCGCGCGGGGAGCGGCATCGCAGCGGTTAGCGCGCCGCGTCTACGGACCCGGCGGCCCGCGTTCGATTCCCGCTCACGGCCAACGCCATTGGACAGTTATTTGAACCGGTCCCGGGCCTCCCCTAGGTCGAGTCAGCCTAAAATGAATATGTGGTGTAGTGTGTAAACGTTTCCATCTCGGGAGACGAGGGGGCGGCCAGGCGTCGTGCTGGCCTCTCACACCCTCGTGTATGGTGCCGGCCTTAATCGGTGCTCGCATCAGTGGTGAATGTGTGAACTTGCCCTGGGGCTCCCCAAGGTCGATGCACCCAAAAAGGAGTACCCGGTGATGTGTATAAACATCAGCATTGGGGAGGCAAAGGCAAAGTGCGTCGTACTGGCCACACCGCTCTTGTCATTCGCCACGTCTGCCTCAAGCCATTCCGAGACGTCTGCGAGTTACTGGGTGGGTGCGTCCCGTTCACTCCTGAATCCAAGGACGCTCAAGCAGGTTGGCATTAATTCTTATTTAAGAAGGTGTAGCGCCGCTGTTTTTAAAGACATTGCACTCGCCGCAGAGAACTGTTGCGACACGACTGCGCCCGATGATAGCTGGTGCCAAACTGTGCCAGCATGGCCTTGTGGGAGCCTCGGTACGTCTTGCGACGTGAAGATGTACTGATGAGGCTATTTTATTTCAGTTTTTCTTCCGATTCCATTCCAATGACGTGAACATGCATCGGCGGAATGGGAAAGCGTTAATAGGTGTTCACCAACAGCACTGGTCCCACTAGGCTATCCTGGGCTGAGCAGGGGACCCTTGTCTTTGTGCGTTTGTGAGCTGAATCAGAATGTCGCTTGTTTATTTGCATGTGGACTCTCGTGGCTCCACGTGTGTTTGACAGCTGCCCTCTCTACACGTGTGTGTGTGTGTGTGTGACGGAGAGCCCTCTCCCACTCTGGATGCGCTCTCAGTCAAACGGCTCATTTCCCTGCCGACAAATGCCCTGCCGAGTGCCTTGCTCTGTCGACAGTGGGGCGCCTACGTGCTCCCCTCGCCCCACGCGCTCTCTCGCAGGATGGCTGCCCCGTGCTGCCATCACTCTCTCTTGTCCTGGGGGGCACCACGTAATTTCTAGCCATAATGCAAAGACGAAGTATGAAATGAAGTTTTTTTTTTTATATAGTGGACATCTATAACCCGATTATTGCATGGTTAAACCAGCAATGCTGTGTATTTATGTTCTCGTGAATGCACCGTGAAGAGTTATGTTTAGTTCTCGTCTCCTTCTTCACGTTATTCTTTTTTAAATATTTGTATCGCATTATTGGACGAAGCGCTATCCCAACAAACTTCATGGGCAATAATTTAATTATGGCAGTGGCCATAAACCACCGTCTTTTACTGCCACTAAACTATTATCACCCCCAGTGAATGGCGGAAATATTTAAGGGTCCTCTAGCGCTGCTAAAAGACATCCAAATTTTAATGGCCCGTGACAACTGTGAGGAACGTCGCTGCTGCTGAGTGGCCCTGCGTGCTAGCACGTCTGCGGGAGTCGCACCATCGTCAACCGCTCCCTCGCGCTCCACTGCTGCGCCCCCTCTACCACGCCACTCAACGAGCGTCGCGCCGCGTGCTTTCTACGTTGCAGCCGAGAATCCGTGCGTGGCGAACGGGGGCCGTGGTCCCTGCTCGCACCTCTGCCTCATCGACTACGATCGACGGGCTGCGTGCGCCTGCCCTCTGCTCATGAAGCTCGCCCCAGACCGGCGCACCTGCAATGGTGAGCGGTGGTGCAGCGGTTAGCCGGGCGAGGTGCTGGCCACCCACCCCCTCGTGTGCCGTTCCGGCCTTCATAGGGGCTACTCTCCAACAGCACTTGCCCCAACAGTCTGTTAAGGCTACGTGGGGGGATCTTTGTCTTTGAGCGCTCACGGCCGGCACGAGCCCTATTTTGGCTTCACCGCAATGTCTCATTTAAAGTGCTCTGCTTCCCGGTGATGTTCACCAACCCTTTGGATTCCCAAGGCAAATGTATGATACACAAGCTTAATAACTGTATTGCAACACGGCTGTGTTACATTATAAAGTTAATTGACTAATTACAATTAAAATTAGTTTATTAATGTCCATACAACCTTTAGCTTTTTTTTTATTTGATACGATCTGTCTTCAATTTGATCTTACCCGTATTATTATTACGACTACGAGTCTTGAGCCCCGTGACCTCTGAGGCCCTACGCACATGCTTAGTTTGCTTATACCTTGCGATGCCGAGCTGTGTCGGGTTGACTGCTGCAATGGTGTGGACGTTGCTCTTCTGCACCATTGGCGCGCCTCTTAACAGAGGTTGCCGATGGCAAGCAGTTGTTTGCAGTGGTTTGGTTTATTTTGGTTGCCACAATGAATGTTCATTTTCGACGGGGACATCGTTACACAGTAGACACCTGGCTACAACAGCAGCAACAATAACACATTAACAAAAAGAATTGTACATGGTCAAATTACGAATGGCGAGGTCGTGTTCCAACATGGTGCAGCCAGCACAGAGAATACAACAAGGCTATAGTAGAATCCATCACTTACCCAAAGTGAATATTTTACATTCGCAACGATGACAAAAGCATTGGGTGCTAAACAGCACCAAGGACAGGAAGATTAAAAAAACTATTATAACTTAAAGTCTGCAAAGCAGAGCGATCTATTTAATGTTTGTGTGAAAGGAAATTTGACGTCCAAACGCAATTTAAAGTAGCACAAGGATGGTAAGGTAAAACTTTATCACTCGGTTATTCCAGAGATTAGGGGGCCGCCACATGGAGGGAATGTAACCTGGGTTTGCTTCTCACAGGAACAGAGGGTGGGCGGGGGAAGAGCTTCTAGTGGATACAGGAATGTATCTCGGGGATTAAATGATCCATAAGATATTTAGCGGACATATTTTGAGGATGAAGATGGCCCAATGCCGATTAGAGTTGGAATTGAAGTTCGCAGCGATGGGTCCTGCATGGGGCATTGAGGGCAAAAGCAAAGTGCGGTGTGGGACAATGAAACCAGGTGTTTTTTTGTTCATGCTGAGCCAATAGCAAGTCTGTAAACAACATCACAGTTGTCAAAGATGGAGAGTATAGTGGATTCTAATAATATTCAATCATAGTCCGGGTGAAATGCTAAATTATATCTGTACAGGAAGGCAATTTTTGTCTTTATTATTTTAGAAAATATGAACAACTAGCGGGAAGTACCCGGCGTTGCCCGGGTCAAAAAAGTATTTCAAACCTACTCTTAAAAATCTAACAGCAATACATACTGACTGTGGTGGTACCTATTATGATTACAGCAGTGCATACCGACTGTGGTGGTACCTGCTATCACTACAGTAGTACATGCTGACTCTATAGCAGTATTTATCGACTCTATAGTAAAAAGTACTCACCTGACAGAGTGGCGTGGTGAGGCCTAGTCCCGTGCAGAGCCTCGAACCTCGCCTAGATTGTCCAGCCGGCCGAGGTGGCACCTTGGCAGGCTGGGGCTGGGCTGCTACCCCTGAACTCCCCCCCCCCCCCCCTGGCCACGATCTCCTTGGCCGCTCTATAGTAATATCTACGGCCTATAGTGGTAGCATCTACTGACTGTATAGTCGTAACTGCACGCATCGGGGTGGGGGGGACATCACACAGTTAAGGATTAATCTGAGCGTTTAGTGTATTTTTATAGCATTTTAACGCGAAATAAAATGTCCCCCTCACTCCCATCGAAGGCGTTCGATTTGGCATGGGCCGTCCTCCCCAACAAAGGCACATGAGTTGGTATGGTCGTGCACGCGTCATAAATAAGTAAATAAAAAGAAAGCGCGCAGAAATTGCACTAAATCGCTAATTAAACTCATTTAAAGTTGACGGATGTGAAAAAGGAATAGCGCTTGCTCTGACTATTTTTATTTTACGTAAACCCCACCGTTGGAGAGCCAAATCCTTCGCAAGCACGCGAACACACACAAACCCACACACAAACCCCGCCACAAACCCACAGACAAATTTTTACTTATACATATATAGCAGATATGGGCAGTCACATTCACACAAAGGTAATTCCACCGTGTAAATTATAATTTCAGTCACTGCAGCATTGTGTAGTGTGGAGAGATTATAGGTACATTGCTGTTTGCCAGGACATGTATGCATGACTATTCTGACATTTTTAAATGCTATACTGACAATTGGATGGGTTGCAATTTCAGATCTCAGTTGCTCATCATCCCCATGAGTGCTCTTTCTATGGTGACGATGGGAATGTGGATTTTCACCACATTCTCAGGATCATTGATGGCTTTGAGTGCCTCTCTAAATGTAGGCCTGAACAGGGAGACACCGACTGTATGTATGTACCGTCTGTTGAACTTCCTTTGCACTGTACGTAGCCAACCGAGCTAATCGGAGGTGCGGGGGAAGGACAACAAACTTAACACAAAAATCGGTTCGAAAGAAATTAGCTTTGACCAAAGCCCCTTTTGTTCTCCCAACCGACCAAGCCACACGCAATGTCTCCTCCTTCTCATGTTCTCCCAGCCTGTAGCGCGTTCACCTGCGTGCTTGTTTATGTATTTGTGTTATCCATTCACTATGCATCACAGGCTGGTGCGTTTTCTCCGAGTGAACATTGGAGCGGAGCGAGGACGGCCGTGTTGGGGGCGACGGGCAGTGGTGCGGCTCCCGCCACGTCACGTGGCCACGCGCTATTAACGGCGGCCGGGGCGGGCTTCGGCTGTGTGCTGTACCGTTGCATGCAGAGCACTGGAAGTTCCTGCTGTACGCCCGGCAGATGGAGATCCGCGGCGTGGACCCAGACAACCCCTATTTCAACGCCATCATCTCGCTCACGGTACCTGACATCGAAAACGCGACCGCCGTGGATTTCCACGCGGCGGAGCGGCGCCTCTACTGGAGCGACGTGCGCTCGCGCGTCATCAGGCGCGCCTTCATCAACGGCACCGGCGTGGAGACCATCGTCACGACAGGTGCGCTCGCGAGCGCCGCCGGGCCATGCCGCAACCGCCACCCAGCGCACGTTGCCGCTTGCCCTTCGATGAGCGGTTCGGAGAAGGCGATCGTGCGTAGCTCGCGGGAAGAAGAAGTCTGAAGTGTTTGTGATCCACCGTCGAAGTCCACATTTGATTATAGTCAACGTGCCAAGGATGCCACCCGCACTGCTATTCCTTCATCTAGGTCCTACAGAATGTCCACAGTCAACACCTGACTTCAAAGGTTTAGCCTTGCTTTCTCCAACTCAGTATCAGTAGCTGGCCTATAGGCCCCCGCATCAGTGCCTGCCTCGGTATCCTGGCTATTGAAACCCTGCTGGGTGTGTAATCTGAGTTTGTTTAGATCCTTGCACCTGATTTTGCTGGCAAAGGCGTTAGATCACCCCGTAAATGAATATATGAATGCGTAAGTTATGCTGCTTTCAAGGGAAGCTATTCTATTTATCAAGCACCACACAGCAGCTGGGTGGTTGTGCCCGCGTGTGCCCGCCTGTGCAATTGCTCAGATGTGATGAACACGCACGGGCTGGCCGTCGACTGGATCTCAGGGAACATCTACTGGAGCAGCTATGACCACAACAAGAAGCAGATAAACGTGGCGCGTCTGGACGGCTCCTTCAAGGCGACGGTGATAGAGGGTCTGGACAAGCCCCAGGGTTTGGTGTTAAACCCCGCCAGAGGGTAAGGAACCCCCCCAAACCCCAGCGTCTACCTTGCACGACAACACTGTCTTCTCTAGAACCTGTCCCGATTGCGGATTCCCCGCCCCTCGGATTAGCACGGTTGGCTCCGTACGCTGTGAAAGAAGTTCAACGTCCATGTGTTCAGTATTGAATTGTGGGGTCTCAGAGTCTTGAGCACGTAGGCCACTATGAGGGTCCCTTTCATATCACGGGAGTGGCGTTTACCCCTGAGACGTGCGAGGCCTGTTTACTGCCGCTACTTCCGTGTCAAACGAACGTTGAGGAGGTAGTAACTCCACATTCCTACGTCGGGGAGGTGAGTCTATTCGTAGGTCAATGACTGCTGACTCCCCCGCGGAGTGGTACCCATTTTCTTCCAGATTGTTCAGTGGATTCAGCCAAGCCTTGAACAGTGCCTGCCTCGGTGTGCATTGTTCACGTGGGTTCTTGTGTCCGTTTGTACCGATCACGGCTCGCCAAAATGTTTTACTCAAATGTGTAATGGAATAGGCTTCACTTGCCATGTTTATTCGGTGCTGACCCATAAGCATGCACACATCATGGGGGGGGCGGGGTGGGGGGGTGGGGTGGGGGGGCGGGGTGGGGGGCTGTTTCACTCCAGAGAAGAGTATCAGTAATAGTATGTCTTTATGCGCTCGAGCGCCGTGCCATGTAAAGTTAATTTGAAGCATTGGGAAATTAACATTTCAAAATGATTTTTTTTCTTATTTAATTAGTATTGACGCATTGGGTCATAATGGCTGATATTGTGATATAGTTCAGCCGGCTCCTGCAGATTTCTGTTTGTCTTGTACTGATTATGATTGTTTTAGTATACCACTGTCTTCATACATTTTTCAGTCATAAGCTTCAAACAAGACTCAAACATTCGCAAAAAACCAACACAGCCTTTGTGCGTGATGCAAAAAAAACCCTCAGCCATTCGTGAAGAAGTGCATTGTGGTCATCTTTTTTTGCACGACCATCAAGAGTAAATGTGAGGTATGGTGACCGACTGACTGCAGCAGTGATGTTTACGTGGCTATGTGCGTTTCACACCGAAATGAACGTTCGAGGACTCTTATCTGGATCTTCAGCTCCAGCTTGAGACAAATCACCAGCTCAGTCCCTTTGTGCTGTGAGATAGCACTGTCCAAACATACGAACGGGAAAAGCAATCCGTCTAAGCCGTAAATACGTTCCTTTCGACCCGCGAACGTTTGTCTCCTGCTTTACCCACGGATGTGTTCGGTTCTCTTAGAAAGATGTACTGGACAGACGGAGACACCATCAACGTGGCCAACATGGACGGCAGCAGCCGGAAGGTGCTGCACCCCCAGCAAAGAGGGCCGATTGGTGAGACGTCCTTCAGCGCGCCTCCAATGGCATCCGACGCCGCCCGATGTTCGTCACGTTAATTTTTACGGCCTCCCTGAAGGGGGCGTATCGATTCGTTTCGTTTGGCCGTAAAGTAAAAAACAAAATGCACCGTTAAAATCCGGCGGGTCCTCGGCTTGCGCTGCGTGTCCCCCCGCAGGGCTCTCTATCGACTACGACGAGGGCAAGCTGTACTGGATCAGCGGCCAGACTGGCAACATCTACCGTTGCGGCCTGGACGGCACAATGCTGGAGGCCATCGAGACCATGAAGAGCAAGCTCACGAAGCCCACGGCCCTGGCCATCATGGGTAACCGCCCTCACCCCTCCACCTGTCCAGACAACGGACGGAGATCTCGCCCCTTCCCCGCCCTCCTGGCAGTTTATTAAACAAAAGCACGACTTGCTGCATTGCTAGCGGCAATGCCCTGTTGCTCGCATAGATAGGAGCACGAATGGTTCAAGAGATTTTTTGGGGGGAATTTCAGCAGCGTCGATCTTTGTTTGCTTTTTAAAACATTTATTTGTGAGCAGAGACACTGCCGCGTGTTACGCAAAGGCACACCCGTCTGCGAAGCAAGTGTAAGGACAATGGGTGAAAGGTGCCGAGCTTATTCAAAGGGCCAAGTGTGAGTATATGAGGTTGGTCAGTTGGAATAAGTAAGGAGAGTCTCAAAAGGCCAAGCACCACAGCCAGGCAAGAACGGACAACCTCGATGCCACTGCTCTTCCATTACGAACACGGTTGGCTGTGCACGGCGCTAAAGAGGTTCAACATGCGTACGTCCATGAGCGTGTCTTGGCTCGAGCGCGCTCTCGTCGTTTGGCCGCGACCCTTGGCAGGCGACGAGCTCTGGTGGGCCGACACAGCCACCGAGCAGCTGGGAACGTGCAGCAAGAAGGACGGCTCCAAGCCAAAAGTGCTGCGCAACGGCACCGCCGGCATCGTCTACCTGCGCTCGTACGACCCCGACGTGCAGAAGGGTGAGCCCGGAGTGCGTGGTGGGGGGGGGGGGGCAGCGCGCAGAATGAGCAACGCACGCGGAGCACGGGGCGTGGGGCGGACGCGACGGAGCGGCGGGGGAGCGTCGACGCGTGATGGTAGCACAAGGGGCGTCCACTGTTGCCACGGTGCTGCGGGTCTCCTCTATTTATTATGTAGCAAACAGTGTTTTACAGAGTCGATAAATGTAGCAAATTAAAAAAAAAACGCATTTCATACGGTAGAAATTGAGAAAAACAACAAAAGTAATTCGGAATGTTAATTTGAGTTTGCATGCTTTACCGTGCTGTTGAGTAATTTGTGCTGTAAGTAACGTGCTTTTAAACGCAATGCAAATGTTTTAATATTTACTTTTGCCCATCGAGCCAACCAAGTGAGTGTGGGTACCGTGCGACGTGCGTACGTACGTGTGTTCTCCGTTCTCGTGCTCCCAAGGGGAAAACCAGTGCAGCCACCAGAATGGGAAGTGCAGCCAGCTGTGCCTGCCTCGTGCCACCAACCCCATGCCCACGTGCCGCTGCACGGCCGGATTCAACCTCCTGCCCGACCATAAGACCTGCGAAGGTGCGTCCGCCGGCCACGCCTCGCGCACACGGCCTACCCGGAGGCCTTCCTCCTTCCTCCTCCTCTGTTCCCTCCCAAACAGCGCCACAGCAGCGCCGTTTCCAGATGGCGCTCAGATTTTTCCGTCAATATTTGTGATGTGCACCTTAATCCCCCGCACGCGCGCCGAACGGACTCGGAGCAATTTGGTGCTTCGGTGTTGATGTGCCATGCCTGCTAGTGTTTCCGCGAGTGGTCCATGACTGGAATGTTGTCTTCCTTGAATGCGTTTGCAACTTGGCATCTGCGACGTTGCGATTTGTTCACCTAAAATGTATTTTTTTTCACAAAAGGTTCCCCGCGAGTCATTCTGGTGAAAACGGCTCATGGCTGAACGTTTATCACAAACCTCAATGAAAGCAAATCAAAGCGAATCAATCATTTCCGTGATCTAGTGTATACGCCCAAGGTCTGGCATACGCCAAGACAGGCTGTCGCAATGCCCTCGCGCGCGTGATGGTGCCGGCACTGTGCACGTTTTGTGTTGGCGCCTTGAGCAAGAGTTGTGGAAGTGAGATGCGAATCAGATCTGGCTGCCTGAAAATTGTTCCTGATCCTTATATGTGATCAGTGCAGCGACCACTCTAGGCCCCTCTGCTCCTGTCCCATTGTCATAATGATGTTTCCTGTCTTTATCTCTCGTTGATCTTACTCCTTGGAAATGTTTTTTTTTTAAACTATTGGTACAATGCATTTCAGTGCTTGGGAAAAAGGTAATGTTTGACTGTATGCGTGAGAGTGGTGACATCGTGGTTAACGCACTTCGCTATCAAACCGGTAACTTAACTTTAAATTCTGGCCATGGCCAACATCGGTGATGCAAATTTGAATCAGTTTTTGGTCTTCCCCTTCGATTGACTTAGCCTTAAATCAGAGCCTGGTACGGTATAGTAGACAAAGGCAGCGTGGCGCTGGCCACACAACACCCTGCGCCACGCCGGCAATTGTAGGGTGCTCACTCACGGCACTTACCTCCACAGCACTGTATGGCCACACGGGGACCTTTGCCTGAGCGCGTTTGGAGTCAGAGGCAGGTGGACTATGGTTCAGATACTCCACTTAGCATTCCACTAACACAGGCAACAAACAACACAAGTGGCGTTTGGTGTCTAAACATTGCTTCCGCCTCCTCTCGATCAACCCGGGCCTAAAATGACAACCCAGTACCGTAGAGTCACACGCATGAGTACTAACCAAATTAAGGTGACAAGGCATGCATACGTGGTGCAGACTCTTATCACCCCATCGTGTTCCGTGAAAGAGATTTTCACGAACGTCACTTAGCACCTCCGGTGGGCACGGTTGCCGACGTACGGTGCGAAAGAAGTTCAACTTACATACACTGCAGTGCATAACGTGTACGTATCTGTGTGTGTATGTGTGTGCGTGACTGGGTGCATGTCGACAGGCATCAGTGCCTTCCTCCTGTACTCTGTGTACAGTGGCATCCGCGGCATCCCTCTGGACCCGTCCGACAAGACGGAGGTGCTAGTGCCCATCTCGGGCACCACGTCCGGTGTGGGCATCGACTTCCACGCAGGTTGGTCTTGACGTGCACACGTCCGTCCGTCCGTCCGCCCGTGCGTCCGTCACGGCAGCACGGTGGTGAGCCATGCGGGGAAAGCGTGTTTTGCTTTTCTGACGTATTCTGTTCCTGTGTTGTTTTGTCCACGCGTAGCCAATGACACCATTTACTGGGTGGACATGAGGGTGGGCAGCATCTTCCGATCCAACCGAGACCAGACGTGGAAGGAGGCCATCATCACCGGCGGCCTGGGTCGGGTGCAGGGCATTGCTGTTGACTGGATCGCCGGTACGGTTCAAGCCGGGCCACGCTCGACTTTCCTCGCTTCTTGTGCGGATGACGCGTGACCGCGTCTCCTTGCCAGCCGTGCGTGCGTTGACGCAGAGGTTTCAACGACCCGTGAGCAATCCATTTTGACCGAAGCGCTGTTTGCCGCACGCAGGCAACATCTACTGGATAGACCACGCGTTTGACGTGATCGAGGTGGCGCGGCTGAATGGCTCGTATCGATACGTGGTCGTGTCGGAGGAGCTGGACAAGCCTCTCGCCATCGCCGTGCACCCGCAGAAGGGGTACGGCACCCCCGCTCACAGCGCCGCTCCGACCGGCGACGTCGTTCGAGACGCGGTCTGCCTTAGTGGCATTGGTCAGAGTGTGTTGTGGTAGTGCATGTCGATAGACGTGCTGTAAGTCAAGCGGCTCGCCGAGCTGCATTGGCTTCCGGTTACCAAACAAATGCGTTACAAGGTCGCGCTCATGGCACACAAAGTGCTTGCCACAAATGAGCCACAATAGCTCGCTGATCTCATCAAGGAGCATGAACCATCGTCACGCAAACTCCGGTCATCCTCGCAGCAGCGGCGTCTGGCTGGCCATCGAACAAAGATGGTCACTGTCAGACGCGCTTCCGCGGCCGTCTGGACCACTCTTCCTTCCGATATTAGGAAGGCACTGGAGCTATGCACTTTAAATCTAGGTTGAAAACGAATTTCTTTAGAACTGCTTCTTTGTGTTCAGTTTATTGTCATTCCCCCGCACGAAAGAGGTTCAACATACATACATACGTACGTGTGTGTGTGTGTGTGTGAGCGCACCCTCGTGACGCGTTTTCCCCCCGTTAGCTACCTCTTCTGGTCCGAGTGGGGGCACAGCCCCCGGATCGAGCGCACGCTGCTCGATGGCACGGAGCGGATGGCGCTCGTGAACTCCAGCATCGCGTCGCCCAACGGCATCTCCATCGACTACGACGTGGGTCCCCGCAGTCCCACCGCTCATGCGCACGACACCGCTCCCCATGGGTTTGAAATGGATAAGTGAGCAATTTTTTGTTTTGATGAAATCCTGACCCGTTACCCAAACACGCACATTTCAGAGTGTGGGTGTGTGGGTGTGTGTCTATGCTGGAAATAATTATTGAAAGCACCCTCACAGCGCCCCGCTGATTTCATCACCCGCGTTGCTGAACGTAGTTATCTCCTCGTTCGACAACTTGAAACAACTCCCTCTTCACTACAACTCGAATTCCAACCTTCATTCGACAACCGTGATGGTCGAACCACTTTCTTTGTCGAAAGCCAAACGAAAAGCAACCGCTTTAACGGCCAGTGATTGCGAACTCCATTGAAGCGACGGTGGGAAGGATTAAACGCATCGAGGACTGCATCTGGGACTCCCTCCGCCGCAGCGGCTTGAGTTTTACTCTTCGACTCGACCCGGCAGGAGGGGAAGCTGTACTGGTGCGACGGGCAAACGGACAGGATTGAGCGCGTCGACCTGGAGACGGGGGCCAACCGGCATGTGGTGCTCGTCGCCACCACCAGCGACATGTTCTCCGTCTCCGTCTTCGGGAGCCACATCTACTGGAGTGACCGGTGAGCGGATTCCCTTTGTTCCCCCACGCCTAAGCCCCATTGTGAGGGCTGCAGGGCGGACATCCCTTCGCGAAGGCCCGTGCGTACGTTGAATTCCGTTCGCACCCCACGCAGCTGACCGTGCTGATCGAGGTGCTTAAAACCGCGTCGTGTCTTCATCGCCGTGACTGTCCCGCGCCGTGCAGAATGCAAGACAGCGGCTCCATCAAGAGGGGCAGCAAGGACAACACGGCGGACGCGGTGGACCTGAGGACCGGGATCAGCACTCAGCTGAACGAGCTGAAGGTGTACAACAGGGACAGGCAGAAAGGTGATCGCAAACGCGGCCACGAAGACACCCCGAAATGGCACATCCGCATCCGCACGGGCACAATGGAGAACATTTTAATTCACAACAACAAAGCATGCCTGCAATGCTCAAATTCAAAGCTGTTAAAGGTGAAGCTTGACAATTATTATTTGTGCTTCATTGCCAAATGCTTATTCATGACATCTCTAGGTCAAAGTCGAGAGGGTCTCCCTGCTCAAGCACTTGAGCCAGCGTTGGCTAGGAGTCGATGGTGGAAATAAATAATAAAATCCCAATTGCAGTGGCCAGTCTTTCCGTTGGAAAGTCATCGGCGATTTTCCACAGAGTTGGTACTCATTCGGTTGATACCAGAGAGATGATGCCCGTGGACAGCGTCTACCACCGTTCAGACGTTGTACTCGCAACCTTTACCATGATGAGCCAAGCGCTGACCGCAGCGACGCGCAGCTGCTCAAGACAGACGAAGCAGCGCGAGATATTGTGGTTGGTTTGTAACCCGGATCCAGAACTCACACCCGCGGTAAATGATAATTACAAGTACGGCAGCAAAGTTAACTGCGATTACAACGACGATTTCACTGCAAGTCCCCATTCATTAGACGGAATACGCAATCGCAGTCGTAATTGCCAGACCCTTTGTTAAGGAGGCTTCTTCCCGGGCTGCCTCACACCGTCACTTGCTGACCCTCGCCCACCCTGGACGTCTGCGGAAAAAAAGAGCTTCGCGAGCTCATCAGATTCCCCCCTCCAGGTCCAGATGAAAGATTCCGATTCTTCCGATTGGCTGGCGCCGCTCCCTCTCCCCCTCTCCCTCCCCACCGGCCGCAGGCACCAATGTGTGCGCGGTGAAGAACGGCGGCTGCGCGCAGCTGTGCCTGTACCGAGGCGCCCGGCGGAGGGCGTGCGCCTGCGCCCACGGGCTGGTGGCGGCGGACGGCGCCTCGTGCGACGCCTACGATACCTACCTGCTCTACTCGGAGCGCAGCGTGCTCAAGAGCGTGCACCTCTTCGACGAGCGCAACTTAAACTCCCCCGTGCGGAACTTCGAGGACGCGGAGCACATGAGGAACGCCATCGCGCTCGCCTTCGACTACCGCTCGCGCTCCGGCTCCGCCCGGGGTCGGCACAGGATCTTCTTCAGCGACATCCACTTCGCGAACATCCAGCAGGTGTACGAGGATGGCACGGAGCGCAAGGTCGTTGTCGACAGTGAGTACCAACGCTCCGTGACGACGTGTGTGTTGGGTTGCACCACGTGGTGTTCAGCGTGACGTGTGTTGGGTTGCACCACGTGGTGGGTTGCACCACGTGGTGTTCAGCGTGACGTGTGATGGGTTGCACCACGTGGTGTTCAGCGTGACGTGTGTTGGGTTGCACCACGTGGTGTTCAGCGTGACGTGTGTTGGGTTGCACCACGTGTTGTTCAGCGTGACGTGTGATGGGTTGCACCACGTGGTGTTCAGCGTGACGTATGATGGGTTGCACCACGTGGTGTTCAGCGTGACGTGTGATGGGTTGCACCACGTGGTGTTCAGCGCGACGTGTGTTGGGTTGCACCACGTGGTGTTCAGCGTGACGTGTGATGGGTTGCACCACGTGGTGTTCAGCGCGACGTGTGTTGGGTTGCACCACGTGGTGTTCAGCGTGACGTGTGTTGGGTTGCACCACGTGGTGGGTTGCACCACGTGGTGTTCAGCGTGACGTGTGATGGGTTGCACCACGTGGTGTTCAGCGTGACGTGTGTTGGGTTGCACCACGTGGTGTTCAGCGTGACGTGTGTTGGGTTGCACCACGTGTTGTTCAGCGTGACGTGTGATGGGTTGCACCACGTGGTGTTCAGCGTGACGTATGATGGGTTGCACCACGTGGTGTTCAGCGTGACGTGTGATGGGTTGCACCACGTGGTGTTCAGCGCGACGTGTGTTGGGTTGCACCACGTGGTGTTCAGCGTGACGTGTGATGGGTTGCACCACGTGGTGTTCAGCGCGACGTGTGTTGGGTTGCACCACGTGGTGTTCAGCGTGACGTGTGATGGGTTGCACCACGTGGTGTTCAGCGCGACGTGTGTTGGATTGCACCACGTGGTGTTCAGCGTGACGTGTGATGGGTTGCACCACGTGGTGTTCAGCGCGACGTGTGTTGGGTTGCACCACGTGGTGTTCAGCGTGACGTGTGTTGGGTTGCACCACCTGTTGTTCAGCGTGACGTGTGATGGGTTGCACCACGTGGTGTTCAGCGTGACGTGTGATGGGTTGCACCACGTGGTGTTCAGCGTGACGTGGGATGGGTTGCACCACGTTTTGTTCAGCGTGACGTATGATGGGTTGCACCACGTGGTGTTCAGCGTGACGTGTGATGGGTTGCACCACGTGGTGTTCAGCGTGACGTGTGTTGGGTTGCACCGCGTGGTGTTCAGCGTGACGTGTGATGGGTTGCACCACGTGGTGTTCAGCGTGACGTATGATGGGTTGCACCACGTGGTGTTCAGCGTGACGTGTGTTGGGTTGCACCGCGTGGTGTTCAGCGTGACGTGTGATGGGTTGCACCACGTGGTGTTCAGCGTGACGTGTGTTGGGTTGCACCACGTGGTGTTCAGCGTGACGTGTGTTAGGTTGCACCACGTGGTGTTCAGCGTGAGGTTATTGAGTCATAAGCACAATGAGAGTTTTATTTGGGTCTTTCGTGCAGTCACGACAGCTTTAAGTCAAGCAATGAAGAAGGTTGTTGAGTGAAGTACGGGTGTTGGGTGCAGGTTGCAAAATCTTTATTTATTTTTTGATACAGGCACTGGACCGCAGCACACATGGGGGGGTGGGTGGAGAGTCTATTAACTGTGTGCGCCACCTATTTTACGCTGCTAAACTCTGTTAGCCACACCTGGTTGAGGAAACCTGCCGTTGTGCAAGTTCCCATTACACGCTTCTTCAACCAGGACACCCGGGAGCCTGCGCCAAGTCCTGTCTCTCTGATGGGATTGACCGCCGGTTTACATCGCGAGCGGCACCACCTCCCCCCGTGAACCGCGGCACGTCCAAAGACGTTCGCGCGAGCTACAGGGAGAACGACGCCGGCGAACTCGAACACGACAAGGCTCTGAATGAGCAATCCAGAGACGCCTGACCTGGCCGCCAACGGTGTTGGGCGCTCGGCGCACACCCCCAGAGGTGCTCCGAACACGTGCACGTGCACGCTCGCCTTTCGCTGCGAGCGACGATTCATAAAACACGAGTCGGGCGTCAACAAAAGGAGCTGGCCCAACAGATTGTCAGACGATGACTCGGACTCTGCAGAGATTTCTGGCAGGAGGCAGATAACGCAATAGCTGCGTGCACCTCCATCAATCTCTGCCGGCATTTTTTGCGAGAGAAACCTCGTGCAAATGCGAGCCTCAACGGCTTTGGCCGTAATGGAATAAAAAATTAAAAGTGAATTTGAGGAAATTGCATTCCCGCCGTCAGAATTTGCATAATAATCTGACAGGCCGTGTATATTCATGCAACAGTGCACCCTTGCAAGGTGTTTGTTTTTGTTGGCCCTTTTTGTTCATGAAACAAAAATTCATCATCTATTTCAGAGTAATTATGTCAAAATGCGCATCGTGTGATAGTTATTAATGTCCGTGGGGATAAATGCGTGGTGTGATTAAGCAATCACGTACACAGGTACGACACCGCGCGTAATTTCTCGCACGAACACGGACATTCAGGAAGCCTCGTGTAACAATGTTGGCATAATTGTGCTAAACACACAATCACGTCGGTAATGAACTAACAATGTTAATTATTCGGCACCATTTTCTGCACGTCTTTGGTTCACGTCCAAACCTTAATCGGCAGAGTTGTCAAATCTTTACGCGGATTTAATTTCAATATTTTTTGATTGCAATATATGCAAATGAGTATCGCAATTAACTTGGTTTAGTTTTGATGTATGTATGTGTGCGTGCGTGTCTACTGCCACTGCCATTACCAGCTGCGGGATCGTGTAAACACCTGCTCTTTACGATCTTGATGGATCATTATTTGCACATCGGTGGATTTCTGCGCCTGCCGTATCGAAACCCACCATCAAGCCGAACGCCACCTCATTTAACAAATGAATTGCTGGCATGTTCATTTCAAGCGAGGCAGAACATTTGCAGATGGCACTAAAGACGTCCGTTTTACGGGTTTATTGGCAGCAAATCGTGGGCTTGCGGTGATGTCGCCAGGCAACTTTTCGGGAGATAAACAATCATCACTATGAGAGAGAGAGAGAGAGGAAAAAAATGTCCCGTCTCATTTAAATGCCTAAAATATCCTTTCAACCCCGGGTTTTTTGTTTCTCCTGCCAAAACAGAGCGGAGGACGAGAATTGTTTCTGCTCCATTTTCTGCCTTCACGAGACCGTAATTAGCCGCATCGATGGAGTCTTGTGAATTTGCCGCACCGTCCCCCTCCCCCCCGCCCCGGTCCGTGCCTTCAGCTTGACAGCGTTTAAAGTGCACGTCGCTGAGGTGGGAGCCTCGGGTGGAGAATGATTAACATTTTATTCCGTGAATTATTTTGGTCGCAATGGATGGATCAGTTGCCCAGCTTTTGGATAAAAACATTTAATGTTATTATAAATTTTTATTACTACGGTTATTTACGACACGAAAGCCTCAAAGAGACTCTCGTGAGTTTCTTTAAAGGATAGTCCTGCCAAGTCGGTGGCGATGATTTGCCCTGCATATTTTGATTCGAGTAATTGCGGGTAAATCTCTTCACAAATTCGAGCCACACGACGCTGGCACACAAGAGCCTGCTCTCGTCAATGATGTAACGGGATCTTCGAAGCCTGCCGTGAAACAGGCGGCGCGCTTTGCCGAGGTCAGTCGCCAGGGCGGCTGGCTTTTTAACGTAACAAGTGGGCAAGCGTTCTTAACCTGCTAGGCCGTGTCACCGCAAATGTCTGCGCGTGGGCAGGGATTGACCCTGGCGTCGTTTCCCCGAGGCACCCAGCACCTCGCGCCGCACTCGAACACCTCCCACAGGTCCCTGCGGAACTGCCTGGACAGAAACGCGTAGATGAAGGGGTTGATCACCAGGCTGGTCAAGGACATCAGGCGGGCCAACATGAACATCTCAAAGTTCAGTTGAGACTGCTTGCCCAGCGCCGTCAGGTACATGACCACGTACGACGGCAGCCAGCACACCACGAAGGCCACCACCAGCAGGACAACGGTGACGGTGAGCCGCTGGTTGTAATTGTCAAAGGCGGGGCCCCGCGACGCACGCAGCTCGCTCGATGGGCTGCGCCGACGCTTGCTCACGTAGCAGACGAGGCGGCAATAGGCGAAGCTGATAATGAGCAGCGGCAGGACAAAGCAGCTGATGAACAGAACGGAGGCGTAGGCGATGTGGCTGCTGCTGTTGTCCACCATGTGGATGGCCAGGCAGTACAAGGGCTCCACGTGCAGCCTGTTGTAGATGGGCTGCGGCAGAGCGATGGCGAGCGCCGGGAGCCATATGCACGCGAGCATGGTCACGTGCATGGCCCACGAGCGCGAGAGGCGGTACGCCCAGCTCACGTGGGCCACTGTGACGTACCTGCGAAGCCATCGGTCGTCAGGGCGCTCGGCACGATCGCAAAATCACGAAGAGTGCCTCTGCTTAAACGATCCACGGAGCAGCAATCATATCTCAGCTTCCCCGAGTCATTCCTGGAAACGTTTCATTCCTACGACGTGGATTGGCCCTCTGTAAGGAGGCATCCGTGACGGCGAGCCGCTGGTTCGCAACCTCTGATTAGCATGATTGGCTACGTACGGTGCGAAAGAAGTTCAAGCTAGTGATTCACCTCTTCTCACTCTGCGCATAGATAGCATGTTAGAATAAGTTGACCGCGTTTCGAGGCATCATTCCACTCTGGCGAGCTCCCGAACAAAACGGCGCAGCACGGGAGGGGGGAGCGTGGAGCGGGGTGGGGGGGGGGGACTGACCGGTTGAGAGAGAGCACGGTGAGCGTGAACACGCTGGCCGAGGTGCACGCCGTGGCCAGGAAGCTGAGCAGCTTGCAGAGCGCCGCGCCGAAGATCCACTCGTGCAGGACGATGGAGGCGGAGTTGAACGGCAGGCAGGCGAGCTGGGTCAGGTCGGCGATGCTCAGGCTCAGCAGCAGCATGTCGGTGCGGCTGCCGCTGAGCCCTTTCCGGCGCTTGCACGACAGGATGACGACGACCAGCGCGTGGCCCAAGACGCCGCTCACGAGGATCGCCGCGTCCAGGATGGGGATCGCCACGCCGCTCCAAGACGACGAGGCCGACGCCACCGCCGTGCCTCCGGACGCCGCCGCCGTGTGGGTGGCCGGTGCCGAAGTGCTGACGTCCGACGCGATGGCCATTTTTGTCCCCTCCATCGTCGATACCGCGGGCGTCGGTTGACCACTCGCCGATGAAACCTTGAAACTCGACCACCTTTTTTTGTTGCCGTTGCTTAACCTTGGTTATTCGTGGCGGTGAAATTTTCACCGCTTTTCCCACCGGCGCTGGCTGAGGTGGCTGGTTTACTGCTGAGCTCCCCAGCGGGGTCGAGCGGTGATATTCGCGACCGTGGCTGCTCCCACAGCCTTCCCGCTGCCTCGGCTCCTCTTCTGCTTCGTCCACCGCTGGCCAGAGCCGAAATTGCGAACTTTGGCCCCCTATTTTTACTGCCCTCTTGCAAGCTGGTTACGTCCATAAACGGGCACCGTTCTGTTTATTTTTCCCTTTGACGAGTAACCTCCCGTATGCCTGTAAAGCTACGTTAAAAGACTTTTAAAGCCTAACGACTTGCCTTTCAGTAGCTTCTCCCCGTGGATAAAACCTCCGTTGGCAACTCCTTCTCAAACGTTTTTTTTTTACACCTTCACGGCGTTCGGTGTTGACCGGTGGGAATAAAGACGGCAAAGTTCGCCGAGAAAACCGCGGGCCCTCTGTGTTCGCCGGCCAGACGAGCGCTCAAAGGAGCCGCGCCGACACTCGTCGAGACCGTTTGTTCGCTTCCACACCACCGCCGATGTTCACCCGTGCCTCGTTGTTGTGGCAGGAGGTGGTGGGATGCAGCAGGATTTAATAAGTCATCTATTCCTGCCCCCGCCCCCCCCAGAGGTCCTCCGTACCAGTCCCCAGCTTCGGGAGTGCGCCCCTTGGCACGTGCTGTTTTTCCTTCCCTCGTAACATTCAAAGGATTTTTTGTTTTTTGACACGGCTCTTGTTTTGAGAGCGTCTCCGTAGAGTTGTTAAATGTAATTGAGTCTGTGCTGGGAATATGCATATTTGCAGCAAATTGTATAGCTGCATTCTGAGCCATCTCGCTGGAGAACATTGCAAATGGAAAATAAAATGCCTTGTCGGTTCATTTTTGCGTTTAAATTATTTGTCTGGCTTCAAACTATTGAAGGTAATTTGTTATAAGAAAGTCTGTAACCGTTGACTGAGATGACATGGGTTGCAATCCGTACGGTTGTGGGAATGCATCTCGCGTGGAGTTGCTATTATGGAGCGTGGGTAATTTTTATAATGTTCACGAGGTTCGCACAGCAGCTGAGAAATACGTCTCGAGTAGCTCATCCGACTTCGCGAGCAACAAGCGAACCGTGAACGGAGAGGGATTGTAGGAAGGATGCGACGCGCGATTGTTCCCGCAGGCCCTCGGCAGGCCCTCCTCCCAGAGCCTTTGATGAGACGCCGCGTTCTTTGTACCTCCGAAGCAGACGCGGAGGCATCGTGGCTCTCGGCGTGGCTCCGTTTCTTGACATTGAATTCCAAGCGCGCAGCACCGCAAATTACGCAAGAAATGTGTCCAACCACCGCCCACGTTCACTGGTTGGGTCGATGTCTTACAGCTCCACGCTCCCCACTCCCCTTGTGTCGCGAGTCTTTTTCCTTCCATTGCCTGTGAAGTTTACACTCGGACGTACGTACGTAGCCACCCGTGCTAATCGTACGTGCGGGTTTACGTCTCTGCATGTCTAATATTATTGTGGTTAACCGAGGCGCACTGATTAGCATCCTACCATGGATTCTATTTTGGCTCGTGGATATTTTAACTTGTTAATATCCCTATCTAATACTCAATCACAAATTGTAATTACAATGATGATAATATCTGTTGTTTTAATAACAGCGTCTCCCATTGACAAATCACACAAAGCGCTGTACGTGTGAAATGTTTTCGCTCGAGGTGAAAAAAAATAAACGAGCACCTGATGCAGTCATTGAAAGGTAGCGACCTAGAGGGCATCGTCTTGACCACGCCACTCACCTGAGCACGTTGCCATCCTAAAGGGGTGCTCGCTGATATTACTTTGTTCCAACATTTTAATGGCTGTGGGGGAGCGGGAGATCTCTCTCTCTCTCTTTGTTGTCTGGTTCTGTTACGTTTGTTTTCATGTGCGTGTGCCTTTTCCTGATTCCGTGCGCCTGTGACTATCTGTGTGCGTGGGTATGCGTGCATGTGCTCGTACGTACCTCTTTGTGAGTTTGACTCCTGGCAATGTATGATATTCTCTTTGGTTCTTTCGGTAAAGTCACGTAGATATAAAATAAATAAAAATTAAATTATTTTATTTTCTACCTACGTGACTTTACCGGAAGAACCAAAGAGTATGGATCCCTGCAGTCATGAAAACTTCAAATCTAGAATGTATAATATTCTTTGCCCTGGATTTCTCCAGGATAACGAAAGGTTCTGATTCTAATGTAAGTTCGCCCAGTTCCGCACCCTCTCCGAGGCCAGGTGAAGTGGGTACCTTGTGCCGTGAATAAATATCAGCCCTGGGGAGTGGAAGATGGCCATGTGTGGTGCTAACAACACCACCCCATGGTGCAAATGCAGGTCTTAATGGGTGCTCGCTAACAGAAGTCGTACGTCTGTATGTTTAACTTATTTCGCACCGTACGTAGCCGACCGTGCTAATCGGAGGTGACCCCCCCCCCTCCACCCCCCATCAATTTTATATCACCTACATGGGGAATGTTTGTCTTTTATTTTGTGTGTATGTGCGTGTGCCTGTTCACGTGATTTTTATGTGATCCTCCCCCTCCGACCCTGGCAGACGTTGGCTCGGTGGAAGGGCTGGCGTACCACCAGGGCTGGGACGCTCTCTACTGGACCAGCTACACCACGTCCACCATCGTGCGCCACTCGCTCGACCAGTCCCGGCACGGGGCGTTCAAGCGCGAGACCATCGTCACCTTGTTTGCCGACGACCACCCGCGCTCCTTCGCCATGGACGAGTGCCTCGAGTGAGCCCCCATGGCAGGGTCGTGACGTCACCCCCGTGGCAGGGTCGTGACGTCACCCCCGTGGCAGGGTCGTGACGTCACCCCCGTGGCAGGGTCGTGACGTCACCCCCGTGGCAGGGTCGTGACATTGGCGTACAAAAAGAATAATACACGGATTCATACACGGATTCATACAGGGATTCATACATGGATTCATACACGCGAGGCTGTTCCACTAATCTGTGCGCTATTTGTTTGGAGAGAAAAAATGTATTGAATTTATGAAGCGATTTTTTATGATTTCATTATCGATGACTGAAATTCCATTAGCGTGGCAAACGTAATTTAACTCGGTTAAAAACTAAAAAGCGTGTCACCTCGAGTGAACTAAAATGGAGCTCCCCAAATATTCACTAATGAGTAAACAAAATGGATGTGACAGGTAATTGTTTAAAATTACGCCGTGATGAACGAACGCCTATTTTTATAGAATCAATTGCAGGAGGCTGCTGCTGCTGCACACTTTCATCATGAGTGTGCTGCCGTTCGCTGCTCACACCGCGTTGCATGTCGTTGAACTTCTTTCGCACCGTAAACACAGCCAACGCTGCTAATCGACACTCGATTTTGCAGCCTCATGTTCTGGACCAACTGGAACGAGCAGAGGCCGAGCGTCATGCGTGCCTCCCTGTCGGGCTCCAGCGTGCGAGTGATCGTCAACAGCAACATCCGCTCGCCCAACGGCCTGGCCATCGACCACCGCGCGGAAAAAATCTACTTCTCTGACGCCACCCTCGACAAAATTGAACGCTGCGAGTATGATGGCTCTCACCGCTACGTGAGTGCCGTCTTCCTCTCCGCGTCCTTCCCCTGCCCCCCCTCCCCTCTGCCCCCCCCCCCTCCCCATTCCTGAGAGGGACAGAATTTTACCGTTCTTGACTCTTATGTACAGTACGTGTACAGTATGTTTAACTTTTTTCGCGCCGTACGTAGCCAACCGTGCTAATAGGAGGTGCAGGGGAAGGACAACAAACTAAACACAGAAAGCAGTTCTAAAGAAATGCCTTTTCAATCTAGATGATGGTTTAACAGTGCATTGCTCCAGTGGCTTCCAAATATCGAAAGGAAGAGCGTTCCAGACGGCCGCAGGAGCATATCTGAAAGTGCACGATGCAGTGACCGTCTCTGTTCGATGGTGAGCCGAAATCCGCAAAGATGACTGGGGCTCGTTTGATTGTTTATTCTCCTTGACGAGATCATCAAGGTATTTGCGGTTAATATGTGGCGAGCACTTTGGCTAAAATCATTATTGTCATGAATCCCTGACAGCCTTTCCCCATACTCCCGTGTTCCCTCTGCTGTACACCCAGCTATGTACACTACAGCTTTGTGCACTCCGGGAAGCATTAGCCGCTCTCAACCTCCGCTCACTTTCTTCATCGTCGTCAGCCGTGATCAATCCACTGCTGGATAAAAAAAATCCTTTACAGGCCGAGGCCAGCAGCTCCCACGATCCCGTAGTGCAGTGGTGCACCTCCCATCTCCACGTCCCATCCCTTGGGCCACTCCATATTTATTCACTTCCTTCATGTCGAAGCCAATCCTTGTATCCTGTTTTATATTTATAGAGGGCCTTAAGTCAAGGCGCTTTCGATGGCAAAGGGGCGGGGGGGGGGGGAAGGGCGTGCAACGGCCAAGGATTGAGTGACCGTAACAGAGGGCACATAGGGGTTATTAAAGGGCAGGGGAGGGACGGGATGGAGTGGGGTGGGGAAGAAGAAGAAGGGGAATGGGCAATGGAGGAGAGGTGAGGCTTTGCAAGGGATGACTTCACGCGTGTCTTGCTTCCCTCCGTGTCCCTCGCTTCATTTCGCTCTCCCCGTGCGTCTCAGGTGATCATCCAGTCAGAGCCCACGCATTCCTTTGGCCTGGCCGTGTACGGCGACTTCTTGTTCTGGACGGACTGGGTGCGGCGCGCCGTGCTGCGCGCCAACAAGTACACGGGCGAGGAGCTGACCCTTCTGCGCCGGGACATTCGCCAGCAGCCCATGGGCATCGTCGCGCTGGCCAACGACACCAACAGCTGTGAGTTTCCGGGCCCTGGCACAGCCCCCCCCCCCCCCCCCCCCCCCCCCGAGCAGTAGCCGGCCGCTGTGAGTGTGGCCTTGCCGCCTTCTGTGGGACCCAGCCCTTGGACGGCTGCTTCATAGAGGGTTCAAGGCAAAGGAACAGCCCTGCAATTGTTCGCTGGCGTGAAGGGACCTCCTCCGCTCGAGGGACGCTCTGGAGAGAGCCCCTCTGAAAGGGGATTCGTGGAGATTTCTTCCATGCAGGCCCGGCATCTTTGGAGGAGGTGGGAGCCATCCACACCCCACCAAATGTCACGTGCTGATCGACTAAATCCGTTTATCCCGCTGGGCGGACAGGGTTGCGGGGGGGGGGGGGCATTTAAGAAAATTGCCGATTATTTCCACTGCCGCGCCTAGAGGTTGAACCGGCGACCTCAGTCCAGTCTTCTGACCACTGCAACCACGGCCTCTTAAACGCCCATAAGAGCATCGGCTCCATTCAAGTGAATAACCTCATCCAGTGTCAATGCTGCAATGTCACGATGCCGCGCGGTCGTTTGATCGCCACCTCTCACTTCGCAACTCTGGCGGCTTCTCTTGCCGCAACCAAACCCTGGCACCTTTCGGCATCGCGTGCGGCGCATGGGCCCGGCGTGACGAGAGCAGGCGACACCTCCTGCCGGCGCTGGGGCTCACTGGAGCGGCGGCGCTGCCGTCAGCACACTGCGCTACGAACCCGGCGACCCGAGTTCGAATCGCGCTCACGGCCAACAGCACAAGACAAAGACCTGAACCGGTCCTGGGCCTCCCCTAGGTCGACTCGGCCTTAAATTAGTACCTGGGTGTGGTGTGTAGTAAACATCGCCACTGGGCAAACAAAGTCGGTCTGGCGTGTTTGGCGCTGACCACCCACCCCCTCTCGTGCCGTGCCGGCCTTCATAGGTGCTGCTACTCACTTGCCCCAACAGTCTGTTTAGGCTACACGGGGGATCTTCGTCGTTTTGTGTGTGCACGCAGGCATGCTCTCGGCGTGCAAGCACGCGAATGGCGGGTGCGAGGACCTGTGTCTGGTGGATGAGTACGGCGAGGTGACATGCCAGTGCCGCGGGGAGCGGACGCTGGTGGACAGAACGAGATGCGTGGGTGCGAGATGCGTGGGAGTGAGATGCGTGGCAGTGAGATGCGTGGGTGCGAGATGCGTGGGAGTGAGATGTGTGGGAGTGAGATGCGTGGGTGCGAGATGCGTGGGAGTGAGATGCGTGGGAGTGAGATGCGTGGGTGCGAGATGCGTGACAGTGAGATGCATGGCAGTGAGATGCGTGGCAGTGAGATGCGTGGGTGTGAGATGCGTGGGAGTGAGGTGCGTGGGAGTAAGATGCGTGGGTCTGAGATGCGTGGGAGTGAGGTGTGTGGGAGTGAGATGCGTGGGTCTGAGATGTGTGGGAGTGATGTGCGTGGCAGTGAGATGCGTGGCAGTGAGATGCGTGGGAGTGAGGTGCGTGGGAGTGAGATGCGTGGGAGTGAGGTGTGTGGGAGTGAGATGCGTGGGTCTGAGATGCGTGGGAGTGAGGTGTGTGGGAGTGAGATGCGTGGGTCTGACATGTGTGGGAGTGATGTGCGTGGCAGTGAGATGCGTGGCAGTGAGATGCGTGGGAGTGAGGTGCGTGGGAGTGAGATGCGTGGGTCTGAGATGTGTGGGAGTGAGATGCGTGGGTCTGAGATGTGTGGGAGTGAGATGCGTGGGTCTGAGATGTGTGGGAGTGATGTGCATGGGAGTGAGGTGCGTGGGTACGGCATGCAAGGGGCTTTGGAGTACATTCGGTTGCACGTTTATTTATGTATTTATAATGCCGAGGAGCTTGAATGGGTCACGTGTTCATTTTGTGACCGTAGAGTTGAGAGTAACGTTAAGATGGGAAATGTCAGCCGTAGCTCATGAATAAGAAATGTTAATTCACTGACTCGCTTCAAATTACAACATCATGGGGTTGAGAAGGACTTTTACAATCAGTGACTTCGCTTAACTCCAGGCATTTAACCTGGAAACAATAAAATTCATAACTAGTCTCGGGTTACCCAAGTCACGTCACTCTCCGTGACCACCTCGACCGCCATATTCAGTTTTTGCCACCCATTGCTCATTTCACGTACGAGCAGAAGCCCTTTGCTCCCATACTTGAAGACTGACCTAGGAGACGTTACGTCTGACCTCACCGAACGTCTTCTCTGTGGCCGGTGGGGGGGACCCAAGCCAAGGGCAGGTGGTGCGACCTGCAGACCGAATTCGAGTGCACCAACGGCGACTGCATCCGCTTCTACCTGACGTGCGACGGCGTGCCCGACTGCAAGGACAAGTCGGACGAGAAGTCCCTCTACTGCGGTACGCCGCCCACCTCCTCACCCACGCTCCTCCGCTGTCCCACAATGCCCTCCCCCTGCCACCCAGCAGGATTTACTCAAACCCCACCACCCCCCCCCCCCGCCCTCCATGGAGCGCAAATTAAATCTCAAAATCACAGCAGCCTCGCTGAGGGCAGCTATAAATCCGAGCACCGCTCGAGAGCCACTGTGGGTGTCGCGGGTGTCCGGACAACCTCACCCACCCCAACGGACTCAGTGGCTCAGTGGCGCCGACAGAATGTTCCGCGGCCCCTGGGCAGAGAGGAACGCGCTGTGGCGGCCTCAGTGGTGAATGAGGGGGCGTCGGAAAGGATGGGGGTCGCTTTTTTTGCATCTGCAATCCAAACAACAGTCAACGGGAACCGGATGAGACATCCTCGTCGGTGTGCGTACCGGTTGCGCGAGTGTGCGCCGATGATCACGAGACGTAACCCTTGCACGAGCCTCGGTTAAGAATCCCAACACTTTGAGGACGCTGTCACAATCATTTTGGGCAAGTACTAATGAGGTCCCCGAGGTGTAAATGTTCATCCTCACCACATTTTTAGGGGGGTTTCCCAGTGGCGTATTGCAGCAGCGAACATTGATGACCGTACTGTACTGGTGAGTCCTAACGAGGACACCAGCAGTCGACAGTTGTGCTTCCCTTTCACTCCTACCTGTTGGGGGTGGCCAACTTTCGTTGGCGGTCTCCACGACGAAATGGCCATGCGTGCAGTTCTGTTGTTGCTGGTGGTTTGGGTAAGTCCGAGAGCTTTTGTACATGCAATGATTGCACACCTTCCCGTACGTTGTTAAAACTGCATCGTCACATTGCTCCGTTGTGGGGTTTTTTCTTGGCCATGAACTGGAGTGGGTCGTGAAATTGACCCTTTTTTTTTCCTGTGCTACGTCACGCGCGGAGCACTCGTCACTTCCTTGTTTTTATTGCAGACAACCGTCAGTGCAAGAGCGGCTACCAGAAATGCCTCAACGGCCGGTGCATGGAGCATGAGAAATGGTGCAATGGCGTGAACGATTGTGCAGACAACTCGGATGAAACTTCCTGCAAAAGTGAGAGGAAAGCCCCTTTCGATAAAGGCCCTTGTCTAGCGATGCAATCGTGCGTCGTACGCACATGGAACAATGCCACAATGCACCCCGGGCCGCCACCTAAAAGAAAATTTAGACCAATTCATTGAGCCGACGTTGTTATACCTGTAAGCAAATTCACCCGCTATTCCTCACGGCGGTTGGAGAAAATGTTTGGGCGGTAAAATATTCGGCCGCTTTGCGCGCCGATGCACGGCGGCTTGCAAGGTGGACGGCTTCGGGGACTGAAGACCGTGGCGTGGCACGTGAACGGGCCAGGCACGCGGACCCGGGGGGGGGGACCCTTCTGTGACTTTTGCGCGCGCGTGTGTTGGCTTTGCGTGCGTCACAGACGCGACGTGCGCGGACCATGAGTTCCGCTGTGGTAATGGCGTGTGCCTCCCCAACGCTACGCGCTGCAACCAGCTGGCGGATTGCGACGACGTCTCGGACGAGGTCGGCTGCGGTACGTCGTGCGGATCCCAAGTCAGCAACAGGAGGAATCCGATGAGCTCTGAAGCTCCTTTCAACAGATGTCCAGTAGGGGCGGGTCAGAACGTTGCAACAACAAACAATAGAAAAGCACGATAAGAGTGCAAAATGTAGAAAAGGTCGTGAAATAAGCACTATGTTTACCAGGTAAAGCCCACTGAGCTATTAGTTTATTTTTTAGAAGCGACCTGGACACAAATGATAGCTCAACAAAGTGGCTTATCACGTGGAAACTTACAACCACAAAATGATATGAATGCATGTTTAGATTATGTAGTGCAAGGGAATCGGCGTTTTGGGGGCTCCTAAAAGGAAAGCAGCTGCCGGCAAAGGGTATAGGGGAGCCCGTCACCACGTCTCGAGTCGGGCAGGCACGTGCGTGTGCTGACAGTTCCCTGCCATCCATCACCGTGTCCTCTCTATGCAATCTTCACGTAGACTGTGAGCAGCCGATGTATGGTTCAATGCGCCACTGAAAGTATGCGTTCCCTATAGTTGGCTGTGAACAGCAAATTACAAGCACCGGATGTGACGTTGCGCCATAATACCGAGGCTATCCGCCCCTCTGCGTCGGTGCCGATGGTGTTGGCTGCCATGGCACGCATCTCAGATTTGTTCGGGCGTGTTCCGCTCTGCGCTGCCGGGTGTCATGTGCAGGCGTCATGGACTGCAGCCACTTCCACCGGCTGGGCGTGCGGGCGTCCGGCTACGTGAGCTGCAACTCGACGGCGCTATGCTTGCTTCCCGCCTGGATCTGCGACGGCGCCAACGACTGTGGGGACTACGCCGATGAGCAGAACTGCAGAAGTTAGTTTTGCGGGAGACGGGCCGAACCCCTGCAGCTGCTGATGAGAGCACCACGTGCAGATGGACACGTGGGCCACTCGTGCTCGCGTCACACCTCGCACAAATGCTTCCAGGTCATTTGTCATAGCGATAGCTGCTAAGCCTGCGGTTGTGCGTTAATCTGTCTAGCATCCAGTTATTTTACGATAATTTGCGCAGTCATCGCCCCCACCCAACTGCCACAATACAGTCGCCTCCGATACACACCACACACACCACCCACCCACAGTCGCCTCTGATACACACCACCCACCTACTCCACCCACCCAGTCACCTCCTATCCATACCACTCACCCATATTCATATCCATTAAATTAAACATTGTAGATAAAATACGTTTAAATATATATATTGGATGTTCAAAAACAGATGCAGACGTGGACTCGGATACGTGATCAAGTATGCTTCTGGGCATTACTGAAGCATCATCAACTGATTTAACGATTTAAGAAAACTACCGAGGAACTTTGTTCGAATATATGAATTTGGTGGTTTCACGTGAACACCCATGCTCCTACAGGAATGTGAAGGCCTTGAGTACTGAGCTACTCCAAACCAGGAGGCACTGGAGGGTGAGCTGGGCCTCCCATGCACACGCGGCCTCCGAGCCTGCCGCTTGGTTCGTCGTCTGTGTCTTCCCTGCCTCGCGATTCCTACGTGCAAGCACCGCCGTGTCCTCTGTGCAGCCGCGTTTGCCCTGCCCTCGCCCTGGCCCTGCCCTCGCCCTGCCCTCGCCCTAGCCCTGCCCTCACTCTGGCACTGCCCTCCTGTGCTCCCTCGCAGAGCGGCCGAGTTCTCTGAGCTGCAGCTCAGGATTTTTCGGGTGCCCAAACGGCCGCTGCATCCCCGTCGCGTGGAAGTGCGACTCGGAGCCCGACTGCCTGGACGGCGCCGACGAGAAGAACTGCAGTGAGTGGGCGCCTGCAGCACCGCCTCGTCTCCCTGTTAATGTTTTGTCGAAACGTAACCGACGGGCGCATCGCGCCGGGATGCCGGGAGTGGCGATGCTGACCGGGGCAGGGACCTTACGGGGTGGTGGCGGCTGTGTTGCAGACTTGCTCTGCGCGTGGGACCAGTTCGAGTGCGGCAACCACCGCTGCATCAGCAGGCACTGGAAGTGCGACGGGGAGGACGACTGTGGCGACCAGTCGGACGAAGCGGATGCCCTGTGTGGTGAGTGTCCTGTGTGGTGAGTGCCTCCTGTGTGGTGAGTGTCCTGTGTGGTGAGTGCCTCCTGTGTGGTGAGTGTCCTGTGTGGTGAGTGCCTCCTGTGTGGTGAGTGTCCTGTGTGGTGAGTGTACTGTGTGGTGAGTGTCCTGTGAGGTGAGTGCCCTGCGTGGTGAGTGTCCTGTGTGGTGAGTGTCCTGTGTGGTGAGTGTCCTGTGTGGTGAGTGTCCTGTGTGGTGAGTGCCCTGTGTGGTGAGTGTCCTGTGTGGTGAGTGTCCTGTGTGGTGAGTGCCTAGTGTGGTGAGTGTACTGTGTGGTGAGTGTCCTGTGAGGTGAGTGCCCTGCGTGGTGAGTGTCCTGCGTGGTGAGTGTCCTGTGTGGTGAGTGTCCTGTGTGGTGAGTGTCCACCCTGTGTGGTGAGTGTCCTGTGTGGTGAGTGTCCTGTGTGGTGAGTGCCTCCTGTGGTGAGTGTCCTGTGTGGTGAGTGTACTGTGTGGTGAGTGTCCTGTGTGGTGAGTGCCTCGTGTGGTGAGTGTCCTGTGTGGTGAGTGTCCTGTGTGGTGAGTGTCCTGTGTGGTGAGTGTACTGTGATGTGAGTGTCCTGTGTGGTGAGTGTCCTGTGTGGTGAGTGTACTGTGATGTGAGTGTCCTGTGTGGTGAGTGTCCTGTGTGGTGAGTGCCTCCTGTGGTGAGTGTCCTGTGTGGTGAGTGTCCTGTGTGGTGAGTGTCCTGTGTGGTGAGTGTCCTGTGTGGTGAGTGCCTCCTGTGGTGAGTGTCCTGTGTGGTGAGTGTCCTGTGTGGTGAGTGCCTCCTGTGGTGAGTGTCCTGTGTGGTGAGTGTCCTGTGTGGTGAGTGTCCTGTGTGGTGAGTGCTTCCTGTGGTGAGTGTCCTGTGTGGTGAGTGCCGTGTGTGGTGAGTGCCTAGTGTGGTGAGTGCCCTGTGTGGTGAGTGTCCACCCTGTGTGGTGAGTGTCCTGTGTGGTGAGTGTCCTGTGTGGTGAGTGTCCTGTGTGGTGAGTGCCTCCTGTGGTGAGTGTCCTGTGTGGTGAGTGTCCTGTGTGGTGAGTGTCCTGTGTGGTGAGTGCCTCCTGTGGTGAGTGTCCTGTGTGGTGAGTGTCCTGTGTGGTGAGTGTCCACCCTGTGTGGTGAGTGTCCTGTGTGGTGAGTGTCCACCCTGTTTGGTGAGTGGAGTAGTGCTGAACGAACCCCGTCGTGATGCAAACCCAAGCAGGATGGCAAATCTCTCATTCACAACAACAACAACTCAAAAGTCCACGTGGATTTTCTGCTCAAAATAACCATCGAGGCAGTGCTCATCTCCTGTTTGCAGCCCTGAGCCGGTGGTGGAAATTCCTCATTCCAACGGCGGCCTAAGGAATATCAATAGGGCAATCAACTGTTGTCCTCCCCACAAAGTAGTCCTCAATTTATCAACCGCAGAGGGATGATGGACCGAGTCAACCCCCAATACTGCGATTTTAATTATAATTTCGGGCCGCTCGTTCTACGGCTGAGTCACCTTGCTCGACACGGCAAATCTCTACAATTGAGCCAATTCCCCAGGCGCGGTCAAACTCCTGGCATGACGCACACCGTTTAAGTGGGGTCTTTTGTGAAATACACACGTGTTACCGTCTATATGTGTGTGAATATTTGCGTGTGCGAGCGTTCATGTGAACAGAATCGACCTGAATTCTCAATGCTGAGAAGATCGCTATGATCGCGGCGTTAATCACGTGAGAGTGCAGCGAGTCAGCACTCGGTCGCGTGTGAATCACGCGCGTCTCACGGTGAGCCTGGCCTGGGGTCGGCCGCGTAGCCAAGTGGATGCTCAGCATCAGCACGTCTTGGCAGCAATGCCTTCAAATCGTCGCATCATTGCAATCTATAGCTGTGCTCCACCTGCACACCGTATCTTCTTGAGATACGTTTGAATCTATAGCAAAGATTTAATGCAAAGTGTCCACCCAACTCCACTGAGCTTTAGCAAAGTGCTCATGTGTACATTCCTATGACAAACCACTGCTGACTTCCCGCAAAGTGACTCCAGAAGGGTAGTGACGAGTTGAGTCAGCTCTCCAGCCCAGATGTGTTCTCACAGCCTTCCAGATGTGAGTCGAGTGCTCTGACCGGGTCGCTAAATTTAAAGTACGAATCTCTAGTGCAAAAATATCTTGCGTGCGGGAGTGAATAATAATTTAATTATAATTATTTATGTAGTTTATTGTTAAAAATTCGGTCACAGTCCCTATGATCACTGTTACATTGGATTTATGGCTTTTATTTTGGTGATTTCGAAAAGGTTTTTTTTGTTTGGCCATGTTTTTGTTTATTGTAGTACGGAGTTAGACTGATGACCTTAACCTTAGTTGTCTTGTGGTTGTTGTTGTTATTTGACTTGCATCCCACTGGGATTTTTGCACACAGCGTTGGTGTACGGTGCTATTTCAGGAATATTTTGATATTTTTTTCCTGTATTTTCTGTTTGCACAGTCACATAATCACTTTAAGATGTTTTCTTGTTCGTGTTTTTTGTTTGTTGCGGTTGCACCCGATTCAAGAGCCGAATGGCTCACAGGGCTATACCAAATAAATGAACTATGAACTATGAATGGTGGTGTGTGGCAACCCAATTGCAGAATGATGATCATGAGAGATCCCGACAACATGGGGAGGCCTTCCTGTCCCCCAGTGGATAGATCACATCTGATGATTATCACGATTGCTATGATGATGACACATATTTGTAAGCTGAGGTTTACACTGACCACAATAACCTTTGGAAGTATAGTGCGTGAGTCTGCATGAACGCCAGTGGATGTCGATCTATTCACTGCCACACTGCTGCACGTGCCCTCGCTTTGCACCATGGGGCAGCGTGTGTCCTGTGGGGCCGTCCATAAATGACGTCACGCGATTTTGGACGATTTTTTTACACCCCCCCCCCCTCATCACACGGCGTCACAAAAAGTCAGACCCCCCCCCTCAAATATGACGTCACAAAGCTCTGCCCCTCCCCCCCCCAAATAAATAAAACATGCTTCAAATCGCTTTAAACTATTGTCATTGTAGTGCGTATTTAATGTTGTAGGAGAAAACATGTATTAAAAAGTCTATTTAATTAAGTAGAACGTGTTGTCCTATATTTATTTAAAGTTGTGCAATTTGATGTGACGTCACATTTCTCAAACCCACCCCACCCCCCCCCGCTCGTCACACATCGTCACAAACGTCTGACCCCCCCCCCCACCCCCTAGGTGCGTGACGTCATTTACGGACGGCCCCTGTGCTTGCACTGAGCGCGGGAGCTGTAAGTGTTCACGGTGTATTAGCGCACAGCGCTACAACGCCGGCCGCGTGCGCTCCCGATGCCCGCTCACGACCAATAATGGTGACGAGCATGTGGGCTCACTTGAGATTTGACCCAGTCTGAAACAATACGCGCCTGCTGCGGTGCGTAAACATCGGCGCTCGGGGAGAACAAAGGCAGCAGGGCGTAGGTGCTACTCACGCACCTTCTCGCGCCCTGTGGGGGCCTTAATAGGTGCTTGCTAACAGCACGGTCTATTGTAAGCTTACGTGGGGGGGGGGGGGGGGTGGTGGTGGGATCTTTGTCCTTGTTTGCCAAGAGAGCAGCGTAGTTTCCCCATCCCCTCTGGTCCAGGTCACGTGACGTGCTCAGCCGACACATTTCATTGTCCGGACTCGCACGCGTGCGTCCCCGCCACGTGGCTCTGCGACGGCGACAAGGACTGTCCAGACGGCGCTGACGAGTCCGTCAGCAGCGGCTGTGGTACGCACACCGTTCACACTGTACTCCGACGTCGGCGGCGTCGGCAAATGTACATGGGGTTTTTTTAAAATTTCTGTTGTCCTCAGCTGTCCCTGAGACAACACTACGTGGGCCACAATCACGTGGTTGTGGAAAGTTAAACGAACGATTTTGATGCTGCTGTTGCCGCTGCAGCGTTGGCACAAACACGATGAACAAAAAACAACAGCAGCAATAATTAAACTCCACACATTTGTCAATAACACTGCCTGAGAATATACGTATACAATGTGACATGACAAGCAAAGGATTCATTAAGAGTTGTATAAGGGCCAAAATACAAGGGGCATTGCCCGAAACATCGGAAATTATATATTTTAAGGCAGTGTTATTTACGGAGGCGTCGATGTTCTTTTGTTGGTGAATAGGTACGGTGTTAGTCAATATTTGGCACTAAAATTGATATGTTTTACACAACGTTGCAGGTTTCACAGGTGAATGCATGTGATCTAGTGCATGGGAGGCAGGGTTGGTGGACGAGGAGATTGTCGTGTGCGTGAGAAGTTGAATCCACCCCGAGTCTGTGGAAGACGGCAGTGCTGAACCCGGGCTTTCTCCTAGTAGTCTTTATTTTATCCAAGATGTAAACCACAAACGAATGATCCAACAATCCAAATGCAGAACCCTTCCGAAGCCCCCGTGAGATTGAATAAAAATGAAAAAAAAAATGTAATTGCGCCAATACTCTTAGAAATAGCCATTCGGTATCCGTAAGTGAATGAGTTCTGACGTGAAGACTGTGTTCAAACACTGCAACATAAATGCGCAGCCCTGAAACTGCCTGCTCACGCCACTGCTCGCGAAAGGGCTTCCACTCGAGCGAGCTCTAGCGGTGATTTGGTCTCCTCGTTTATGCTGTCCAGACGTGTTGGAAGACGTTGGGGTGTTAACCACCCATTACCCCACCGCACGTGTTCCTTGCCAATCGACTAACTGTCGCGTGTAGACATTTGTTCTGCCGGGCGGGCAGAGGTGGAATCGAACCGGCGACCTGTGGATCGCAAGCGCAGCGTGATGACCCTCCCGCCGCGTGAGGTGGTGCCGCTGGTGCCCTGGGGCCCCGCTGGTGCCCTGGGGCTCCGCTGGTGCCCTGGGGCCCCGCTGGTGCCCTGGGGCCCCGCTGGTGCCCTGGGGCCCCGCTGGTGCCCTGGGGCCCCGCTGGTGCCCTGGGGCTCCGCTGGTGCCCTGGGGCCCCGCTGGTGCCCTGGGGCCCCGCTGGTGCCCTGGGGCCCCGCTGGTGCCCTGGGGCCCCGCTGGTGCCCTGGGGCCCCGCTGGTGCCCTGGGGCCCCGCTGGTGCCCTGGGGCCCCGCTGGTGCCCTGGGGCCCCGCTGGTGCCCTGGGGCCCCGCTGGTGCCCTGGGGCCCCGCTGGTGCCCTGGGGCCCCGCTGGTGCCCTGGGGCCCCGCTGGTGCCCTGGGGCCCCGCTGGTGCCCTGGGGCCCCGCTGGTGCCCTGGGGCCCCGCTGGTGCCCTGGGGCTCCGCAGGCTCCCGGCCAGGGTGGTTTGATCATCGCGCCGCTGCTCTCCGTGTGCTCAGCGTTCAGAGACGTCTGTGGGGCCGACGAGTTCCAGTGCCAGAACAGGCGGTGCATCCTGCAGCGATGGGTGTGCGACCACGACGACGATTGCGGCGATGGCTCCGACGAGTCCGCAGAGTGCGGTCAGCAGCCCCACACATCTATACACACCACCCACACCACCCACACCACCCACACCACCCACACCACCCACACCACCCACACCACCCACACCACCCACACCACCCACACCACCCACCCACACCACCCACACCACCCACCCACAAGCATCTCACACACATCTATACACACCACCCACACCACCCACACCACCCACACCACCCACACCACCCACCCACAGACATCTCACACACATCTATACACACCACCCACACCACCCACCCACACCACCCACACCACCCACACCACCCACACCACCCACCCACAGACATCTCACACACATCTATACACACCACCCACACCACCCACACCACCCACACCACCCACCCACAGACATCTCACACACATCTATACACACCACCCACACCACCCACCCACACCACCCACACCACCCACACCACCCACACCACCCACCCACAGACATCTCACACACATCTATACACACCACCCACACCACCCACCCACACCACCCACCCACAGACATCTCACACACATCTATACACACCACCCACACCACCCACCCACACCACCCACAGGCATCTCACACACATCTATACACCCCACCCACACCACCCACCCACAGACATCTCACACACATCTATACACACCACCCACACCACCCACGCCACCCACTCACAGACATCTCACACACATCTATACACACCACCCACACCACCCACCCACACCACCCACTCACAGGCATCTCACACACATCTATACACACCACCCACACCACCCACGCCACCCACGCCACCCACCCACAGACATCTCACACACATCTATACACACCACCCACACCACCCACCCACAGACATCTCACACACATCTATACACACCACCCACACCACCCACCCACAAGCATCTCACACACATCTCACACACATCTATACACACCACCCACACCACCCACCCACAGACATCTCACACACATCTATACACACCACCCACACCACCCACGCCACCCACTCACAGACATCTCACACACATCTATACACACCACCCACACCACCCACCCACACCACCCACTCACAGGCATCTCACACACATCTATACACACCACCCACACCACCCACGCCACCCACGCCACCCACCCACAGACATCTCACACACATCTATACACACCACCCACACCACCCACCCACAGACATCTCACACACATCTATACACACCACCCACCCCACCCACCCACAGACATCTCACACACATCTATACACACCACCCACACCACCCACACCACCCACCCACAGACATCTCACACACATCTATACACACCACCCACACCACCCACGCCACCCACCCACAGACATCTCACACACATCTATACACACCACTCACGCCACCCACCCACAAGCATCTCACACACATCTATACACACCACTCACGACACCCACCCACAGACATCTCACACACATCTATACACACCACTCACGACACCCACCCACAAGCATCTCACACACATCTATACACACCACCCACACCACCCACGCCACCCACCCACAGACATCTCACACACATCTATACACACCACCCACACCACCCACCCACAAGCATCTCACACACATCTATACACACCACCCACACCACCCACACCACCCACCCACAGACATCTCACACACATCTATACACACCACCCACACCACCCACCCACAAGCATCTCACACACATCTATACACACCACCCACGACACCCACCCACAGGCATCTCACACACATCTATACACACCACCCACACCACCCACACCACCCACCCACAGACATCTCACACACATCTATACACACCACCCACACCACCCACCCACAAGCATCTCACACACATCTATACACACCACCCACACCACCCACGCCACCCACCCACAGACATCTCACACACATCTATACACACCACCCACACCACCCACCCACAAGCATCTCACACACATCTATACACACCACCCACACCACCCACACCACCCACCCACAGACATCTCACACACATCTATACACACCACCCACACCACCCACCCACAAGCATCTCACACACATCTATACACACCACCCACGACACCCACCCACAGGCATCTCACACACATCTATACACACCACCCACACCACCCACACCACCCACCCACAGACATCTCACACACATCTATACACACCACCCACACCACCCACCCACAAGCATCTCACACACATCTATACACACCACCCACGACACCCACCCACACCACCCACAGGCATCTCACACACATCTATACACACCACCCACGACACCCACCCACACCACCCACCCACAAGCATCTCACACACATCTATACACACCACCCACGCCACCCACCCACACCACCCACCCACAGGCTTCTCCCACACATCTATACACACCACCCACACCACCCACCCATAGACATCTCACACATCTATACACACCACCCACACCACCCACCCACATCACCCACCCACACCAACCACCCACATGCATCTCACACACATCTATACACACCACTCACGACACCCACCCACAGGCATCTCACACACATCTATACACACCACCCACACCACCCACCAACACCACCCACCCACAGGCATCTCACACACATCTATACACACCACCCACACCACCCACCCACACCACCCACCCACAGGCATCTCACACACATCTATACACACACCCACACCACCCACCAACACCACCCACAGGCATCTCACACACATCTATACACACCACTCACACCAACCACCCACATGCATCTCACACACATCTATACACACCACTCACGACACCCACCCACAGGCATCTCACACACATCTATACACACCACTCATGCCACCCATCCACACCACCCACCCACAGGCATCTCACACACATCTATACACACCACTCATGCCACCCATCCACACCACCCACCCACAGGCATCTCACACACATCTATACACACCACTCACGACACCCACCCACAGGCATCTCACACACATCTATACACACCACCCACACCATCCACCAACACCACCTCCCCGCGCGTACGCTGAGCGTCGGCCGTCTAGACGGAGCCGTGCACAGGGCGCTCTCCCTCTCTGCCTCTCCTCTCGGCCCCAGACTACCCCGTGTGCAAAGCCACCGAGTTCCAGTGCCAGAACAAGCGCTGCCTCCTCGACAGCAGCTGGGAGTGCGACGGCTTCTTCGACTGCCACGACCACACGGACGAGGCGCCCTTGAACCCGCGCTGCTCCCTCGGCGGTCAGTGGCCGCCCCCTCGCCCGTCCGGCATGCACTGGGCCGGATCAAGTTCGACGGTGGCCCGTGGCCCTTACAGTTCTCGGTTGCGGGGTTGACCGTGCCGACGTTCAACCGAACAAAAAGTATCTTATTGTCCGCACGCAGCGCGTAGTAATGACGCTGGTAGTAACGCACATACAGTGAAAGAAAAAAATGTTTGCTCCCCTGCTGATTTTGTACGTTTGCCCACTGACAAAGAAATGATCAGTCTATAATTTTAATGGTAGGTTTATTTGAACAGTGAGACAGAATAACAACCAAAATATCCAGAAAAACACATGTCAGAAATGTTATGAATTGATTGGCATTTTAATGAGGGAAATAAGTATTTGACCCCTCTCAATCAGAAAGAATTCTGGCTCCCAGGTGTCTTTTATACAGGTAACGAGGTGAGATTAGGAGCACACTCTTAAAGGGAGTGCTCCTAATCTCAGCTTGTTACCTGTATAAAAGACACCTGTTCACAGAAGGAATCAATCAATCAGATTCCAAACTCTCCACCATGGCCAAGACCAAAGAGCTCTCCAAGGATGTCAGGGACAAGATTGTAGACCTATACAAGGCTGGAATGGGCTACAAGACCATTGCCAAGCAGCTTGGTGAGAAGGTGACAACAGTTGGTGCGATTATTCGCAAATCGAAGAAACACAAAAGAACTGTCAATCTCCCTCAGCCTGGGGTTCCATGCAAGATCTCACCTCGTGGAGTTGCAATGATCATGAGAACGGTGAGGAATCAGCCCAGAACTACACGGGAGGATCTTGTCAATGATCTCAAGGCAGCTGGGACCATAGTCACCAAGAAAACAATTGGTAACACACTACGCCGTGAAGGAGTGAAATCTTGCAGCGTAAGCAAGGTCCCCCTGCTCAAGAAAGCACATACATGCCCGTCTGAAGTTTGGCAATGAACATCTGAATGATTCAGAGGACAACTGGGCGAAAGTGTTGTGGTCAGATGAGACCAAAATAGAGCTCTTTGGCATCAACTCAACTCGCCGTGTTTGGAGGAGGAGAAATGCTGCCTATGACCCCAAGAACACCATCCCCACCGTCAAACATGGAGGTGGAAACATTATGCTTTGGGGGTGTTTTTTCTGCTAAGGGGACAGGACAACTTCACCGCATCAAAGGGACGATGGATGGGGCCATGTACCGTCAAATCTTGGGTGAGTACTTCCTTCCCTCAGCCAGGGCATTGAAAATGTGTCGTAGATGGGTATTCCAGCATGACAATGACCCAAAACACACGGCCAAGGCAACAAATGAGTGGCTCAATAAGAAGCACATTAAGGTCCTGGAGTGGCCTAGCCAGTCTCCAGACCTTAATCCTATAGAAAATCTGTGGAGGGAGCTGAAGGTTCGAGTTGCCAAACGTCAGCCTCGAAACCTTAATGACTTGGAGAAGATCTGCAAAGATGAGTGGGACAAAATCCCTCCTGAGATGTGTGCAAACCTGGTGGCCAACTACAAGAAACGTCTGACCTCTGTGATTGCCATTAAGGGTTTTGCCACCAAACACTAAGTCATGTTTTGCAGAGGGGTCAAATACTTATTTCCCTCATTAAAATGCAAATCAATTTATAACATTTTTGACATGCGTTTTTCTGGATTTTGTTGTTATTCTGTCTCTCACTGTTCAAATAAACCTACCATTAAAATTATAGACTGATCATTTCTTTGTCAGTGGGCAAACGTACAAAATCAGCAGGGGATCAGATACTTTTTTCCCTCACTGTAGTCATGCTTGCAGGTTTAATGAACAAGTGACAATATGGGATTCGCGCTGTATAGTATTGTAATTGTAATTCAACCAGTACGAAGCATATATATTGTGTGGCTCCGTCGTGCGCCAGCGCTCGCCGATTCAGCCTCCCGCCAAGGCCAGGCAGCCCACAAATAGGCTCACGATCAATCTTTCGTGCTGACAACGTTAATTAAAATCTAATCGTGATCATCAGCAGTTACATTCGAGACATTGTTACGCATCAGGAATGGAGGCGCATTAACTCGGAGCGAACGAGCGAATTCTCCCGCGTGCGTCGCGAGCGGCCTGGGGCGCCCTGCTCACCGTGACCTCATGCGAGAGAGAGAGAGAGTGTGGGGGGAATGCAAAGATGACGAATCCTGCGTAGTGGTGGCGTTTCCGCACCGGCTCGGCGGTAGAGTTGAGCGGCTTGCGATCGGAAGTTCCGCGAGTTCGAAACTTGGTTCTGGTGGGGGGTGGTGGTGGCGGTGGGGGGGGGGTTGACTCGGCACATCATCCCGCGCCTCTGGGGGGGGGGGGGGGGGTCGATAAAATGAGCAACCCGCTCCGTGGGGAAGTCAACAGTGGTTCTCCTGTAGAGAGGCTCGGAGAAAACCTCCCTCGCGTTGGTGACGGCAACAGGGCGCGGGGTTCGGGGTTAAGTGGCGCACGCGCTTTTGACGGCTCAGAGAGACGGTCCGCTGTCGTTGATGAAAAGTGGTTTCTTGTCATTGCCAAATTTGAAGCAAACACTCACATCGGCTAACAGAGACGTGTCCGCTGTTATTTACGCGTTTACTCTTACGCGGCCGTCCCTAGCGCAGTCGCCGTAATTGTTGGTCGGGTGCCGTGAAGGAGCCGTGGGCCACGAACGCGGCCGTCAGGAGGCGACGATCGCCGCAGGGAATCTCGTTGGCCGTCTGACCGCGCCGCCGGTCTTGCGTCGCCCTCGCGTCCGCGTACCCCGCCCGCCCGCCCGCCCTCCGTGCGTTCGAAGCCGAGCGATGTTTTTTGTCGTGAGCCAAGCCAATGAAACCGTCGGCGGTTGTGAATGCCTTTCCTTTTTTTGTTTGTTTGTTGTTTGTTTGTGCGGGTGTGGCTCCTGGTGTGTGGCGAGCGCAGAGAGGAAGTGCAACGACTCGGCGTCGTTCCTGTGCGCCAACGGGCGGTGTGTCGGCGAGTCCCAGCTGTGCGACAACCGCGACAACTGCGAGGACGGCTCTGACGAGCGCAACTGCAACGTCAACGAGTGCTCGGACCGCCGAGTCAGCGGCTGCACCCAGGACTGCATAGATCTCAGGATCGGATACAAGGTCCTCGCCCCCCCCCCCCCCCCTTCCCTCCCCACAGCCCCTCGCGTGCCTTGCCTTACGAAGCCGGAGAGTGCTACGTGCGCTGCGAATGGCAATCGATTAGCTGCCAGGTTACAGTCTTAATGCACGTGCATATTTTAGGGTGGTCGTTATGAAAACAAAAAAATACGATTGGAATTGTTGCTTCTTGTTGTTGAATCGTGCGTGACCTAATCAAAGGATTCGTTCATGAGGCTATCCACATATACAAACGCAGAGACAATTTCAACCGGGAAGATTCTGGTTTAGCAATCATTGGAAGGATTTGATAAACCATTTCGGGTCTTAATTGATTGTTCACGCTTACGGTGGCTTTCAGACCGCATCCATTATTTTTCGTCTCCCCCCTCCTCTTTTCCGAACATAGATGGACTCGTCCATCTGAACAAACTGTCAAATCGCTATCCATGGTGCTAACGTAAAAAAAAAACGCCACTTTTTTCAAATTTTCTTGCTGTGGTTTTCACACCTGATGATGATTGATTGTGTTGCAGTCGAAACGTCGTGAGAATTTTATTGTTTTATATTTTTATTATTTTATTGTTTCCCTTCTACGTGACTTTACCGAGAGAACCAAGAATATAAATCAAAGGCTGTTTAGGAGGTCGCGCTCCCGTGGGCCTTACTTTATATGAGGATCACCCGAACATAGACATATGTAGCGATACCATGCTACATATACTGAGCTCCAGTGTTGGTCTTGAGATGTACCTCCGGGGAGGTCCACGCGCGTGGCGTGCCCGTCGCCGATCGCCGCGCCGGCCGCGGCGCTTCGCCGAACGGACCGCTGACACGCACGATCTCCACACCGACGCAGTGCAAGTGCCGGCCGGGCTTTCAGCTGAAGAACGACGGCAAGACGTGCATCGACGTGGACGAGTGCCGGACCGCGTACCCCTGCAGCCAGACGTGTGTCAACACCCACGGCAGCTTCAAGTGTCTCTGCGAGGACGGTTACAGGGCCCGGGAAAATGACAGCAGCAGCTGCAAGGCCCTCTCTGGTGCGGCGCTGCGACGGCGGGGGGTCGGGGGGTCGGGGTCATGGGGGGTCGGGTCACGGGGGGTCGGGGTCACGGGGGGTCGGGGTCACGTGGGGGGGGGGGGGGCGCGCCCGGCCAACATCGCATCGCATCGTCGAACGTCACCGGCATGGTGCTCGGTTTACGCGGCGTTGCACGGTGACGAGCGGCACAGCGAGAGCGGGAGGGGGGTGAGTGGGGGGGGTGGTTTTGGCGACGACGGCGATGCTGGTTGACTTTCGGTGTTCGCTCCGTGCGCGGCTCACGCAGCCGGGCGCGTCTCGGCGTTACGCGTTTATTGTTTTGCGTGCTTGCCGCAAGACATCCGTTGCCACCCGTGCCAGGTTGCATGCGGTTCGCGTGGACATTACCAAGTAGATGCGGGATGAAGGGAAAAGTGCAGCCCTTCGATCGCCGCTGTTGGTGAAAGAGCCTCTCAAGAGGGTGTTTGGCCTACTCTTTCATACTGGCCACATGTCTTGGAAGAGGAAGGGGGAGTACCCACTCATTACCCCAACCACTGTGACGTGCCGACTCACAAAAATAGGAACGAGGTTGAGCTACACACAGCGTCTTGTTGTACGTACGTCTGTTGAACTTCTTTTGCACCGGTCGCAGCCAACCGTGCTGATCACAGGCGCTACTGTCGGTGGCAACGTAAATCAGAGACGTGAAGATTGTGTCGGCGGTGATGATGATGGTGATGGTTGATCGTGATGACGACGCTAAACTTTCAGCTCCCGCGCTTGTCCCCAGATGAGGAAGCAGTGCTGATTTTTGCCAACCGCTACTACCTGCGCAAAGTGAACCTGGACGGCTCCAACTACACCCTGCTCAAGGCGGTGAGCTGCAGGCACCGCACGGCAGCTCGGCCCTGCCCACCTGACCCCCCCCTCCTCCCCACCGCTGTGGTGCACACGTTACGTAAACCCGCATTACGTAAAGAGCGTTACGTAAACGCGCGTTAGTGATAGGGGTTGGGGTAGTGATAGGGTTTGGGGGTAGTGATAGGGGTTGGGGTAGTGATAAGGGTTGGGGTAGTGATAGGGGTTGGGGTAGTGATAGGGGTAGGGGTAGTGATAGGGGTAGTGATAGGGGTTGAGGTAGTAATAGGGGTTGGGGTAGTGATAGGGGTTGGGGTAGTGATAGGGGCTGGGATATTGATAGAGGTTGGGGTAGTGATAGGGGCTGGGGTAGTGATAGGGGTTGGGGTAGTGATAGGGTTTGGGGTAGTGATAGGGGTTGGGGTAGTGATAGGGGTTGGGGTAGTGATTGGGGTTGGGGTAGTGATTGGGGTAGTGATAGGGGTTGGGGTAGTGATAGGCGTTGGGGTAGTGATAGGGGTTGGGGTAGTGATAGGGGTTGGGGTAGTTATCTGGGTTGGGGTAGTGATAGGGGTTGGGGTAGTAATAGGGGTTGGGGTAGTGATAGGGGTTGGGGTAGTGATAGGGGTTGGGGTAGTGATAGGAGTTGGGGTAGTGATAGGGGTTGGGGTAGTAATAGGGGTTGGGGTAGTGATAGAGGTAGTGATAGGGGTTGGGGTAGTGATAGGGGTTGGGGTAGTGATAGGGGTTTGGGTAGTAATAGGGGTTGGGGTAGTGATTGGGGTAGTGATAGGGGTTGGGGTAGTGATAGGGGTTGGGGTAGGCGTGGTTAAAAGCTGAGAGACAGGTGTAGGGAGTAGCAGCAGTAGGATGATGGGCTAGGGGGAAGAGATGGGTTTTAAGGGAAGAATGGAAGTAGTTTAGTGATTGAAAGATGGTGGGGAGGAGAGAAGTTCACGTTTATTTGGTTTAACCTGGTGCGAACTCAAGAGACCAGAATATCCTCATTTGCCAGGGGCATAGTCTGCTAGCAGGGGGCAATGAGGGGCCATCCATAAATGACGTCACGCACCGAGGGGGGGGGGGGGGCGGGTCAGACATTTGTGACGATGTGTGACGATGGGGGGGGGGGGGGTTGAGAAATGTGACGTCACATCAAAATGCGCAACTTTAAATAAATATAGACAACACGCTCTACTTCATTAAATAGACTTTTTAAATGAATGTTTTCTCCTACAACATCAGAGTGCAGCGGCACATTAAATATGCACTACAATGACAATAGTTTAAAGCGATTTGAAGCATGTTTTATTTTTTTGGGTGGGGGGGGGGCAGAGCTTTGTGACGTCATATTTGAGGGGGGTCTGACTTTTTGTGACGCCGTGTGACGAGGGGGGGGTGGGTCAAAAATTGTCCAAAATCGCGTGACGTCATTTATGGACAGCCCCCTGATTGTTTTGCAATGTTCCAATTGAGTAATTTGGTTTGCTGCTGAGCCCCTGATTGTTTTGCAAAGTTCCAATTGAGTAATTGTTTTGCTGCTGAGTTTTCTAATTTGGCAAATTTGGGCTCTGACGCCGGCACGCAAATGACCCACTCTTGAAAATAACGGCAAGGGACCTTTAATGTTCACGGTGAAGCAGACGGCGCGTTAGTATTTCTACGGTTGTTACACTCAGATGGCCTTACCTGGTAAAATAGAAATAGTTTAAGTTTAGTTTTTTTTATTCGATGCCACGTGGATGCCCGGTCCACCTTAGGTGCCTCTGCCGGACATCGCTGCGCGGCTAAGCAATGAAAAACGAGCAATCGCTTTTCCGTCACGTCTCCGCAGGGCCTGAACAATGCGGTGATGCTCGACTTTGAAGTCAGAGAGCAGCGCGTGTACTGGACCGACGTCACCGCGCTAGGCAGCATGACCCGCCGCATGCACCTCAACGGCTCCGACGTGCAGGTGACGGCCGCTCGTGCCCCGCGAACACCCACCCTGAGGAGCGCCTGTCCGCGCGAGCTCCCCCCGGTACCTAGACGAACGCTCAGTTAAGCGAGATCCCCCCCCCCCCCCGTGGGCATCACCGGTGGACCGGCATTCAATGGCCTTCCCTCGTCGTGCCGAGAAGGTGGTGGCGGTGCCGGGAATTTCTCCTTGAACCGCTGCATTCCTCGTTAAAACGGGCGCTCCGCCCACCCACAATGCACTCTGTCCCGGCGACGGTGAAAGAGCGGCGATGTACGCGTCCGAGTGAGGACAGAGTTGCGACCTGGAGGGGGGGAACCTGGAGGTGGTGGCGTTCGCACGCAGCCAGCAGCCGCTGCCATCGCACGAACCTCCCCATCGCGCGAACCCCCCACATCACTAAAGCCTTGGCCACCCTTCTCCTTCCCCCGCAGTTATACGAGCGCCCCCGTCACATGAAGCCCTATCGCGCAGGTCGCAGTTACAAGAGAGCCCCACCCGTAACACAATGGCGCAACTGTTGTGGCCACTCGTCCCAGACTCCAGAAGGATGAGGCCCGCCCAACGGTACCGCGTGCGCCGTTTTGATCGTTGTTGCTCAGAGCGTCTAGGTGGTGGCTCGTCTCCTGTTTACAACTCCGAGCCAGTGGTGGACATTCAACAGTGATTTCCCACCCATTAGGAGAATCGCTGTTGACCTCCCCACAAAGTGGTACTCATTTCCATTGACCCCAGAGTGATGATTGGCTGCGTTAACTCACAAACCAGGGCTTGAACCTTCGACCCTTCCGCTTTGCAGGCCGCTCGCTCTACCACCGAGACGGCCCTTAGTAGCCTGCGGCCTTTGCGGTTGACCGATGAAACAATTTGCCGGAGTCGCCTCGTGGCCTCGTCCCATCTTGTTCCACTACCATTTTGATAATGATACTTGAGCCTCAATGAGGCATGACTTGGCATTTAAATCAGACGATTAGCAATGTATGCAAGCATGCATGTTGAACTTTTTTTCCACCGTGCGTAGCCAACCGTGGCTAATCTGAGGTGCGGGGAAACGGCAACAAAGCAATGGCAGCTTCTTCTTTGAGTTTGCCATTCTGTCATCTGTTCTAATTATATTTTAATATCCTCTTTGTTTATAATGCAGCTACGGATAAATTCATATTTGCCATTGGCTGCCTGTCATAATGACACTTCCATATCTCCACGCTCGAGGAATAAAAGCTGTCAAAGTAGAGTCTCCCTGGAAACAAGGGGGGTTATCTTTGAGACTCACTCGAGGTTTCAGTATCACGGGTGGTTTATGAGTTTCTTGCCCCGAATCTGGTTTCAGTTATGAATCATTCATGAGGCCTGGTATTTGTATAGAAATGGATGAGACCTTAATTCAACAAAGCAATGGAAATTACATTGGCAGAGTTTTGCATTGCCAGTTTATGTGCACGGAGCGCCTTTTGCAGCCTCACCTGTCCACATCTCAATATGGGGGGGGGGGGGGGGAATTAAAAAAAACTTTATGATGATAGAGCCTATTTATTTTATAACCTTGAGGTTGCCTTTAAAATACTGAAATCATCTACTGCAGTGTGTATATTTGCGGCTGATGGTTAAATACTCATTTCATTGGGGTGGATTCGTAGTGCAATTAGATTCCCAGCCCCGGCTAACGTCGGTGGTGAATGATATCTGAACCGGTCCCGGGCCCCCCTCCCCCCTATCACCAACCCACACTGACTGGCACGGTGAAGTATGGTCAAACTCGCCAGAGACCGACGACGGCATGAGGACGCCTTCATTCCGTAGCGAGTTGACAAAGGGGACCTGCCGCGGACTCTAAAGCGGTTCGCAAAAATCTATTTCGTACCACGACCTCCTGTTGTGTTCAGTTTATTGCCCCCCTCCCCGCACCTCCGATTATCACGGTTGACTACCTACGGTGCAAAAGAAGTCCAACGTACCGTGCACACGAACGTACAACCGCACGCTGCACCTGTTTGCCTCACAAGCGGCGGAAGATCAAAGGCGGGCCACTGCGTGTGACCGCCGAGACGGCGAACGAGCAACGGGACGCGACGTCGCGTCTCGCCCGTAGCGCCGCTTCATCAGGCAGCCTCTCGAAGCGTAGCCGCGAAACCACCGCTCGAAGCTGCCACGTGGCTCGTGAAACTTGACAAGTCGAGCCCGGTGTTCTTCACACGGGAATCTAGCGCGGTGTTCTTCACACGGGAATCTAGCGCGGTGTTCTTCACACGAGAATCTGGCGCGGTGTTCTTCACACGAGAATCTAGCGCGGTGTTCTTCACACGAGAATCTAGGGCGGTGTTCTTCACACGAGAATCTAGGGCGGTGTTCTTCACATGGGAATCTAGCGCGGTGTTCTTCACACGGGAATCTAGCGCGGTGTTCTTCACACGAGAATCTAGCGCGAAGTTCTTCACACGAGAATCTAGCACGGTGTTTTTCACACGAAAATCTGGCGTGGTGTTCTTCACACGAGAATCTAGCGCGGTGTTCTTCACACGAGAATCTAGCGCGGTGTTCTTCACACGAGAATCTAGCACGAAGTTCTTCACATGAGACTCTAGCGCGGTGTTCTTCACACGAAAATCTGGCGCAGTGTTCTTCACACGAGAATCTAGCGCGGTGTTCTTCACACGAGAATCTAGCGCGGTGTTCTTCACACGAGAATCTAGCGCGGTGTTCTTCACACGAGAATCTGGCGCGGTGTTCTTCACACGAGAATCTGGCGCGGTGTTCTTCACACGAGAATCTAGGGCGGTGTTCTTCACATGAGAATCTGGCGCGGTGTTCTTCACAAGATAATCTAGCGCGGTGTTCTTCACACGAGAATCTAGTGCGGTGTTCTTCACACGAGAATCTGGCGCGGTGTTCTTCACACGAGAATCTGGCGCAGTGTTCTTCACACGAGAATCTAGGGCGGTGTTCTTCACACGAAAATCTAGCGCGGTGTTCTTCACATGAGAATCTGGCGCAGTGTTCTTCACACGAGAATCTAGGGCGGTGTTCTTCACACGAAAATCTAGTGCGGTGTTCTTCACATGAGAATCTAGGGCAGTCTTCTTCACACGAATATCTGGCGCGGTGTTCTTCACACGAGAATCTGGGCGGTGTTCTTCACACGATAATCTAGGGCGGTGTTCTTCACACGAGAATCTAGGGCAGTGTTTTTCACACGAAAATCTGGCGCGGTGTTCTTCACACGATAATCTAGGGCGGTGTTCTTCACACGAGAATCTAGGGCGGTGTTCTTCACACGAGAATCTAGCGCGGTGTTCTTCACACGAGAATGTAGGGCGGTGTTCTTCACACGAGAATCTAGGGCGGTGTTCTTCACGCGAAAATCTGGCACGGTGTTCTTCACACGAGAATCTAGGGCGGTGTTCTTCACACGAGAATCTAGGGCGGTGTTCTTCACACAAAAATCTAGTGCGGTGTTCTTCACACGAGAATCTGGCGCGGTGTTGTTCACACGAAAATCTGGCGCGGTGTTCTTCACACGAGAATCTAGGGCAGTGTTCTTCACTGATTTTCTGGGGGGGTGGCATTGTCGCTAATCAGACAACATCAGTGTGAGGGCCGCCACACCGCCTCCAAGACAAATAACCATTCACGTGTTGTGTTTTGTCGGGGACCCGCACATCAGGGGGCTGCACGAAAGGCCACCAGGGGGCAGCCAGTGGCCCGCGGGCCTTGCAATAAAGAACCCTGCTCTAGCCCGGACGCAAGACGAAGAAAATTAACTGTTAATTTTAATTGCCAATCACTGCGAAAGTTTTAAGGATACATGTCGATATGAATAATAATAATAGTCATGGACATCCTCAGGGCCTGCTTGGTGTGCGCGGCCAACTCTTTTTCAGCGTCCTCACGAGGGATACAGATTGAGCGTTCAGAGAGAAGAGGAAAAACATTCCCATGCATGAGTTAACAGTAAACATTCCGTGCAGCTTACTTAGAAACCTACTTGCTGTACAGCCTCCCTAGATGCACCTCAATGGCCTGTGCCCAGTGTGATCTCTGCCACGCTCCGCCAAACCAATTGCAGAGTCGCATGGATCATCGCTGTACGCTAAACTTGACGGCCGGGAGGTGCGCGCGCAATAAGCTGAAAAAAAACGTTCACTCGGTTATTTATCCACTCATTTCACACGGTGCCCGGTTTTACAGGCTAACCGTCGTTAAAAAAAAATTATCTTCAAATACGGCGCCACTGGCGATGCGCTGATGTGACCAGTCCTCATCCGCCCCACCCGCCTCTCTGTGTGTCTGTCTGTCTCTCTCCCCGTGGGCGAGTCTCTGCAGATCTTGCACCAGAGTGTAAACTCTGAGGACGAGCACGGGGTGGGTCTAAGGTCGACTGCTTTATCTCGCTTTGTGTGTCGTTCTTGTGGCACGTTGTCCCGCGGGCATGCTGCAGTGTTTCTCTCTCTCTCTGTGTGTCCCCCTGTCATCGACGCCACTTCCCTTACTGAGTCACAGTGGGAGAGAGAGGGGGGGGGGGGCGTCAGACGAAGGGTGCGGTGCCCCCCACACCCCCTCACTCCCTCTGGTGGCCGAAGCTACGAGTTGGGGGCAGGGTGTCCTTGACAACCACCCTGAGAGCTATGCTGTCAAGCACAGCGTGAAAGACTAACAACAGTTATTTTGCGAAGACGGAGCGCGCCCCTACAGCGTTAAATGCTCGAGACCGTGAGTGTAACGGTGAATAATAGCCCCTAGGTGCGACCGTGCCAGACAAATCACAGTATTGGGATGCCTCCAGCTGACCGATTGCCGCACCCCATGAGCTGATATAATGTCGTCACTACGCCACTGCTGGGGATAAACCTGTTTGAGCAACGTGGCTCGGCCTGCCTCAGCAGCAGCGTCCACACGGAGGGCAACTTCAGGCAACCCCCATTGGCATCTGTTTACCAACACTCGTGGCTTATGCGTTGCATGCGGATAAAAGATAAAAAAGGGGGGGAATTTTTTGTAAACCTTTCTCGAGATGACGTGGGGTGGACCGTGTCTGTTGTTGGCCTCTGTTCGTTCGTGTTGCCGGCATGCTTTGTGGTTTTCTTTGTGTGTGTGCGTGTGTGTACCGCCATAAGCCCAATGTACGTTTGAAAAAGACAATTGCGTTTTGTTTATGGACTCGCCTTTGAATGGGCGCGCTCCCGGCTCGCGCATCGGCGTGAAGGCCTCTCGCTCACGGCGCCGCCTGCACGGGTTGCCCGCTCCGGGGCCACCTCCGTTGCGTCAGTGGAGACCCTCCTTGCCGCACGCACAGGTCCTTCACCGGACGAGCCTGAGCAACCTGGACGGCCTGGCAGTCGACTGGGTCGGCCAGAACCTGTACTGGTGCGACAAGGGGCGCGACACCATCGAGGTGTCGCGCCTGGACGGGCGCTACGGCGCCGTGCTGCTCGGCTCTGGCCTCCAGGAGCCCCGGGCCCTCGCCGTGGACCCCCCGAGAGGGTGAGACGCGGAGTCGATGCCGTCAGCTGGGCCGTGGTTTTGTCTCGTGCTGCTCGCATTGTCTGCGGCCTGCTCGCCCGAGAGCACGCTGACCGCATCATCTTGATCATCGTCATCATCATCATCATCACTCTGCTCACAATCTACAGGGACGCACCACAACTGTGTGTGTTGTCATCTCGGGATCATCTCAAGTCCCTGTGGGACAAGCTTTTCGACTTGGCTGCTGAGATGGTGGGACTGAGTTCAGATCATGCAGCATAGGCCCAAGTGCTTCAACTATAGCATAATTCCCACCATAATAAAGGTATCGCCATGTGCAGTATCCGGCAATGACGTTTGCCGACCCAGGCATGAGGGCGACCTGCGATGAGGTGTGTTCTTGTAAGGATGCTGGTGGGACACTGTAGAAGAGGATCTTGAACATCGTCTCGAGGAAGGAAGGAAGGAAGCGATGGCTGGCCGTGGTGACGTGATCAACATCGGCCCACGGCGACCTCTTGACCTTGCGAGGAGGAGGGAGCCGTCGGTCACGCCTGTCCCCCGTGCTCCAGGTACCTGTACTGGACGGACTGGGGCAAGCATCCGCACATCGGCCGCGTGGGAATGGACGGGTCCAACCGCAGCGTGATCATCGGCTCGCACATCACCTGGCCCAACGGACTCACGCTCGACTACGTCAACGAGCGCATCTACTGGGCGGATGCGCGCGATGACTACATCCAGTTCGCGGACATGGACGGAGCCAACCGGCACACAGGTGCTCGCCGGAGACGCTGGCGCCGTGGCCGCTCGTGTCGATGGACGCGGAGGGCTCCGTCGGGGGAGGAGGGGGGGGCATGTTCGGGAAATGCGATGTTAGCAGACTCTTTAGGGGGGGTTAAAGAAAAATAACTTTATTGTTACCAGGACAACTCAAAATCAGTGCAAGATCGAATCCAGGTCATGGTTCCATTTAGCCCATCATCCGTTTGGGGTCAACAAGATAAGTACCGCTGTGTGGGAAGTCAATGGTTGTTGTCCTATGGATAAACTGGTCGCTGCCATATGACTGTGGATCAATACCAGGAGCTGAGGGCCATCAATAGAATATGAGCACCACCCATATACAGACAGTGCTCGGCTTCACATGGATTGCAACTATGAATGCGGAACGTAACTCAAAAATCATTCACCACGTTCAGTGCAGACGAACGAAGGGCAATTGCCCAAGATGGCAAACTACTGTTATTGCAAAATGTTAACAACGAATGTGCGGTGTGTTTTTTTTATCTGATTCTGTTTACCACTGCCGTAATAATACGTCGGATTACATTGTTATTTTTTTTATTAAAACTCTTTCTGCGAGGCTCGCATGTATCGGCTCATTTTTATTCCCCCCCCCCCACTTTAAACTCGGGCAGTCGTGAACCAGGACATCCCGCATATCTTCGCACTGTCGCTCTTTGAGGACCACATCTACTGGACGGACTGGGAGTCTAAGACGGTGAACCGAGCGCACAAGAGCACGGGCGCTGATCGGACGATCATCATCAAAACCCTGCACCGGCCCATGGATCTGCACGTGTACCACCCATCTCGCCAGCCTGACGGTACTGCGTCTCACCTCCCCACGTGTACCACTCATCCTGGCCATTCTAATATCCTGCTGTTTGAACTCCTATTCGAAGTTCTCACGCCTGTCTATTCCAATTATTTCTTTGCTTTTAACATTTCTTTCGAGTGGTGCTTTTGAATGTTTCACTTATTGCCATGTATCTCAACGCAATGCCCCTCGCCAACAAGTCTGAACGAGGCCACGTGTCCTCACCTCCAATGTCTTACTCTTCATTGTATCTTCAGTCAGTTTTGTCTTTCGTTTTTTTCCTTTCCAGTCCCCAACCATCCTTGCAAGACGAACAACGCGGGCTGCAGTAACCTGTGTCTCGTGTCGCCCGGAGGGGCGTACAAATGTGCCTGTCCAACCAACTTCTACCTGGCCAACGACCATCACACCTGCCTGTCCAACTGCACCGCCAGCCAGGTGAGGTGGAGCTGCTTACCCGACACACCGACACCATCCCTGTGGTGCCGGGGGATGTCCTTCACCTGGATATAAAACCCTCTGCCACCCGACAGGGCCAATCAAATCGAGTCGTCACTTGGGCAAATGTGGCATTTTGGTTTGTTCGGTTTTTTTTCTCCAGCAAACGCCGCAGTGTTGAAAATCAACTTTTTATGGTCGTTTTGGTCGCCGTGTTTCGCTGGAGATTATGTCCAGCATCTTCAGGTGTTAACACAACTGAGCTTTTTGGTTCGCACTTTTTGTTAACTCCGCCGATTGCGACGGTTAGCTACGTACGGTGCGAAAGAAGTTCAACATGGCACATACAAAGCAAACACGGAATACAAACATTTTAAATCTATAATCTACAGAGTATGAATTATATTATGAATAACAACACCCAATAAAATACTGTGCAGAGGAAAAAATTGAATGTGAATACATAAATAACTGGTAGTTCGTCTAGAATACACCCTGGCTCTATGGATTGGAGACGTTGCTCTCGGATGCGTGTTCACGGGTTGTACTGAGCGCGTCGTGTGGCATGATGTGAGACGTTTCAGGCGCCCGGGGGCTTTTTTCAGCCATTGAACCGGACGCTATTCAGTTCAGATCCCGACGAAGCTCCGAGCGCACGGAGCGCGATGTCGGCCATCACGGACGGCGCTCGCGCAACGCAACTCAAATCGCGTGGCGCGGTCGTACAGCGGCGGCCGCGGAAGCTTTGCGCGGTAGACTCGAGGGCTGCTCTCTCTCGCCCCGCAGTTTGTGTGCAAGAACGACAAGTGCATCCCGTTCTGGTGGAAGTGCGACACGGAGGACGACTGCGGAGACCGCTCGGACGAGCCGAGCGACTGCTGTGAGTGGCGCTTCGCCTTGCCCACCGCCTCGCTCGCTCGCCGCTACCGAGCCCGTGCTAACCGTCGCACGCACGCGCGCGCGTGTACACACACTGTGCACCCCTGTGGTTCACGGGCAATGTGGCGGGTGCCAGGAATTGGCTCGTGCCGAGATCTGGTAATCGGCGTTGTGGTGAACTTTGCCAACACTGTTGCGCATGATGTTGTTGGATTTGATTTGCTCTGTGGAAAAGGTGGAATTGACAAAGACGCGTCAATCCACTGCTGGATCAAGTCCAGCACGCGCCATGCGGGTCAGGGAGGGGGGTTCGTTTGATTAAACTTCACCTCGCTGGTTATTGCCGATTAAAAGCGGGGGAGGATAAATCTTATGTTGGGTGCATAGAAGTGCAATACAACAATGGCTTTTGCTCCACTGCCCTCTGCTGCTGTGACTGTAACAGCGAACTACTCAAAATCGGCAGTTCAGCGATCCCGGTCGGGAGTCGTTTCAGCTCATTCATTTTTTTTTTATGAAAACCATTTTCGTGGTACATCAACAATGTGCTTTCCATACGGATAGACTTCACCCCGAGCGTGGCAATGTGGAATTTCCACCAGTATCTTAGACGAGCACCGCTCTGCTCACTCGAACACGGAGACCATTTGAAATTACCTTCGACTTCCATCTCTATGATAAGAAATGTCTTGAGTTTGAGCAACAAAAACGTGACTTTCATAGAGTTTAGGAGGATGATGATGATGATTATGTATGTCTGACAATGTAGTTGATGACCCGAGGATGCACCATCGGCCGTTAGAAGTCGTTCAATCAGCATTTTAAAATGTGAAACAGCAGGGGAACTCAACGAAGGGAAGTGTGCAGCTCAGACAGTCCACACTCTCTGCCCGATGGCAGTCCCAGCAAGCCACGGCGGCTATCGCTCGCTGTTAGACTTCGGCCGGCCAAGCGGAGGGAGGGCAAGGCGGCGGCTGACGATGTTGCTCGTGGGTGTTCGCGGCTCGACGGCCCCCCTTGTTGTGTTTGCAGCGAAGTTCAAGTGCCGCCCTGGCCAGTTCCAGTGCAAGAACAGCGTCTGCACGAACCCTGCGTTCATCTGCGACGGCGACAATGACTGCGGGGACAACTCTGATGAGCACAACTGCGGTGAGCGCTGCAGCTGCCCCCGAGGGCCGGGCCGACCATTAACTACTATAATCACGATGATGATGATGATAATAATAATATTTTGTGTTTAATCAAGTGCAAACGTCCTCAACAAGTTTAAAGACATGGAGGTAAGTATCCCACCTCGGGATACTTGCGTCAAGTCGTCGATGAGTATTGTTTTTATTTTAATCTGTGGGAGGTTAAGGAGATGCATTTGAAGACGAACGCATGAAAAAGAAACACTTATGTACGAAGGTCACTATGCAGTCCTCCAGTGCGGGAGACTGTAGACACATCATAACCTTCGCACGATCCACAGACCTGTCTCTACTGCGCCATAGTGTGCTGAACCGTGTCCAAATGCAGTCCACTTAAAATTTTGGCAAAATGTGCGGACATTAAAACTGGCTCTCAATTTTTTAAATGTAATGAAACAGACCAAAGTGACATCCTCACGACGCATCGGTAAGCCGCAGCAATAATGAAGCAGAACTTAACTTGAAGAGCGCAGTGCCCCCAGAAAAAAAATGTAATTGCTGTAAATTGTAATGATGTCGCAATATGCTGAAAGTAAAGTTTATAAAGAACATTAACATCAACTCTTACACACACGTCTCTTCAATGATGGTGACGACGACGATGACGACGACGTTCCGACGTGCGTGTGTGTGTGCGTGTGTGCAGACATCCACGTGTGCCTGCTCGGCCAGTTCAAGTGCCATGCCACGAACCGCTGCATCCCGGGCATCCTGCGCTGCAACAGCCACGACAACTGTGGCGACGGCGAGGATGAGAAGGGCTGCCGTGCGTCACCGCGCCTCTCCGCCACTCTCGCCGAGACCGCGCTCTTTGCCCTCACCGCCGCGGCTTCTTTCCTGCGCCCTCCCCCTCGTCCAGTACTTCACCATGGGCAGACCCAGTGGCTCCCGACAGTCAGCTGTGAATTCGTGCGCGTGCGTGCACGCGTGTGCGTGTAGTGTAGCGGTTAGCGCGCTGCCACGTGAACCCGCCAATCCGGGTTCGATTCCCGCTCACAGCCAACACCGGTGACGATTATCTGAACCGGTCATAGGCCTCCCCTAGGTCGACTCATCCTCAAATAAGTACCTGGTGCGGGTGTGTAAATATGACCACTGGGGAGACAAAGGCGGCCGGGCGTGATGTTGACCACCCGCCACCGCGTGTTCGGTGCCGTGCTCGCTAACAGCACTCGCAGTCCGTTACAGGATGTTCGGTGGATCTTTGTCTTGTCCGTGCGTGCGTGTGCGCGTGTGTGTGTGCGTGCGTGTGCGTGTGTGCGTGTGTGTGTGTGTGCGTGTGTGCGTGTGCGTGTGTGTGTGCGGCCGCAGCGGTGGCGACGTGCGCTCCGAGCCACTTCCAGTGCCTCACGAGCCGGCGCTGCGTCCCGCGCGTCTGGGTCTGCGACCGCGATGACGACTGCGGTGACGGCTCCGACGAGCCGGCCAACTGCAGTGAGCGCACCCCGCACTGGCGGCACTCTGCGCCGACACCGGGGAACGGCTTCTCCACGAACAAGCTCATTCCACCACCACCACCACCACCAGAGGCCCCCAGCCATTCATTGCCACTGAACCCACAGCACCCTGCCTACACTCCCTGCACCATGTGACATTCGTCCTGCGTCGTCGCCCTCCGTATCCCGCACAGCACTCCCAGAATGCCTCGCCCATTCATTCCCACTGACGCCCCCCCTCCCTACTCACTCGGCCACGCGTGAAATGCACCCTGCATCGCTAACCCTCGCGCATCCGGCCCTGTACCACCACCACCCCGCGCACTGTGCCTCACAGCCCAGACGATGTGCGGCGCCGATGAGTTCCGCTGCAAGGGTACGGGCCGCTGCATCCCCGACCGGTGGAAGTGCGACGGGGACGACGACTGTGGCGACGGCTCCGATGAGCCCAGGGACGAGTGCGGTGAGCGGCTCCCTCTGTTGAACATTGAACCCCTTCGAACTTGAACTTCCTTCGCACTGTGCGTAGCCAAGCGTGCTAACCGGGGGGCCGTGGGCACGGCCGCACGGCAAAATCCGTGCTCCGTCCCAGACGGTCGCCAACTTCCGGCGCCCGCTGATAATTTACATTTCTTGCGACGGCGATTCGCCGTTGTCTCTGGGCCGTAAGTCATTCCGACCGGAGTTTTGCTTTCGCGCGACTTCGCAGAGGACAAGACGTGCGAGCCTTACCAGTTCCGCTGCAAGAACAACCGCTGCATCCCCGGGAGGTGGCATTGCGACTACGACAACGACTGCGGAGACAACTCGGACGAGGAGGGATGCAGTACGTACGGCGGCACGCGACGGGTGCTCCCACATCGGCCGGCTCCGGCTGACTCAAACCCCGGGGGTGCCCTGTCGATGGCTCAGCAGCGAGCTCTGTTACAGGCTCGGCAGGAGTTTCCTGCTGGGGTTTCAACTCCTCACCACGCGTCCACCATTTCGCCGTACTTCCCACAAGCGCAAGGAGGCCTCTCCGCGTGTTGGCAGCCGGACAGCAGTGTTAATGTCCCATTATGCAGTTACTTTTAGATGAGGCTCTAATGAGCCACTGCAGCATTGTTCCAGATTTTTAATTTGTTGATGAGATGGTTCCCAGGTCTGAGCAAGCGGTGAGGGCAGCAGGCCGTGGGTTTTGTGTGTGTGTGTGACAAATTCTAATTAATTTAATGGGACTGCATTGGCTATGGTTTACAAACAGATGGCGGTGCCGGTGTTATTTTATAAACAAGAAATAGATATTGTGTGTGAGATAGCTGAATGTGTGCACGTATGGGTGCATGCGTTTGGGGGGGGGTGGTGGCAGAGTGATTGGAACACCGCACCGCAAACCCGATGGGACCAGCCTTGGCTAACATTGATGGCGACTCATAACAGTAATTGGTTCTGGACTTCCCCTAGGTCAACTCAGCTTTTAAGAGTACCTGGCATAGTTTCAGCAGCGGGGAGGCTGGGCATTGTGCCGGTCACATCACCTCCTCGTGCACTGTTCCGGGCATTCGTAACTGGCCATGCAAGGGGCTTTTGGCTGTTGTCTTTGGCGAGATGTTAACTACCTCGCCTGGTATACAGGAGGTCGTGGGTTCGATCCCGACCCTGACGCCTGCTGCTGTATATTTGAAGTTTGCGTGTCGTTCTCCCCGTGGTGGTATGCATTTTTCTCTGGGTCATCCGGTTTTCCCCTCCACATTTAGAAATAACGTGCATTCAGAGTGTTTGGCTGCTATGCATTACCACATTGCAAGCCACTTTGGTGACCTATCATCTGTGGCCAGGTCACTTCTCAAAAAGAGCTATATAGCTCAGAGGGCCTTATCTGGTAAAATAGAAAATATAGTAATGTAATGGTTAACTTTGCATCTGACAGCTGGGCATGTGTGTATGTGTGTGCATTGATTGTTTGTGTGTGTGTGTGTGCCTTGACAATGGTTGAGTTTCTGTGCGACAGCTGGGTGTGTTTGTTGATTGGATATTTGAGCACTCGTGCTGGCTGTGCTTGTGTGAATACACGAGCGTATCACGGTCGGGTGTCTCTGTGATGGTTGGGTTTGTCTGTGTGTGTATGTATGTGCGGAGCGGCGGTGCAGTCATTAGCACGCTGCGCTACGAACCCAGCCACCCCGAGGTCGATTCCCGCTCACGGCCAACACCAGTGGTGATTATGTGAACCGGTCCTGAGCCACCGCTTGGTCGACTCAGCCTCAAAGGCAGCTGGCCGTGGCTATGGCCAACCACCCCCCTCGTGTGCCGTGTTGGCCTTCATCGGTGCTTTCCCCAACAGTTTGTGAGACGGGGGTATTCTGGTCTTTGTGTGTGTGTGTGTTACGTTTGAGACTGAGCAATGGCTGGGCGTGACGGCCGCGTGTTCGCTGTGCCCTAGCGCCCCGGCCCTGCTCGGAGAGCGAGTTCTCTTGCGCCAATGGACGCTGCATTGCTGGCCGCTGGAGGTGCGATGGTGATCACGACTGCATGGACGGCTCTGACGAGGTGAGCGCTTCAACTTGGTTGCAGCAACTCTTTTACATCCTCCATCACCACCACCGCCGTCGTCGGCGTCACCATCAGCACCATCGCTGCCAAACACAGAAGATCCACCTTAACGGACTGTAGGGGCAAGTGCTGTTAGCGAGCACCTATGAAGGCAGGCACGGCACACGAGGGGGTGGGTGGCCAACACCACGCCTGGCCGCCTTTGTCTCCCTAGTGGCGATGTTTACACATCGCACCAGGTACTCATTTGAGGCTGAGTCGACTTAGGGGAGGCTCAGGACAGGGAATCGAACCCGGGTCGCCAAGTTCGTAGCGCAGCGTGCTAACCGCTACACTACCGCTCCCCACCACCATCACTACCACCATCACCGCCATCATCACCATCATCATCACCATCATCACCACCACTACCACCATTACCACACCGCCATCCCAATCATCATTCCAATCATCATCACGACCATCACCACCGTCACTCCCATCATCATCACCACCACCATAATCCACACCTCTCATTAGCATGGTTGGCGACGTATGGTGCGAAAGAAGTTCAACATACATACATACATGTTGACTTGACACAGAGCGATACTATTTTTGTAAACCACAGAGGAGCGTAAATTACAAGTTTCTCCATCACTGGGATTGAAATTCGCATTCCTTGAAATTATGGCTCATGCACTTTGCTATCGTGTCACCCGGCTAGATTTACCAAGTGAGAAATGTTGGTGGAATCGTAATGCCTCGTGTCACCACGTGTGTTCCCAATGACTCCAAATATGTGAGCGCCATCTTCATTCATTCATTTGGCCAGAATGCAACATTTTCCAGGTGTCCTTTTTGGGCTGATGGTTTTGTTCTTGGGATGATTTTAAAGAGTTTATATTCACGCGGTCTAACCCAAAAAACCTTTTTTATTGATAATATCGGTCGCTAAAGCCTACGTGTTAATTTGATTTAAAAGAATATTTCTTCGTAATTCTCTCGAATTATTTACAATTCCCAAGAGCTTGGTGCAGAGTGCAAGCTGTACCCCTTGCCAGGTGTTGTCCACCGCTTTAGAGGGCGGGGCAGTGGATAAGCACAAATTTCATGATGTGCACGATCCTCGTAACCTCCTGGCCAGGAGATGACCAGGAGATGGCAGTTCCGTGTGTTGCTTTGTGTTGGTACGCGGGCGAGCTCCCGCACGTGATAATAATAATGATGATGATTATTATTCATATTATTATTCACTTACCCACCCAGAAAGACACGCCGATTCAAAAGACTATTTTTTTTTCCGGGAGGTTCCCGCGTTGGGATCTTTGGTCAACACCAATGGCAGGCGGTGGCTGGGAGCACCTGGAGGAAACCCAATGCGGAACGGGGGGAGGACATCCAAACTCCCCACGGACAGGCGCCTGAGTCAGGAGTAAAACTCAGAGCCCACCGCTCGCTGTGAGAGACGGGTGTTCACGCTGCGCCATCTTGCCGCCCCCCGTGCAGAAGGACTGCTCGCTCCGCTGTGAGCAAGACCAATTCCAGTGCCAGAACGGGCACTGCATCCCCCAGCGCTGGCGCTGTGACAACGACGCGGACTGCTTGGATGGCAGCGATGAGGAAAACTGCGGATCCGGTGGGTGCACGCATGGGAATCAAACTCAGGTCGCGCTGGCTCAGCGCGGTAACCGGTGCACTACCAATCCTCCACTCCTTCCCCCGCACTTCCGTTCAGCACGCTTGACTACGTATTGTGCGATATAGTCGCAACATGCGTACTCCGATTCACTCATCTTGGGATGGCCAGTTCTTCCTTTTGGAAAGATATCTTACACCCAGAAATAAATTACTCCCCAACACCGTGCGAGGTGCTCCGGGTGCTAAGCATGGGGACGCATCGTTGCTAATGCGCTGGCACCGCATCCCCCCATCCCGTCCCCCCCCCCCCCGGCCCTGGTGCCAGCAGCTGTGCGCCTGTGCCCCAAGGACGAGTTTCAGTGCAACAGCACGCTGTGCAAGCCGTTCTCGTGGAGGTGCGACGGGGAAGACGATTGCGGCGACAATTCGGACGAGGATGCCGACCACTGCCGTGAGTCCTTCGGCACGCCCCACGTCCGCCTCCCCTGGCTCTCGTGCAGCCAGAAAAGAAAGTGCGGGACCGCTTTTGCCCTGCTCATGCGGATTCAAACGGTCATCGCCAGTCGCAGCAAGTGCTAAACGGCGTTGGTCAATCCACTTTCGCTGCAGCAGTCGTACATTCCTGTCAATTCCCAAATCTTGTTGGCTTTGTCCGGGCACCACTGTGCCACAAGTTGTTACGTCGGATGTTCGCGGATGCCTGCCGGGAAACTCGCTGGCTTTCATGTTCGTGGCGACGACGCTTGTCCAGAGCAGCCAGCTTCTTCTCTCTGTGTCCATGCCAGGAGCGTTCCAGTGCCCTCCCAGGAGGCAGTTCCGTTGCCGCAATGACAGGGTCTGCGTGAGCCTTGACCGGGTCTGTGACGGCATCAACAACTGCGGGGACCACTCTGACGAGGAGCACTGTGGTAAGAAACCGCGATGGTCATGACAGCCGGCTATGGCGCCCGAGCACGACGACGTTACTGACCGGCGATACGTTCGGCGATCACCGAACGTTGCAACCGATGAACTCACGTGATGCTCTCGCTTGGTACTAGACTTGGTATCGTTCTTTAGACTCGGCGCGGTTTTTGCGACGTCTGCCGGCCGCAGGCGAGCCGGCCCGCGGAGCTCGGGCCTGCACGGCCGAGGAGTTCAAGTGCGACAGCCTGGAGAGGAAGTGCATCGACGTTCGTCTGCTCTGCAACCACCACGACGACTGCGGGGACGGAGGCTCCGACGAGATGGCCTGCGGAGGAGGTGCGCTTCGGAGCCGCCAGCACGTCCGTGCGCGCGGGTGTGCGCGGGTGTGCGTGTGAGAGAGAGGCAAGACGGGAAGGCGCGAGACGTTGTCCATGCAGTCGTCTTAAAGGAAATGGCGTTCAGCGCGCTGCGGCTGTCCGTGCCGTCGTGGCCGTGGTCCAACCACGTGAACTCCTCCCCCCCCCCCCCCCCCCGCCGCCCGACAGACCCGAGGGTGAACGAATGTCTGAGCAATGCGTGCGGCTTCGAGGCGTCCTGCCACGACACCCTCCAGGGTTACTACTGCAGCTGCCGGCCGGGCTTCCAGTGGAATGCGAGCATCTCCTCCTGCGAAGGTGCCTCGCCTCCTCCTCATACTCCTTATCACCTCACCACCACTGCATTGCCACGTGGCCCACAAGCCCTCAATGATGGGGTCCCATTGCCTCATTGAATTTCAAAGAGGAATGATCGGGTTTGATTTGAATGTTTTTCGTGAAGTTGTGTCTGTTGTGTGTTATTTGTCTTGCATATAGTAATAACCTATTGAGGAATTAATAAATATCGTATGCTGCTTCGTATAAATCACTGTACTTAATAATTTCCAAGCTACTGAAGATGCACTGCTGCAAACCAACATTTTAGAAATGAATTGGTGAATCATTATATTTTTCACGACGTAACGTTCTTAATACAGTTACAAAGCACAGGCCCAAAGATCCAAAACATCAAGCGGCCAGCACTAAGCATGAATGTTAAATGGTGTCGGGCATATGAACTTTGACACGTTTTGTGAATTGAGCAAAGTTATAAGGGCTTGGGAAATGAGACGCTGCGAAGGGATTCCAAGGCGGAGTGACGTACCCACAGCCGCGACGCTGACGCGCACTTCGGCCGACGCTTTTCCTCGAGGGCAAAAACGGCGACGATCGTTACTTTAACGTCAGGTCCGGCGTTACCTTGACGGCATCACGTGACCACGGCGCTCGTCGCCGCGCCTCCCCCCCGCCCCCCCCCCCCCCCGGTCTCGCGTTGCCCTCCACGCAGACGTCGACGAATGCCTGCACTCTGGCACCTGCTCGCAAGTCTGCAACAACACCAAAGGCTCGCACGTGTGCAGCTGCGCTGAAAACTTCGTCAAGGTCCACCACCACAGCTGCAAAGCCAATGGTATGGAGCGGCGCTCGCCGCGCTCACGCCGTCGCCCGCAAAAAAAAAAATGGGCCTCCTGGGTTCCTCCCACACCCCGGGCCGAGTTCTCGTCTCTGTGGCGCCCCCGTCGTGCATCGACCAATGCGATGCGGCGGTGTGATGATGCGATGATGACGCGATGATGATGATGATGACGCGATGATGACGCGATGATGATGACGCGAAGATTATAACGCGATGATGATGCGATGATGATGCGATGATGATGCGATGACGCATTGATGATGCGATAATGATGCGATGATGATGATGATCTCCAGGGGGTTCAGGGAAACTCCCCTTGGGGGTCTGATTTGGGGCTCGAAGCTGTAACAAAAAACAAGCTCCCGTGGCGCAACTGGTTTTTGTATCGGTTCAAGATTGGTCACGATTCATGATTTGATCCCTGGCTGCATTTAAAATGCGCCACGCTTTTAATTCAATGAAACAGCTCCGTGTAATGCTACGTTTCCCAGAGTGTAAAAAAGTGTAGCTTTCTGTAATCATGGAGGTTGCTAGGGCACTTCCAAATATGTATTATTTTGACCATGACAGAAAAAAAACCCTACTTCCTCCTGCATGCCTAGATTTTGGCACGTGCTTGCAATCCACCACAATTCCCTAAATTGTCATGATTTAGGGTGATAATTCAATTCAACAATCGATTATTATTATTATTTGGCTTTGTAGTACATGCAGCACTTCAAGTGAGTGCAAGGTTTCCCTGAACCAATTACATACAGCTTATCTGTCGTTCCTCGCCAAGACATCTGCCCAGTGTGGACAGGTTGGGCCAAATACTCAATGGAGGGTCTCTGTTAGATCTCGCTCGAGTGGAATGCCCATCCGCCAGCAATGGCTTGAGCCAGCACTTGCAGGGATGCCCCTCTACGCTTCACACCAGTCGAATTTATAATGGATGAATCGCCCGTACCGTGGCTGTAAGAATCAGAATGTTTATCTATGCTGGAGGAAACCAGGTGAGCTCCGAAGCGCTCCTTCACAGATCTCCGGTAAAGAATGGAGTTTAGTTGTTGAATCGACGCGTCGCCCTGAAGCGCCTCGTTAACACCTGTGCGTCTCCCTCCGCTGCCGCCGCCGTTGCTGCGTGCGTCTCGGAGACTCGGAACGCACGATGATCTACGTGGCCGACAACAACCAGGTCCGCGGCCTGTCGCCGCAGCGAGCCAACGCGCGCTACACCCAGGTGCTGCTGGGCGACGACTCGGTGCGCGTCCACTCCATGGGCGTGCACGTGCGCACCGCCCGCCTCTTCTGGACCAACTGGCACCTGGGCAGCATCTCCTCGATGGAGCTGCGCCCCGGCGCGGGTCGGCCTCGCTCCGTGCGGGACGACACGGCAGCCGTCGTGAGGCTCGAGGCACGTGCGGGGACGGGGTCGGGGCCATCGGTGCCAAACAGACTGTTGTTATTATTACCCATTGGTTTTTTCGGTAAAGTCACGTATGTAGAAATACCATAAAATTTTATTTAAATAAATCAATCACGACGTTTCGACCGCAACACAAGCGATCTTCATCAGGTGTAAAAAACAAATAGCAGATCGGGTGACATCAACGCAACACATAGAGAGCGTTAAACTTACACGGAGGTAAATACAACAAGAAGATGAGAGACGAGAATTCAACAAACCTAAGAAAAAATGTACGTGATGCAAAACCAGTCGGGCCAACGACACAGTTAGACACTTGCCTGGCAGACCACGAATTTCAGAAGAGTGCTAAATTATTGTTGTTGTTCCGCTTGCTGACGCAGGAAAGCCTCGCTGAGCCTCGAGACTCTTTGTCAGGAAGGGGCCCCGCAAAGTTTAAGCCGTTAGGAGGCTTCATTCGCTACGGAATCTTTAACATCCACCGTGAAGCACCCGTCGCATCTTTTGTGGTTAATACACGAGAAGTATTAACCGGGTCAGCCAAAGTCTGGCCACGAAGCTCGGTACCAAGCGTCGAACGTGCTGCCGCTGAGCCATGCGACCGCTCCCACTGCTACTGCTGCCCTTGCGCTAGACGGACAAAGGGTCACGGTGCCCGCCACCCCACGCGGTCACTCACAGCAGTCCACGCCCCCGCAGCAGAGAAGGCCGTGCACATCTCGATTCGGTGTGCCGAGGCCGGCCAATCGCCGCCTGGGCTCCCCCGCATGGCCTGCCATGACTCGCAGCTGTAGCGGTTGGAGGCCAGCAATGCCCAGTGTCCCCAGCTATCCGTCTCATGTGGCCGAAAGGCGAACGATCGCCTCTCGGAAATCTCAGGGTCTCCGTAGTTCAATCCCCGCAGGCGGCAGCTAATGTGGCGAGGCTGTGCGAAAGATCGCCACTGCAGGCGTCGGGGATCTTTTGATGACGTATCGTACGTGCTGGACGAATACTGGCCGCTGCTTCAGGAAACGTGAAATTTTCACTGCTGGCCCAGACCGGCCACTCGAGAGACGTGCCCCATCCAAAACTAAAGTGGGGCACGCACCCTCCACCACGCGTGGCGCAGATCCCGGGGCTGAGGACTCCGAGCGGCGTGGCCGTCGACTGGGTGGCGGGGAACCTGTACTGGACGGACTCGGGGCGGGACGTCGTCGAGGTGGCGCAGCTGAGCGGGCAGAACCGCAAGACGCTCGTCTCCGGCATGATCGACGATCCGCATGCCATCGCGCTCGACCCCGTGCGCGGGTAGGAGAGTCGCTCGCTTGCACGCACCCCGATGCGAGGGCGCGCACGACATGAACACGTCCCTATGGTGGCGACGCACGCACGCACGCACGCACACAGGCGTGCGTGCACGCAAACACGAGCCCACACGCGCACGTAACTGTTGTGTTTAGTTTGTAGTCCTTTCCCCGCACCCCCGATGGGCACGGCCGGCTACGTACAGTGCGAAAGATGTTCAACATGTGAAGCAATTGGCGGGACCCCGGGGTCCCATCACTGCCACGGGGTGGGAAAAACCGCGTAGCGACACGAGTCTTGTTGCCTTACCGACAACAACAAAACTAGCGGTCAATCGATTGGCCTCGTCGAGAGCTACTCGGGGACACTAAGTTTCGTAAAAAGTTTAAAAATTACATAAACACGTTATATTCACCGCCTGGTGGGGCGGGCTCGCCTTGGCAAAGAAGCTGAGGATCGACGGCTGACCGGAGGGCGTCGTCGCCGCGCGCGACTGCGGCGGACGCCCCCCGGGGCTCGCGTTTGGCCGGTGGGGTGGCGCCCATCGTGTCGATCGCCGCCTGTTGGCGCTTGTTGGGGCGAGTCTGGGCGGGCGGCGCGTTGCTGTCGGGATCACGAGTGGGCAGACTGAAAAATAATAATTATTGACCTAATTTTTGCGGGACCCCGGGGTCCAGCCAAATGATTCATATGTGCATACATATATACGCAGGCGGACGAGTACACTCGCGCAGACATTCGTGCCGACACAAGCGAGCAGACACACACGCAAGCATGCACAATTAAGAGCATAAAAAAACACACAACCTCACAGGCACAAGCAAACAGACTAAACACAGTCGTACGCGTTCACAATGCGGAAAGAAGCGTGCAGAAATAGGCACGTGCCCACCCACACGCATGCACTTAGTGGACACTCATCACAGTATGCTTCGTGGATGGTATAGTTTATTTGCAGGCTCCTGTGATAATTCAATATCATTTACATGATTTTTGTATGCATATTTTACTTCTTTGGCACCGTACGTAGCCAACCGTGCTGATCTGGGGTGCGGGGGAAGGACAGCAAACTAAGCACAAAGATTTAGACGAGCAGCAATGCTACAAACGCGCTGTTTTTTTCCGATTGCAGGAAGATGTACTGGTCGGACTGGGGGAACAACGCCAAAATCGAGCAGGCCTCCATGGACGGCACACGACGGCGCAACTTCGTGGAGGAGCGAGTGCAGTGGCCAACGGGTGAGGAGCCGCAACAGCGGCACACGCGGGGGAAGGGGGGGGGGGGCGGGGGCGGTTGACACCTCGAGCTTCCGCGAACGTCGAAGTTGCGGTCGTGCGAGCGTTCAGTGCGACGAGCTGCCAGCGGCAGCTGCTAGTGGGCGGGGGGGTTGTTGCAGGTTTGCGTCTCGGCAAAATTGCGCTATAAATGTTCGCGGAGCAGCGCTGTGCTCTGTGCTCTACATGCCTGCCCCCCCCCGCCTCTCCCCCCGCCTCCCCCCCGGGAAAAAAAACAAACTTGCGTGCTGCTGGCAGGCGTTGGGACCCTTGAGAGATGAGTCACGAGTTTAGGAGGTCGTCTTCACATGAGGAGCACCATTTGAGGTCGTAAAAAGAAAATCCTAATAGCAAAGAGTGCTCGATCCTAAAAATCTTTCGCTTCTTCGTGTTCCAGCAGCAGCACTTTTTGTTTATCTCTCCGTGCGGCGCGGGTCACGGTGGAGGTTATTCAGCCATGCTGCACCATGCCAGTCTTTGCGCAGGTTGGCGAAGGCTCGAAGCGCAATCCGTTACAACGCAGTCAGGTTTGCTGCGCTGCCCTCTGTCATTTTAAACAAACTCAAATGACAAACGTTCGTAGCTGTTGCCGAAATACTGGCGGCAGGAGGCAGACGCGGGCGCTCTTTGTCCCCACCTCCTCGCCGTGCGCACAGGACTGGCCGTCGACTACATGAACCAGCGCCTCTACTGGGCGGACACGAAGCTTTCCGTCATCAGCAGCATCCGACTGGACGGCACCGACCGTGTGGTGGCCGTGAGCATCAAGCAAGGTGACCGAGCGCCGTGAAACGGATGGGCCCACGTCTGTTCAACGCATTGGCTTTCGCGAGCAATGTTATTCGTAATAAAGTGTTTTGTTTTTTTTGGGGGGTGGAGGCGGGTGGTGGGGGGGGTGGGGTTTAGATCACGTAAATATAGAAAATGTGTCGTCGAGACGGAACGTCGTCTTGTGCTCCGGGGCGTCGGAGATGCGTTGGGCGGCCAAGAGATCAATGGCGAATGTGACGCAGGGCTCCTGCACCCGTTCGCCATCGACGTGTTCGAGGACCACATCTACGGCGTGACGTACACCAACAGCCGAGTCTTCCGCGTGCACAAGTTTGGGAACGGCACGGTGGAGTTCCTGACGATGGGGCTGAGCCACGCCACCCACGCGCTCGTCTTCCACCCGCTAAAGCAGCCGGAGGGTGAGGCGCGTGCTCAGCTTTACGCCACCACGACCGCCAAAGACAAAGATCCCCCGTATAGCCTTAACAGACTGTAGGGGCAAGTGCTGTTAGCGGGCACCTACGAAGGCCGGCACGGCACACGAGAGGAGTGGGTGGCCAGCACCACGCCCGGTCGCCTTTGTCTCCCCAGTGGCGATGTTTACACACCGCACCAGGTACTCATTTGATGTTGATTCGACCTAGGGGAGGCCCAGGACCGGTTCAGATAATCGTCACCGGTGTTGGCCATGAGCGGGAATGGAACTCGGGTCGTCGGGTTCGTAGCGCAAACCGCCACCCTACTGCTCCCCGGACCACAACCACCGCACCCACGATCGCCACCGTGCAGTTGCACACTCGCAAACACATACCTTGCATGCTCGCAGCCGCGGTCTGGCACGATTGCAGGAAGTGCAGATTAGGTTACAGCCGTCATATCATCTTAACCTGCAACCAGGTCCAATGGGATACAATTATCTCTAGCTTATCTCATCAGAAATGTCTGGACCTTCTCTTTAAGTGCCAGAAAAAAGAGGAAAAACTTATTCTCATGCTCGACTCATAATTCAAAGGTGCCGAGTTCAAATACCATAATCTGGGGGTCAACTTGAACCGTCACTATTTCAGGATCAATGAGGACCACCCTGTGTGAGAAGGCATTGGGGTCATTGTTGAGAGAGCCTCGCGCCAGCTGGCAGAATTTTTAATTTCGACCGCCGGCTAAGGCGGTCGTCAACGTTGATTTCGAGATGCTTCGGCCTGGCGTGGAGTCACACGCATTTCTCTCTGCTGCGCTTGCATCGGCAGTGGCGAACCCGTGCGAGAGGAAGAAGTGCGAGCGGCTCTGCCTGCTCAACCCCAATGGGGCCACCTGCAACTGCCCCAACGGACACTCGCTCGTGAACGGCACCTGCTTGAAGATGCCCACGCCTACCCCGCCGGCGGACTGTGAGTCTCCACTGCGTGGCCTAACACGCGGCAACACGCGGCAACACGCGCCAACACGCGGCAACACGCGGCAACACGCGGCAACACGCCCCAACACACGCCAACACGCGGCAACACGCAGCAACACACTGCAACACACTGCAACACGCGGCAACACGCGGCAACACGCGGCAACACGCGGCAACACGCGCCAACACGCGCCAACACGCGGCAACACGCGGCAACACGCCCCAACACACGCCAACACGCGGCAACACGCAGCAACACACTGCAACACGCGGCAACACACTGCAACACGCGGCAACACGCGGCAACACGCGGCAACACGCGGCAACACGCACCAACACGCACCAACACACGGCAACACGGACCAACACGCGCCAACACGCAGCAACACGCACCAACACACGGCAACACGCACCAACACGCGGCAACACACGCCAACACGCGCCAACACGCGGCAACAAGCGGCAACACGCGGCAACACGCACCAACACGCGCCAACACGCACCAACACACGGCAACACGCCCCAACACACTGCAACACGCGGCAACACGCGACAACACACGCGGCAACACGCGGCAACACGCGGCAACACGCGGCAACACGCGGCAACACGCGGCAACACGCACCAACATGCGCCAACACGCGGCAACACGCACCAACACACGGCAACACGCCCCAACACACTGCAACACGCGGCAACACGCGGCAACACACGCCAACACGCGGCAACACGCGCCAACACGCGCCAACACGCGCCGTAGCCGGCGGGATGTTGTTGCGTCACTGCGGGTTGTGCCGCGTATGTTGCTCGCCGTGATGTCCGTCGTTTTTGTTCCGCGTGCTGGGAGCTTCTTCAGGAACCAGCACGTGCAACGAAATTTAGGACATTGTGCCGATCAAAAAACACGCGCTACAACACAAACGCACTGTCGGGGAGCTGTGCAGCTCAGGAGCGCTAACCGACCGAGTCGTAAAATTGCCGGCCAATTGTCTTCTCATAAACGGTTTGCACGCGGATTAAATTTGCAGCGCCTGCCAAAATCCTCAGCGTACATGGGAATACCATTTGCAGTCCGTACAAAGTTGGTCACCCACTCGCTGTACTGCCGTCTCCTGGCCACCTCTCAGCCCCAGTGGGTCGTGAGTCTCATGCATGATGTTCTCTGCGACGATGCACCCACCGCGCCCTCAAGCGTTGGATCACAGCAGCCTCGTGACACCACGCTGAGATAATACCCAACGGATTGTTTTTTTCGCGGTTTCTTACGAACGCGCATTTTTTTTTCCCGAAACTACAAATATTGAAGCCCGCTATTGATGTGCGGATGCGTGGCGGGGTCGCAGGGCAAGCGGGTCATGAACTTTACGGAGTGTGCGTCTCTCCCTGCCCCCTTGGCAGCACTAATCCAGGGTGAGTGCACCCTGCTGTGCGCCAACGGCGGGAGCTGCTTCCTCAACGAGCGCCGGCAGGAGAAGTGCAAGTGCCAGGCGCGGTTCACGGGGGAGCGCTGCGATAACGACCAGTGCACGGAGTACTGCCGCAATGGTGGCACCTGCACGGCCTCCCTTTCAGGTGCGCACACGTGTGCGTGCGTGCTTGTGGGCAGTTGTAGGCAGTCATCAACTAGCAACAGCATAGGGCAGAGGTGCGACACCCACAACAATGAGCAAATCGCCGGGCGGCTAAAACGCAGTGAGTTGGCACAGTCGGGAACACAGGTGGTGCATTTGCCAGTCATCTCAGTCGATCGGTGGAACCTCGGTTGGTTTCCGTGACTTCCTACCAGCGAGACTTCGACACTTGAGGTGGCCTCAAAGAGCACCTAGCCTGCCACAAGCGCCGCGGTGATGTCATCGCCTCGTCGTGGCGAAGGGCAGCTGTGGTTGTTGCGTGCGATCAGGGATCGGTGGCTTAGTGATTAGCGCACTGTGCTATGAACTCTACAGCTTGAGTTCCATTCACGGCCATGGATGACATCAGTGGTGAGTGGCCCTCCCCGGGGTCAGCTTCGCCTTAAATGAGTAACTTGCACGATGTATAATTGTCAGCACTGAGGAGACAGAAGCAGGCAGGCGTGGTTCCCAGCACACCATCTCCTTATGCACTGAGCTGGTTTCAATTGGTTCCAATAGGTGCTCACTAACAGTGCCTTGCATCAAGTCCATGTGGATAATGCAGGTGTGGCATTGGCCACATCGTTCCGGAGAGTGTGGTCAACCTCAGTGTTACTTGTCTGTGTGTGTGAGTATGTAGATGTGTTGAACTTATTTCGCACCGTACGTAGCCAACCGTTTTAATCGGAGGTGCAGGTGAAGGACAACAAACTACACACAAAAAGCAGTTCTAATGAAATGAGTTTTCAATCTACATTTGAAAGTGGATAGCTCCAGTGGCTTCTTAATATCGAAAGGGAGAGCGTTCCAGACGGCCGCAGAAACGCGTCTGAAAGCGCGCGATGCGGTGACCACCGTCTTTGTTCGATGGCCAGCCAAAAACCGCCGTGAGAAGTTGGCGTGATGACTTGTGCTCCTTGATACCCTTGTGAACGCACGTCGCACACACGTGCGTTTAGCGTCATGCGGTAACGTGTAAGGTCTCTCCCCCTGCCACGGTAATGCGAAGTTTTCACTCCCGGCTCGGGGGGGGGGCACAAAAAGCGATGAGGAGGATTACCCTGAGAGATTTGAGCAAGTGGACACTCTTGACGAGCAGTGGCTGAATTGGCTCCGGCGCGATCCCCATCCACGGGCATCCGTCACGGCTCATCTCATGAGAGCCTCGTTCACCTTGCCCCAGGGTCCAGTCTAAAAAAAAAACAAAAGCGAGCACTCCGTGCGAAATGTGCTGACGGACTCTGTGCCGACGCGTGTTCCGAGGCCAGAGCAGGCGTCGCATGAAATTGCTCGGTGGCACAGCGTGATGAGACTTTCGCTGGCACGCACTAGACGCTGCTCCTAGGTTTATCCCGTGTGCCAAAGTGACCGCGACGTGGCTTCATCGGCGCGATCTTGCGTGCGTGCGTGCTCGTCAAGCAAATGCACGGCGTGCGTGTGCGCGCGTGCGCGTGCGTGCGCGCGCGTGTGCTCACGAGCGCGATTCGTCTCTTACAGGAATGCCAACGTGCCGCTGCGTGAATGGATTCACGGGCGCGCAGTGCGAGCGGAAGGTGTGCGCAGGCTACTGCCTGAACGGTGGCACGTGTAGCGTGAACCTGGGGAACCAGCCCACGTGCGGCTGCCCGGCTCCCCACACGGGAGAGAAGTGCCAATCCAGTGAGTGTGCCCGCACCTCCTGTTTGTGAACAAGCAGACACACACAGGCGGTGACTTGGCCCAGCAGTTGCACGTTCGGCGCTCGTTGCAGAGGTTCGCGGTTCAATTCTGGCAGGCCGCGCTGGTTAATACTGTGAGCGCGTGTTAACCATAACCAGTATGATAGGCGCCAGCTATATTATTCGAAGACGAGGTGACCATTGTGTGCCGAGGTCATGAAGTTTGCTAAATTGGATTTGCTTTTTCCACAAATTACTTAAATGGGAAACTCACAGTAATTGTCGCCCCCCCCCCTCCCCACTGAAAAATAAACATGGTAGGATCCTCCTGAAAGACACTTTAGAGACTTTTCTGGCTTAACAAACGTATTGGTAATAATAATAACAGTAGACATACACGCGCATCTTAAGAGTGTCCCTTCACCACGAGGACACCACGTCAAAGTCTTGTGCTGCAAACGCAAGTGTGGCAACACAACCTCAGGCGCACCTTCCACAACCACGTCATTAAAGACAAAGATTCCCCGTATAGCCTTAACAGACTGTAGGGGCAAGTGCTGTTATCGAGCACCTATGAAGGCCGGTACGGTACACGAGTGGATGGGTGGCCAGCACCACGCCCGGCCGCCTTTGTCTCCCAAGTGGCGATGTTGCCGCAGCCCCACCAGGTGCCCAGTTGAGACCGAGTCGACCTAGGGGAGGCCCAAGACCGGTTCAAACAATCGTCACCGGTGTCGACCGTGAGCGCGAATCGAACCCGGGTCGCCGGCTTCGTGGCGCCGCTGACCGCCGCGTCTCCGCTCCCCCACCTCGTCAACACCCTTCAACGAGTCTCTTCATTGCCGCGTGCCGAAACGACCCCTTCCCTACCCACTCACTACCGCTCCCCTCCCCCCCCCCTGCCCCGCACCGCCCCGCCGCAACGCACCCGGGCAGCCGTGTGCGACGGCTTCTGCCTGCACGGCGGCAAGTGCGTCCACAGGGGCGGCAGGCCGGCGTGCGAGTGTCCCTCCTACGCGACGGGCGAGCGCTGCGAGGACATCGGGGCCTGCGTCCACTGCCAGCGTGAACAGTGCAAGGTCGACGAGCGCACGGGCGAGGCGTTCTGCGAGTAAGCACCCTCGCACCACCCCCCCCCCCCCCACATCTCTCTCCCCCCCCCCCCCTCTGCCGTGCACGTCGAGACACTGGGCTGTGGGGCGAGGACACAGGAGGGAGCTTCGAGGTCAAGGGAACGCGTGGGGCGCGACGCGCCAAGCGCGTGACCTTCAGTGTCCGCGGGAACGCTCCCAGACGCGACTGGGTTCACGGAGCGCGGCTTTCGAAGGGGCGGCCGCGATCGTCTTACGAGCCGGGCTCTGCACCGAGGGGGAAGCTTTGCGAATCACGTGACGGATGATTGTTATTGGAAACGTTGACTCGTCTCATTTGTTGTTCAGCTGCATCGGGCTGGACTGCATCAGCTGTCCGAAGTTCTGCAACTACAATGGACACTGCGCCACGGATCCTGAAAGCAAGAGCCGGACGTGCATGTGAGACACGTGGTCCCCTTGTGCCTCACCCCTAGTGTGGGTGTGTGGGTGGGGTGGGTGGGTGGCTTGCGAGTTGATGTGAAACAGATACAAGGGCTGCCTTGACTATGGCACATTTATCAGCGTGGTACAATAGCCAAATTGTAAAGTTGCTTGCAAAGTTTAAATTGTTAGGTTTTTTTATATATATATATTTTTTTACGGTATATACAATGAATTCAGACTTATTTGTGAAGATGCACAAGTCACAGTGACGCAAAACAATCCTGACTTTGTTTCAACATAGCAAGTTATATTATAAATCAGTGGGCGCCACGGTGGTGAGATGATAACTACCTCGTCTGGTATGCAGGAGGTCGTAGGTCCGATCCCGACCCTGAGGCCTGCTGTATATTTGGAGTTTGGATTTTTCTCCGGGTCCTCTGGTTTTGCCCTCAACATTTAGAATCAACATCACGCGTTTAGAGTATTTGACTACTATACATTTCCGCATGATGAGCCACTTCGTTGAGCGATCATTTGTGGCCAGGTCACTTCTGAAAAAGAGCTACGTAGCTCAGTGGGCATTACCTGGTCAAGTAAAAAGTAGTTGCAGTTTAGCATCGTGAACATTTCTTGGGAATATGTAACATGTGTCAGGAGCCCCCATACACCACCCCATTTCTATTTTGAATGTGAAAAAACATTTGACTTTTCGAGCTCACTGAAGGAGATACACCTCGATAACAGATTTGCTTCCAATTGAAAATCCACCTTTCTGTAACGGCAGATGCGATGCGGGTTTCAAAGGCCCCCGCTGCGACGAGAAAGTAAACCCCTGCGACTTCTACTGCCAGAACGGCGGCTTCTGCGAGCTCAAGTCCAGCGATGAACCAATGTGCAGGTGAGTGCCTCGTGCTGCGGAGAGCGCCCTGACCCTGCTGTGTGCTTCCACCCACACACCCCCCACACCCTCCACCCACACACCCCCCACACCCTCCACCCACACACCCCCACCCCTCCACCCACACACCCCCCCACACCCTCCACCCACACACCCCCCATCCCCTCCACCCACACACCCCCCACACCCTCCACACACACACCCCCACACCCTCCACCCACACACCCCCACCCCTCCACCCACACACCCCCACACCCTCCACCCACACACCCCCACCCCTCCACCCACACACCCCCCACACCCTCCACCCACACACCCCCCACACCCTCCACCCACACACCCCCCATCCCCTCCACCCACACACCCCCCACACCCTCCACCCACACACCCCCACACCCTCCACCCACACACCCCCCACACCCTCCACCCACACACCCCCACCCCTCCACCCACACACCCCCACACCCTCCACCCACACACCCCCCACACCCTCCACCCACACACCCCCCACACCCTCCACCCACACACCCCCACCCCTCCACCCACACACCCCCCATCCCCTCCACCCACACACCCCCACACCCTCCACCCACACACCCCCCACACCCTCCACCCACACACCCCCCATCCCCTCCACCCACACACCACCACCCCTCCACCCACACACCCCCACACCCTCCACCCACACACCCCCCACACCCTCCACCCACACCCCCCCCATCCCCTCCACCCACACACCCCCCATCCCCTCCACCCACACACCCCCACACCCTCCACCCACACACCCCCCATCCCCTCCACCCACACACCCCCACCCCTCCACCCACACACCCCCATCCCCTCCATCCACACACCCCCACCCCTCCACCCACACACCCCCATCCCCTCCATCCACACACCCCCACCCCTCCACCCACACACCCCCACACCCTCCACCCACACACCCCCACCCCTCCACCCACACACCCCCCACACCCTCCACCTACACACCCCCACCCCTCCACCCACACACCCCCACACCCTCCACCCACACACCCCCATCCCCTCCACTGACACCTGTGTTATATGTAACACAACTGACTACGCTACGTTCATCGCGATAAATCAATTTTTCCCCACCACTGGCCATGTTTGATCAAGGCCGTGCGTCGCCTTAGTTATCCGTGGGCCAGCGTAACCAGAGCAGACGGTGGCGCTGCGCATCCCCCGACATGTCAACACGTGCTGGTCCGTGTCCCACCAGGTGCCAGTCCAACTGGGAGGGTGTCCAGTGCGAGCGGAGCGCCCTCAGCAGGTCCACAGGCAAAGAGAGCAGCAGTGAGTACCGCCCAGTGCCTCCCCTCTCGGTATCTCAGCATCTCGCCTCACGGTCGCCGCACCGCCACCGCCGCACCCACCCGTTCCATATCCGAGCAGCAATGCTGGAAGTCGAGCCCGCATGCCGTGGCAATGCCGCAAAACCTTTTTGACATCTGGTCACGCGCTCAACCCATGTGTTGCCGGTGGGGGAGCGGTGCGACATGCGGTTGTGGGGAGGGCTGATTGATGCCGCCTTTCATGACCACGTAAATCCTTTTCGTCGCGTGTCTGTGTCAATGGCAAATGCAGAAACGCTGCCCGTGGCGGTGTCCGTGGTGCTGCTCATACTGGTGCTCGTGTCTGTCCTGGCATTCTTCTGCTACAGAAGGCGAGGGAAGCGGTGAGTGGTGCTCAATATTCTTCTAAGCCACAAGTTTCGTTATTGCCGTGGGGTCGGCTGGTGAGATTTTATTTCTATCCACGTAATGATATTCCGTGCCTCTCCTCTGATCACATCCACTATCCTCATATCTAGTCTCAGCGCATCCTTCCATTTCTCCCTCAGTCTCCCTTAACTCATTACATGTAACACTCAGTGGTGCTCCATGTTCCTGACCGAATTTTAGTGTTACTCTCCAAAGGGCCTTGGGACAGAATGGCTGTGGTCATATCCACATAGTGAAAAACCAGTCCCAGGATACACCTCGATTCCACACAGCACTCCTCTAAGGCCTCCAAATCAGCCCGCTGGGGCCTCAGGTAAATGCCGAGGCACTTGTCACTTTCATTTTCTCTCTCAGGCTGCAGCCACGACTGTGCACCTTCAACCCTTTCGTGCAGGTTCTGGTTTGTGCTGTCCGTGTGTCCATACAAGCGGTCGTTTAAACGAGGCCAACAGTTGGCCACACGTGATGTGGTCGCAGCGTGTGATCCGGGGTCGCGCTGCGTTGCTCCCGGCACAGCGCCAAGGCCTTCCAGCACCGCCGCATGACCAACGGCACCATGAGCCTGGAGATCGGGAACCCCACGTACAACATGTACGAGGGCGAGGCGGAGGCGGAGGAGGAGGACGTCGGGGAACTGCTCAACACCAACTTCACCCTCGACCCCAGCAAGGTCAGCGGCGACGTCGCCCACTCGACAGTCGTTTCCGACTCTCGCTCGGCGCGCGTTGATCGCTCGGGCCAGACCGGCGGGGCTCCCTGCGGGAGCTGTCTGCGACGTTTAATCGACGGGCGCGGCTAGCTGGGAGTGGCATTGCTGCGCTGCGATTGAGGATGGCGGAATGCAGCGGCGATTAACCGTGCGAAGGTCGGCGCGGCATTCATCGGCGGCATCGACAGAAGTGGCGAAGTGCCGCCCACGAAAGAGTGCATGATCAGAAGCAGCGGTACCGCTACGAGAGAACTACTGAAGGAATAGCGATGAGCAGTCGTAGCGGTGATGTAATGGAATGTCGCGGGAGTGTGGTCGAAGCGCTATCAGGAAGAAAATGTACGGGAGGAGGGACACGCGAACAAGATGAATGAATAATGACGCGGACATCGGATTGAGCACCTAGAGGTCGGTAACCAAGGGGGATGACCCCAAGAGATGAGACTGTTAAGAGTGGACCTCAAGAGGTCACGTGTTGACTCTGCAGCAGTTGTAGGATCTGGCGTGGATCACACGACGGTGCGGTCGCATCAACATCACACATCTTGTGGCGACCTCGCGATCTCAGTCCAGAAAACGGCGTTGTTGGGCAGACGTTGGTTAATTATGTTTCAATTTCCGAATGTTCTTCACGTTCACCCTGACCTCGGTGTGCCGTTGTTCGCAGACAACGAACTTCATGAACCCGGTGTACGCCTCGCTTTACCTGGAGGGGCCGAGCAGTCGGAACTCGCTGGGCAGCACGGACGAGAAGAAGGAGCTCCTCACCAAGGGTGGCACCCAGGGAGTGCCTGGGGAGCCGGTGGTGGCGTAGCCCCGACTCCCCCGTCCGCTCCCCGCCATGCCCGATTGTTTTCTACTGCACTGTACAAAATGTACAAATCCAGAGCTACTTTTGTATAAGAATACAGTATTATGAAAACAGAAAAAAGATGAACTGTTCCTCTGTTGTTGTTTTTTTTTTATCGGTTTGGCACTACCTCTCTGTGATTGTTTGCCTTATTGGCTTTTCGAGTTGCAGGAGACGTTGATGATGACCGTTTCGGCCCAAAAACAATTCCACTTGGAGAAGTGGGTGGCGCCAAGGGACGGTAGCGTCGCGGTGAGCACGCTGCCCTACGAACCCAGCGACGCAAGTTCGATTCCTGCTCGCAACCTAACATCCGAACCGGTCGTGCGCCTCCCCTAGGTCGACTCGTTCTCAAATGAGCACCCGGTGCGATGTGTAAACATCGCCACTGGGGAGACAAAGGCGGCCGGCCGGGCGCGGTCCTGGCCACCCACCCTCTTCGTGCGCCGTGCCGGCCTTCATAGGTGCTCGCTAACAGCGCTTTCCCCAACAGTCTGTTAAGGCTATACGGAGGATATTTGTCTTTGCTTGCCAAGGGTAGTGAGTTTAGCAGTGCAGTGGGGACCAGCCAATCAAGGTACATGCCAGGGAGAAGTATGTGCCATCGTTGGTGCAGCCGGATCCTGTCGTGGAGAAAATTTAGTCAATAGACGTCCGACTCCAGCAGAGGCAAAGTCGAGTAGCTGAAGTTAATCCACTTGAAACGATTGCCGATCAGGTGGACAAATCGGTTCAAACAAAAAGCATTCAATACGAGCAAACATATAGTACTGTCACGGACATTAAATAGAATTAGTAGTGGCTGGGCAGTAGAGTTATATCGCTACCGGACGACTGAACCTTGAACAACGATTTAACAAGAAACTGTTATATTTTACACGGTAAATACTTGCAATTAAATGTGCCATGTTTTATATACGATAATTGTAAATGATTTTTAAAGTGCTGCTGTGTACCTTTGTAATCATTCCATGTCTAGATTTTTGCTGGGTAATTTTATTATGGAATCACAGAATGCTGATAATGTATACGCTGTTAGAGGAATCAATTTTAAATCCAAAAATGTTGAAATGTATGACTGTTGTGCCAGTGATTGGAATGAGTCATTGCACTGTGTAACTTGTGTTCGTGTGGGTCAGTGAATGTGTGTGCATGTGGGGATAGCGGTAGTGTAGCGGTTAGCGAGCTGCGCTACGAACCCGGGGATCCCAGTTTGATTCCCGCTCACGGTCAACACTCGTGACGATTATTTAAACCGGTCCTGGGCCTCACCTAGGTCGACTTTAGCCGCAAATGAGTACCTGGTGCGGTGTGTAAACATTGCTACTCGGGAGAGAAAGGCGGTGCTGGCCACCCACTCCCCCCTGTGCCGTGCCGGCCTTCATAGGTCCTCGCCAGCAGACACTTGCCCCAAAAGCCTGTTTAAGGCCGTACAGGACGATCGTTGTCTTTTGCGTGCGAGTGTGCGCAAATTTGCGGGCCCAATTCAAGTTGCCGTTTTGGCTGCCATTATTATGCCACTTGTTGGCAATAACAATGGCTGATTGCATTCTAAAACGCAGCGATCTCAGAATGGTATAGCACATGTCGGAATTCAGAATGTGAGGCTATTTGTTGGCCCATGCCACCCATTTTGTCTGCATGAGTGATGGCGATTGTGTCTGGGTGTGCGAGGGGGATTTCCGGTGTCTGTTGTGGAGTCACGTCTTGGATTGCTTTTCAGTTCAGCGTTTGGGCTGTGGAAAGTTAACGATTTAGCTTTGATCGTTTACGCCAATATATAATGTTACTGAGATGAAGGTTTTAACAAAGTCAACATGGACAGATGTCTTATTTCAATAGGTTGGGTTTTAAATGCGTGAATTGCTTTTTGAAAATTGTGCTTTTACTACATTTGTAAAATTGCAAATTAAAAACCATGCAAATTCCAGACCTTTGTATTCGACCAACATCATTCCAAGTGGTTGATGATCGTGACAGATTCTATCGCTGGGGTTTTTTTTTTTAAACCAAACAACGCTGGTATGAAAAAGGAGCGGTGCTGCTGTTCAATGTCACTGCAAGGTGTTTAGTGTGCATAGTATTTTTTTTAGAATAGTCTAGTACTTGTATTTTACTTTTTTTAAAACACAACTGATAACTTGGATTTAGAGCAAAGTTTTCAGACGAATGTCATTTACTTTACAACAAAAGTATTGTAATTCTGGAAAATCTATTACTGACGTTTCCTTGGTGGGAAACTGGCCAAGTTTTTGCAGCGTATTATGTTTTTTTTCCAACAGACACGAGTGGAAAAGTGATTTATTTTCCCACCAGCAAATGAATGAGGCCCTCAGTGTTGCGGAAGTTTGCATTTGGGACACGTTTCGGGAGCGACTGTAGGGAGCGCTGTGGCCACACCCAAGGGGACACCCCCACCTTCGGTTAGCACGGTTGTCTACTTTCTGTGCGAAAGAAATTCAACAAACATACGTAACGTAACATACGTCGTTCAGACCCATCCCTCCTTGCAGGCCCTTCCTGGACATTAACACCCCCTTTGTCCACCGCTATCCTCCCTTGAATTGTTCTCGCCCTGAATCTTACGTCTGCAATGAATATGGACCAGCTGTGTTCCATGAAAGTGGACCCGTTATGTGGGTCCACTGCAGGACGATGGCGTTCCCACACTTTGCTTGTTGTGGGGCGTTATTTGACCCGTAATGTGCCGTGCTGGTCCGTGCGGGTTGGTAAACGTTTGAGAGCAGCATGGACCTGGGGGCACTGTTCTGTCTGAAAATCAAGGCCGTAGCCATGGAGTCAACATTGGGGGGGACCAAATCTTCCAGGGGATGTGTCCCCCCCAATATATATTGTAATTACGGCCTTGCTGAAAATACAATACAAGGATGGCCATGCTGTCCTTTCCTGACAATCGCACTGTCCCGCAGCTGCCTATAACAACCTGGCATGCACAGGCCTCAGAAATTGGATGAATCTACCGCACCGTGTAACAACTGTTAAAAGTGTAAGCTGGGTACAAGACAGCATTGCGGTGTTCTGCGGTGCATTCATTCATTCAGAGTACAAAATCTTGACACATTCCAAACAAATATTTCCTAAAAATACCCAGACAGCCGAAGATCTTTCAACATCGCCGCCGCAATTGCCACTCGCAGCGTGCATCTCGGCAGAGTTGTCCTTTTTAGCACGAGTCCCCAGCGGCCCTTAACCGATGCAGGAAGGGGGTAAATTTGCTCCCATTTTAGCAATTCCCAGGTTGGCGCTGAGACAGAGCTCACGGCAGTCGGAGTCAGCAGAGACGCGGGCCCCTCTCATCCTCAAGTCTTCTCAACAGCTGCCAGACTTGCCGGAGAGGTTTGTCTGACCCCATGGTGGCTCTGACAGCTCATTTAAAACATTCCCAGCTTTTGCATCATTTACCAGATGGCGCTGTTTATACGACCTATTTCAGTTGATCACTGTAAAAGAAAAAAAGAACACCTATTAACGTGTGAGTTATGGTCAAGTCATGATGACGGTCGAGTAAGTAACTGTTCAACTTTCAAGGAGGAAAACGTCGCATAAAGGGTGCAAGGATAGTGCAGCATGTCTACAGTATTCCGATTTTTAAAAGGGTATTCTAAGGAAAACGACAGACTTCCTGGAGCAACCCAAATGCATTTTAATGAAGCAGAAGTTGTAAGGCATGAGCCTGGCCCTGGCATCTCTCGGCAGACTATGCAGACGGTGCAAAGGGCCGACTGCCAGCGAGTAAACATGGAGCAAGAATAATCCACCCGCAGCATCCCTCCTGCGAAGACGCGTGCGATAAATAGAAAACATCAGCTGCCCGACCTACAGACCAAGTCTAAAATGCTGACGGTGCACTCTGCAGTTACTCCAAACCTACACAAGGGACCATCTGTGGCATATTTTTTTATTTTATTCCAAAAAGCCGCGCCTGACATTACCACCAACAGAAAAAAAACCGTATCTGTTTAAACAAATATCTCGGCTTTGTCATTGGCTTCACAGTTCCCATTGACGACGGAAGAAGCATGGTCCCCTTCTGCAGATGTTCCCCATTCGTGCCACTTGATCTATATATTTTTAAACAAATTTCTCCAAGCAACAAGAGACGTCTCACCCCGCTAAATCTGACCAGGCCACGACCTCGCCCGCCGGTTGTAAGCAAATAATTCTAGTATTTTCTTTCCGTGTGATTATTTACCAGGTGTGGAACACAGTGCTTCGGGTTTTTTTCTCCTCCCCCCTTTGGTCTCGCCATTTCGCGTTTTAAAATCAACAAGAGAGCTCGTTAGAGAGCGAGAGAGAGAAGCGGGCCTCCAGCCCCGCAAATCACTCCGGACAGCAGTGGGGCCGCGGAATGCGAGGGCCTTGTGGGACCGCAACAAAATAACGGCGCTCGCTGCACGTGCTCCGTTGTTTTTGTTTCACGATTTAGTGGAACCAATCTATCGGATGGCATTGGGGAGGGGGGGGGTTAAGATAAAATACCCTTAGATGCGTTAACTCTTTCAGGTAAGCGGCTTCACGCGGGTTAAATCGATGGCTGCCTGATTTAGGTGCTGTTTATTTTAAGCAACTCGGACACTTCGATTAAAAACATTCTGTGACAGATTCCAGACGCGTACGACAAAGCTTGGGCCGCTTCCAGCGCCGCTTGGTGCAGGAGGCGCGTGAAACATTGACGATGTTTAAGAATTGTTATGGGAAGATTCTGATCCTGGGGGGGGGCGGGGGGGTGGATATTGCTCGCGGATTAGTGTGACAAAGTGTGACAAATGAAGGACGGGGAAAAACAAAGTTTTCAGGCAACGACAAACACATTTACACAGGGCAAATATTAGACGCCTTATGAAGACTCATGAGTCAATTATGATCATCATACTCTCTGACGGTAATACCTTTAAAAACAACAGAGTAATGGTTTTAATATGGGTAGCTACAGAAACGAAATATTGTTTCAAATATGCTTCTGTACTCTTAAGTTGACTTTTTGTGTGACGATGCTTTGGACACCCCCCCCCCCCCAACCTTTAACAGGGGAATGGCTGCCCCATCAATTCCCAAGTCCCCCTGCCGCGTAGATAACGTTTCCAAAAGAAGAATAAAAAAAAACCCCATCGTCTCCCTCTGAATAAGGACGAACATTTCCCGGCAAGTCTGGAATGGAATGGAAGAGTCCGCTGCTCTGTCTCCGTCTGCGCTCTTGCATCAGAACCATGTGTTCTGTGAAAAGTAAAGTGGCTGTGCATTTGCTCAGGCTGCTAATGTCTCACGCGCTTTATAATTCCCCTCCGAGCGAACGTACGAAGAGGCGAACGTGCAAGTAGTTTCGTGGCTGCGGCGGCTGTACATTTTTGCGCTCAATCTCAGGAGATGGCTTCCTTAACGCTGACCTTTGTCCAAAGTCAAAGACAAGGCTCTTTTGTGAAACGTTATTTTCAACCGGGGGATCAAATTTAATGAACCCAGCTTTAGAAGCACGCAGAGCTGACTATTCGTCCCCCCTCCCCCGACGGCAGCCAGTGTTATGATGACATTCACAGACCCTAAGGGGCCAACATCTGATCAGCTAAAACCGTGCCTCCGCGACCACCCCTAACCGCGAGCAGTCGGGGAGAAGGCTACTGAAGAAAACAAACCTCGCACTGAGACCTACGCGAAGGTCCCTTGCGACGAACCCACCCAAGTGGTCATCCACTCCACAGACGGACAGGGCGACAAGTCCACTCTTCGAGCCGCTATGCGCGCACGGAGAAACGATGGCGGGATTTGCAATGCCTACTGGGCGATGTGCGCCACAAGGCATGGGCAACTTTTAGCGTTGTGTTTTTATTATTTGTTTGTAATCACGGAGGAGGGCCCTTTGAACGAGCAAACTCTTTTTAAAGTGTGAACCCTGGGGATGGGGGAGGAGGAGGGGACTGAAGTCGCTACGCCTTTAGGAATGTAACGGCATGAACGTGTTCCTTTGGCAAACGATAGGAATTACACAAGTAATTTAAATGTCCTTAAAATACGCGCATATTGGGTACTGTAAGAAATTGATTCATAACGTGTTTGGAGAGTCGCGTGTTTGCTATTACACTGAAAGTGGAACACGTGGATCAGAGCAGAAATGAACAACAGACGTCGTCTGCCAGCGGGTTTGGGAAGGACATTCCTAGGAGCGGTGATGGTCAGTGGAGATGATGGGATGGCATCAGCTCATGGAATGTTTCATCTCAAGACCATGAGAGATGGTGATGATAACTTGGGGAGGCCTTCATCTAGCAGTGGACAGATAATGGGGAATTATGACGACGACGAATGTGTCTGTAATAAGACTCTTTCTTTATACAGCAAAACCTTAGTGTTTAGAAACTTTCCGGTCGGGTCCTGCAATCAAATTGTTTGGCACATTATTTCAAAAGTTGTGCCTCTGAAGTTTGTGTTTAGTTTCATACTTTCAAGTTTCTAAGAAGTCGTCAAATCTTCTCCACAATTTCCCCGTTTGTATTTCCAGACAGACGTAACCGAATCCTTGCCCCGTATCGAAACGCGCAAATCTAGGCAAGAAGTCACTGGCACGTTGCCAGCGAGGTGAGTGCAGCACGGGAGCGGTGTGAGAGGATTGTGTGTGTGGGGGGTGCCGTAAGCACCGCGCACTCCTCCACACACCATCAGCTCCGCACTACCCCCCCCCACCCCGTCTCAATCGCTCGTTCTACTTCTACTCAGCACGCTGACATGGTCACCTCATGGCCCCAGCCAAGGGCCCTCCAAGCCAGACTGACATCAAAGCGCGGCTTTAAAGTCGGCGTTTTCTGGGTTCCTGTGATTTTTGGCACGAATGTCGAAAACGCTTAAAGGCCAAACCATGATGTAGTTTATTATAATTAAACAATCACCATCGCACAGAGCACCCGAATGTAAATCACTCTTTATTTTCAGTGTATTTATTTTTTTACATCCCGATGTACTATATCATTATAGCTATTCAATACTGGTACTTACCGTAGTCTTGTGATGATTAACATCGTTACCTTGTGGAATTACTTTTGAGGCAATAAAATAATCACAGCCCATTGTCGATGCATTGCTGGATGAGATGCCTCCCCTCGGCGTGCGGGTTGTCTGACCATACTTCACCACACTGGTCAGCGTAGGCATTTGAGGTATCACTCGCCACTCGTGTTAGATACCACACTGCTGGAGACGGGGCCCCCTGGTCAATTCATAGCGCAGTGTGCAAACCGCCGTTCCACCACTCCCCTACGACTGTGATTGCCAGGGCCATAGAAAGCCTCCTCCCCTGCAAACGCGGGCTGCGTGTACGTGATCCCGGTGCGGGCATTGTGGTATATAATATACAGCATCCTATAGTAATAGGTTTTACCCTTTTGACTGGCAAAGTAGGTCTCATAATGTAAATACAGCATCCTGTGGACAAGTATCCTGGGCGGGGAGGGGTGTGGGGATGGGGGTGGCGACGGGGGACAGCGGGGTTTAGTAGGTTTTTTTTCAGTTTCAGTTTAATTTCTTAGGTATAACCGTGTGAGCCATGCGGCTCTTGACTCGGGTGCAACCGCAACACAACAAAAAAACATGAACAAAGAAAACATCTTAAAGTGACGACACGAAACAGAAAAATCCTGGAAAAAAAACAGCAAAAGTCTTCCAGAAAAAAAAAACACCGCATTTCCACGCTGTGTGGGATGCAAGTCAAACAATAACAACCATAAGACAATGTAGATTAAAGTTATCAGGCCAACTCTGTACTACAAGTTCGGGGTATCCTCGGGGGAGTCCCCTCGGGCAGTGGAAACGTCACCCAAGTTGCCTCTGGTCCCAACTGTGAGCAATGATCGCTGCCCCCGGAGAAGACGCGGGGCCTTGCTTGAGGTTCAAACGCATCCCTGAGTCAATACGATTATTGACTGTTGCGTTAAACTGAGACCCGTCGTTTGGACGGAATGCTCTTGCGAATAACATCTGGCAACGCCTTAACTCTTGCTCGCGGGATGCAGAAGGTCTAAAAACCCGTAACAGAGTTGTTGGCGGCTTCAGGAAAGTGCTGTTGGATATATTTGGTCTGGAAAGCCAATCGGCCGATGAACGGAAACATATACTGTGCGTTATTAATGCGGAGGCAGTGTCAGAGGGACAAAGGTCTGTTTCTGTACGTTTAATAACATCCAGGTCGGGTAAACGTCTCAACAATTCCATAAGAAAATGTTACTGATGCTGCGTTGGCAGCGGTGCCACAAACACAATTATCAACAACAACAAACTCAACACGCTCGTGACCAACACCGTTACATTACAGAAAAATACAAATATATAATCGGCGACGTTTCGGGCAGTGAGCCCTTCATCACAGCGCATGGCAGTCACGAATACAAGTGTCCTTCCTTGAATGCACGGACGCATTTGCAGCGTGAGCTGGATAGTAACTCACACGCCTGGTCATGTCGGCCGGAGCAGCCGATATCATCATCAAGTTCCCGGTGTTGCTGCCGTGGGCGGTGAGATTGTTCCATCAACTTCAGACTACAACTTCCCCCCCCCCCCACCCCACAGTGAACACGTGGACTTTAGTGCTTCATAGACTGAACACGGCACCGACATTAAGTGATTACTGATTAAATGCATCTGTGCGGGTGTATGTTCAACTTCTTTCGCAGCGTACGTCAGCCAGCCGTGCTAATCCACTGCATCCACTCCCGCCTCACTGTTGACATGTGTACATGTACGGTGGTATCTCGATCCACTGCTCGATGATAGCATCCCCTTCGTGGTGGGGGGAGGGGGGGTGGTTAATTTTGACCATACTTCACCACACTGGACAGTGCGGGCTGATGAAGGCGAGCGCACATAGCAGCTGGGAGCGTAGACGGACAGTACAACAATTGATTTCGCTGCACTGCTTCTCTTCAACACACAACGTAGCAACAAGCAGCCTATAGCACCTGGGTTGATGCACGGTAGTTGCAGGGACCTTGCTACTTTTAGCCCTTGCTACGCAGCATCATCATCATCATCACCTCCGTAATCTTAAACTTCATCATAATGTCCTTTAATATTCATCTCCATGGTCATCTTCATCAGCATCTCAATCATCCTCATCTGTATAATTCTCATTTACATCATCAGCATCTCAATCATCCTCGTCGATATAATTCTCATTTCCATCAGCAGCATCACCATCAGCAACATCATCATCAGCAACATCATCATCAGCAACATGATCATCAGCAACATCATCATCAGCAACATGATCACATCAGTCAGCGCTTCGTGCGCACCCGCAGGGTCCCGCCTCCCGCTGCTCCGCGCCCACTCCTTCTCCTCCTTCTTCTCCCCCCCCCCCACCACCTTCCTTCTCCCCAGCTCCCTCTCTCTCTCTTCCCCTCTCCCCGCACACCCCTCACACCGTCCCGCCACGTCCACCCAGGACCGCCTCTGCGCTCGCCGCTACCTTCGCCGTTCCTCCAGCATCTCCTCCTCATCACCACCATCACCACCACCATCATATTTCCGCAGGTCGCGATGTCCCCCTCCTGCAGGTCGCCCCGCGGAGCTGCAGCTCTGTCTCCCGTCACGCTGACGCCGCCGCTGCCACTGCTGGTGGTGGTGATGATGGTGGTGGTGCTGCCCTTGGCGACGGTGGCTGCCTCCGCAGGCTCCGACGCTTCGCCGAGGGCGGCTGCCCGCGGCGTGAGCCTCCCGTTCGTCTTCGACCCTCGGGCGCGCTGCGAGCCGCCGTGCCTCCACCACGGCCTCTGCATCCGCAACGACACGTGCTTCTGTGGCAAGGGCTTCGAGGGCGAGCGCTGCCAGTTCGGTAGGGATCACCCGCGGCGCGAAAGACTTCGAGCGGCCTCGAGCGCCACGAGCCAGAGAGAGGCATCGACACCCAGAGAGCAAGGAGGGCCGGCCACAACCCTCAGCAGCACGGCCACCACTTAACCCACCAGCACAACCAGCTCGAGATACCAGCACCACCCAGTAGCCTCCTGCACTACGAGCTAGAGATAACAGCACCACCCAATAGCCTCCAGCACTACCAGCTAGAGACACCAGCACCACCCAGTAGCCTCCAGCACTACCAGCTAGAGACACCAGCACTACCCAGTAGCCTCCAGCACTACCAGCTAGAGACACCAGCACCACCCAGCAGCCTCCAGCACTACCAGCTAGAGACACCAGCACTACCCAGTACCCTCCAGCACTACCAGCTAGAGATACCAGCACCATCCAGTAGCCTCCAGCACTACCAGCTAGAGACACCAGCACCACCCAGTAGCCTCCAACACTACCAGCTAGAGACACCAGCACTACCCAGTACCCTCCAGCACTACCAGCTAGAGATACCAGCACTACCCAGCTCCCTCCAGCACTACCAGCTAGAGACATCAGCACTACCCAGCATCCTCCAGCACTACCAGCTAGAGACACCAGCACCTCCCAGTAGCCTCCAGCACTACCTGCTAGAGACACCAGCACTACCCAGTACCCTCCAGCACTACCAGCTGGAGACACCAGCACCCTCCAGCACTACCGGATAGAGACACCAGCACTACCCATCACCCTCCAGCACTACCAGCTAGAGACACCAGCACTACCCAGCACCCTCCAGCACTACCAGCTAGAGACACCAGCACTACCCAGTACCCTCCAGCACTACCAGCTAGAGACACCAGCCCTATGCATCACCCTCCAGCACTACCAACTAGAGACACCAGCACTACCCAGCACCCTCCAGCACTACCAGCTAGAGACACCAGCACCACCCAGTAGCCTGCAGCACTACCAGCTAGAGATACCAGCACTACCCATCACCCTCCAGCACTACCAGCTAGAGACACCAGCACCACCCAATAGCCTCCAGCACTACCAGCTAGAGACACCGGCACCACCCAGTAGCCTCCAGCACTACCAGATAGAGATACCAGCACCACCCAGCAGCCTCCAGCACTACCAGCTCGAGATACAAGCACCACCCAGTAGCCTCCAGCGCTACCAGCTGGAAATACCAGCACCACCCAGTAGCCTCCAGCACTACCAGCTAGAGACACCAGCACTACTCAGCACCCTCCAGCACTACGAGCTTGAGACACCAGCACCACCCCGTAGCCTCCAGCACTACCAGCTAGAGATACCAGCACTACCCATCACCCTCCAGCACTACCAGCTAGAGACACCAGCACTACCCAGTACCCTCCAGCACTACCAGCTAGAGACACCAGCACCACCCAGTAGCCTCCAGCACTACCAGCTAGAGATATCAGCACTACCCAGCACCCTCCAGCACTACCAGCTAGAGAGGCCAGCACTACCCAGCACCTCTAGCACTACCAGCTAGAGACACCAGCACTACCAGCTAGAGACACCAGCACCATCCAGCACCCACCAGCACTACCAGCTAGAGACACCAGCACTACCCAGTAGCCTCCAGCACTACCAGCTAGAGACACCAGCACTACCCAGCACCCACCAGCACTATCAGCTAGAGACACCAGCACTACCCAGCACCCTCCAGCACTACCAGCTAGAGACACCAGCACTACCTAGTGTCCTCCAGCACTACCAGCTAGAGACACCAGCACCACCCAGCACCCTCCAGCACTACCAGCTAGAGACACCAGCACTACCCAGCACCATCCAGCACTTCCAGCTAGAGATACCATCACTATTACGAGCAGCACTGCTATCAGCACTACCAAACCACCGTCAGCACCACCAGCTCTACCTGCACCCATCCGCAGAGCTCGCAGCACCAGGGGCATCACCACCACCCTCGTCACTAGCATCACCACCCTCGTCACTAGCATCACCACCCTCATCACTAGCATCACCACCCTCATCACTAGCATCACCACCCTCATCACTAGCATCATCACCCTCATTACTAGCATCACCACCCTCATCACTAGCATCATCACCCTCATCACTAGCATCATCACCCTCATCACTAGCATCATCACCCTCATTACTAGCATCACCACTACCCTCTTCACTAGCATTACCACCCTCGTCACTAGCATCACCACCCTCGTCACTAGCATCACCACCCTCATCACTAGCATCACCACCCTCGTCACTAGCATCACCACCCTCATCACTAGCATCACCACCCTCATCACTAGCATCACCACCCTCATCACTAGCATCACCACCCTCATCACTAGCATCACCACCCTCATCACTAGCATCACCACCCTCATCACTAGCATCACCATCCTCATCACTAGCATCACCACCCTCATCACTAGCATCGCCACCCTCATCACTAGCATCACCACCCTCATAACTAGCATCACCACCCTCATCACTAGCATCACCACCCTCATCACTAGCATCACCACCCTCATCAGGAGCATCACCACCCTCATCACTAGCATCACCACCCTCATCACTAGCATCACCACCCTCATCACTAGCATCACCACACTCATCATTAGCATCACCACCCTCATCACTAGCATCACCACCCTCATCAGTAGCATCACCACCCTCATCAGCATCACCACCACCCTCATCAGCATCACCCCCACCCTCATCACTTGCATCACCACCCTCATCACTAGCATCACCACCCTCATTACTTGCATCACCACACTCATCATTAGCATCACCAACCTCATCACTAGCATCACCACCCTCATCACTAGCATTACCACCCTCGTCATTCGCATCACCACCCTCATCAGCAGCAGCATCACCCTCATCACTAGCATCACCACCAACCTTATCAGCATCACCACCACCCTCATCACTAGCATCACCACCCTCGTCATTAGCATCAACAACAACCGCCATTCGCCACTAAGTGGCGGTGACGTCACCACGACGCTTGTGCCAGGCTATGTGCATCCTGAGGCCACGTGAAATGTCGAACGCCCGCTGGCAGGAGGTCACGGGGCAGACCCAGGTGCCACGGGTCGACTGACTGAGATGACTGGCTGATGCACCACCTGTGCTTCCTACTGTGCCAACCTGATATGCTTTAGCCACCCGGCGTACCACTCGTTGTTCTGAGCGTCGCTCCTCCGCCCTCCGTTGTTGTCGGAGGGCGACTACCTCCAACTGCCCAGTAGCATCCTTCATGAGCCTCATCCACAGAGGCCGATCTTATCACTGCTGGTACCAGTCATCGGCAAGTCCACTCAGCTCCACGTCCTCCTGTACCACGTTACTCCATCTCTTCTCTAGCCCGTGCCGCGCCCGCTTAGCCCCCTCAATCCGGCCGAACAAAAGCTGTTTCGGCATGCGGTGGCTGGGCATGCGGGCTACATAACCCAGCCATCGCAGCCTTCCCCGCCGGACGAGCTCACCGATGGGACCTTGCCCAGATCTTTCAAGGATTTGTGAGCTCCTCACACAATCCAGTCTGGTTAAACCCAGGATGGATCGTAGACAGGCCAGCCTATATGTTTCTAACCGGTGAAGATGTTCCATTAAGGGGGTCCACGTTTCGCAATCGTAGAGAAGGGAGGGAATGACCGTGGCTGAGAAGACCTGAAGCTTAGTGTGGAGCGACAGACCAGGTAGCTTCAACACAGCGTTACGCAACCGATGAAAAGATATTGCCGCTCGACTGATTCGGAGTGAGACCTCTGCTGTTAAACTGGAGCCAGTCATAAGCACACTGCCCAGGTATGGAAAACTCTCCACTCTCTCCACAACTGCCCCATCACCGATTGGGAGTTGTGGGGGTGGAGTGTCGGATGGTACAAAATACCCAGGCAGGTGCTTAGTTTTGGTGGGGCTGATGGTAAGGCCCCACCTCTTAGTGGCACGCTCCAGTCTCAGCAGCAGCGTCTCCAACTCCTCCTCTGACTGAGCAGCTATTGCCAAATCATCAGCATACATAGCGTGGTTGAGCAATAGGGAGCCATCCCTTGACCGCACCCGGGCATCGATCAGCCTCCCATTATATCTGTACCATATGGAGATTCCCCCGGTACAGCTATTGAAGACTTCACGAACTACGTCGTCAAAATAGATGTTAAATAATGTGGGAGCCAGAGGACATCCCTGTCACACCCCAAGGTGTACAGGGAATGGCTCTGACTCCCGGCCACGTAGTTTTACCCGGGCCCGCTCACCATCATGAAGGTCCTTGATGATCGTGAGCAGAGGGTCAGGTACTCCAAAAGCACGAAGAATGACCCAGAGCCCAGGCCTACTGATGGTATCATAGGCCTTGACCAGGTCAATAAAGCAGAGATGTAGGTCTTGTTGGAATTCCCTACACCTCTGCTGTAGCAGACGGACATAAAATATGGCATCTGTGCAGGACCGGCCTTTCCTGAAACCGCATTGGGGCTCCGCAAGCCTCTCCTCAGCGTGCCTGGCAAGGCGATGCTGAATAATCCTTGCCAGGACCTTTCCCGGCACACTGAGGAGGGAGATGCCCCTGTAGTTGTTACAGTCTGTGCGGTCCCCCTTCTTAAAAAGGGGGACCACCAGGGCATCCTTCCAATCCTGCGGAACCCGTCCAGTGGTCCAGACCGTTGTTATGATGTCATATAGGGCAGTCTGTGCACAAACGCCACCCTCCCTCAGCATTTCGCTTGGGAGATCATCTCTGCCCGCTGCCTTTCCTGGTCTCAGACTCCAGATCGCCTTCAGTACTTCCTCAACAGATGGCACCTCAGCCAGCCACTCACAGGGGGTGACTTCTTCCAATATTTGAGGCACCACAACCTCAGCAGGGTCACCCTCACTTTGTGCCACGATGTTTTCCTGGCTGAGGGATTTTCCCTCCCCCAGGACCTCACAGAAATGCTCAGCAAATCTGCAAACCTGTTCCTGGGGGTCGGAGATTGGATCACCGTTTTTTCCCCTAATGATGGTAATAGGTGTGGCGCTGCAGGTTACTTTTTTGATGGAGTTAAATAGAGATTTGTGATCACGGGCCACTGAGGCAGACTCCATCTCCTCAGCAACCCGCGACCACCACCCATCCTTGCAGCGCCTCACGGCTCTCCGAACCTCCGAGCGAAGGCTGCGGTAAGCCTCCTCATTCTCTGACGTGGGATTCTGTAGCCGATGACAGTGGGCCTGTCGCTTTTTCTCAACCATCCTGAACATCTCCTCTGTCAGCCAGGGTCTCTGGGGAGGTCTGGACCGCGTACCCAAAGCAGCCATTGCAGCTGCATGAGTCACAGTCCTAAACCTCACCCATTTACCAACGACATCAGGAGGAGTCGGGGACGATGCCAATCCCAGCCGCAAGCGATGATGAAATTCTCGCTTGCAACTTTCATCAGATAACTGAGACCAGGCCACTTTAGGTCAGAATGGGGTCCTGCGTGTACACCCACCACCGGAGTGGAAGAATGGCAGGCGCATCTTACAGATGACTAGTCGATGGTCAGAGGGCAGATCAGCTCCACGGTAGGTCCTGGTGTCAAGGACATGGGCTCGCATCCGCTGGTCCGTCACTATGTAGTCCAGCAGATGTTCTTGCTTGGACCCGGCATGCATCCATGCTGTTGTGTGGATGCGCCGATGCCGGAACAGCGTGTTGGTAATTACAAGCCCATGGGCTGCACAAAAATCTAGCAGCCTCCTACCGTTGTTATTGAGCTGATCTGGCCCATGCCCTCCAATCACTCCAGACCAGGTGCCAGTATCATGACCAACTCGGGCATTGAAGTCACCCAACATGATGACTCTATCCCGAGGGGCCACTTTAGCCAGCACCTGTGACAGGAGGTCATAGAAGGCATCTAACTCATCGGCTTTGCCTGCATCCCTCCACGGATGTTCATCTTCGGTGGGGGCATAAGTAACCACGACCACCATTCCTCGCCTCCGGTTGATGGGAAGGCGAGCCCAAAGTAGCCTGGGGCTTACAGCTTCCCACACCTCACCGCCACGCTCCCACGCCCCCTTCATTCTTTTGTTCAAAAGAAGAGCCACACCCTGTTGTTTGGCAGTCTGCTGCCCCGAGTAGAGGAGTGTCCACCCCTCATGGTGGTAGGAGCCAGAGCCGGTGCACCGGACCTCCTGAATGCCGCATAGATCCAGGCGGTACCGGTCCAGCTCCCGACAGAGGAGTGGCAGCCTCTCCTCCGCAGTGAGCGTTCGAACATTCCACGTGGCCACCTGTAGTGGCTTTTCGTTGTTTCTGGAGGAGCCCCGAGGGTAGATATTCAATCTCCTGGCTCCGCCAATTGGGGTTTGGCCAGGAGACGTCATAGACGCCTGGCCCCCCGGGGCCTCCGGCACAAGCTTATTAGTTACATATTTCAGTTTAACTCGTGGTTTAGTGGTAATTAATTGAAGGTGGAGGGGTTACCAGCCCCTCGCACCCGTCCAGAGCCCCCGTTTAGCCCCTGTGGTGGACACATATGCCATGAGGGGGGGAGCCAATCAAAATTGGACCTCTCCCCACAACACTGTCCACGACAGAGTTGCCCGTCCGGCACCGCGAGGAGGTAGGGGGTTGTTTTGTCATTAGCAACACCACCCTCATCACTAGCATCACCACCCTCATCAGTAGCATCACCACCCTCATCACTAGCATCAACACCCTCATCACTAGCATCACCACCCTCATCAGCAGCATCACCACCCTCGTCATTAGCATCACCACCCTCATCACTAGCATCACCACCCTCATCACTAGCATCACCACCCTCATCACTAGCATCACCACCCTCATCACTAGCATCACCACCCTTATCACTAGCATCACCACCCTCATCACTAGCATCACCACCCTCGTCATTAGCATCACCACCCTCATCAGCAGCATCACAATCAAGCGGCACAACTCGCTGTACTGGAGGCACAACAAACCGATTCCCGTGCGCGCTGATGGGTTCACTCTTAACAGCTGTCCCACGCGTGCCTTTGCGTGAACAATGCGAGGCTAAAGTAAGAGTGGTGAGAGTTATATTACAGCTGTACGATTTGTGAATGTATTGCTCGTTTCTACAGCATTTAACTTTCGTCTTAGGAAAAAGAAAACCGTCTTTGAATGTGTTCAATTATAGTGCAAGTTGTGCACGTCTCTGTTTAAGTTTACGATGGGAAAGTTTTCGGTTCAGAGACCTGGTTGGAGGGCAGCTTGTTCCATAATCCCTCCTGGGACGGTGAAGTTCATAGATTTGTCTCGCCATGGGAATGTGGAATTTCCACCGCAGGCTCAGGGCTGCAAACTCGTTGTTTGAACAGGGATAACATCTGCAGTACCCTTGACATGTGCGATTTGTCAGTGGCTTAGCCAGCTCAATGCTCGGCGATTTGCCAGAGCTACAAAATGCGAAACGTATGTAAAGTTAAATTGTAAAAAAAAAAGAAATTGCGTTTAAGCAACGAAAGTCTCCGAGAGCTCCCTTACCAAGCGGATAATCCATCGGCAATTAAGTTCCTGCCCAGTATACTGGCAGGGACATTGATCCATCGAGAGCTAATCATTCAGATGACTCAAGCCGCCTCCTATTCACCGGGGTTTGGTTTTTTTGGGGGGGGAGGGGGGGTTTCCGGCGTCGATAAACGAGCAAAATTTGTGATCCCAAGTCCCCGCCGCGACGCGGAGCGTTCATCGCCGTCACGTGGTGCGTTCATCACCGCGACGCGGCGTGTTCATCGCCATCACGTGGCGCGTTCATCGCCGTCACGTGGCGCGTTCATCGCCGACACGTGGCGCGTTCATCGCCATCACGTGGCGCGTTCATCGCCGTCACGTGGCGCGTTCATCGCCGTCACGTGGCGCGTTCATCGCCGTCACGTGGCGCGTTCATCGCCGCGATGCAGAGCGTTCATCGCCACGTCGTGGCGCGTTCATCGCCACGACGTGGCGTGTTCATCGCCGTGACGCGGCGCGTTCATCGCCGAGCTCGTTCACCTCTCAACTCGGCCCTTCTCCGCTCTCCCGGTAGCAGCAGAGCAGCGGTTGGCAAGCGTGACGAATAAACACGGCAACGACAACAGCAGCAGCAGCATCAACAACATCGACAACATCAACACCCAAAGCCGTACTGAGCCTCCGCCAAAGTGCCGTGTCACAATATTCGTCCCCACCCCCACCCCACCCCACCCGTGGAGCAGCGCAGTGCTACCCCAAGTGCAAGAACAACGGCCAGTGCCTCAGGCCAGGGAAGTGCCGCTGCCTGCCCGGCTATGGAGGTCGCTACTGCCACAAGGGTGAGCTTGGAAGGGGGGGGGTAGTGCCTCCTGGCTCCGTCGGTCACCCCTAGAGGTAGGGCTGAACGATGAATCCATTTAAAATCGATTAATCGCAATTTGAAACAAACAATGCGGTTTGCAAATCGCAAAGGCTGCGGTTTTTTTTTGCGATTTGAAAAGTCCTATTAATTTCTTAATGGGATTGTTTTAATGTATTATTATGAATGTATTTATTTCACTTAACAATCGTTCTATGTTTGATTGTTCTGTTTCAATTAAAAAAAACATTTTAATGGGTACATGTTGGAAGCAGTTAATATATTTTAAGTTCTCATCCTTGCATTACAATATATAGAGCAGTTAATATTTCGATGGTACCGTGTGGTAATGCTCCATCACATGTTTCAAATCTATTACACAGTGAATATTAAACTGAAGCTTGACTTCAAAAAATTTAATCACGAATCAGTTTGCAATCGCAATATATGTCGGAAAAATTCGCAATTGGAAATTTTCCCCAAAACGTTCAGCCCTATCCCAGAGCCTTCTGGGGCGTTGCTTGAAAGGAGAAGACGCTCTGTAGTTATAATCAGCCGCGGTCAATCCACACGAATGCCCCCCCCCCTCCCCCCCCCCCCCCCTTTCACGAGCCGACGATGTTAAAGATCTCACGCCTGCGACGCCGGCTCTCTCGATTGAAAACTCAGTTCAGTTCTTTAGAACCGATATTCTGTGCTTTCGTTTGCTGTCCTTCCCCCCGCAACCTCCGATTTGCACGGTTGGCTTACACCTACGGTGCGAAAGAAGTTCAACGCACGTACACATACGAGCTGATGTCATCCTCTGTGACGCATCCCATCCCTTGACTGCCACTCCACATTCACTCTTGACCATCAGCCACGCTGCTCTGCTCGGGGCCAAGGAGCTGAGATGCCACGCGGCCATGGGCCCTGTCCTGGGCCACTTGTGTTGTGTTAGAGATTCACTTGTGTTGTGTTAACAATTCACTTGTGTTGTGTTAACAATTCACTTGTGTTGTGTTAACAGTTCACTTGTGTTGTGTTAACAATTCACTTGTGTTGTGTTAACAATTCACTTGTGTTGTGTTAACAGTTCACTTGTGTTGTGTTAACAATTCACTTGTGTTGTGTTAACGATTCACTTGTGTTGTGTTAACAATTCACTTGTGTTGTGTTAACAATTCACTTGTGTTGTGTTAGCAATTCACTTGTGTTGTGTTAACAATTCACTTGTGTTGTGTTAACAATTCGCTTGTGTTGTGTTAGCGATTCACTTGTGTTGTGTTAGCGATTCACTTGTGTTGTGTTAACAATTCACTTGTGTTGTGTTAACAATTCACTTGTGTTGTGTTAACAATTCACTTGTGTTGTGTTAGCGATTCACTTGTGTTGTGTTAGAGATTCACTTGTGTTGTGTTAACAATTCACCTTGTGTTGTGTTAACAGTTCACTTGTGTTGTGTTAACAATTCACTTGTGTTGTGTTAACAATTCACTTGTGTTGTGTTAACAGTTCACTTGTGTTGTGTTAACAATTCACTTGTGTTGTGTTAACGATTCACTTGTGTTGTGTTAACAATTCACTTGTGTTGTGTTAACAATTCACTTGTGTTGTGTTAACAATTCACTTGTGTTGTGTTAGCAATTCACTTGTGTTGTGTTAACAATTCACTTGTGTTGTGTTAGCGATTCACTTGTGTTGTGTTAGCGATTCACTTGTGTTGTGTTAACAATTCACTTGTGTTGTGTTAACAATTCACTTGTGTTGTGTTAACAATTCACTTGTGTTGTGTTAGCGATTCACTTGTGTTGTGTTAGAGATTCACTTGTGTTGTGTTAACAATTCACCTTGTGTTGTGTTAACAATTCACTTGTGTTGTGTTAACAATTCACTTGTGTTGTGTTAGCAATTCACTTGTGTTGTGTTAACAATTCACTTGTGTTGTGTTAACAATTCACTTGTGTTGTGTTAGCCATTCACTTGTGTTGTGTTAACAATTCACTTGTGTTGTGTTAGCCATTCACTTGTGTTGTGTTAACAATTCACTTGTGTTGTGTTAGCGATTAACTTGTGTTGTGTTAACAATTCACTTGTGTTGTGTTAGCAATTCACTTGTGTTGTGTTAACAATTCACTTGTGTTGTGTTAACAATTCACTTGTGTTGTGTTAGCAATTCACTTGTGTTGTATTAACAATTCACTTGTGTTGTGTTAACAATTCACTTGTGTTGTGTTAACAATTCACTTGTGTTGTGTTAGAGATTCACTTGTGTTGTGTTAACAATTCACTTGTGTTGTGTTAACAATTCACTTGTGTTGAGTTAACAATTCACTTGTGTTGTGTTAGCAATTCACTTGTCTTGTGTTAACAATTCACTTGTGTTGTGTTAACAATTCACTTGTGTTGTATTAACAATTCACTTGTCTTGTGTTAACAATTCACTTGTTTCGTTTTCCGCCGGACAAATATCTGAAGTCGCGACCCAGGTGCGAAGAGGCGCACCAAAGTGTGTCTCTCTCTTCCGCGTGTGCAGCCGTCTGCGAGGGCGGCTGCCTGAACGGCGGCGAGTGCGTGCCGGTGCACGCCAGCGTCAAGTGCTCCTGCAAGTCGGGCTGGGTCGGCACTCGCTGTCAGGATGGTGAGTGAGGCGCAAGCATCCCAGACGTAGCCGCCGTCATCATCTCCCGACAGAACAAAAAACACACACACCGCCTGCCATCAACCTCCCCGACAGCCACACTCAGTCAGCTACCTGTCTTGACTAGCAACACTCAACCAGACTCAGCCAGCTACCAGTCTTAACTAGCAACACTCAACCAGACTCAGCCAACTACCTGTCTTGACTAGCAACACTCAACCAGACTCAGCCAGCTACCAGTCTTAACTAGCAACACTCAACCAGACTCAGCCAGCTACCAGTCTTAACTAGCAACACTCAACCACACTCACCAAGCTACCTGTCTTGACTAGCAACACTCAACCAGACTCAGCCAGCTACCAGTCTTAACTAGCAACACTCAACCACACTCAGTCAGCTACCTGTCTTAACTAGCAACACTCAACCACACTCAGTCAGCTACCTGTGTTGACGAGCAACACACAACCAGACTCAGTCAGCTACCTGTCTTAACAAGCAACACTCAACCAGACTCAGCCAGCTACCTGTCTTAACTATCAACACTCAACCACACTCAGCGAGCTACCTGTCTTAACTAGCAACACTCAACCAGACTCAGTCAGCTATCTGTCTTAACTAGCAACACTCAACCACACTCAGCCAGCTACCTGTCTTAACTAGCAACACTCAACCACACTCAGCCAGCTACCTGTCTTGACTAGCAACACTCAACCACACTCAGTCAGCTACCTGTCTTGACTAGCAACACTCAACCATACTCAGCCAGCTACCTGTCTTAACTAGCAACACTCAACCACACTCAGCCAGCTACCTGACTTAACTAGCAACACTCAACCACACTCAGCCAGCTACCTGTCTTAACTAGCAACACTCAACCACACTCAGTCAGCTACCTGTCTTAACTAGCAACACTCAACCAGACTCAGCCAGCTACCAGTCTTAACTAGCAACACTTAACCACACTCACCAAGCTACCTGTCTTAACTAGCAACACTCAACCACACTCAGCCAGCTACCTGTCTTAACTAGCAACACTCAACCACACTCAGCCAGCTACTTGTCTTAACTAGCAACACTCAACCACACTCAGCCAGCTACCTGTCTTAACTAGCAACACTCAACCACACTCATTCAACTACCTGTTTTAACTAGCAACACTCAACCACACTCATTCAGCTACCTGTCTTGACTAGCAACACTCAACCACATTCAGCCAGCTACCTGTCTTGACTAGCAACACTCAACCACACTCAGTCAGCTAACAGTCTTAACTAGCAACACTCAACCACACTCAGCCAGCTACCTGCCTTGACTAGCAACACTCAACCATAGTCAGCCAGCTACCTGTCTTAACTAGCAACACTCAACCAGACTCAGCCAGCTACCTGTCTTAACTAGCAACACTCAACCACACTCAGTCAGCTACCTGTCTTGACTAGCAACACTCAACCACATTCAGCCAGCTACCTGTCTTAACTAGCAACACTCAACCACACTCAGCCAGCTACCTGTCTTAACTAGCAACACTCAACCACACTCAGCCAGCTACCTGTGTTAACTAGCAACACTCAACCACACTCAGCCAGCTACCTGTCTTGACTAGCAACACTCAACCACACTCAGTCAGCTACCTGTCTTAACTAGCAACACTCAACCACACTCAGTCAGCTACCTGTCTTGACTAGCAACACTCAACCACATTCAGCCAGCTACCTGTCTTAACTAGCAACACTCAACCACACTCAGCCAGCTACCTGTCTTAACTAGCAACACTCAACCACACTCAGCCAGCTACCTGTCTTGACTAGCAACACTCAACCACACTCAGTCAGCTAACAGTCTTAACTAGCAACACTCAACCACACTCAGCCAGCTACCTGTCTTAACTAGCAACACTCAACCACACTCAGTCAGCTACCTGTCTTAACTAGCAACACTCAACCATACTCAGTCAGCTACCTGTCTTGACTAGCAACACTCAATCACACTCAGCCAGCTACCTGTGTTGACTCGCAACACTCAACCAGACTCAGCCAGCTACCTGTGTTGACTAGCAACACTCAACCACACTCAACCAGCTACCTGTCTTAACTAGCAACACTCAACCACACTCAGTCAGCCACCAGTCTTGACTAGCAACACTCAACCAGACTCAGCCAGCTACCTGTGTTGACTAGTAACACTCAACCACACTCAACCAGCTACCTGTCTTAACTAGCAACACTCAACCACACTCAGTCAGCCACCAGTCTTGACTAGCAACACTCAACCAGACTCAGCCAGCTACCTGTCTTAACTAGCAACACTCAACCACACTCAACCAGCTACCTGTCTTAACTAGCAACACTCAACCAGACTCAGCCAGCTACCTGTGTTGACTAGCAACACTCAACCACACTCAACCAGCTACCTGTCTTAACTAGCAACACTCAACCACACTCAGTCAGCTACTAGTCTTGACTAGCAACACTCAACCAAACTCAGCCAGCTACCTGTCTTAACTAGCAACACTCAACCACACTCAGCCAGCTACCTGTCTTAACTAGCAACACTCAACCACACTCAGCCAGCTACCAGTCTTAACTAGCAACACTCAACCACACTCAGCCAGCTACCTGTCTTGACTAGCAACACTCAACCACACTCAGTCAGCTAACAGTCTTAACTAGCAACACTCAACCACACTCAGCCAGCTACCTGTCTTGACTAGCAACACTCAACCATAGTCAGCCAGCTACCTGTCTTAACTAGCAACACTCAACCAGACTCAGCCAGCTACCTGTCTTAACTAGCAACACTCAACCACACTCAGCCAGCTACCTGTCTTAACTAGCAACACTCAACCACACTCAGCCAGCTACCAGTCTTAACTAGCAACACTCAACCACACTCAGCCAGCTACCTGTCTTGACTAGCAACACTCAACCACACTCAGTCAGCTAACAGTCTTAACTAGCAACACTCAACCACACTCACCAAGCTACCTGTCTTAACTAGCAACACTCAACCACACTCAGCCAGCTACCTGTCTTAACTAGCAACACTCAACCACACTCATTCAACTACCTGTTTTAACTAGCAACACTCAACCACACTCATTCAGCTACCTGTCTTGACTAGCAACACTCAACCACATTCAGCCAGCTACCTGTCTTGACTAGCAACACTCAACCACACTCAGTCAGCTAACAGTCTTAACTAGCAACACTCAACCACACTCAGCCAGCTACCTGTCTTGACTAGCAACACTCAACCATAGTCAGCCAGCTACCTGTCTTAACTAGCAACACTCAACCAGACTCAGCCAGCTACCTGTCTTAACTAGCAACACTCAACCACACTCAGTCAGCTACCTGTCTTGACTAGCAACACTCAACCACATTCAGCCAGCTACCTGTCTTAACTAGCAACACTCAACCACACTCAGCCAGCTACCTGTCTTAACTAGCAACACTCAACCACACTCAGCCAGCTACCTGTGTTAACTAGCAACACTCAACCACACTCATTCAACTACCTGTTTTAACTAGCAACACTCAACCACACGCATTCAACTACCTGTTTTAAATAGCAACACTCAACCACACTCATTCAGCTACCTGTCTTGACTAGCAACACTCAACCACATTCAGCCAGCTACCTGTCTTGACTAGCAACACTCAACCACACTCAGTCAGCTAACAGTCTTAACTAGCAACACTCAACCACATTCAGCCAGCTACCTGTCTTAACTAGCAACACTCAACCACACTCAGCCAGCTACCTGTCTTAACTAGCAACACTCAACCACACTCAGCCAGCTACCTGTCTTGACTAGCAACACTCAACCACACTCAGTCAGCTAACAGTCTTAACTAGCAACACTCAACCACACTCAGCCAGCTACCTGTCTTAACTAGCAACACTCAACCACACTCAGTCAGCTACCTGTCTTAACTAGCAACACTCAACCATACTCAGTCAGCTACCTGTCTTGACTAGCAACACTCAATCACACTCAGCCAGCTACCTGTGTTGACTCGCAACACTCAACCAGACTCAACCAGCTACCTGTGTTGACTAGCAACACTCAACCACACTCAACCAGCTACCTGTCTTAACTAGCAACACTCAACCACACTCAGTCAGCCACCAGTCTTGACTAGCAACACTCAACCAGACTCAGCCAGCTACCTGTCTTAACTAGCAACACTCAACCACACTCAACCAGCTACCTGTCTTAACTAGCAACACTCAACCAGACTCAGCCAGCTACCTGTGTTGACTAGCAACACTCAACCACACTCAACCAGCTACCTGTCTTAACTAGCAACACTCAACCACACTCAGTCAGCTACCAGTCTTGACTAGCAACACTCAACCAAACTCAGCCAGCTACCTGTCTTAACTAGCAACACTCAACCACACTCAGCCAGCTACCTGTCTTAACTAGCAACACTCAACCACACTCAGCCAGCTAGCAACACTCAACCACACTCAGCCAGCTACCTGTCTTGACTAGCAACACTCAACCACACTCAGTCAGCTAACAGTCTTAACTAGCAACACTCAACCACACTCAGCCAGCTACCTGTCTTGACTAGCAACACTCAACCATAGTCAGCCAGCTACCTGTCTTAACTAGCAACACTCAACCAGACTCAGCCAGCTACCTGTCTTAACTAGCAACACTCAACCACACTCAGCCAGCTACCTGTCTTGACTAGCAACACTCAACCACACTCAGTCAGCTACCTGTCTTAACTAGCAACACTCAACCACACTCAGTCAGCTAACAGTCTTAACTAGCAACACTCAACCAGACTCAGCCAGCTACCTGTCTTAACTAGCAACACTCAACCACACTCAGCCAGCTACCTGTCTTGACTAGCAACACACAACCACACTCAGTCAGCTACCTGTCTTAACTAGCAACACTCAACCACACTCACCAAGCTACCTGTCTTGACTAGCAACACTCAACCATACTCAGTCAGCTACCTGTCTTGACTAGCAACACTCAACCACACTCAGTCAGCTACCTGTCTTAACTAGCAACACTCAACCACACTCACCAAGCTACCTGTCTTGACTAGCAACACTCAACCATACTCAGTCAGCTACCTGTCTTGACTAGCAACACTCAACCACACTCAGTCAGCTACCTGTCTTAACTAGCAACACTCAACCACACTCACCAAGCTATCTGTCTTAACTAGCAACACACAACCACACTCAGTCAGCTACCTATCTTAACTAGCAACACTCAACCACACTCACCAAGCTACCTGTCTTAACTAGCAACACTCAACCACACTCAGTCAGCTACCTGTCTTAACTAGCAACACTCAACCAGACTCAGCCAGCTACCTGTGTTGACTAGCAACACTCAACCACACTCAACCAGCTACCTGTCTTAACTAGCAACACTCAACCACACTCAGTCAGCTACCAGTCTTGACTAGCAACACTCAACCAGACTCAGCCAGCTACCTGTCTTAACTAGCAACACTCAACCACACTCAGCCAGCTACCTGTCTTGACTAGCAACACTCAACCAGACTCAGTCAGCTACCTGTCTTAACTAGCAACACTCAACCACACTCAGTCAGCTACCTGTCTTAACTAGCAACACTCAACCACACTCATTCAACTTCTAGTCTTGACTAGCAACACTCAACCATACTCAGTCAGCTACCTGTCTTGACTAGCAACACTCAACCACACTCAGCCAGCTACCTGTCTTAACTAGCAACACACAACCACACTCAGTCAGCTACCTGTCTTGACTAGCAACACTCAACCACACTCAGCCAACTACCTGTCTTAACTAGCAACACTCAACCACACTCAGCCAGCTACCTGTCTTAACTAGCAACACTCAACCACACTCAACCAGCTACCTGTCTTGACTAGCAACACTCAACCACACTCAGTCAGCTACCTGTCTTAACTAGCAACACTCAACCACACTCAGCCAGCTACCTGTCTTAACTAGCAACACTCAACCAGACTCAGCCAGCTACCTGTCTTAACTAGCAACACTCAACCAGACTCAGCCAGCTACCTGTCTTAACTAGCAACACTCAACCAGACTCAGTCAGCTACCTGTCTTGACTAGCAACACTCAACCACACTCAGCCAGCTACCTGTCTTAACTAGCAACACTCAACCAGACTCAGCCAGCTACCTGTCTTAACTAGCAACACTCAACCACACTCAGCCAGCTACCTGTCTTAACTAGCAACACTCAACCACACTCAGCCAGCTACCTGTCTTAACTAGTAACACTCAACCACACTCAGTCAGCTACCTGGCTTAACTAGCAACACTCAACCACACTCATTCAACTACTAGTCTTAACTAGCAACACTCAACCACACTCAGCCAGCTACCTGTCTTAACTAGCAACACTCAACCACACTCACCAAGCTACCTGTCTTGACTAGCAACACTCAACCAGACTCAGCCAGCTACCTGTCTTAACTAGCAACACTCAACCACACTCAACCAGCTACCTGTCTTAACTAGCAACACTCAACCACACTCACCAAGCTACCTGTCTTAACTAGCAACACTCAACCACACTCAGTCAGCTACCAGTCTTAACTAGCAACACTCAACCACACTCAGTCAGCTACCAGTCTTAACTAGCAACACTCAACCACACTCACCAAGCTACCTGTCTTAACTAGCAACACTCAACCAGACTCAGCCAGCTACCTGTCTTAACTAGCAACACTCAACCACACTCAGCCAGCTACCTGTCTTAACTAGCAACACTCAACCAGACTCAGCCACCCAGCAATACTCATCCACCTGCATTGATCTTCCTGTAGTTTAGTGCGTGTGTTTAGTTTGTTGCTCTGCCCCCCCCCGCCCCACACCTCCGATTGGTAAGGTTGGCTACGTACTGTGCAAAATAAGTTTTACAAACATACGTACAGCTCGTTCAAACAGCAATAGTGCCAGACCCATCACTCGCCCATCTACAAGCGGACACATCCACCCACCACCATCCACCCGCAGCAAACGGATTGCGGTGCTTGATCATGTTCAATGTTTTCCATAAGAGGTTTTTTTGGGGTGATATCGTGTAAATAAATAAGTTAATGCGATCGCGTAAATAGATAAATTCATAAATAAATTTACGCGATCTAACCCACAAAAAAAAGCTCTTATGGATGTTATTGCTCGCGAAAGCATACGTGTTTTAATGTTGAATGTTTGCTTGCCTGAGCACAAGCTTTCGTTGGTGGCATTTTGTAATTCCTCATGCATATCGATTCTGCGCAATTGCGTCCGATCATAATATCTAAAAACGACGGTCCTTTTATTTTTGCACTGATTCTTTTTTATTTTTGCAATGAGGACTCAGCCAGGTTATGATCACAGCCCCTGTGTCACGGTGGTTGTCTTGTTGCTGGCCCGCGTGTATCTTGGCTGGACTCGAGGAACGTTTTGTCACTCTTCTGCTGCCCCAATCTAGCCGTGTGCCCCCAGGGCTGCCGCAACGGTGGCAGCTGCGTGACCCCGGGCATCTGCAGCTGCCCCCATGGCTGGGAGGGAGGCGCGTGCCACATGGGTGAGGGCGGCGCGTGTGGCTAAGGCGAGGGGCACGCTGCGTTCGATATGCACCGTAGCCTCTACTCCTCCCCAGGACATTCTGCAACATTGTTATTCATCGTGGGACCCCCTTTGCCAGTACCAAATTATGATCATAAGTTTGGCCCCTTTTTTTTCTGGCAACAAAACAGCTGTGTTAAGATGTCAAAACACCAAACTGAAACCTTTTACAAGGAATCATGTCTGCATTAACCACAATACTTGTGGTCAGAATGCAAATTTAAAAAAAAAAACACACTCTGATAATATATGTGGCATTGTCTTTGAAACTGATTGGTCCACACCAGAGACAGCTTTCTTTTGAGCCTAGTGTGGACCAATCAGTTTCAAAGACAATGCAAATATTATCAGTATGTTTTTTTGTTTGCATTCTGACCACAAGTATTGTGGTTAATGCAGACATGATTACTTGTAAAAGGATTCAGTTTGGTGTTTTAACATCTCAGTACCTCTTCTTGGTTCTTTCGGTAAAGTCACGTAGAAGGTAAATAATAAAATAATAAAAATATAAAACATAATAAAATAAAATTCTCATTATTTCCATTCTACGTGACTTTACCGAAAGGACCAAGAAGATGAATCCCTTACAGTCACGAAAGCTTTAAATTGAAATCTTAACACCTGTTCTGTTGCCAGAAAAAAGGGGAAAACCTATTCCACCAACATTGTATTCGTTTTGCTCCATGTGGCCGGCCTGGTGTCGTGACGCGTCCCCTCTCTGTTGCCGGCTTGCGTGTAACCGCCCCCCCCTCCCTGCCCCAGCTGTTTGCGGCAAACCGTGCCGCAACGGAGGCAAGTGCGTGGCTCCGGGAAAGTGCCGCTGCCGCTCACCCCACGCCGGCCCTCAGTGCGCCGATCGGCTCAAGGTGTGAGAAGCCTGGAGGGCCCTCCCCCCCCCCCCCCACCTCCCTCCCACCGTGGGCCCACGTCCTCTGCAAGTTCTAGGGTGCTTCAGTGATCACAATGACGATGACAATGAGTGGTTGCGCATTAAAACAACGACGACAGTGCTCTTAGCTGACCGGACTTGCAAGCGGCTTGCCCAGCGAGCCCCCCTCCACCCCGCTCTCTCAACACCACTCTGCCACCAGCGTCCGTCTCACGCAGCCACCACAACACACACCGTTCACGGCTCTAAGTGCTGGTCTCATAGCCCGACTCTGGGCTCACCGTTGGGGCAACAGTATTTGACGATGAAAAGCCATTAGCAGGCTTTTTTTTAAGGGCCCCCCCCTGTTTTAATGGGAAATAAATGCACCGCACCGGAGCTGTCTGATGTTCCACGAACGGTCTGCGCTTCACGTTTATGGCAAGGGCATCAAGGTCCCACGCGCATGCGTACTGGCTATGCATCGACTTCCACAGACGCACGGCAGTGTTACGTGGTGGTACATCTTCAAGTGTGCAACTTAAAAATGTAAGCAGCTGTGGAGGTGTTTGTGTGTGCAAACGTGTGCACAGAATCAATGCAATCACGACATGCCTACCTTCACCTACTTCACGAGTACTTTATTAAATTACAGATACCAGTGAAGAAAACCATACCTGTGTCCCTTTATTTTATATTTTACAGAATATACAGGTTTTTTTTCAAACTTTCTTGTGTTTGTGTTTAAGTTTGGTAAAAACATAGCATTGCCACGGTTACATTAAATGTCGTCTCCATTTAAGCAGTTGTAAGATATTCCAGACAATATCTCTTGAAGATATGTACAATTCCCTTTGTACAACACAAAGTAGTTGTTAAGAAAGCTTAACAATAACTTATATTGTTCTGGTATTCAGTGGCAGCAGGCGTTCTAAAGAGAAACAAAACATTGATTCGTATGCCGCAGTCGGTGACGTACCGGCTAAGATGTCTTGCATGTAAAAATGTTCCCTGTGAAAATAAATACGTGAAAAATTGTCCTACCAAACTAACAACTCTGTTAAAAAAAGAATAACACGTGGGAAACGCCTAGGGGAGGGTTTCAAAGCCTCTTGGTCTGCTTGCGGAGGTAGATGTGACCAGACCGACACCCACACCCAGTAAGCCACTCCACCACATACAAAGGGTTAGGGCAAAGTACAAACACAATTTTTAAAAATACAAGTTACAAAAAGCCAAGAACCCTGAAGAGACCGCTGTTGGTGTGTGCAGATCCTCGGGGTGCCCCCCCCCCCAAGTGAATTAGCACTGTAGCCTCGCTTGATGCAGATCCTTCATCTCAAGAAGTCCCGCTGTCTCAGCAGGTGATTTCAGCACGCCCGTGATCCTCTTCATTTACTTCCCCTGCTTCGCCGATAACTGCAAAACAAAAATTCGCACTTTGCAAAAAAATGAACGCGTCCTTTGTCGACCCGTGTGTTTTTTGGAAACAACAAAATGCCATGAGCAGGTGGGGCCCACCAGGCCTTGGTCCAGCTCCTCTCAGATGGACAGCGGGGGGGGGGGGGACCAGAAAGCCTGTTGTGTGGGCACCATAACAATGGTCATACACCACGAGGGAGAGTGAACTTGGCTGGGGCAAAGGGACATTTGGGTGGCGCAGGGCCCACCCCACTGTGGGAATCTGATGCTGAATCGGCGCATGCAGCAGACTGCCTCTCAGGGCCTTATTGCCATGATTATTGACTCGCGTGAAGAGGAAAATAAACCACTTTTAAACAAATTCATTTTGGTAATGTGCAGGAACAGCCATGTTGTTTTTGGAGCTCTAAAAATAATTCCTCCGCTCAGCTTGCGGCAATGATAGCAACTGACGTGGGCAGCGGGACCCTCGCCCGAACGATTTACACCCGAAACCAGCAGCCTGAAGAAGACCAGAATCATTCTCCCCAAATGGGCGCTCAGCAAATGAAGGGTTTTACCGGCCGCGGGCGAGGCGGTGTTGCCACCGCCGTTCCCTTACCCTGCGGCCGCACGCGAAACCGGAGAAGCCAGGCCGGCAGGAGCACGCGTTGGGAGCGGTGCAGCGGCCGCCGAACTTGCACGTTTGCTGGCACACGGCTGGGCGGCGACGGCGGGGAGCAAAGAGGCACAACAAACAACTCCGGCTCACTCAGCATCTCGGCCACGGAATGCGCGAGCGCGCGCGCACAAACCCCAGCGAACTCCTTTGAAATAACGGCGCAAGCCACAAGCGCACGGGGCACGAATGGTTCTCTGCCGCTGGGCTCGGTCGCGCGGGGAGGACAGGGCCGCGATGGAGCTGTGCGCCGCGGTCCATGCCGTGAGTTCTGTGCAACTCCAGTGCCGTCGATAACGGAGAGCCCTGCGCACCTTGAATTTTTCGCTTCAGCTGGAAAGTGGAACAATCTGGCCTAAATCTTGACTGAAAGCTTTCGTGACTGCAGGAATTCATCTTCTCTGGGCCATTCGGTAAAGTCACGTAGATATGTTTTAAAGAAAATAACAACACAAGCATTCTTCCGGTGACGAACGCTTGTGTTGCGATCGAAACGTCGTAGTTTTTTTGTTATTTTCTTTGAACCTATCTACGTGACTTTACCGAAAGACCCAAAGAACATTAATCTGGCCTAGTTCACACGAACCCAGGCGCGACAAGTAAATTGACAACCTTTAGAGTTTTGGGAAATTAGGACCCAAGAAACAATATTTTGTCTGAAAAGCTGCTTGTTGCTGACTTGCACAGTCTTGCTTATCCCAAAGCGTGTGATTAAATGCACACCCCCAAGTTACTTGCTCAACACAATCTAAACTTCAATTACTGTTCATTGCACTGCGACAAACGCTCAAAGAGCCTCGTAATTACTCACGGTTCTGACAGTGCATGCCCTCCCATCCCTCGGGGCAGTGACAGCTGTTGGGGCCGATGCACTCTCCACCGTTCTTACACTTCTGCAGGCACACGGCTGCAAAGGAGGCAGAGGGCAGCAACCACAGCGAGAGGGCTTCCACCTCATCAGAGCCAAGAAGGGTCCAGCAACAGCGCCCGCATTATGAAGCACGCACAACCTGGCAATGTGCGCGTCAGAGGGGACCTTTTTTTGTCAAACCCTCCGGAGATGAAGTAATGAGATCGGCTCGTGTGCAGACTCTAGGTGTGTCGCTACATTTCAGAGCCGTGAGAGATCGCCGACAGCTTTGGGAGGCCTTCATACGGTGGTGGATTAATCCTGGCAGATGATTGATGCCTAGGCGTGCAAAGATTCAGCCTCCGAGTCGTTCAAGAAATTGTCACAATTCTAGATTCGATTCCTCCTCGTCTTGTTTCTGTTATCTCCTTTGGGTCCTTTCTAATTTTCGTTTTCTCTCATTGGCACAGTTTTGTCCACTCCATCAGCCTGAATGTAACAGCATAATGTTTACTTACATAAAATCTACATTATCGATTCTCACACCTACCACTGTATGCATGTTTAGTGACTGACTCGAAGAAACTACAGTAGGATGCACTATATTCATTATAGCCCTCAGAGGTACGAGAGGCAACTACATTAGGGTCAGGACAGCTCACAGGCTGCCTGACCAGCAACAGCGACGAGGTGAAGACGGTGACGAGGACTCCGGCACCACGACGGTTCCACTCCCAACCACCAGCCCCCAACCTTCGCTCGGGGGGTCCCCATTTTATCCACCGCGCGTGGCCCCCCTCCGCCTTCGGCCACGCCCCCCTGCTAGAACTCACGAGAAGGTTCCCAGACTTTACCACACGTCTCCTCTATCCCCCTTGTCTCGCGTTCCCTCTGTCCCCCATGCCTCACGTCCCCTTTTCCCGGCTCATGACCTCCTGTTGGCAGACAGGGCTACTGTACCTGCGGATCCCCCTCTGTGCCAGCAACCAGCCGCTCTGTGCCATCGTGACGCATTCCCTGTCACTGCACATGTATCCTGAGCACAAAGACCCATTTTAATTGATGTTCTGCACTTAGCGCTTACAATAAGCCTACTTGCATAGGTAAATTATTATAACATCTCAAGGTTTTCCATGAAAAAAGTTTTGAGTGGGTGGCAGAGAATTGGAGTTTTGCTCTGGCTGATATGACGACTCCTGCCCATAATTAGCAGTGGTACAGACCACTGCTGGAACCCGGAGATCACCGTGTGTGTGTGTGGAACTCAACTCAACCTGCTCAGGCAGCAATGTGTCATTTAGATTATAGCAGGAAAGCAGGTACAGTTGCTGGCTTTTATATACAACTGTTAATTGTTTATGCATGTACATTGAACTTCTTTCGTACAGTACGTAGCCAATTGTGCTAATCAGAGGCGTGGGGGAAGGACAACAAACTAAACACAAAAGCCAGTTGGAAATAAATCAGCTTTCAATCTACATTTAACGGTTGCGTAGCTCCAGTGGTTTCCTAATATCAGAAGAAAGAGCATTCCAGACGGCCGCAGAGGCGCATCTGAAAGCGCACGATGAAAGTGACCATCTTTGTTTGATGGCTATATAAACAATCCTCTCGGACATTGGGTTTTATTTGGGTGTTCCGGTATGGTCCCACGTGTAAAGCGGCCATTGTGGAAATGGGTGAATCTCGCAATGTATAACCTTCACGAGGGGGTCTTTAAAACCACACGAGAGTTTCATGAGTGCAGATATTGAATGCGAGTGTCATAGCGTTATGTGCCACGGCTTTTTCAACAGAGAACATTGTGATTGAGGAGGGTGGCTGGTTTATGAGCGCCGAGCGCTGTTCAGAAAAGCACTCCGCATTTTGGAAGACGTTTACATTTTTTAACAGCTGCCAGTTTTGAAATACCCGTTCATTACGGTTATTCTTCGCGCGGTTTATACAAAATTCACGCGAAAATGGAATGGCTCCCTTTTTCCAGGGGCAGGATCCTGTTTCCACAAACAGGGAATTGCAAAAATAAAGCTGTGCGCAACCGCTCTGCCTCACAGCACGTGCCTTTCGTCGACGGCGCTTGGCTTCTAGCAGATGCAGATTTTTTTCTTTTTAATTCAAGAATCCTGCCCACCGCTGTGGTTGCAGTATTCTTCATCTCCCCAGGTCAAACTCCTCGACCATTCACCTTTGCCTAGCCCCAGGCATTCTCTCCGAAATCAGCCATCGCACCTCAAGTACCGCCCGCTCGCTGCCGAGCGATTTGACGAGACTTACGGCGATTGCAGCGTTTTCCTTTAAACCCGGAGGGGCAGGAGCAGACATTGGGTCCCACGCACTTCCCACTGTTCATGCACGTGGGCTCGCACACGCCTGCGCAGCCGGACACAGCACAGGGGACCCGCGGCGAAATCTTACATCGGCGCCCGGTGCCCCGCTCCCAGTTATGCGCTCACGGCGTTGCCGCCTGGGCATTCCTGAAAGCAATCCAGAAGTATAAATTTAACGCGCGCTCAAATTAACGGGTCGATAAATATATTTCCTGAGCTCGCAAAAACGCGAGCGTTGTTTTGGTTTAGTGTTTTTTTTTCCCTTCGCGCGTGATGCGGACGACGAAGCGAACGGCTCGCGGCTTCGTGCCAGCGCTGTCCCCGCACCGCGCGGTGCGGACACGCCAACCGTTTGCTGTGCCCAAATAAAATTCCATCCGCGGACTTACGATTCCAGCGGTAGTCATCTCGGCCAACTGTTGTATATTTGAACAGCTGTGTAAGTACACGGGGAGGGGGGGGAGGAGGCGGTGTTGGGCAAGGGGCGAGCTGGCTAGTTGCGCCCGCTGAACGTCTCCCCCCAACCGTGCCCGTCACGATGCTGTTTTTATTGTTATTTGTGCACGTGCAGCCGTACAGAAAATCCCCTTAAAATTAAAGGCATTTTGAACATTTTCACGGCAGAATCGTTCAGCTTTCATGAGCAATGATCGTGATGACGACGCCGACGATGATCGTGATGACGACGCCATCTCACTCTTTTGACAGCGACGGCCCGTGTATCCCTCGCTGCAGGAGCAGATGTTGTTGCGCATGCAGTGGCCGCCGTTCTTGCAGGGAGGGCTGCAGATGGCTGGAAGTGTGGTGCGGGGGTGGGGGGGACAGGTGAATTTGCACGTTTAGCTCGAACACTCGGACAGCGCGACAGGCCCCCAGATATGTCGTCAGCCGGCGCGAGGGTCCGAGACTCACCGTTGTGACACTGGGCTCCGAAGAAGCCGTGCGGGCAGAGGCACACGCCAGGGCGCACGCAGGCTCCCCCGTTGAGGCACACGGGGCTGCACACGGCTGTCGCACATTAGAAGACGGTTCAAACGGCGACACGCTGGAATGGATCGTAAAAGCGACGCTGGCAAGTCGCTATATATTTCCTCGGGATGAATCCCAATCGCGAGCAGGTTCGGCGGCTTCACACCAAAAAAAATGGAACGCCTTGACCCAGTACGAGCCCGAGATTAACCCGGTAGAACATTACCCCCGGTCACAAAGTGCGACTCTTTGATTTCAGTAAAACTAAATATAACGTTGGCAGCAGCGGCAGCAATATTCATAGTGCAGAGCCCCTGTGTGTTGGCGGCTGGTGATGTGCGTTGTGCAAAGCCAGAGCTGAGCGCTCTCTCACCGCTCCCGCAGGTCGGTCCGTCCCAGCCCGGGGAGCAGCGGCACACGTCCGGGCTGACGCACTCCCCTCCGTTCTCGCAGTGCCTGTTGCACACCACTGCACGCGCACGCACGCGCACACGCGCGCGCACACACACACACGCACCCACGTGGTGCGCGACTCACGGCTCGGCATGCGTGCGTGCAACGTCTCGCGGCGAGCGCTTAGCGATCGCTCCTCAAGAGTGGCTCCGTGCAAACTGTGCTGTGCGTTTAGGACACGGTCATGGCTGCCAGATTTCTTTATGTTTTGGTAAACAGCGGCCAAGCCTCTGGGCAGAAGGGCTCAACGGTGCCTCATTTGCTAAAACCGGAGCCCGTAAAAGAGCGGAAATGTTCGAGAATAAATGTTCTCAATAGCATTAGCACAGCAGCTTAAACACGAAGCCAAATGTATAGGAAACAACCCAACATGGTAATAGCGAGGGCCGCCTGTCTGCCGCGAGACGGCCTCTCGCACAAAGCAGAGCGGCACTTCGCGCGGGGCGCACAGCGATGTTGGCTCAGTGGCTACAGGGAAAAGCAGCTGGGACTTACTGGTCTCGCATCTGGGGCCCAGGTATCCGTACGGACAAGAGCACAGGTTCCTGGCGATGCAGGCGCCCGCGTTCTGACAGGTCGGTGTGCACTCCACTGCGTGAAAATCAAGCCAAGTGGCAGCACGGGCGGAGGGGAAAAGCGCATCACACGCCGGGCACACAACGCGTTCCGTCGCGCGGTCATCAGAGCGGCGTGAAGCGGCGAGCGTCGTGCTAAGCTTCACCTTCCTCGCAGATCGGCCCCTTGTAGCCCAGCGGGCACTCGCACACGTCCGGCCTCACGCACTTGCCCTGGTTCTTGCAGTCTGGCCTGCATACGGCTGAAGGGGACGCCACGTGCTCAGGGCCACGGGAACAGGTCAAAGCCCCGTTGACGCCAAGCCGGCGGGTAACCGCTGTCGTTCTAACGCAACTCAAAAGACTCGGCCGACGAAACGCTTGAGAGTGACTGCGACGCGATGAGAAGTTTTCCCACCGATGAGGCAGTTGTAGCCTGTGTAGCCGGGCTTGCATCGGCACGTGTTGGGGGCGGAGCACTCCATGTTCTTGCCACAGGCGTAGCGGCAGAGCGCTGTGGCGACAGCACAAACGCGATCGTAAAGGTTACGGGAATTTCGCCGAGGACGACGATCGAGGTCAAACGCAAAGCCGGGCGGAACGTTCGGATTGCCGGGTCTGCTCCTCGCCGTAAACGAGATCGACTCTCCGGCGTGGCGTGAGCGCGGCGCGGGTCCAGGGGCGGCACTTGCCTCGGCACGACTCGCCGTCGCCGTAGTAGCCGTGAGGGCAGCGGCCGCACTTGTATCCGGCGCCGCTGGCCGGGGAGTCGCAGAGGACGCCCTTGAAGCACGGCGAGTCGGCGCACGACAGCCCGGTCTTGCCGAGGCGCGGGGCCACCTCGTTATGCCGATTCGTCAAGCCCGGAGGAGGTGGCGGCGGCGCCAGCGCTTCGGATGCCGCGGGTGACGGACCCCTCTCGTGGTCGGCGACGGATGGCGCTCCGGTCAGGGACCCGGCGGTTTTGGGCACGGCGCCCAGCTGAGCGTGTTTTGACTGCCCGTGCGTGCCGAGGTCGCCCGTGTGCGCCGAGCCACGGGGAAGCGTCCCGGAGGGCGGCCTCTGTTGCACCGCAAGCGACGGCTTTTGGGCTCCGGGCAGTGAGTGCTGGGCGACAGCGGCCCGCACGGGGGGCAGCCGTGTCTCGTGAGGACCTTGAGTCAGGCGGGGGGTGGGGGGGGGACAAACGGGGACATTTAATGTCTCAAATGACCGTGAACACAGCACCGACGGTCACGGCTCAGGCATGACATTTACACAAGCGAACCATCAAGAATCCAGGTGGGCAGGAAGGGCACGAGTCTGGGTGCTGCTCCCCACAGCGCATGGATTCTCAGGAATGGGACATTTACAAGCCACCAGCCGCTTGCTGCACTGCTTATAAAAGTTCGCGGTGTTTCCTGTGCATATGGAACCTGCGCAGGGCTCGCATTCCCAGACCCCCAGCCGAGAGATTTACAGTATTCATGCTAAGAATAGGTGTCTCATTATGTTCATTTTATGCCGTTAAACAGGAAATGGAATAACATTCAATTATAAAAGGTGCAATTAACCAGACTCTTTTGCCAAAGGGCAACCACTGCTTTAATTGTAAGCACACCCATTTATTTTAGAAAATGCTCGCCACGGTGATACAATTTCGGAAAATGAAATCACCTCCACAAATTAAAGGTGTAAACTATGAATGTAGTAAAGTCATGTAGGAGCACGTGTTTACGACGTGCATTATGCAGTCCATAACACATGCTACAATTCATGGTTGCGATTCAATCCAGGGATCAATATACAATATGGTGAATATAGTGGCCTCCAGCAGTTAGAGCGGTTAGAGGGGCCATGTGGTCAAGGTTAACGCATATATATTATTAAAATAGACATTGAGTCTTACGCACGGGATTCGATGCATACGCCGTGAGCTTAAGAATGATAATGACGAATCGGTGCAATCCTACTTCCAGCACCGCAGAATCGAATAGCTTTGGGCCACTATTTTGACAAACCACATGAAAAAAATAACTAAATAAAATGCGTACGTCGAGCACGGATGGGGAGAGAACTGAAACAAGGGGAGGACTCGTCAACGTGTGAACAATTTGAGTAGACGATGAAAATTAAACCTGGCCTCCATGCAAACTTGTAAAGCCCCTGATGAGTCTATCGGCAGCCCCATGGCATTGTGTCAGAGTATTGGTGGGTGCCTGTGAGATGGATCTCCAGAGAGCCCCTGGTAAGATAAAAAATATATATCTATATTTTAGTCGTATTTGTATATTTTTTGAGCGATTTGTTTAACTTTCCTGTACTTTGCACTCATATCGTGTTCTTTTGTATTGTTTGTTGTTGTAACGTTCTGACCCGCCCCTCTTGGACACCTCATCGGATTCCTCCAGTCGAAATAAATCCTATGAGAGCTTAACTTGGCCCACTCTTCCACGTCGGTGAGACGTCTTGGAGGAGACGTGAAGTTTCCACTCTTTACAGCGCGACCTGCCGATCGACTGACCCATTCTATAACGCTGGGCGGACGGAGGCGGGCGTCGAGATTTAAGGAACGCGGACCGTTGGTTTCAACTGCTGCGTCGGGAAATCTAACACGGCGGCCTCTGGCTACGTCCCCCGTCGCTTGTTGCATTGTGAGCGCGTTGCGTGTTCAGAGTCCGTGCGGGCGGGCAGCACCACGAGCCTGACGCTCACCTCGGCCAGGCAGCTTGGTGCAGGTGCGGCCGTTTCCATAAAGCCCTGGTGGACAGCGGCCACACGCGGTGCCGGCGGCAGGCGGCCTGCGCTCGTGGCACGGAACACCGGGGAAGCAGGGGTTACCGGCGCAGCCTGCCACGCGCTCTTGGGAAACACAAAGAGTAACGCAAGGTCACGGCCGTCAAACAACGGTCATCTTGTCCACACACGGGCACAGCGCTGCGCGTGCGTGCTCGCGCTAAGAACCGCTCGCGCTAAAACCGGGGTCCGGCAACCAGAGTAACAAGAGGAGGCATTTTTTCCCAAAATCGGTAAAAACGTAATATTTCACAAGCCGCGATGCGTGTGATTAATGCGATAACGGTGGTCCTTAAATCAATAACGCGACTAAGCAGTCCATGAAAAGCCGCGTGCGACCCCGGAGCCGCAGGTTTGCCGACCCCCCCCCCCCTGCTCTAAAAGCACACGGAGAACAGGATCCTGTGCTCCCGGCCGTGTTTTCCCTGCGCCACGCCCACGTTGGCTAGGGGTGTAAAGATGCGCGACGATTTCATGAATCGACATCAAATCTCAACCTGGAGGTCGCCGGATTCAAGCTCCTGCCACGGAATTTGAAACAACGCTGCAAGTTTCTTAAATCCCCCCTGCGTCGCGTGTGGTAGGGCAAGGTGTGGGCACACCCAACTCGACATGTGACCAGCTAGGAATAGTAGGCCAAATACCCTCCAGAGGGGCTTTCTAGAGGCCCTTCTGCCGGCAATGGCGCGAGCAAAGCAACTGCAAGGCTGCGCCTCTTAAACAATGGTATGCATCGTGTCGCCTCTGCTAGAATCAATGGTATTAGATTCCCACATGTTGCGCTGTGAAGCGTTCATGTGTATTGGAACCGTGGCTCCAAAAATCTGTGCCAATCGATGAAATCGCCACGGCGGGCCAGTGAATCAATTTTACTTCCCTCGCGTTCCCGGACCACGTTGGCCTGGCTGAGTGCGCTGAACCGCTGAGAAGAACATACTGAGACTTTAACCATGAGCAGAGTTAGACTTGACATGGCCAAACAAATTCACACAAGCGGCCTAAGGATTGCCAGGTTTGCCGAAATATGAACAATAACAAAGTGGGGATGGAAAAGTCACGATGTGTGCCGTGAGCGAAAAAATGCCGGTTTCCTGTCGAACGTTGGAACTTTCCAGTTAATTTAAATCCCGTGCGGCATTCCAGCAACCAATCCCAAAGGGTTGGTTTCATTTTTTATTTCTCGAGGTATATTGTAACTAAACCATAAGTGGAATATCGTGCGGAAATTTAACAAAAAACATAAATTACAAGCACAAATAACAAAAACTCAAAACACAAGTCAATAATACTGCTCACGTTTACAACGATATATTGACCCTTCTTCATGGTGGGAGTGTTTACTGCACCTCCAACCATCACCACTGCTATGAATAAGAGCCATTGCCCAGTACGTCGCCTGTGATATTATTATATGTGCCAAACATATTTGGTGACGTTGATCGACGTCTTGAGGGTTTGACAGGAAAGCCTCACTCACAAATTAATCCTTCAGTACCATTCCTACTAAAGATGTTCATCCAATTCCTTACCAAGTAAATATATATATTTTTGTTCGTAGGAACATTACTTTGACGATCAAACTTCTTAGAGCCACATTGGCCATCAGTTGCTCTTTAGTCATTCTAACTCCGCCGCATTCACGACGACACTTGCCAGGGCGCACGGGCTCGGGTGCCGCACGGTGCTGGGCCGCCACGCGTGACGCTTCCCCCTCCCCCGCTCCCTCCCCGCTGGTCCCTCGCTCTGCCAGAGTAGGCCAGTGGGGGGCCGCGGCCGTCCCGACGTCCACGGGCCGGGAGGAGCGCCGGGCCGCCTCCTCGGGGCCTTCCCTGTGGCCGCCAGTGCCCGGTCCGGGGGGCCCTCCCAGCCCCGCCGCTTGGGTGGGGCGAGTGGACGGGGCTCTCGAGGTGGTGGAGATGATGGTGGTGCCGGCGGTGATGGCTGGGCAAAGACAAAGCATCGCCCGTATGGCCTTCGCAGACTGTTGGGGCAAGTGCTGTATAGCGAGCACCTATGAAGGCCGGCACGGCACGTGAGGAAGGTGGGTGGCCAGCACCACGCCCGGCCGCCTTTGTCTCCCCAGTGGCGATGTTTACACACCGCACTAGATCCTCATATGTATGTATGTATGCATGTTGAACTTCTTTCGCACCGTCCGTAGCCAACCGTGCTAATCGGAGGTTTCGGATGAAGGGTAACAAACGAACAGCTCTAAAGAAATGTGTCATCAAAGTCGGTGATTTAAAAGCGCATAGCTCCAGTGGCTTCATAATATCGGAAGGAAGAGCATTACAGACGGCCACAGAAGCGTTTCTGAAAGCGCGCAATGCGGTGACCGGCTTTGTTCGATGGCCAGCCAAAAACCCACTGCTGCTGGGAGCGTGCGAGCGTGCGAGCGCTGTGTGCGGAGGCCTCACGCGAGCAGGCGCGCCCGTCCCCCCGGTGGCCCGCTGGACAGGGCCCACAGCGGAAGGAGCCCATGCTGTTGGCGCACGGCACCGCGGCAAAGCACGGCCGTCCCCGGCACTCGTCCACGTCGTGGGCGCACGCCGGGCCTGTGGCGTCAACCATCGCGGCAAAAAAATGACAAAAGTACGACGGCGGTTTGCGTTGGTGGGGAGTTGTGCGGTGGCCTTTCGTGGGGGTGCCGTCAGTGAAGGCCGCTGCGAGTTTCTAGCGTCTCCGAAATCACCGTCGTCGTAATCACCGTGGTTGTCAGACAACCACCATCGGTGGCACTCGGGCACGTCCCTGAGTGCAGTCAGAGGTTATGCGATTTCCGTACGAGCATATGGCCTGATGAATTGGATAGAATAGGCCCTTAAAGGTTAAATGTCAACCAAGTAAACAGACTCATGGCACGCTTACTTGACAAGCTCATCAGCGCCAAATAAAAACATGAAAATCATTGGAATTTGAAAAGCCAATTATGATGGTAATGTATAATATCACCCAAATATCACAAGGAGTATTTAAAAACAGGATTAAAATCTGTAGCAAAAACACAATAGACAATGAAGATCACAACGGGGTCCCGTGGCTCTCGTTTAGGAGGGCGGTAAGGTCCCAATCGGGTTTTCTGATTGCAGGTGATACAATAATAATTGATTAACTAGAGCACTTGGAAAGCACTTGGAAAGCACGTGATGCTGCTGGGCTGTCACAAGACCTGCCCTCCCGGGAGGGTTTCTCAGTTGGACTTCATGGCCACAATGTAGGGTAAAGTGATGGTTTTGAAAGGCTCCTCAAGAGGGTCCTTCTTCGTGGTTGCAGTGATAGCTTTGCGGATTGTGTAGTCAGAGTAACCATTAGCCTTAAGAGTGTGGTGTACGTGCTTGAGTTCACTGGCTATGTGTTCCTGGTCGGATATGCATTGGGCTCTATGGTGCAGAGTCTTGATGAGGGAATTCTTCTGGGATGGATGGTGGTGGGAATCCGGTTTCAAGTAAGCATCCGTATGGGTAGCTTTCCTGTAGACAGAGTGGCTCATTGAACCATCAGGTCTCTTTTTTATTAGGACATCCAAAAAAGGTAGCCTGCCATCTTTTTCGACTTCCATGGTAAATCTTTGTATTGTATTGCTTGTTGGTGTAACGTTCTTACCCGCTTAGACTGGACATGTGTGAAAACGAGCTTTATAGTTAATCAGATTTTTTTTATTGTTATATAGATTTTATTCTTTTATTGTTTCCCTTCAACGTGACTTTACCGAAAGAGCTAAGAATACAGATTCCTCCAGTATAAAAAAATATTCTGATTCTGATTCCGAATGCATTTTTATTCCTTTACAATGGTGCAGTGTCACCAGATAATTGACTTCAGCATTACAGCGTATACCCAGAAGCCAGGTGAGGAAGCCTTCACAGACTGCCTGCAGGTGTGACACCGCTGCTGTGACTCGGCTGCAAGGTGAGATGGTCACGACTATGGCCTGTGAGTCATTGTAAAGGACGGGCACACTGCAGATGAAACATCACCGGCACGAATTGCACTCGGGCTAGAATGGAAAATTCTGTCCTATAACATGCATATCGTAGAAATGCACGTTGCACTTATATTGTGTAATTGATCACATTATGAAGTGAATACATATAATCGATCAATACAAAATGAAAAGAGGCAGTCCACAAGATGACGGCACCGCGGCGAGCGCCGCCCCACCTGTGAGCCCGGCCGGGCACAAGCACGAGAAGTTCCGGACGCCGGCCACGCACGTGCCGGGCCCGCACGGCGCCGCGGCGCATCCGTCCACGAGGCCGGCGCAGCGGGGGCCCGTGTAGCCGGCGCCGCACACGCACAGGTACTCGCCGCTCCCCGGGGGGCGGCCCACGTTGGTGACGCACGTCCCACCGTTCACGCACTCGCACGGCCTCACCGTCACCTGCGACGCGGCGGCGAGGAGGCCGGAGAGAGTCACGGCCGCGAGCCGGCGCGATCGCCACTTCGCAAGGGATCACGAGCCTTTTGAGTTTCATACATGTGTATATATATCGTTTTATATATGATTAAAACTACATATATAATTTATATATATAGTTTTAGATATATATAAAACGTTTGCACAGTGCTGTAAGGCAATTAACCACTTTCCCCTCACACGCATGGGTTTTCCTCGTGTGATGTGGTTTGCTGCCGAAAAACATTTCAGCAATATTCACAAGCAGGGCTCTTGTGAAGCAAGACTTCTGAGATTCAATGAGGCTTTCCCGTGTTAACGACTCCTGTATTAACTGCTGACATTTTAGTAAAAAAATTAATGGCAACAAGTTATAAAAAGTGATTCAATATGAAAAGTGACAATTTAAATCACATTACTGGCGACCTGCACACCTGAAATCATGAAAATGAAAGCTCTGAATTTATGTTTAGTTGAAAAAAAAATGTAATTAAATGAAACTAATTCCGTTCCTGAAGACACTTGCAGTATGTGGAGCTAAAACGACAGACATCGTGCCAAACAACGCACTGCTACAAACCCAAAACCACGTCGGGAGAGCCGGACAGCGCACAACCGCGAAATCCTGCACAGGGGTATCAGCCCGTTATGGATTTCAGGCTGCAACGATACAAGCAGGGGTCAAATCTGCGAGCGTAGAGTGGCACCTGCACTACGACGCGGCTCTCGGCCGCGCACTCGTCGGCCACCGTCAGCCGGAACTCCTCGGAGCGGCCGAGGCCCGGGCCGGGCAGGGCCGGGACGTCCCACATGAGGAGGCCGCCCGGCGTTAGCGAGGCCCCCGGAGGGCCCAGCTCCAGCGTGAAGAGCACGGCCGAGCCCTCGGGGTCGCCGGCCTGCAGCTGGAAGATGAAGCCCTCTCCGGCGAACGTGTGCAGCGGCTCGAGGCCCGTCTGCAGCTCCGGGGCCTGGTTGTCTGGGCGGCAGAGCGTGGCCGGCGTGGTGAGATGTGGCGGCAGTCAACGAGTAATGGCCGCCGCCACCTCCACCACTGTGCAGTGAGTGGGGGTCATTCTCAATTCATAAACCCCGAGTGAGATGAAAAGATTTATAGACAATAGAGACGTGAGATGAGGAGCGGACTGTGGACAAAAGATGCAGGAGATGTAACAAGATGTGTGTATGTGGAATTTTTTTCGCATCGTGAGTAGCCAACCATGCTAATGGGATGGGAGAAAAGAGAAAGAGAAGACACAGCTGCAGCGCAATGACCGATAAGAACCGCAGACAACTATAGATGAGAGAGATTCATTCGATTGTTCGATTCACTTTGTCTATTAGGATCTGAATTCGTGTTGATATTTGGTGCGTCCCTATATTTTTTATGAATCAAAGGCCTCTCGAGCCTCTTGGGGGTCCTAATGATTTGCTTGGTTTGCTTGTGTCTAGCGGCACCCCTGGTTGTGAGCACTTGATTCCCTTCCGCAGACAAGGGCCCGAGCTCAAATCCCCGTCGGTGGTTGACTCATCTCCCTGGGATCAACAAAATTAGTTTGACGTTGTGGGGAGTGATGAGCGGTTGATGCATGGGGACTGACCCCTGCCTTAGGAATATGGATTTTCAACCGCTGACTTGAGGACCGCACATTACCCAAACTGGTCATTTAAAAAAGGTGACAGATAAACTTACACATTGTGCATAATATAGTAACCCATCGATCATGTGCACTGTAACGCCACAGTCCACGCTGATGAAATTCAGTGTACGGACTTCTGCACTTGAAATGCTTCTTACTCTCATTCAGGGACCAGGTGAACTTGGACACATCGGGCCTGCACAGCAGGCACGGGCTTGTGGGATTGATGTGTCCCTCTCCATAGCACAGCCCGTCGATGTTGCAGGTATTTTCCTGCGGAAGTGAAATTCCAAAAACAGAAAACAAAATTCGTGACACGGCCTCCCCATACATGCATCTGAAGCAGCCGTTCACAGTTTGTGGAGCGTGTTGGACGTATGTGATTTTTTATTTTTATTTCGCGCCGTACGCAGCCATCTATGCTAATCGGAGTTGCGAAAATGTACACACCGGTGAATTCAATTTGTCAATTGAAATTTTTTCTCACCTTGAGTTTGCAGAGTCCATTGGGCCTCGAGTCACACACCTGGCAGACTCCATCGTACAGAGTCAGGGTCTTAATGTCGCTCAGCTCGAGCCCGTCATTGGTCACCTGCAGAGCAACCGCGGCATTCCGGAGTGAAGAGGGCACCGCGACAGCGGTCACGGGAACTCTGCCACTCGCGTCGTCCACCGTCACTCGAGAGCAGAAGATCCACCCGCTTCATCTACACCCTCAAGATGCAGGTCAAGATCTCCACTCATCTGGTGAGTGTCATCATCACCACCGTACTCTCTAGCACCTTCAAAACAATAATAACAGTGCCCTTTATTTAAGGCTCAGTGCCCTTTATTTAAGGAGGGTTCTACGCCGGCTTTGTGTGACCAGTTACCTAGCGAGTACTCTACTCTGCGTGCTGAGCAAAACAAGAGGTCCTGACTAACGCTCAAAATCAGCACGATGGTAACTGACAACAAACCTACCACACAACCCAAAAACAGCCGCATCATAACAGAAGAGATGGCGGCAAAAGGTAATGAGAGATATAGACGGAGGAGAGGATAGAGATACAGATGAGTCAGATTTATAAACAAAGACCGAGTTAGATGAGGGAAGGGATCTAGATAACAGAGGGATGAGGGACCGAGAGAGGAGGACTTCTTCACAATTCTGGCTATCGCCTGATGAAGCTGGTTGCAATCGCCAGCGAAACGTCATTCTGGTAATTGTCAACGTTGTGGGTTTGTTCGGACTTTTAATTCGTGCCAATATGCGCATTTGTTCATGAATTCGGGGTCTCCCTCAGCGTTGAGTTTGCTCGCGCAAAGCGGCTAGTACCGTACCTGTATCTGGAAGCGGGCGAAGGGCTCCTCGTCCAGCACCGCACCCAGCTGCTCGCCCGCGGGGATGGCGGCCGGGGGCAGGGGGCATTCGACGGCGCGGCCGCTCAGCCACTCGGCGTCGACGAGCCGTGGCTCGTCGGGCACCCACTCCCCACCCATGTTCTGCGCACACAAAGACAAACATTGCTCCTCCAACCCCCGTGTAGCCTGCGACGGACTGCTGGGGCAAGCGCCATTAGCGAGTAGGACCTACGAAGGCCGGCACGGCACACGAGCGGGTGGGTGGCCAGCACCACGCCCGGCCGCATTTGGCTCCCCAGTGGCGATGATTTTACACATCGCACTAGGTACTCATTTGCGGCTGAGTCGACCTGGGGGGAGGCCCAGGACCGGTTTAGATAATATAATCGTCACTGGTGTTGGTGAGCCGTGAGCGGGAATCAAACTCGGGTGGCCGGGTTCGTAGTGTGGTGCACTAACTACGACACTAACGCTCGCCACTCTGCACACACAAACACAGACAAGCAGCATCCACACAGCCCCGCTAGGGCCACGACCGCTCCCCTAAGTGTTTAAAATAAGGTCGTAGCTGCTTCAGCGCCATTTATAAATTCATTTTTTTATCTAAATCTCTCGGCGGAGAGCTTTTCAAGAAAGGCTTTTTCTAGGGAGTCCGCATCATGTGAGTCCGCTATGTCCGGAGCCCTGCGAGGCCATCCTCTGGTCACGGTGTGCAGCTTTTCGTTTAAGTCAAAGATCAAGTGTCTCCCCACTCCAAGGAACAGTTGGATTGTGCTGTGGTTTATATCCGCAATTCCCACGGAAAGAGCCAATCTTTTCTGAGGACAGCCACTGCTCACTTCTAGCAGTGGTGTTCATTGCTTCCACGGGTTGCGTATCAGAAGTTATACTATTCCACATAAGACATCATAGTAATTCACAGTTCACGGTCAATCCACCGCCGTGTCGGTCACGTGACTCAGGTTGGGGGACACGAATTTGGTTCAGATATCATTCACCCACTGAAGTTAGCCATCGCTCGGAATCACTGTCTTTTTTTCGTTCAACGTTATCACACGATACAAGTGAACCTGCAGAGGGCAGTGTCACACATGGGGTAATGCTGCCAGGAGGCGGCAGCCTCTTGCTTTGTGTAAAATACGAGACACGCCAACGCGCGGGCATGTCACCTGTCATTATCAGAACGATTGGTGGCCTCGTGTGCGTGGCTCTTCTCTATATCCCATGTTCGCTTCGTTCACAGGAGCAACCTGTCCCCCTTCGCGGGTGAGTGTCGACTGTACGATGCATTTCATTTGCGCGGTCACCGATTAAACTCTCCACCGACGGTGCAGCGTACGCCAAGCCAGCGAGCATCCGCCCTGACGGACGCTACCACGAATTTCCCCCTTGCGTGCTGACGGCCGCACATGCCGCCTGCAAGACGTTTACCTGCAGGCTGAGGATTCTGCATCTCAAGGACGGGGAGTCCCTGAAGCCCTTGCCAAACACGCGCACGCTCGTGCAGTCGTAAGCGCGGATGTCGCACAGCCCCCCGTTTTCCAGCTCGGCAATCTGCGGGGGCTGACCTGCACGAGGCAAGGCACACGATCACCACCCGTCGCTTTGCACCACGAGGTTTTTGTAAGCGCGACAAACAAAAGTCGCATTTGACGGAAACTGAGCGAACCCGCGGCGGGCTGCGACGAGCGGAATCTCACTCTCGGAGGAGCTGCAGTCGTAGGAGCCGAAGCCCTGGAAGCACTCGCAGCCCTGGGGCGTGCACCGGCCGCGCCCGCTGCACCCGCGCGGGCACCGGAGGACGTCCAGGGCCTCGGGCGGGGCCCCGTCCGACCCGGCCGCGCCTCCGCGCGCCTCCACAAGGCGCCGCTCGCACTCGTTCTCCAGGTACGGCACCAGCGCGTCGGCCCAGCTGGGGTCGTCCTTGAGCTGCAGGTCGAGGACGCACGTCTGCTGCGCGCGGTCCAGCGTCTCGCGGCCGAGCACCGGCGCGCAGGCCCTGCCCACGCCGGAGGCCGCCAGGGCGGCGTCGCACAGGTCGGCGGCGCGCTTCTCCGTCAGGCCGCTCCGCGTGGGCCAACGCGGCGGGGCCACCGCCACCGCCGGGCGATGCCTGTCGCTGTCACCCCCGGCCATGTGGTCCTCGGGGAAGAAGTAGCTGAGGCTCTCCAGGTCCACCTGGCTCAGACTCTGGAAGTTGTAGGTCGGCGCGTATTCGTAGTAGCTCTGCCTCTTCCCGCGGGCGGTCTGCCGCCTGGCTCGCGGAGGCAGCGACCGCGTCCCGTTCCCCTGGCCGTGGCGCTCCGGGCGGATCCTCCTCTTCCCGAAGCGGCGCTCTCGCTGGCCCCCTGCGCCACGGTGCCCCGCCGCCGCCACCGACTGAGCCGTTTCCCGCGACCGCGCTTCGGGGCTCGCCGCGCGTTCCGCGACACCTCGACTCCCCGCCGGAGACCGATTGCTTCCGCGCTCGGGGGTCGGAGGTCGGGACACCCCCCGAGCGCCACGGCGCCTGCGGTTGTCCGGCACCACGAGCTCCTGGGGGTTGAGGAAGTCGGCGGTGACGTCCTCGGCCGGGATCAGGCCCGAGAGGTCCACGTCCTCGATGCCGAGGCACGTCGCGGAGGCGTAGGGAGAGGGCGGCTCGGGCGCTCGCTGGCGGTCGGCGCCCACGGGGTTGCGGCCGCAGGTGCAGTAGTTTCGCCGGGGCGGCGGCGCCTCGCCCTCGGGGAGACGGTCAAAGAGGCTCTCGCCCGGCTGCAGCCTGACGCGCGGCGCACAGCGAGGCTTTGACAAACGCTTTCCCGGTTAGTTTAACACGTAGTAGGCGTTTGCAACCGATATCATCCGTAATGCAGGTTTGTTTGAGGTTAGATACCGTAAATATAAATGTGTCGTTAAGCCCACCACCACCCGAAAAAGCCAATTAGTAAGGTTCGTCACGTAAACAGAACGTGGCCAATTCGTAACTAGTACAGCACACCGATGTGTTGGAGAGCCAAGCCACAACATTTACAATCTGAGTACGACGTTTCGCCAGTAATTACAACCAGCTTCATCAGGCGACAGTTGTTGTTCAGCACGAAGTCTAACATATTGCTCCACATACCGGGAGCTTTCTTGAGGCTCCTTCAGCAAAGCTCCCAAACAACACTCGCTGCCCGTGACCAAGCGGAGACGGTGGTTTGTGTGAACCCCATCGTGTGTGTGTCTGTGTGTGAGACTTCCCACCTAGGAGTGTGGCCAGTAGATTACAGGATAACGAGTTGGTTGCTTACCTATATCTGAATATCGGTGTTACTCTCCTGCATGGATGTGGGGGGGGTCCCATCAGGGTATTCCAGTTTCCTCCCACACGCACACACACGTGTAAATCCTGAACAAAGAATTGGCCAAATATTTCAAGCGAAAGCCCCCCCCCCACCCTGCCTCGCCCATAGCAAAAGAGTCTTCAGATTTAGTGACGCTCTCCTGGGTGAATAAATACCTTTCTTTTAAATCATTCAAATGCATTTCTCAGACCAGGGGAACCTCTACCAAAGCGATACGTGCCTGCCAAGCCCGAGCGCACGGTGTGTGTGTGTGTGGGGTGGGTTGGAGGGGCGGCCGTCGCGTGGAGCACCTCCACTCGTCGACGAAGCGGCGCGGCTCCGCGGTGCCCGCGCCCGAGGAGGGGGGCAGACGTTCCCCGCCGTGGTTGTCGTGGAAGTCGTTGCCCGCGTCGCCGTCCATGGTGCCGCACAGGCCGAGGGTGGCGTTCGCGTCCGAGCCGGGCGCCCGCACCGCGACGCTCATCCCCCAGTCGCTCACGTCCACGCGCAAGAACGTGCCGGACGGGAACGTGACCTGCGGCGGCGAACCCCGCGCGCGAATTCGTCGCCTTGCCCACCCCCTCCCGTTTTGGCTTTTGGGGCCGTCCATAAATGGCGTCACGCGATTTTGGACGATTTTTGACTCCACCCCGCCCCCCCCCCCCCCCCCCGCCGCTCGTCACACGGCGTCACAAAAAGTCAGACCCCCCGCTCCTTAAATATGACGTCACAAAGCTCTGCCTCCCCCACCCAAAACCATATTTCCATTTTGAAAATAAACCATGCTTCAAATCGCTTTAAACTATTGTCATTGTAGTGCGTATGTAATGTGGCGCTGCACTCTGATGTTGTTGTTGTCGTGTTGTTATAACAATTAGTGTTGTTAGTGTTGTTATAACAATTCTATATTTATTTAAATTTGCGCATTTTTGATGTGACGTCACATTTCTCAAACCCCCCACCCCCGCTTGTCACACATCGTCACAAATGTCTGACCCCCCCCCCCCCCCAGGTGCGTGACGTCATTTATGGACGGCCCCTTTGCTTGTTTACAGTCGCTTTGTTCGTTTTGAGTCTAAATCAATCTATAAATCGGGCCCACGGTCCTTGTGACTGTTATAATACTAAACATAAGCCGGCTAGAACTTTACAAGATACTGTTCTGTACATAGTTCGGAACGTGGCCGTGCACTGCAAACAATGTGCCGGACTAGCAGCTTTGTGTACATTCGTCTAGCACGGTTGGCTACGTACAGTGTGAAAGAAGTTCTACGTACATACGTACATCGACATGGAACTCCACAGCTTCTGGGAAACATGTCGGTGAATTGCAGATGCCATTGTCTAAAGTCTCAACGGAAAGCAATGCTCAGCCAATCCAAGTTCGATTGGTTCCATTGTGAACCCGGACAAATAGCCTAAACCACAGCCACACTTGAACATGGAACAACGCTTTTCCATCTGGCCTCATCAGGATACCGGACCGTTGACGATGAGCGGCCGTGTCACAATGAGCACGCTGCGCTACAAACCCAGCAACTCGTCCTGGTCCTCCCCTAGGTCGACTCGGCCTCAAATTAATACCTGGTGCGATGTTTGGACATCGCCGCCTAGGTGACAAAGGCATCCGGGTGCGGCGCTGGCTACCCAACCCCTTCGTGTGCCGTGCCGGCCTTGAAAGGTGCTACTCGCGAACTGGCCTCGCCACACAAAAGTCTGGGGGGGGGAATCTTTGTCTCGTCTGGGACAAAAAGCGTGACGCGGGCGGATCCGTCGCGGCCCCGTACCGTGACCTTGCGACCCTGCTGGGCCTCGGTGATCCGGGGCCGCCGCTCGCCGTGCTCCAGGACGAGGCCCCGCACGGAGAGGTGCGGCCGCGCATCCTCCTGCGCCTGGCCGTTGCACATGTCGACGACCACGGAGACGGGCCCCTCGCGGGCCGCCACGCCGCAGCCGCAGGACACGGCGTGCTCGCGGCTGCCGCAGTCCCACTGCCGCACGTGGACGTCGAGCGGCCGGGCCGTGCTCCGGTAGAGCACGAACGTGCCCGTGCCGTAGTTGTCGTAACGTCTGCGTTCGGCGGGGGGGCGGACGGGGGGGGGGGGGTGGTGAGCAGGGGACGAGTCGGGTGCAGGACTGCAACCGCTCGTGCCACCGCTACTGCTGGCCAGAAGGCGTCCCCATTGGAGGGAGGTCTAAAGAAGTGAGAGAGCTGGTTGGCCTGCTCTTCCACGCTATGTATGTGGTTTGACTTCTTTCTCACCGTACGTAACCGACCGTGCTAATCGGAGGTGCGGGGGAAGGACAAGAGACTAAACACACAAAAAAGCTGTTCTAACGAAATCAGTTTTCAATCTACATTGCGTCAACGACTACATGTTTTGCGTGTACGGTACTGATGTGTATCGGTCGAGCAGCATATGTCTTTGCAGCTGCCAGTCATCTCAGTCAGCCCATAGCACCCGGCTCTACCCCGTGACATCCTGCCAGCAACGAGCCTTCCACGTTTCACGTGACTGCCTCAAAGCGCACCTAGCCTGGCACAAAAAGCAGTTATAAATAAATGAGTTTGTCAATCTAGATGATGTTTTAAAAGTGCATAGCTCCAGTGGCTTCCTAATATCGGAAGGAAGAACGTTCCAGACGGCTGCAGAAGCGCACCTGAAAGCGGTGAGCGTCTTTGTCCGATGCCAAGCCAGACGTCTTAGCCAGACACGTGACCTACCGATCGACTGGTTGTAGCCATTTATGCTGCTGGGTGGAGAGAGGTTGGGGGGGGGGCGGGGGTTGGGATACTTGCACCATTGTTTAAACGACTATCCCGGGAGATGACATCAAACCGGGGACCACTGGATGGCAAATCCAGCGTGCTGAGCATTGCACCACGATGGTTTTATCCACAGACGAGTTGAGCAGACGATAATCATGACCACATATTCTTGGTTCTTTCGGTAAAGTCACGTTAAAGGGAAACAATAAAATAATATATATAAGACAATAAAATTATCACGACGTTTCGACTGCAACACAAGCAGTCATCATCAGGTGTGAAAACCAACGGCAAGAACATGTTCTTGCCGCTGGTCGTGAGAATTTTATTGTTTTATATATATTATTATTATTTTATTGTTTCCCTTCAACGTGACTTTACCGAAAGAACCAAGAATATGAATCACTGCAGTCACGAAAGCTTTAAATCAAAATCATGACCACGTCAACAAAGTCAAGTCGAAGTGACTTCCTGCTCAAAAGAGGGTGGGGCGGTGCACATCTCCTATGGTGGAGGCCAGTCCACCCATAGGACAACCGAAATCTGATTTCATACAAAGTGGTACTTATTTTATTGACCCCCCTGCCCCCCCCCCCTCCAAGAGAGATGATGGGTCACAAACCCCAGACTGGAATTTTAACTCGAAACGACTTCAGGTTGGGCGCTCTGACACAGCCCTGCCCAGCCAGAGTATTTTCAACAATGCACTGTGTGGGGGCTATAATCACGGCCTCGCAACTCCGCGCACACACGCACAGAGGAGCCGGGGAGGGCCCCGTGTCACCTCCCATAAGCAACACGTGCACAGTGCAGTTTTTCCATTCTTATTATTGGCACTAGCGAAGTAAAACAGTAGCCTGAGCCAAGCAGACGCTCTGAAGGCAGTCGGAGCCGCCACCGCCTCCATTGACAAAAGCAGCAACCAGAAACGCATTCCCTACTCCTGTCACCCACTCCTGCCACCTCCGCACGCGTCAACCCTCGCGCGTTTGCAACAACGCACCCACGCACCCGCGAAACGTGCAGTGTATTTCACACGTGTACAGGATTTCCCCCCGCGCGGGTGCAGCGGGCGCGGCCGGTATAGACCCCAGGGCTGCGAGTGCTCCAAGGGCTTCGGCTCCTACGACTGCAGCTCCTCTGAGAGTGAGATTCCGCTCTTCGCTCGGTTTCCGTCAAATGCGACTTTTGTTTGTCGCGCTTACAAAACCCTCGCGGTGCAAAGCGATGGGTGGTGATCGTGTGCCTTGCCTCGTGCAGGTCAGCCCCCGCTAAGCACGTACTCAAAGGGGCCAAACATCAAGCGGCCAGCAACAAACAGCACTTGAAAATGTAGTAGGTTAAACAGTTTGCGCGTTTCTTGAGCGGAGCAGGGTGATAAGAGCTTGGGTAGCGGGGCGAAGGGAGGGAATTCCACAGTCGAAAGATGCAGAGAGGTGCTGTGACCTGCAGTGCACCGGTTGAACAAAGGCGTGGAACGAGATGAGAACGGGCTGGTAGACCGAGGCCTCAACGTGCGAGGAGGAATCATGGGAGTGCTTAGTTACGGAATTTGTTTTTTGAATGAAGCTGGCTTTTGATTGAACCCACAGGATTGGCGACATTGCTTTGCTGGCATTTGACTTGACCACCCACTCTTCCTTCTCATGTTAGGAATGAAATGGAGCGACGAACTTTTAAATCACCTAGATTTAAAACGTATGTCCTTATAACTGCTTTTTGTGTTTAGTTTGTTGTCCTTCCCCCGTACCTCCACATTAGCACGGTTGGCTCCGGTACGGTGGTGCGAAAAAGTTCAACAGACACCCAAGATCTCACCCGGTTACTGTGACCGGGCGCACGCTCACCTGCCGTCGAAGGTGATGACGTGCGGATCGGTGAGCGAGTAGCAGTACGGAGTCGGTACGTCTCTCACCGTCACCTGCAGGGCATCCACGCATCACGCATCCATGCTACCACCCATCCACGCATCACGCAGCGGCCTCTCTCAACGAACCTACCTTTCAATTGCACAGTTTCATTCAGTTTGTCCAATCCACGTCCTTCCCTTTTACTGTTATAAATTGGCAGTGAAACAACGAGGTAGGTCCACATTCAACTATTAAAATATTGACATGGCCTGGCGGTAGCGTGTTCACCACCTGTTGCAGGCATCCGGCAGGCCACCCTGGTTAATACCACAGGTGTATTACCCACAAAAGAGACCCCCGTCTGCCACGCAGTGGACATCAGAAGATCCCACGACGCCATTCCCATAACGGTACGCCGCTGTGTGCCGGCATCATCGTTTGCTGGCAAATAAGAACGGTAACTTGATATCACGGAGAAAAAAAAACCCCAAGCCTTAGCTTCTCGTCCGTCGCCACCCAGGCTATCTCCAACGAGCACTCCAGCCGCCGTGGCTCTCTGCTGCAGCCTACGCCCACTGCTGGTGCTCGGCAGGCCGCGCAACGCCTACCCGTGGTGGCAGCGTCACCTGCACGGGCGGTGGCGCGTAGCCGGACCACAGGAAGTCGGAGACGCCGAGCGGCTCCACGGAGACGAAGCTGTCGCGGTCGCCGTCCCGCGTGAAGTCCACGATGGCCGTGACGTACACCGTGGCCCGAGAGCAGCTGCCGCCCGCGCAGGGCCCGAGGGGGAGCAGCACGAGGCACGACGAGAGCGCCACGTCGGCAGGGCCACCGTCTAGCCGCCACGCCAAGGCCCCAACAAATTACTCGGCACGCGTCCGTGCTGAAATCTACTCTCCATCCTAATGGTTATTTAATTTGTCCTCAGCGGTCAAAGCGCTGGGCTGACACCGCTGAGTATCTCGGTTGGAATCCAGGCAGCCGCCTGTGATTAAACACTGCGTTCTCAAGTGTAGTGAGTTGATGGTCTCAGCCCGGTTACCAATCACGGTACAAAAGGCTAAATGAGGTTTGGTACTTCATTTGACTAAATTCAGCAATTCCAGCACGAAAAATGTTAAGTTTGGCTGTCATGTAAGGAACATTACTGTCCATAGCAGGGTGGTTGGGAAAGTGTTCTCTCCGACTGTGGGACCCAGAGGTCACTTTAAGAGATCTCAGAAGTAGTTCTGTGATTACCACTTCGGCGAGCTGTTCGCTACCGCATAGTATTGCACTGCTCTTTGAGAGATACAAACGGATGATTCGTCTCATCACCTGACACTGATCAAATTTGAGAGAGAAAAAAAACAAAAGATAAAAAATCTGCGGCCCGGCATCCAGGTTTGTAATTGTTTCAGGTGTTAGAGTTGGTCTCTCTTAGGTGACGTTTGCCAATTGTGCCCACAACGGTGCGCGCAGTTTCCCTTCCCAATGCCCCAGCACGACGAACTTGTTGTGCGCATCATGAAACATGAGCACCCTACGGCGCTGGCTCCGGGTTCCCACTGCTCTCTACTAGACCGAGCCGCCTCTCACCGTCGCTCCACGTGTGGAGTTGCACAGCCAGGGCGCAGCTGCGTGCGCGGGGGCCCGACTCGGCGCACGGGATGGGCACGGTGCTCTCCACCACGATCGCGTGCTCCCGTCCGTCCTCCGACATCTCCAGGCTGCTGGGGCTCACCTGCAGAGACGACAAACGCCACCCACGCAACCCCACGCCGCCCCCTCGCAGTGATACCTCACAAAAACCTCGAGCCACGGGCCGCAAAGTGCCCCGAAGCGCCTGTGACGGGGAATTGCCGCGCCAAGTGCGTTGTGAGCGGAAGTGTTCCGTTACCCTGATTCCGGCAAAGAACTCCTCGCTCTCCACAGCCGGGCCCTGGGACTGTGGAGATTCCAAAAGGAAGCAGGCGACGCTGCACACGATCTGAACGGGCGGTATCGACAAAATCGCACGGACGGTCAAGACGAAACGTGAAGAACGATGCAGTTGCTGAATGCTCAATTATTGAACTGAACACGCTCTCTGCAGTGGGCAGGTGCAAAATGAGTTTGTCTCTTGGGGTAAATGACTGTTGGCCAATCCCCACTTTCCCAGAATGTACGACCTTCGTGGAACTTTAGCACTTCCCAAATTGTGTTTTGAAAGTTTTCCCCTCTGATTCAAAATTTTTATTGAAGTTGTTCAACTCCTTCTTGGAGCCAAATTTTACTGCGTACATGTTTTTTTTTCTAAAAAAAAATTATTTACCCAGGGGCGTGGAGGGGGGGGGGTGAGAGGGGGGGGGGGACGCACCGAGTCTCCCAGGCGGATGTTGACACCGTCCAGCTCGATGCTGGCACGCGGCTGCATCGAGGTCTCGCGGCGGAGGGCCTCCCGCTGGCCGCGGGCCGCCACGCGCGTCCACTCCACCACGTAGCCCAGCGTGCCGTTGTACGCCGGGCCCGAGAAGAGGCAGCGCGCGTGCACGCCGCTCCCGCCGCCGCCGCTCGGCGCCGCCGAGACCACCGGCCGCTCCGCCAGCACCGGCAGCGTCGCTGGTGTACCCGAGCGCACACACGGTTGCGAGCGTCGTCAATTGCAGCAGCTGCCGCCGCCGCCGCCGCTCACGTCGTCGTTAGCGGTCTGCGTTTAGGGGCTTCTCGTAGTGTTGTTATCGTCGTCAGTCAGTGCCGCTGCCACCGCCGGGCATCTGAAGAGCCGCGGCGGGTCAAGTGCAGAGGAGAAGACACCGGACCCCCCCCCCCGCGCGATCGCAGCGCTGCGGTCAAACGCCTGAAGTCACGTCGGAGGAGCTTCCTCACAACAACACAGCCACTGAACGATAAAGACAAAGGTCCCCTGTGTGGCCTCCACAGACCGTTGGGGCAAGTGCTGTTAGCAAGTAGCCACCTATGAAGGCCGGCACGGCACACGAGGGGGAGAATGGCCAGCACGACGCCCGACCGCCTTTGTCTCCCCAGTGGCGATGTTTACATACCACACCAGGTACTCATTTTCGGCCGGGTCGACCTAGGTGAGGCCCAGGACCGGTGCAGATAATCGTCATCGGTGTTGGTGGCCGTGAGCGGAAAATCGAATTCGGGTCGCCGGGTTCGTAGCGGTCAGCGCGACACGGCGCTGACCGCTCCGGCCACCGCTCCTCACGCCCACGACCACGTGCGTGGCGTAGCGGCGGGAGCAACCTCGAGCACCTTGGTGCTGGGGGTCAGCGTGTGCGAGCCAACGACCCCGCAGCTTCACATTCCCTATTGCAGCTTCACATACAAAAACTGGAGGAAGGGCCTTTGCTATTGATGCCCCCAGGGTCTGGAATGCTATTGCCAATAAACTGCAGCTTGAATCGCTACCAGTGAGATCTTCACTCAAAACTGCTCTAGAGGAGTTGTACACCCCTAGCTGCCACTGCTATTCAGTGGCCTAAGATAAAATGTTTCGCTCAGGATGACCGCTGCAAAGTATTATCTGTATTTTGATTTAGTGTGCTGATCTTAAAGGTGCATTGAAAAATGTGATACTCCGACTGATGCTCCTGTTGTTGTGGAGTGACTCATGCCGTACAAAAACTGGAGGAAGGGCCTTTGCTATTGATGCCCCCAGGGTCTGGAATGCTATTGCCAATAAACTGCAACTTGAATCGCTACCAATGAGATCTTCACTCAAAACTGCTATAGAGGAATTGTACACCCCTAGCTGCCACTGCTATTCAGTGGTCTAAGATAAAATAAAATGTTTCGCTCCGGATGACCGCTGCAAAGTATTAACTGTATTTTGATTTAGCGTACATTGAAAAATGTGATACTCCGACTGATGCTCCTGTTGTTGTGGAGTGACTCATGCAGCCAGCTATGGCTCTAGGGTTTGGTGTTACATGTTATTTATGTAGTTTATTGTTAAAATTCGGTCACAGTTCCTATGATCACTGTTACATTGCAATTATGGCTTTATTTTGGTGATTTCGAAAAGTGTTTTGGTTTGGCCATGTTTTTTGTTTGTTGTAGTACGGAGTTAGACTGATGGCCTTAATCTTAGTTGTCTTGTGGTTGTTTGACTTGCATCCCACTGGGATTTTTGCACACAGCGTTGGTGTACGGTGCTATTTCAGGAATATTTTGATATTTTTTTCCTGGATTTTCTGTTTGCACAGTCACATAGTCACTTTAAGATGTTTTCTTGTTCGTGTTTTTTGTTTGTTGCGGTTGCACCCGATTCAAGAGCCGAATGGCTCACAGGGCTATACCAAATAAATGGAAAATAAATGGAACTATGGGAGCCGTGGCGCGGTGGACCATGTGGAAAACTGCGAACCGACATCGCAACCAGTGCCGGATTATCCTAGTAGCAACAATAACTATATATGTAGCAGCTACATATGTAGTAGCTACATATGTAGAAGCTGCATATGTAGTAGCTACATATGTAGCAGCTGCATATGTAGCAGCTACATATGTAGAAGCTGCATATTTAATAGCTACATACATATGTAGTAGCTACATATGTAGTAGCTAGATAAGTAGTAGCTACATATGTAGTAGCTACATATGTACTACTACATATGTAGTAGCTACATATGTAGCTACTACATATGTACTAATACATATGTAGTAGCTACATATGTAGTAGCTACGGGCCCCGCACTTTCAAGGGCCCCGCGCTAAATGCTTTCAAGCTATCAATTCCGGTTCAGTGAATCTGTACTTGCTCTATTACTATCGTACTATGCTAGCTTAATCCGGCACTGAACCCAACCACCCGAGTCGACAGCTCAAGAGCCGAACCCGGGCCACGTGGCGGTGCTCCACAAAGCCAGAGAGCAGCGACTGAGGTTGGACATCTGTGGGGAGGGGGGGAAAGAGCTTCACAGCTCATCGGATTCCTCCAGGACAAACGAATATTCCGATGCGAGAGGGCGACCGTGCGACACCGCTTGCTCTGCCCACCGCCGTAGGAGGCCCGCCCGCCCGCACGGTGCGAGTTCTGAGATGCGCTCGCCACTGGAAGGACGTTTGACTTCGGCGGGCGGACATGGAGAGGTGAAGATGGGTTCACAGTTCATGGGAATATTACCATCAGCAGCTCTTCGATGTATTTTGGGGTTGCACCGCGTGTGTTTTGCCGCATCGAATTTACATTGCTTGCCCAGATGTTTAAGGCCTATCTGCATTATAATTAATATGGCAGATTTAAATTCTTTTTTTTTAGAGATACAGCGTGCTATTTGATAATGAGCTATATATAACTTGTTTTTTCTTTGAAAAAAGAAGAATATTTTTACATTGCGATTATGATTTGCTATCTATCTATCTTTTTTTCATCCCGCTTATATGTCATTGCTCATTATTTATGTTTACTGGGACTTTTTGCGTATGTCGGAGAAGCGGCGGTGTTGTTCTTTGTTGATGAAACCCAATTAGGGTGCTTGTTGGCTCACAGGGTAATTCAAAATAAACTACGACTGCTTCTCATTGGCAGGAGTGATGCGAGTCACCAAAATAACAACATCAACACGTAATATAAAGTGCGGCGGTGAAGCAAATGGAAATCAGAGTTAAAACAACTGTGTCACATGAGAAATCCAAAATATTGAAGAAAAAATAATAAAAATCAATGTCGAATATATCCCTGGATCGTAAGTTGGCATTGGCACATTTTTGTAAGACGCAGTGATGCTAAATCTGTCGGCCCCGGAGAGGCACTACAAGTTAAGTTTCCGTAACATTAAAGAGCGATAGAGTTGCCATTATACTAATATATAAACAGACAAGGATATATGTCAAATGTGTTTTGCTCCATGTGCTCGGGGAGCGTCTTCAGTAAGTTAACTGATGTTCACCCACTACGCGCGCAAAGTTGGGCCAACGTTGGAATGTGGTTAGAACTGCTGAGCGAACATTGATTGGTCCAACGTTCCTTATTTGCCGGGCAGTCATCGGACATCGCACCGAACAACACGGTACAATTCCAAACACATCAGAGGGCTCCGCAGCGTGACAGCAAACCCTACGCAGGGAGTATTCCGATGAACATTCCGTATCCCAGGTGTGTGTGTGTGTGTGTGCGCGCCCAGCGCCTTACCTCTGCAGGCGCCGTTCACCTCCTCCTCCCCAGGGCCGCACAGTCTCTCAGGCACCACCGGTGCCTCCGGCAGCGCTGGTCCGTCTGGCACCGCGGCCTCCTCCAGCGCCGCCGCCTCGACCAGCAGAGCGGACTCGTCGGGCGGCGTGCGTGCATCGGGGACCACTGTTAACGACGCAACCGGCAGCCTCCACTCAACGCTCGCCCGTGTGGCGCACGACTGCCGTGCGCCCAGATCGCCGTCCCCCGCGACCAATGCACCTCTACTGAGAGAGTGAAGTCACACGGCCTCCTCGGCACCACAGCCCACGTGGAAGCTTGGGCACCCCCCCCCCCCCCATCCCCTACCCACCCCATTCAACGTCCCAAACGATCGTGACGGAACCGATGCCCTCGGTATGCTTGTCTGCGTTTTCATGCAGCGTCGTCATTTGCGCAATCTGCTTCTGAAAAACGCTGCAGCATTTGTAGCGCGCGCTAGTGGGGTTATTTTTTTTTTTGCACGCAGGGGCGCGGGAGGGGAACCACGGAACGAGCGCCTGGCAACGCATCCAGAACCGGCACCAACAACTGGCCAAATCAAAGCCCGCTGGTTCCTGCATTGGCACACTTGGCACGTACCCTACACAAGTGGGCAGCAACGCGGAATGCCCTTCAACGGGTTTACCGAGACGACCCCCAAACGTGCCAGGGAGTGGCTCCCCTTTCCGGCAAAAGCAAAACGCGACGAGCGTCGGAGTCCCCGCGTGGCGCTCACCCTGCGCGCAGTAGCCCATGCAGCCCTGCGTCGGCCGCAGCAGGTACACGTGGAAGTCGCCGCAATTGCGCACGGTGACGGGGATGCGGAAGAGGCAGCAGTCCTTGGTGGAGCCCGGGAAGAACTGCCAGGTGGCGCAGGCGGTGAGCTGGCGCGCCTCACCCGGCGCCGGCAGCAACTCGACGCCGTGCAGCGACAGCCACACGGGGGCCTGCGTGCCACAGCGGTTCATCTGCGCGACAACGCGCGCCCGTTTGGGGTGCGCCCGCGTCGCTCGCTCCGCGCGAGACGCGAGGAGGCGATCGTCTTCGTCTCGGCGGTACGGCGAGCGGCTCGCGATCGAAAGGTGGTTACGAGGTTTCCGCAGCGCATCAATCGCTCTTGGGTCGATACAATAGGTACCACTTTGTGGGGAAGTTACCCGTGGTTTGCATGGATATACTACCCGCCCCCGCCATAGAAATGTGGAATTTTGCACCACTGGCTCAAGGCCGTAAACAGGAAATGAGCACCTTCTGAATGCTCGATTGGGCAGAAAGTCACTTCGACTACCTTCGTTGGTGACCTCGGATAATTGGTTTGCTCACAGGAAAAATTACCGTTCATTGACCCTGAAGAGGCGATGGACTAACGAGGAACATTCAGAGTGTGATGCTCTCATTCGTACCAAGGTGTGCACATTCACAGTACGTGATGATAGAACAGGATCGGTGAAATTCCACGTGGCTGCCGCTGTCACGTGCAATCGGGGAATCGTCAAGTCCGCGTGGTTCAAAGCGGGATGTACCGATCGCAGGCCCGAGTCAAATCTAACACCAGTTCGATATTGTTTCTCAATGGTCATCGATCAAACAAAACTGTCAGAAGGTTGTGGAGGACAGGGTGGATGTGACGAGGCCACGTTCATCAAAAGCTGTGCTGTCCCTGCGCATCGTGAGCTGCGTCTGTTTCTCTTTTATTGTAAATCACACTCTCGTTCCTCTCAATTATTAAGTTTGGATAATTCGTCCCATGAGTCACGACGGCCACGTGGAATCTCACCAGTCCCGTTCGAGCACCACGTACTGTCAATGTACACACTCCGCGAATATTCTGAGTAAGTTGACCCTGGCTTCCTACTAAAACAACAAACGAGGCGCGAGTACTCGGCGCTCGTGAGGTCAGCAAAACAAAGTTATATTAAACGACACTTAAAACGTCTCTCTGTGCGTGTGATGGCTTTCGGAGCAGACCTTCAAGGTATTTTTATAATCTGTCGACAAAAAAAAACTGCAAGGCGATGTGCAGAGCACCGTGCAGCAGCTGCACCGTTCGGTTAAAGCAGCGTTCTTCGCGACATCTCAGAAGGGTGCCACTTTCGCCGATAAGACATCATCATCGTGAGGTTCCGCCACGCATTTGAAACCATCGTTGGGGTTTGACAGCACAACGATGATGATGATGATAGTGGTGGTGGGTGTTGTCACGTGTTGTGTTTAGTCACGTGTTGTGTGTAGTCGCGGGGCCGCACTGGGGTTATAAAATTGACGAACGTCTCGCGTCGACACGCACGCCGCGCTTGTGTTCCACGGTTATGCCCGCGTGCAACCGTGCGAAAATATTGTTGCGCACGCACGCCGGGCAGAAAGGTGATGCTTATTTGACCGGAGCGCAGGAGCGGCCGAACAAAGCCGGGCCCTGTTCGCCGGCTCCGGAGGGCATCGAAGCCGCGTCATGAAAAGTAAAAGTGCCCCTGCGATTTGCGTTGAGACAAATACGTACACACGGGGCAAAAAACGTCAAAAACGCTCATTCCTGTAAAACCAGAGCGAAGCTACTGGGAGACATAAATTGAAAATATTTAAGTGATTTTCTACCCTGGAAGCGGGTCCCTATAATAAATTCCAGCAAAAGGAAATCTGCAAAAGTCCCCGCGCATCGTAATCGGTTTTGGCTTCAATAATGCGGCAGCTGCTGAACACAATGAGAGCCGGCAACAACCGCCAAAACACGCTCAGCGGGAGGCTGGGCGGGGGCATTCAATACTCAATCACCTCTATTTTTAAAACGCAACACTCCACCAATAATGACCCGACACCACGTGTGCAACGCAACGGGCGATGCCGCCACTGCTGCTGCGCACGCGCGTGCGCTGGGAGCGCCCCGTCCCATTCCTATCGCAGGTTACGTACAACGGGAGAACTGCTTTTCATCAAACTTTGCGGGCACCAACTCTAACAAGGCGTCACGTAGTGAGTGACGTTTCACTAAACAGGCAGTGTCTGGCACAAATCAACCATAAGCAGTCTCTGGTGCAGATTCTAAACGGAGTGACGCGCGTGCATTGCGGGGAGAGGTGACGGAGCGGTTAGCGCTACGAAGCCGGCGACCCGAGTTCGATTCCCGCTCACGGCCATCACCAGTGACGATTATCTGAACCGCTTCTGGGTCTCCCCTAGGTCAACTCAGACTCAAATAAGTCACTGGAACGCCGTGTTAACATCGTCAATAGGGAGATAAAGGCGGCCGGGCGTGGTGCTGGCCACCCACCCCCTCGTGTGCCACAGTGCCGGCCTTCAGACTGTTGGGGCACTTGTCCCCACAGTCTGTTAAGGCTATACGGGGGATCTTTGTCTGTGTTGCGTGTCCACGCGACGGGGCATGCAGGAACTACCTCCACACAGGTCGTGGGCATCTGGGCAGGCTTGCCAAACACGTTGAAGCGGTACCATCCTGCGCGGAGGGAGTGGTCGCAGATGAGGTCCTGGATGGCCGACTGCTGCAGTTGCGTCGAGTCGAACTGCACGCTGCGGTATGGGCTGTCCAGCACCTCGTGCCCTCCGGGCTGGCATTCAGGAGCTACGGAAAAATATTGTTTTGTTTGTTAGAAAATGTTGTGTGCTTAGCGAGTTTGATTCTCACCCTCGGCTAACACCAGTGGTGATATCTGGACGGGTCCTGGGCCTCTCCTCTGCCCCCAATATGCGCTGACAAGCGTGGTGAAGTATGGTCAAACGTGGGGATACCTTAATACAGCAGTCGACTGACAATGGGCTGCAAATTTCTACTTTTTATTTTAATATGTGAGAGTTACGATTATAGAGAATATGTACAACGATGTTGGGATCCCCCTGTGGTCGCAAGGTTAGCAGCTGACTAAGACCTTTGATCATCCACGTGACAGCTATAAACACGCACAAAAGGAACACGTTTAAGGTTTTTTTTTTTGGGGGGGGGAGGGGTGCCTTAAAATGAAGTCTTTCAGAATCGAATTCCCAAGTCACAAGACGGCGCACGCGATACAATTCAAACTGAAGTCTCACCGCAGGGCGCGTTATAAACCGGGCCCGAGTGCCACCCGGGCGAGGACCGACACCCGGATGAACCCGGCAAGCGAATCCAACTCGGGGTTCCACGTTAGCCTCCCGCCCAGACGCACCAAGCTACGTTGAGGTGGAAGCTGTCCTTCACATGCGGGAGGGCGGGTATTCACTTTACGTAGGCTTGGAGGCGGTGTTGGAAAACTGCGTTGGATCATCTTCTTTGGTTCTTTTGGATCAGTCTGTGGGACCGTATGGCTTCTGGCAGAGTGTCTGCCGCGCTGTTGCGTGGAATGGATGCAGATTTACAGAAACCCATTTTGGTACACGAAGGTCGGTCATGTCACTAACCTCAAGCTGGAATTTGATATATTTTTTTTCCCATTTGAGTGAACATGTGGGTCAATTAATATAACAGCCTTGAGTTTAACCTTTAACCTCCTGGACGAGATAGCTGCACGCTTCTAAGAGCCGTATTTTAGACGTAAGCCGTTGTTACTGTATTTTGAAAAGCGGCATTTGGGGCATTACAAAAACACGGAGCTAATTCAGCTGCTCACTAATTATCACGCCAGCTGACATCAAAACTGCAAACTTCAACATTCCGAGCCAGAGCGAGAGCGAGTGGGAGCTGGCTGGAGCAGGCTGACGGCAACTCACTCATTGCCTCTCCCCGGCCACGGGGGAGGTGGCAGGGCGCACAGCTGTCACGCCCAAAAAAACCCTGCAACCTTCGCGTTGTTCATGACCGCCGCTGCAGACCTGTCGGCACGACCACGACGACGCCCTGGCAGCACGTGGCTCGCTGAGCGCCGACGAGACGTCGTCTCAAATTGGAAACGATTTCCCCCCCCCCCCCCCCCAATGTGGAGTTTTTTTTCTCTTTCCAATTTCTAAAAATGCTGCAGCAGTCGGAGTGGAATTGTTGGGTGGGGCTGTGGGGGTGTGGGGGTGTTGGTATTGTCTGATTTTTTTTATCAATCATCTGTTGATTTGCTGGTTAATTAAGGTGATCGCTTTCACGTGAAACAAGAGAGTCGAGATGCCATAGCATACTCTTCGCCAGCCCTTACAATAGCTGCCGATTTAAAAACCTTTATTTGACACAATGATACTCGAGAAAACATTCTAAGTTTCCCAAAATAGTGGTGTGATTCGCTTTGGAACTCGGTATGCAGCAAAACGGTTTAACAATACACGGCATTCCACTTAAATCTGTACGGTTGGTAAATATGCCAAAGTGTGGTCGAGCAAGACGCGCTGCAGTGTTGTGAACAACTGCAGCCCGCACCAGACAAGGCAGACACTGCATCTGAAACCAATCTATCCTTCCCCCGCTTCTCCGATAAGCGCGCTTGGCTACGTACGGTGCGAAAGAAGTTCAACATACACACATAAAATCGTACCGTGGAATGAATGAAATGCCTCGCACTGTTGATGCACCCGCCAATAAGCAGCGATCATCAAGTGAGAGTTTTCAATTTGGCGTCCCACGTAGAGAATCCCAGGCTCAAGACAGCTTTACCGTTCGTCCCAGGGTCTGCGTGTTGGATTTCCCTGGCGGGGTTAATGCCTTATGCAGCTTCTCCGTGCTTTATGGAAACTGCGCGAGGGATTATCATTTCGTTTTCTACATTGCTGACCTACATTTGCGTAAAATTTCATTGTCCCACTATCTTCCACCTCTCAATCAGTCCTGAAAACACGGCCCCTAGACGTGGGTATTATCATGAGAGTAAGCGTTCCTTACCACCTAATTGTCCAAACACCAAAAAAATCGCTCATGCATAGAAAACGTTAAGAAATTACTGCGTCTTGCGGTGTGATTCAAGTGTCAGCGAAAGACATGTAATCCTGATTTTTCAGAGTAAAAAAACATTCGGGGCAAAATTGTGGACATTTAGCAGTTTTCTGACCGATAGGATGCAATCTTCCATTCCACAAACACTTTAATGGAGCCAATGGTCTGGGCTTGTGGGCTGCTCTCCAACCACTCTCGTCTCGCTCAGATCAGCGACACCTCCTCTCGACCAGGCAGCCCTGCACTTGCAGCACGACCTTGCTTAAAACATCAAACATCAGCTAAAGGTGTCATCATGGCCAAAGGCACTGATGTTTAAAGGGGGGTGGGGGGGGGGTTAGGAGGTGGAGCATAAACAAACGTTCAACTACTGTCACAATTTAAGGGAGTGAGCCCCTCTCTACCTACCTCGAACCCCTCCCCCCACCTTAGAGGGACTGCCAATAGTCCCACCACTGGACAGCAATGGGGACACCACCAACTGCACTGTTGGTAATCGCCTCCACCACGGACAGGCCGTGAGTGGCCTTGCAGGCAACCTGCACAATGCGCGTGTTTGGACAAACTGCGCGCTGTTTGAACAGAGGACGCACCCCACCCACACACGCGCACACAGAGCTGGCCACCACTCACACGGGGCATTCACCAAGGCGTGCATTGTTACGTCAACTCCGTTCAAGCCCTGCAATTTGTGTTTTTCCTGTCTTTCTTACAAACCGTAAATATTCGTTGCTCGTTAACTGCTCGGCGATTAAAGAGCAGTGGCAGGGCCTGTTGCTGATGGCTCACGGTTCGAATTCCAACGGCCGCCCTGGTTATCACTGCGGTGTGTAATAACCAATAACCAGAACACTGCTACGCGCCAACATCTTCACAGTGCACGCCACAGATTCCCCCCACCCCGGCGTCCTTCGCAACAGCTGGTCATTGCGCGCCTGGGTCAGGATCCACATTAAAAAAATATATAATACGCCTGCGAATTACTCAATCGTTATTATATACGGCAAAACATCGCCCACTACCGTATGACTAATGCCCGGGGTCACGCTTGCCCTTGCAAATGAGACTCATCCTGGTCTCTTTGAGTTCTCACCCCGGTTCAGCGTCACATTCTAACCTCAAGCATGTTTAGAACGCCTGGTTTGTTGTCGCGCTAACGTGACGATCGAGGCTCATTCACCACACGTCAGCCACACAGCACTCGAGACCCACCTGGTGTGCACGCGCTGTGCGCGCGCGTGCTGGTGGCACAGCAGGGCATTGTCTCACGCATGCGGGCGACAGCTGCGCACGTGGCGGTGCGTACACACGCGCAGGCACTGCACGTGGGTGCCAAGCATGTGGTGTGCATACACACGCGCAGGCACTGCACGTGGGTGCCAAGCACGTGGTGTGCATACACACGAGCAGGCACTGCACGTGGGTGCCAAGCACGTGGTGTGCATACACACGAGCAGGCACTGCACGTGGGTGCCAAGCACGTGGTGTCCGCGTTAACACCGCGCGCGGGCACGACGCGTGGTGGACACGCGTGTCCATGGTGCAGGCGCGTTTTAGACACGCACGTGGTACACACGTGCCGTACAAATACGCGTCGGACACACGTGCCGGCAGTGCACGTATTACACGTGCCGAGAGTACACGTGTTGACAGTGCACGTGTTACACGTGCCGAGAGTACACGTGTTGACAGTGCACGTGTTACACGTGCCGAGATGACACGTGTTCACAGTACACGTGTTACACGTGCCGGCAGTACACGCGTTACACGTGCCAGGAGTGCACGTGTTGGCAGTACAGGTGTTGCCACAATAGTACTTACCATCCGTGCCTCCCCCCCCACCCTGCTCCACGCGAGACCTTTAAACCACACACACCATGAAGCACGCTGGTGCCCATCCCGGCGTGAAGAGGAGGGCGATGATGAGAGGGAGAATTTGCTCGAAGAGGAGCGTGGTGAGATGATGAGAATAGTACGGAGGAGGAGGAGGAGGGGAGCTCGTGATTTCGTGATTTCGAGAGGAGGAATATTTATCAGGAGGGAGGGATGATGTCTTGCTCGAGGATGGCAACGGTTGAGTGCGAGGTGTGAAGAGTTAACGGTGGCGTGGAGGGGTGATGATGATGGTTTGACAGAGAGACGAGGTGTAGACGACATTCGTGTGTGTGTGCAACCTGCATGCGAAATGATAACGGCGTGCAGCGATCCAGCGATACGGTCATGAAATGCAGAGGGATAGTGACGCGTGGAACACATTGACGCGCTGATTAGTTGTGTCGGATGAATGATGAGGTGTAGGGGTTGCATGATGAGGTGTAGGGGTGCGTGATGAGGTGTAGGGGGTGCGTGATGAGGTGTAGGGGGTGCATGATGAGATATAGAGGGTGTGTGATGAGGCGGTAGGGGGTGCATGATGAGGTGTAGGGGGTGTGTGATGAGGTGTAGGGGGTGCATGATGAGGTGTAGGGGGTGCGTGATGAGGTGTAGAGGGTGTGTGATGAGGTGTAGGGGGTGCATGATGAGGTGTAGGGGGTGTGTGATGAGGTGTAGAGGGTGTGTGATGAGGTGTAGGGGGTGCATGATGAGGTGTAGGGGGTGCGTGATGAGATATAGAGGGTGTGTGATGAGGTGTAGGGGGTGCATGATGAGGTGTAGGGGGTGTGTGATGAGGTGTAGAGGGTGTGTGATGAGGTGTAGGGGGTGCATGATGAGGTGTAGGGGGTGCGTGATGAGGTGTAGAGGTGCATGATGAGGTGTAGGGGTGCATGATGAGATGTAGAGGGTGTGTGATGAGGTGTATGGTGTGCGTGATGAGGTGTAGGGGTGAATGATGAGGTGTAGAGGGTGTGTGATGAGGTGTAGTGGGTGGTAATGAGGTGTAGGGGGTGCATGATGAGGTGTCGGGGGTGAATGATGAGGTGTAGGGGGTGTGTGATGAGGTGTAGGGGTGGTGATGAGGTGTAAGGAGTGCATGATGAGGTGTAGGGGTGAATAATGAGGTGTAGGGGGTGTGTGATGAGGTGGAGGGGGTGTGTGAAGAGGTGTAGAGGGTGCATGACGAGGTTGTGCACGGTGATGGGGTGCGGAAGGCGATTGTACGAAGAGAACGATCTGGTGACGAAGTGCAAGATAGCCAGTGACGTGTGGAGTGGGAATCAACGAGGTGCTGAGTGTTCGTTGGGTGGCGATGACGAACTCGTTGTCGAGGGAGGGTGAGCGTCAAGGTGTGCAGCCTGACGAGGCGTGGAGGTCGACGAGGTGCGACGGAGCACGGCCATACCTGCTTGGGCGAGCATCGCCCTCCAGCAGCAGAGCCAACACAGCCAGCCGAGCTGGCGGGGTAGATGGGCCATGCTTCTCTCTCTCTCGGCAGGCCGCCTCTCTCTCTGCACATCCCTCTTCTTCTTCCTCCTCCTCCTCCTTCCCGCTCCTCCTCCTCCTCTTCCCGCTCCTCCTCCTGCTCCTGGCCAGGCCGATCAAAGTGCCACGGCCCGAGCTGACGAGCGTTGAGCTCGGCCGAGCAGTGCGGGAGGGAGGGGTGGGAGGGGGGGGGCAGCGAGTGGGGGGTGGAGGGTGGAGATGGGGGGCAGGCAAAGGTGGTCGATGGTGGTGGGGGGTGGTGGTGCTGTTTAGGGTTGTCGCCAGAGGGTGGTGAGGATGGTGAGGGTGAGGACTGTGAGGGTGGTGAGGATGGTGAGGATGGTGAGGGTGGTGAGGATGGTGAGGACTGTGAGGGTGGTGAGGGTGGTGAGGATGGTGAGGACTGTGAGGGTGAGGACTGTGAGGATGGTGAGGATGGTGAGGACTGTGAGGGTGAGGGTGGTGAGGGTGGTGAGGACTGTGAGGGTGGTGAGGATGGTGAGGGTGGTGAGGGTGGTGAGGACTGTGAGGGTGGTGAGGGTGGTGAGGATGGTGAGGGTGAGGACTGTGAGGATGGTGAGGATGGTGAGGGTGGTGAGGATGGTGAGGGTGGTGAGGGTGGTGAGGACTGTGAGGGTGGTGAGGATGGTGAGGACTGTGAGAGTGGTGAGGGTGGTGAGGATGGTGAGGACTGTGAGGGTGGTGAGGATGGTGAGGGTGGTGAGGGTGGTGAGGACTGTGAGGGTGGTGAGGGTGGTGAGGATGGTGAGGGTGAGGACTGTGAGGATGGTGAGGGTGGTGAGGGTGGTGAGGATGGTGAGGGTGGTGAGGGTGGTGAGGGTGAGGACTGTGAGGGTGGTGAGGATGGTGAGGACTGTGAGAGTGGTGAGGGTGGTGAGGGTGGTGAGGATGGTGAGGACTGTGAGAGTGGTGAGGATGGTGAGGGTGGTGAGGATGGTGAGGATGGTGAGGGTGGTGAGGATGGTGAGGACTGTGAGGGTGGTGAGGGTGGTGAGGATGGTGAGGACTGTGAGGATGGTGAGGATGGTGAGGGTGGTGAGGATGGTGAGGGTGGTGAGGGTGGTGAGGACTGTGAGGGTGGTGAGGATGGTGAGGACTGTGAGAGTGGTGAGGGTGGTGAGGGTGGTGAGGATGGTGAGGGTGGTGAGGGTGGTGAGGATGGTGAGGGTGGTGAGGGTGGTGAGGACTGTGAGGGTGGTGAGGATGGTGAGGACTGTGAGAGTGGTGAGGGTGGTGAGGATGGTGAGGACTGTGAGGGTGGTGAGGATGGTGAGGGTGGTGAGGGTGGTGAGGACTGTGAGGGTGGTGAGGGTGGTGAGGATGGTGAGGGTGAGGACTGTGAGGATGGTGAGGGTGGTGAGGGTGGTGAGGATGGTGAGGGTGGTGAGGGTGGTGAGGGTGAGGACTGTGAGGGTGGTGAGGATGGTGAGGACTGTGAGAGTGGTGAGGGTGGTGAGGGTGGTGAGGATGGTGAGGACTGTGAGAGTGGTGAGGATGGTGAGGGTGGTGAGGATGGTGAGGACTGTGAGGGTGGTGAGGATGGTGAGGGTGGTGAGGGTGGTGAGGATGGTGAGGGTGGTGAGGGTGGTGAGTGTGGTGAGGGTGGTGAGGACTGTGAGGGTGGTGAGGGTGGTGATGATGGTGAGGGTGGTGAGGGTGGTGAGGATGGTGAGGGTGGTGAGGGTGGTGAGGGTGATGAGGACTGTGAGGGTGGTGAGGATGGTGAGGGTGGTGAGGATGGTGAGGGTGGTGAGGGTGATGAGGGTGGTGAGGACTGTGAGGGTGATGAGGGTGGTGAGGACTGTGAGGGTGGTGAGGATGGTGAAGATGGTGAGGGTGGTGAGGATGGCGAGGGTGGTGAGGGTGGTGAGGGTGGTGAGGATGGTGAAGATGGTGAGGATGGTGAGGGTGGTAAGGGTGGTGAGGATGCGGAGAGCTGTGGATGACGACGACGGTGGTGAGAATGATCGGAGTGGTGAGGCGAGTGAGTGTGGTTGTGGAGAGTCGTGAGGTCGGTGACGATGGTGAGGATTGGTGATGTATGTTTGTGGAGTAGGGTGGTGAGGGCAGTGCGTTTGGTGAAAGTGGCACTAGAAGGTGATGAGGTTTAAAGGTCGGCGTGGTTGGTGAGGGAGGGGGGGTGGTGAGGTAGGGTGGTGAGTGAGGGTAGCGTCGCTTGCACGTGTGGTCAGGGTGGTGGAGGTGATGAACGTACAAAGACATTGCCCCAGCTCCTGATGCTGCCCTCACTCAGAATCATAATATATATTAGACTGGAGGAATCCGATGAGCTATAAAGCTCTTTTTCACAGACGTCCACTCATCCATAGGGCACAGCTGGCATGAGCCAACTGCCCCACCTTCTCTCCTGGCCACTGCCCAACCCATGCTGCCCTCCAGAGAGAGTGGAGAGTGTCGGATCGGCGTTCACATTTTCACGCCTGCCCTCACACCGTATCCAGCAGAGGAGGCCGTGTTTGTACGAGAGTGAGGTGGTACCCCCCTCGTACACTGGGCCAGACACATGGCACGGCGGTGGTGGTGGTGGTGGTGATGGTGGTGGTGGTAACGGCGGCGGTGACCTCAGTTTGAAGGTGATCGCTTGCGAGGCCCAGGGAGAACATTTGCTATTTTAAACAACGACTGCATTTAGCGCACGCCAGTCGGAACACAGCAATTGTTCGTGCTCAATGCAGTTAAACAGCCAATTAAACACGGGACCCAGAAGCCATGAATAGTTTTGGTAACGAAATTCAATATTTTCTTTGGCTTCAAATGACCTTAAACTGTTCAAGAGCCCGATGATGTGCCACCCGATACCCCCAAATCATATGTAATTGGCATCACCTGTTAATGTTTCTGTTTTTGTTTTAGCAAAAATATGGCCAAAAAGCAAATTAAAGAACTGCAGATTCTGCTCATATCTTTACATTTTGAACACAATTCGTAGTGGCAGTGATTGCGCCAATGTTTAACTGCAGCGTTGACCCGGCGGGGTCAATGGAACACTTCTGCGAACATTGACAGGGACAGGTGATGCGCTGTCAGATAAGTGGCCAATTTTGACTTTCAGCGGTGAATCCACAAAGGGCAGATGGCATGCGGGGTACATCATTTTGCGACTCTCCATCACCGTGCCATGGAGTAATCCGCCACTCCTGTGTGGGCTTCATCATTTCCCCGCGCAGGGATCGGTTGATCCAGGGAGCACTTGTGGAATTTTGCAGGGGCAATAAATAAAAATAAAGGAAGACGGTTCACGCGTGCAATACTTGGTGCTGGTAACTAAGTGTGTGGGAATGTTCAGATAATACACTTCAGGGAATTTGTGACACGAGATATGTGCAACCTCTGGCGCTTTGGAGGCCACCTGGAAAAGATTCCAGGCAACGTGTTGACAATGATGGCGAACAAGTGGAGAGACTCGTTGACTTTTTGAAGCTAAATTTCGATTTAAAGCTTTCGTGATTGCAGGGATTCATATTCTTGGTTCTTTCGGTAAAGTCACGTAGAAGGGAAATAATAAAATAATAAAATTCTTTCGTGAGAATTTTATTTATTATGTTTTATTTTTATTATTTTATTATTTCCCTTCTACGTGACTTTACCGAAAGAACCAAGAATTGTGGAAGCTATTAACATACATTCGTTATCATCTTACAGTGAATTATCCGTTCTTTTTCCATTAAAAACGATAGTCCCATATAAGTGTTAACATTTTTTGAAGCACCCTGTATAATAACACGGACTTAGTAGGTTGTAATAACAACCAATAGAAATGCGTTTTAAGCAGTTATTTAAAAAAACGCATCTCCGATTCGCACGGTTGCCTGAGTACGGTATGACAGAAGTTCAACATACATACAATTAATGAGAATAACAGAAGGTAAGTTCGCTCAACAATCATAAGAATCTGACGGAGGAGAAAACAGCCTTAGAACGGCAATTGCTGACAAAATAAGTTAGGTATTATTTGACCTTTATTCTGCATCGTAGTTGTTTGTGCTGGTAAAACACGATACAAAATACATTGACAAAACTGTTATTTTAAACGACTGAGTTATGGAAGGGATCATGTAAAAATGCAGTGTGTGCGTACACAGATGGCGACCCAGTGGCCACAGTTAAGCCGCAAATTGTGTTTATCTAATCCCGCATTGTCGAAACGGTACGGACGTAGAAATGCTTCACTGACCGCCCCTGATTATAATCTGCTATCCCCCCTTCTCGAGTGCTTACTGCCACTCATGGACGTGCTGCCCGAGTTGTCTTTACACTACAATGCCTCTGCTCGTCGTGTCTGCACGTGTTCAGCCCCGTGTGTCCACCCCGCTGCTGCTGAATTTTCTTCCCACGGTGTGCGGGTCATGGGGGGGTTGCTGATGGAAGGGGGGGGGGGTGGGCATAGATTTTGGGAGCAGAGTAGAGTACAACAACGATGTATCCCGCGACAGGAGCAGCCTAACAACGCCAGTTCCACTCACGGTGATCATCCCACATCCAAGCACTTTCCAGACTCAACCCTTGCTTAGCTTCCGAGCTCTGACGAAATCGAGTGCATTCTGGGTGATTCGGCTTACGGGGATTTCCACGCAATGAGACGTTCTAGATTTGAAGCTTTCGTGACTGCAAGGATCCACACTCTTTGGTTCTATTCGGTAAAGTCACGTAGGTAAAAAATAAAACAACAAAAATCACGACGTTTCGGCCACAACACAAGTAGCCTTCTTCAGGCGAAGGAACAGAACTGTCGGGACGACAGAGCTTCAATGAGACGTGTTGCGACGCGCGGCGATGTGCGGTGCAATCCGCTATTTTCTTTGGGAGGGGGGGATGGGGGCGAGATGCAGACTGATCTTGTTACGGCCTCCCCACTCCCCCCCCCCCGGTTCCCCCAGCTGACTTTTAACAGCAGTGATCTATCACTTAGAGCCATCTCCCTTGTCTCCCGGGGGGCGCGGACAACATTAGATGTAACCATGTGGCAATGGTGCCGCACCGACGCCTCGTGGCACAGTTGCTTCATTGGCTGTATTTGGACAGCTGCTGCCCGGCCACGTTGTACCTGCAAGGATGGGGCCGGGTGACTGCTTAATGGAGCTCCGTTCGCGACGCTGCTGATGGATTTTAAAATACGCCGCGGGTGTTGTGCCC